TTAAAAAAAATTCATATCATTCTCAGAAAAAGAAAAAAATGAAAAAAAAACTGAATTTAAAATCGATCTATTTTCCTTTTAACTACAGCAATTATTGTTTCAGTGATTTTTTAAAATTTCAAAGATTGTATCATTTAGAGCAATAAATTAGACACATCTTCTGAAAAGAATCAAGAGATTCTGTTTATTGACCTTTCCTGAGCACCTAGTTTTAGCTATTTTTCAGTCACATTTTCAGAGGACTGAAAAGGTTATTTCACCATGTTTATGTTTATTTTTTGTTTTGTCATTTCTGTTAACTTACATAGCATCTTAAATTACAAATTAAAATGTGTTGCATGAAACACATTGATGAATTTGTTCATACAAACTGGAGAAAGTATATAATCTGGGTTCTCCACTTTCAATGAACACATTTTTTGTACTTTCTCCTGCATGTATGAACAAATATTTTGTGACCATTCTACAACATGCATAAGCAAATGATTTGTACTTTCTCCATTGTGCATGAACCAAAACGTTGTTCATTCTCTTCCGTGTTTTCAATATTTTGTTAATTAATCAATGTGTCAGAACGAATACAATGTACCTAAACCAGTGAGTATGAACGAATTTAATGAACTACAATACCTATAATGTGTATGAAGAGACATTACGCTCTTTCTCCAGTATGGACATGTATATGAACCAACACGCCTGTGTATATACTTTCTCCAGTATGTATGAACAAATATCATGTACTCCATTTTTTATGAACACACATTTTGTATGAACAAATACTATGTACTTTCTCCAGTGTGTATGAACGTACAGAGTATTGGTTAAATAACTAGTGAAAGTACATAATATTTGCTCATACACACTGGAGAAAGTACATGATATTTGTCAACACACACAGTTAAAATTTATTGTTTCATATATACACTAGAAAAATATAAATATTAGTCCATACACACATACACAGAAAGTAGATAAAACAATAAATTATTGGTTTAGGAACATGGGAAATTAACCTAGTTTCGATTCATACATACTGGAGAAAGTATACACAGAGGAGTGTGACTCAGAAAATGTGACTCAAAAACAGTTAAAAGTTGGACTTTTAGAAAGGTCACCAGACAGAATCTATTGCATTTTTGAGAAAGTGTGCCAAATATATTATTTGAAATTATAGAAGCTTTTGAAAATTTGAATTCATTCCTAAAAATAGAAAAAATGAGGAAACTGCTTTAGAAAGCAATCTATTCTCTTTTTATGATCACAATATTTGTTGCAGACAACTTTTCAAAATTTCAAAGCTCCTATGACATGTATGATTTAGAGTAATATATTGGGCACATTTTCTGAGAGGTCTTTCACATGATGTTTAGGGTCATTCATTCATACAAACTAGAGAGAGAAAGAGAATATTGATTAATCCAATCTGAGTAATATGATAGATAGTTGGTTCTTCAAAAAAAGAGGTTTACTCAGATTTTGAATATCAAATAGATTTGGATCAAGTGTTATTAAGAATCTCATCTTCTTAACTTACTTAACTTCGAGCATGCAGATAAATATTCAATGGATTTACATAAATTTATAAAATGCAGAGTTCCTGTGACAATGGCATTTATTTTTAATGATCAAGAAAGTACTTTGCACCCTCCCGCCAAGTTAGGAAGAAGCCAGAGCTTTCATTCTGGTACACATCGCATCTAGAAACATGTCTGTTTCTATCATGTAAGAAGAGAGGGTCAAGGTATTCCATGATGGAGCATTTTGGAAACCCTTCTTAGATATTACTATGCTGAAAATGGGCTATTCAGGCATACACTGTGTACAAGTAATGCAGATTGCTCCGATTATCACTACGGCGCCATGCCGATTGAGTATTTTGTTCAAAATTGAATACAATATTGAACAAACGGAGCAAATGTGACCCAGGCATCAGTGTAGCATGAATTTATTTTGTTAGGATGCCAGTTAGAGCTATTGATGCAAGTACTAAGTTTGCAAACATGCATGTCAACCATGGCCAATTAGAAAAGTGCACCCCTTCTATATGATAATATAAACCCTTCCTACACATTGGTTTAGCTTTGGATCACTATGCTATCACTGTGTGGCAGAAATGCATTCTGATTGGATATAAATGATCACATGACTTAGTTCACTAAGGTGTCAGGAGATGGCATGCCAAAATGTAAAATCTCTAATAATAGATCTCATATCTTAGAAGCGTATCAGTTCAAAAAAATACTAGAAGACCTTACATATTTTGCCATGCACTGCGCCTATTCATTTGGCAATTCAGTTGTAAATTTTATCTTGAAAAAAATAAATCTTCCAAATTTGTTGAGTTTTCTTGCAGAAATCGCATACTCCCCCCCCTCCGTCCATTTTGTATGATCACCGGGCGTGATTTAAGCTGCTGATATTCTTCTTTAAACGAGTCGGATCTTCAAAATCTATAAGTTGGACTCCCTTTATAGAAGCTTTGAACTGAATTTGCACTGCTTAATGCTGAAATTTTATTGTTTATCCATACATTTTAAGAAAAAATGTATAAAAAGAGATGTTAAGCCAAATGTTGCCCTAAAAATTCAGAAAATGTAAAAAAATTCGAATTTTCTATGTACAGGCCTTGTTGCCCCTTTAAGAAGCTCAATATGTAAATTATCTAATCAAACACTTCGTCCACCATTTTGAAACACTAATCAATCCAATCTGTGCTAGCGATTCATAGGGCGAGCCATTGGGATATTTCCAGGGTTCGTACACACCTGCAAATGTCAGGGAAATTGACTTAATTTTCCAAGTGCTGGAAATGTCAGGTAATTTTAAAATTAGGTCAAAAGGGCCAAAGATGACCGGGAATTTTGAAACGGTAGATATGTCAGGGAAAAGTCAGGGAAATTTGTATCAGTGTTGAAAAAATAATGTTCCAGAATTATTTTTTTAGGACTATGACAGGATATCAATGAAATCCAAAATGTAATATTTAGTTGATTCCACAGGCTAAAGTATGAAAATGTATAACATATATCTAAAAATTTTACACTGTCTTGATTAATGAATTTCATAGATCTAGAGGCCCTTCAGGAGTGGAAAATCTTAAATTATCAGAGATTAATGTTTCCAAACTGTTATGAACAAACTAACGTCTTGTTTTCAAACTACACCTTGCTCCTTTCTGTCGTATTTAATAAAACAAAAATAGTATATCACGGAGGGATACGAACCGCTCACCTGGGACTGGGTTATTCCCTAGCGCCATAGGCGTTCACCTATTCTGGATACAACTGACGAGTCGTATTTAAGTGGATTCAAAAGTGAGGATCATTTTGAATTGACGCTCGGTATAAATATATAATACTTTTGTTCTTTCATATCGGTAGCACGTTGGCCTCATGGTTAGCGTGCCTGGCTTCCAGGCTCTAGGTTAGTTGATCGAGACCCGTTCATGTCGAACTTTTTGATTTGCTTGTTGTCACAATAATAAGTAGGGCAAAATCCAGAAAAAGTAGATCAAAAATACTCCAATGGAGTATAAAATTGTCACCAGGATTCCGAAATGAGACGAATGTAACTCGTTAAATCTCGGTAGAAAAGGTAGGTCAGAAAATCCGGTTTAATCCGAACTAGGTTCGGGAATTTTCGTCATAAGAAGTAGATCAAAAATACTCCAATGGAGTATAAAATTGTCACCAGGATTCCGAAATGAGACGAATGTTAACTCGTGAAATCTCGGAAGATAAAGTAGGTCAGAAAATCCGGATTAATCCGAACAAGGTTCGGGAAATTTCGTCATAAGAAGTGGATCAAAAATACTCCAAATGGAGTATAAAATTGTCACCAGGATTCCGAAATACGACGAATCGAATCGGCAAACTTCGGTACAATAATGAAGTGCATAAAAACCGAAATGATCCGAACAACGTTCGGATAAAATCGTGAAACAGGTGTCAGGGGCTTCCACTCATCTTTCCCGACATGCTTCTAAAAGCCTTATATGGATCTATCACGTGACATTCAAAATGACGTTCCTATATGGTTCTATGGGCCTTATATGGATCTTTCGAACAGGTGACCTAATACCAAATCAAAATCAAAATTTTACCTTGACCATTGGATGGGATTTTATAGAAAATATCAAAGAAAACATATTCTCGTGATCCTTAAATCACTTAAATTCGATCATTTTATCTTCACCCCTTGATGGAATTTTATGAAAGAAGTTATGAAAACACATCATCATGTAAGGGTTTTCACCTAAATTAAAAATGAAAAATGTTTCATGAAAAATATCATCATGTTATGACTTGTATTTAAATAAGACCGTTTCATCTAAATACTTGCTGGATAATATTTCATAAAAAATGCACTTTAAGAATATTTCAGGATTTGCCTTAATTTATCAAAGTAGTGTAAGTATTAGATTGACTCTCAAATAGGGTTCTACACTCCCCTCCATAAGTTTGGCAACCTTTTTTCCCCTTTGAACTATGTGTTAAAGCCTCTTTACGTTTGAAAGGTAAAGAGGCTTTAACACGTAGTTCAATGGGGGAAAAAAGGTTGCCAAACTTATGGAGGGGAGTGTATTTTAACATTTTATTGAAATTAATACTAGGCAGGACTCACTATCTAAATAGCTAATAAAAATTCAACCCTTGGATGTGATTTCGTTGAAAAAAAAATATGACAAGTCCAGAATCAAATGATTTGTCCAGAACCTCTTAAGATCCTGTTAATAATTGATAAAGAAAAATTTTCATCTCACTTTGAGATCATATGGATCAGATAGAATAATACATTTGAACAACCACTCCCACACACATGCACGGGTAAATTATTTAGTTAGGAACTAGAAATTTCAAGTTTATGTAAGTCTCGGGTAATAATGCCGATATGGCAAAAAAGCCTTGAATTAAATTCAGAGATGAAAATTAATCTTCGATGTTTCCACCGAATAATGGGTGGGTACAAAACGCATGCGTGAAAATAAGTTTTCCTTTTAGGTTAGCGTTCCACGATTGTGTTGGTGGTTGTGATGGATGCATTAACCACAACAATCCAGAAAACGCAGGTAAATTTTCACATTCGGTCAAGGTTTTTATAGCTTGCTTATAATCAATTTTAGAAATAAAAACTCAATTTAAATGTAGATTGTACTTTTTGAAGCCAATTCATGGAACTGCTCTTGAATATTCATTAGCGTATCTGGTCAATCACAGTACATTATGCTTGGTCATGTGACCTTAACCGGCCAATTACAGTACGCTTTTGATGGTCATGTGAACTTATCCCACAAATGGGAATTCACGTTGAGGTGCTTGAGAGTACACCATCAGGGCCGTTGCCATCTTTCAACATGCATCTCAATGGTACAAAGAGTAAGGAGAGCTCTACCTAAGGCGTTTATCGCTCTTTGAAGGTCTTCGCTTCTACACAAACCAGTTAGATTCCGTCTACGATGCTGAATTCTCGAGCCAACTTTCCCGTGCAGACTTCTATGTTCTTGCCTCTATTACGGCAGTCGAGAGAGGGGCAGAGGTAAGCATTCGTTAATCCCATAATGCAATTCATTAAGCAGAAGATATATCCCACAATGCAATTGATTAAGCAGACTTCTATGTTCTTGCCTCTATTACGGCAGTCGAGAGAGGGGCAGACGTAAGTATTCGTCGGTTTTATCCCATTATGCAACTAATTAGACAGAAGACCTTTTCCATCATGCATCTGATTAAGCCTCTGACTTTCATGTTCTTCCCTCTGTTATTGTATTTGAGAGAGGGACAGTGGTAAGGTTTCGGAGTAAACTGTAAGCTTGTTGGTGATGTCTTTTTATTCTTGAAAATGTTTAAATGTGTAGTGTTCTGAGCACATGCGCTCTTTCATAGGCAACAGTTAAAGAGGATCAAAACTAAATATGTTTGACTGTTGTATATTCATATTTATAAATTAGAATTTAATTTGAACGATTGTAATGAACTCGCACTCACATATCTATCTTATAGTTTGATCTACTAACCCCCCTATCACACCAAACTAGTTCTTACCCGTTCTTGCCAGTCCTACGAAAACGTCGTAAAACGGGCTCAATCTGGCTGTGGTCGGGAAATATGTCTTAAATAATTAGCTTCTTCGTTCTTAAACAGTCTTCAATACGTCCATCTCGTTCGCAGTTCGTTCAGGTCACACCACGTCGGGGTGCAACGTCGTAGAACGCGTCCCTTAGTCTAGAAGGTCAACATGACCTGATTTCAGAACGGTATGGTCGCCATCGAATTTTGAATCGATTCAAAATTCTTAAATCACATTCCCGTCTGAGAACGTTCATAAAGTTTGTAAATAGACCTTAGAAAGTTGCAGCTACGTTCATTCCGTTCGCACACAGTTTAAAACCAGTTTTGAAGAACGCAGTGGCAACTTGTTTGGTGCGTGTGATAGCTATATTTTTGCTATCTCGTTCATAAGCAGTGTTAAATACGTTCTTAATCAGTTTAAACCCGTTTGCAATTAGTTCTACCTCGTTCTCAACACGTCCTCAGACAGTTCAACTCGTTGTTAAAACGTCCCTAGTAGGACTGAAGTACGACGGTTCCGTTCGTAGAACGTCCAGCTCGTCGTTAGTACGTTGTCACTCGTTCTAATTGTAGAAAGTGACGACCACGAGAACATTTTGAGCATGTTCTAAGTTCTAGAGGACCTACCCGCTCGAGTACGTTCGATGAAGTTTGTAAATAGATCCCAAACGGTTCTTAGTAGGTCCAGTTCGTTCGTACACAGTTGAAGCCCGTTTCCGAGAACGTAGTGAGAACTAGTTTGGTGTGATAGTAGGGTTACCGACACACCTAAATATATTTATTGCTTGTACACATAATTATATGTTTCCGTCATGCGCGTTGAGCAATTTTTAAAATCACTTTTTATCGTATAGCAATAAATATTACCGACAGGGCTCGTAACCGCCAATAGCTGACCACATTAGCTCTGTAGCCCAAACAAAGTGTTATTTTGTTAATACAAAACCTCATCATATTTAGTGTTTAACTTAATATTATTATAAAGACTGGCATGGTGTTACATTTTAGTTTGCTAATTGTTTACCAGAGGACGCTGACTGTACTCCTCAACTAACATTCCGCTACGGGCGTCCAGATTGCCCTACGTCACCAAATACCAATATTGTCCAAGAATTTCCGAACGCACGAGAAGGAGTTGGCGATCAAATAACCTATTTTCAAAATGAATTTGGGTTCAACGTACGGGAAACTGTGGCGATAATTGGAGCGCATACCTTGGGCAGGGCACATACAGAGAACCTTGGATGGGAAGGTAAGTAGAGATTATGGTCATTTTTCATGGTCATGTGACTTTATTTGACCAATAACAATTCATTCTTCTTGGATATGTGACCTCATCAGACTAGTCGTGGTACTGTCAGGCACATACAGCTAACCTTATGTTTAGAAAGGTTTGTTTGACAAATAACAATTCATTCTAATTTTTGATATGTTCTGTCTTTATATTTTAATAATATTATCCTATCATTTTTGAATTGATTGTTATGTTTGGATGCTATTTTTGTGATATCATAAGACATGTAAAATATCACGGATAATGTAATCTATTGGACATTGTCTAGAAAGAAAAATATTTTACAAGTTGAAACTTTAAAAAATGGAAGGTCGATTATTACCATATTGCAAGAAATTGGGAATGTTGGTAGCAATTCAGTTCATTTGTCATGGTCATGTGACCTTATTTGACCAATAAAAGTTAATTCTGATAGGTCACGCCACCTTATCTGACCAATCAAAGTACTCATTGCAGGAAGTTGGGTCCGCAGCGCAGATGTTTTAAATAACGCGTTCTATCATGATATGCAAGACGCTGGTTGGCGTTGGGTAAGTTCATGACACTTTTGAGATGTGATATTCGACGGTTTGAGAAGTGATATTCGATTGTTTGAGGATTTTTTGCCAAAATATGATATCTTGATCCAAATATCCAATATATCTTCACCTGATATTCGTTCTTTATCCTTGTAACCATTGCATAAATAAGTATACGGGAAATAATTTTAATCAGTTGCCTGAGAAAGTGAATTGAGAGCGGGACATTTAATCCTCTGTAGGTCGAAATATTACAAGATCTCAGGTTCTCTTAAAAACGTGTTACTTAATCAACCCCCCTACTTTTATCCGAACTGTGCTTCAAATTAACCTTTTATATTGCTTATGTTATTTATGTTTCGCCATGGTACAATAATAATGCATTACATTGAAAAATTAAGGGGAAATTGAATTTCCAATATTTTTCTATGTGGAAACTCAGTCAGGATATTTTACAGACCCACAGAGACAACACACCATACTTAGATGAGAGGCATTTCCAGTGGGAAGGTTCAGGAGGAGTCAGTATGTAAACTTTCATTTTAAGTAGCTTCAGGGTCCGTCCCATTTGTATGATTCAAACCAGAGATCATACATGTAGTTGTCAAAGGTTTTGTGACATATACTTTCACGTATTCTGTCGTGTATTCTTTTGTCCCATGGACTATTTCCTAAACTACTGTGAAATGTATGACCAAGCAACTGCTTGATGCATTCTGTTATGCTGTTAATGTTTAACATTTTAGCAATAATGCTGAATTCCGATATGGGGCTGCTGTTGGACCAAGAGCCAAATGAAGATGGCAGCGTCGACTGTGATTGGTCAGTTTGTCCATTTGCTTCGACCGTTGACATTCTGAACGAATACGCTTTCTTGAACAACGTCTGGATACGAGATTTCACAGGAGCGTTCCAGAAACTTATCGAAAACAGGAATTTTAATCTAACTATACCGACCCCTTAATATGTAAATTACGTTTGTCGAATAAATGATACTTATACTTATCGAATTGTCTAATTAAAACCTTTTGAGTTAAGTAAGATCAAAAATACATTCGATTTTCACTAAATAGCGTGTTTATTAGTCCCTTATGTTTATAATTCATAACGCTTGTGTACTACGTCATCGTTTTTCCCGCAGCTTCTTTCGTTCATTGCCTTTACCCTTGACATGCGAAACGAGTACGCTGTCTCAAACCACGTCCAGATACGATATTTCAAAGGAGAGTTCCAGAAAGTGGCAGAAACTTATCGAAAACAGAAATTTCAAGCTGGCTATAGTACAATCGCCTTAATATGTAAATCATCTCATGAATGTCAAATATATGATGCTCCTCGAATTCTTTAGTCAGAACTGTTTGTGTATAGTAAGATAACAAGTTACCCTTCCTACACACACTTCAGACTGCAGTTGGAATCAAAATAAAGGATACCATTTGAAAGCTCGTTCAAAATTTCAAACAATCATATCTTACGAAATCTGACAGGAACAAGGAAAATTGACACTGTTAATCATTACAATTTATGTCATTGTCAAAGCTCAATCAAAACCTCAAAAGAGTTAACTGAAACAGCGTCGTTTCAAACGTGACTATTAACATTCATTAACAGAAACAATCCTGACGTACGTGAACTTCATCACGTAAGCCATTCAACCACCGCCCAATTTCATAGATTGCATATGAAGCTATTATAGGTGAACTCAACAATATTATAGTGATATTTTGAAGTCAATTCAGCTGACATTCATGGGCACGTTATTTTATCGCGTTGTGTCGCTTTAAGGTAGATCACGTACGATAATTCGGCTAGCAGGGCAACTTACACCTTATACGGCATTCGTACTAAAATGACATATACAATCACCTTAACTTAAGAAAAATATGTCATTTTCCCATTGTATATACATTGCAGGTATTGTTAAAAAGATATAGAAAAATTGTTACGATCTCAAATTACAGAATTTTGGAGGGTGAGTTAAGATATTTATTTTTATTTTCATTTCGCGTTCTTCTTTATAGCACTTGTTTTTTGTGCTGAAATCAGTCATTGTTTCGACATAGCATATATTCACGCTTAAACTCAAGCGATATTTGGAATATAGGTTATATTTTACTACTTAATATAGCTTTATTTTATACACAATATACCTAGATAATATATATACATATGTATTTATAATACGTTTCTATATGTACAAAGAAGAAAGTTGTTAGCATCTCATTCCTCACAAACATATCTTACATTTTTCAAGATAATGGAAAGCTGTTTATTGATGCTTGAATTAAATGTATTTGTGAAAAATCTGAGCTCGGGGAAATCCAAGTTTTTGTCGAAATGTACCTCGAACGAGGTCAAAGTAAATCCAAAACCGCCAAGCTATCCCAAACTATGATCTCGTGAAAAAGAATCAAAATGACTACATGAATTTTACATCCTATATTTCCATTTTCTTAATATAGTTGACAGGGAAAAAATACAAAATGGCCAAACCGAAGTTTGTTTGATTGCAATGGTCACATGATAATAATACTAGACGTATTGCAATAGGTCTTTTGCGCCTCTAAAATTATGGCTTGAAATCATTAAAAAGATAAGTCAGGAAATGGGTCAGAATATCGAATTAGAAAATATCGAAAATTGTAAAGTTTGAAAACCAACTCAATCACACAGTATTGTACCTATCCCTAAGTAACATCATACTATCAAATGTTACTTCACTTTAAGGATTGGGCAAGAGATTTTTGTCTGTTTCAACCATTTGTTATGCATTCCATATCTATTGAAGCAGCATATTACTACAAAAATCATAAATTCCCTTCCTAATACTCAAAAGCAAATAAATAAAAGAGAATTCTAAAAACAAAAAACTTTTAATCATATCACCAGTATTCAAAACTAACTATTTTTATTCCTAAAGTATTATTTACTAGTACTGTCTTTGCAACCCATACACCAGTGGAACCAGAATCTCCATGTGCCCACATGCACATAACTAAGTGAGCTGCTGTTGGCTTTTACTATGTTTGATCCAAAAACTCCCTAAGCTGTTTGTAAACTTCAAATATCTATTTTGCTGCTATAATCACAGTACCAAATCCCAAAATTCAATGTGCATGCAAATGGAGAAAATGGTTCCACCAGTGTAATCCAAACAGAAATCAAGTTCCTGTGTAAAGGGTTTAGTTACCCCTGGATTACAAACCAGTGTCACCACCTCCTAAATTTTGAAAGCCAAATCTAAAACTCTTGTCTTTTGTCTGTTGATACTATTTTATTTTGGTAAGAATAATAACAGCCTACACATTCTTTAACCACCAACAAAATAACCTCGGAGATACACAAAGGAGACGTCACGTAACCAGATAACATTATATTTTTATTTATTCAAATGTCAAATATCATGATAGGCTAGACTATATTCATCAGAGGCAAAATAGTACACGTACAATCTAACGTTAGAAATTCATATTTGATTTACTCATATGTCATATTTTAATTATTCTACAGTTGTCCAATCTTTTAAAGTATGTCATAAAGAAGAGACCCATGTAGTGAAATGTACTTCTGAGTATTACATAACTAATATTTTGAATAATTACTAATCTGAATCAGTTCAGAGACCATTCATCATAAGCAATCTTCTCGCATTCACTATTAATTTACTCACTCGCTCATTGGTCCATACTAAACTATTATTCAACAGAAACCCCAAATAGAGAAGTTTTCCATCAGTGAAAAAACTTGTAACACAAATTGGATTAGCTATTCAATCTTTCGAAAAGGCGTTCTAACTTCACAAAAGAAAAAAGGTCACCATCTATACAATCTGGCTAATTCCCAAATCAGCATGGTATCTACATGTACTTCCAATATGTAACTACTATTGATGGCCTACTTTCACATTGCATAAATACAGAGTACATGTGTAAAACTTGTGCATTGCATTCAGTATTTCTCAACATGTTATTATACACCATAGTTTTCCAAGCAACTGTTAATAAACCCCATGTAATTTTGCAAAGCAATGGTCAATATAACACATCACATGCAGTTTTACGATAATGAGCAATACAACCCTCCCTGCCAAGCATGCAGTTTCAAATCATGGGCATTATACCCCGTATTTGCATCGCATGTAGTTTGAAAATAATGGGCAATACACCCCCTAACACATCACACAAATTTTAAAATGATGGGCAATACACCCCCTAACTGTTCCATGCAGTTTCAATGTAATGGGCAATGCACCCCCTAACTGCATCGCATGCAGTTTCAAAATAATGGGCAATACACCCCCTAACTGTTCCATGCAGTTTCAATGTAATGGGCAATACACCCCCTAACTGCATCGCATGCAGTTTCAAAATAATGGGCAATACACCCCCTAACTGCTCCACGCAGTTCAAAATATAATTGGCAATACACCCCCTGACTGCATTGCATGCAGGTTCAAAATAATGGGCAATACACCCCCTAACTGCATCACATGCAGTTGTTGAATAATGGGCACTATACCCAACTCCATCTAATGCAGTTTCAAAATAAAGGTCAATACTCACTCTAATGCAACCAAGCAGTTCAAAATAACACTCTCTCCATCCTCAGTCAAATTCCAACAACTTCGACAAACTCTACCTTCAAAATTGTAAGTGCAAACAATGTGATGCAGTGTTATTTGTAAATTGTACAGCAACATTGTAACATATGTTTGTTTGGCAAAACACTCTTTCAGCTAACATGTAACACGTCTGCTCTGTTCAAAATCACACAATAGACTGATTAGCTCATTCACCTGAATAGGTATAGATGTCACTTAGGATATTACCTTAAAAATGCAGTATATCATAGGTTTCTCTTCCAGACAATCAATGATGTCCAATTATTACTGCTCATATGATATCTTACATACCTGCCGATATATTGAAATAATCAACAGAACAACCAACATTCAGAATTAAACACTATTGATTCCACGGCTAGCTAGGGAATCTCCGTCGAATCACTGCCCACACGCACCTCAACCAGGCAGCCAATCAGGTTCATGATAAACAAATTTAACGACCAATTATATACCATGGGGATTTTTCCGGTATATTCAAACTTCAGATTAAATTAATTTCCGCAAAAATAATTAGATCGGTCAGTACAATCGCAAAATTAACACTGAAAACGGGGGATTTGGGACTTCATCTTGGTAAGTAGATAGGTTGCTAACACCCAGTTTGCAAAAAGGTCGAGAGGGGTCTTGATTGTGCTTCCCTATGATATAGACGAGTCTCTATAATATCCTATCCTTCCTCTGAAAGCTCAAATTAAATCATGAAAATTGTCACATTGTCTCATGATTACTGAAGAATATTGGCATCAAAGACAATACAAACAACACTTCTTTTCAGACATAAAACTCAAACTTGCGAGATGGTCTTATCATTGGTCCTTATATGTACATGTATAGTGGGTCACGTGACGTCACAACTGACGGTTGCCCAGGTGAACGCAACGAAGGCGAGAATCAATGAAGCAATCACCGAATCGTATGACGAACTGTTGTTTACACACCCTCTCCTCGCGGGTTCTGTAAGGTATTTTAAGAATTCTAGTCACAAGCATCTGTTAATATTTGTCAAATGACGCATTTGACAGCTTTCGAATTGAAATCAAATTAAATTTATGGAAGTACGTGATCATGAGATTCTTTGCATGGACCTCAGTCGACTTGAATGGCATGTACAGAGTAGGCCAAAAAGTTCCATATTTTTAATGATTTGGCGGAGTTGCAAAAATCACTATTGCAGTTGTTCCTAAAATAGGATGAAAATTTATTTGGGCGTTTCTAAATGAGAGATACAGGGTGATCACTAAGTTCTGGGAATTTATCTGTCATTTCATTATTTTTCAACCAATTTACTTGAAATTTTCAAGGTAAATGGGGAATGTAATTTTGGGTTGGATAAAACAGTCTCATTGTCATCTGATGTCACAATGGATAATTATTGTTACTATAGCAACATGATAAATGGCGTAGCGGGATAAGTTAAATAAAAATGAATTCAAATTTTGCTTGATCCAAAAGTATGGTTAATAAATATCTATTTGGTGGACATATTTCTGTGATTTTTTATATTTTCAAATACTTCTAACTTAAGTTTCTAAAGTAACATCTTTATTGTTATATAAGAGTGTACTTTGCTCTATTTTTGTTTCATTCATCAGCATCTCAAAGTAACAATCATGACTAAAAATAGCGGGGAGTTATCTTCCATTATGACTATGCTCCTTCCCATTACTCAAGCTGCCCATACTACTCTTGAAGAATTAGGGTTCACACAAGTTATTACTGCCCCATATTCACCAGACAATATTCACCAGATGAAGCACCATTAGGCTTCACTACATTTTGGGTGCTAAAGCATTATATGAGAGGTCATAAGTTTGATTCCAATAGGGGACTCAATTCAACGGCTTGAGCAAATCTTCAAGGGATACCAAAGGGAGGACTGGAACACATCTTTATGGACTAAGTTTGTCAACAACGCATGTGCGTCGAGGCTAATGGAAACAATCATAAATGAAATGATCCTCTCAGCAATGAAGAATATTTCTGAATAAATGGCTTCAAGAGTACTGTTCTGCCTCTAGTACAAGTAGTTTGAAGCAACCATCTATAGGCAAGATGAATATGTTTTGGCACGACATTTTCAAATTAACATCAGTCAAAATTTGCTGACCCGCGAACCACTTTTACTTTTTTTGTAATTACAATAAAATAAATTGTAGATGTGATATGTATATGAAACATTGCTTGTCAATTCAGAATTATAAAATGTACACCTGTTGAAAATTTCAACTCAAATGGTTGAGAAATCTTGAAACGACAGACCAATTCCCAGAACTTAATGATCACCCTGTATTTATAGAGACTAGGGGTCTAAACAAAAATATGCAGTTCTGGAATTTCACCCTGTTGCTTCTTATTGACCGTTAACCGTGCTCATTCAATTACCGCTATGATTACAGGTCATGCCATCTAGGATAGATTGTAAACTTAATTGACTGTTGTATTACCACGAAAATATAAACAAAATCCATGTACTTGACATGTTTTGCCTTCTAAAAGGATAGAACCCTTTTAGCAAGTCCTAACCACGCACTTGTGATTAGACTGTTATTGCTCAAGGACGATTGGATCCCAGGGTTCAAACTCGATATTCTGCCATATTTGGAGATGTCGTAACTACAAAATTTGAATTCGAACAGGCGCCATTTTGTTCACTTCAGACGTTGAATCGCAAGTTTTGGTCTTATTTCCAAACAAAAAATTCCAAAACACACAAGAAGTGATCGAGATATTGGTTCAAATCTTTTGGACTTTTGATTATGAATTTTTAGTCAGTTATGATGTCAGAAAATAACCACATTCTGACATTTTCATTGTTGTAAAATGTCGAGTTTTGTCCCCAGGATTCAATCCTCCTTGGTTATTGCTTTTAGGTTAGCGTTCCACGATTGTGTTGGTGGGTGTGATGGATGCATCAATCACAACAATCCAGAAAACGCAGGTATTGCTGTATTTCATTATATCTCTTAAAGATGTTCTCCTTGGTTATACGTTACGTTATACCATATGCACTGTTGCTCATATATTATTATCATTATTATGAGCTTTATTATACTTGTATCCCACATTTGGGCAAAGTGTACAGCTTAAACAGAAAAAATGAAAAGCTAAACTTATTATCTATATATTATATTAACTAATCAAAGGGTGCTTGATCATTGCAAGATTTTATTGGATGCATTTCGTGTTTTTTTCTCTCTTGATAAAAATATTTGATATATATTTTGCGAGTATATTTAATATTCTTATTCCCTCTGAAGTAAATAGAAACATTAATTTATGTTCCACGTTATTCATGTTTTCTCAATTTTGACAGTGTTTTTTTTTTATTTTATCCATGTAACTTGACCGAACATCTTATCTTATTGCATTCTTATAGGAGATGGCATTCTGAACCGGTTTTCTTGTTACACATTAAATATTTTCTTTCTTCAATCTATACAAAAATATGTACATGTATATACTGTATGTATATAATATATCTGGAATAACGGGCACTTCACAACAATCAGTACACTCCTAATTACAACGAAGTATACACAAGTGATTGTTCTAAAATGTTTAATTAAGAACGTTTATTGTTCTTAGACATCTTAGCTTCTACAAGATTGTATCAAAAGCTCAGTCTATTTTCTTGGAAATGAAAAGGTAATTTAGGTCAGTATTGTTGTATTTAGGTCTTCGGTTCTACACAAACACATTAGACCCTATCTACGACGCTGAATTCTCAGATCAATTTTCCCGTGCAGATTTCTATGTTCTTGCTGCTATTACTGCAGTGGAGAGAGGGGCAGAGGTAAGCATTCGTTTTATCCCATAATGCAATTCATTAAGTAGAAGATATATCCCACAATGCAACTGATTAAGCAGACTTCTATGTTCTTGCTGCTATTACTGCAGTGGAGAGAGGGGCAGAGGTAAGCATTCGTTTTATCCCATAATGCAATTCATTAAGCAGAAGATATATCCCACAATGCAACTGATTAAGCAGACTTCTATGTTCTTGCTGATATTACTGCAGTGGAGCGGGGCAGCAGTAAACAATTAAATGTTAATATTATTGTGGAATATTTCAGTTTGCCAACTGTTTACCAGAGGATGCTGACTGTACTCCTCAACTGACATTCCGCTACGGGCGCCCAGATTGCCCTACGTCACCAAATACCGATCTAGTGCTGCCATTCCCGGACGCCCATCGTGGAGTGGAGAATCAAACTGCGTATTTTCAAAGGGAATTTGGGTTTAACGTTAGGGAAACTGTGGCAATAATTGGGGCGCATACACTTGGCAGAGCGCACACTGAGAATTCGGGATGGGAAGGTGAGTAGCGGTTCGAACTGACCAATCACAGTACGCTGTGGTCATGTGACCTTATCTGACCAATTACAGTTCGGGTCTAGAACTCGCATGCATTTCTAACAAGATTTATTGGGATTATGTTGATTTGTTCCTTACCTAACTAAAATACATGTTCTGAAATTGAAAGGTGCTTCAGCGGATACTGTTACTGAGGAGTGGTATTCTTTTTGTTGGCATTTATAACATTGGTTCACATTTCAAAGAATGCGGGGTAAAATTGAAAAGTAATACAAGTAAATTAAGTATCAAACGTATTCATTTTTTCTATTTCAGGACGTTGGGTTCAGAACCCGGATGCATTAAACAATGCATTTTATACCGATATGCAAGACGCCGGATGGCGTTGGGTAGGTTAACAGACAAAACTTAAAATGTCTTTCTCTAATGACGAAGTTTTCATTTTGTCCGAAAATGGTCAGAGGGATCATTTTTTAGCTGGCTTTTAAAATCTAACTTTAGAAGTTACATGAACTTTGAAATTTTCCACGAGTTCCGAATCTTTGAATACGGCATGAGGTAGCTTAGCTCTATATTCTATGAAGACTTAGCAACTAATTAAATCCCAAACCTCACCCCATGCAGACAGATCGCGTATAAGTACATTCGTATAATGTGAGACTCGACATTCACCATGGGGCCATTAATTGAAACTTCTTAAAGTTAAGAATTCATAAAGTCCATTGTTTTCTAACTGTGACATCATTATATCCATGGTTACAAAAATTGATTTAAGAATTCGTAGATTTATGAAGTTTCAGTTAATGTTTCTGTTTCCCCCATCATGCTTAATAAATGATGAATGTCAGTCATATTAAGTTATATAAGTATGAGAATAGCATGCCGTCTTGATATTTCAAGTAAACTCGTTCGAAAAATGATGACGGTGATTGAAATGACGATGTAAAGATAAAACAGCAACGAAATATTTGTAGATTTCTTTAAAAACTAAGAAATATACATCTCATATTGAATTTTTCAAAACAGAAAAACATGTATAAATAGTAAGGCCTGTACGTCCGATTCCCCCTGGTCGCATTGACATTGGCCTCGTATATACACTCTTAAAAATGAATTACTTGAGTATTTCCCAAGTATAAAAATTACTTAAAGTTAAATACTTAGTTATTTCATTTTACTTAGGTTTAACTTATATTGTCATTTTGAGTTTTTTAATTGCTTAATTATGTAAATGAGTATTACAATTACTACAGTAAGTATTTCAATTTCTCTCCTTGCATTAGTAAATTCACCATAAATGAATTACTTAAAATTACTTAAAAATTATTCAGTAGTTCAAGATTATTTAATAAGTAATTTTTGACTTAAAATGAGTAGTACAATTTCTCAATATAAGGAAATCCAAGTAATAATTTTTAAGAGTGTATAAGTCATACGATTAATACTTGAAACCCAACTATTATTCAAACTTATGATCGGACTAAGTATGAAATGTACGTATAACAAGCATATATATCGATATCAGTGGAATATATTTATTAAAGTGGAACATTCTCAGTATACTCCGTTTCCGCATTTTCACATTTCACATTTTAAATCATTGTTATCCATGAGTAGGAAAAGCATAGGATATTCAATTTATTTAATGCTCGCTGTTGTATTGAATTTAGATAATTTGACCTATTGAAATATCTTCTGTATTCTAGCATCAATATTTATTTTCTGTAAACCATTAATTTTTGGTACTCACCCGTCTTTTTTAAGAAGTTTGGGATGAAATCTTGCAAATAATTATGTTTGAGAACCTAGCAGTCATGATATCACTTTCACTATGTCTATAATGTCACTACTATATGCTCTTGATAATTCAATGATTTTTGGTACGAATTTAGGTTTTCGGCCACCATGTTTTATTTATTTTTTATATATATTAAGCATCCATGGGATAAATGATAATTAATTTCAGATACATTGGGACAACACCGAGTACTTGAACGTGAGTCATTTTCAATGGGAAGGCTCGAGGGGAGGAGAAGGTACGTAAACTTTACAGTAAAGTATTGGAGATTTGGACTTTATCTGACCAATCATAGTTCATAGTTTTGTTTCAGAACACTCTAATAGTTTTTGTTGACACTTTACAGTGCTTGTAATCCAATTAAATTGTTGGAATTACACCAGAAAAAACGCTAAAAGTGCTTAAGTGGAAAGCGCTTTACAAAATCGCCATCTTGATTACATCAACAATTCTAAAGCGCCTTGAGAATTTTATTTTGGAATTACACCTGTTATTTCTAAAACGCTTTTCGTGCACTTTTAACGATGTAGCTATGGGGAATATCCAGCAGATTATTACATTCTTTTAGCATCTAAGAGAAAACGTCACCGAGACTTTTGCTAGTGATGTGAACTTACTTTCAATTTTTGAGATATAATTTGATGAATTATTGCATTTTTGGCTCCCATCCATCATTTCCCGTATTTTTGCGGTGGCCCAAATGTTTAGCATTCGAAATACGTCTTATTTCGTTTACGGCAAATGGTAAAAATCGGGGTAAGGCATTTTATAAAAACCAATCGGTATTACTACACACTCCAAAATGATTTAAGGCGTTTTAGTGACTAGGGTTCTAGGAGTTTTGGAAAAGCGCTTAAATTGTAAAACCATAATCGTGATCACACCTATTTTTCAAACCGGTGTAAAAGGGTAGGAGGTCCTATCAAATTATGGTCCTACTCTCAATTGATTTATATGGTGACCTAAATACAACTCTTTCCCTCATTATCTTATACGCAATCAGGCGTGTACAGACGATTGAATGATCTTTAAGCGTTTTTGAACCCTTTACGAGCTATCACGTTGAACTTAAACTATTGTATTACACGACCAGACGACGGAACTATTTTCTTGCTATTAACATTATTGGTATTCTAGCTATGATGTTGAACTCCGATATGGGGCTGCTGTTGGACCAAGAGCCAAATGAAGATGGCAGCGTCGACTGTGATTGGTCAGTTTGTCCATTTGCTTCGACCGTTGACATTCTGAACGAATACGCTTTCTTGAACAACGTCTGGATACGAGATTTCACAGGAGCGTTCCAGAAACTTATCGAAAACAAAAATTCTAATCTGGCTTTACCGACGCCTTAACATGTCAATTACGTTTGTCAAATATATGACCGTTTATAGATCATTGTAGCAATAATTTTGTCTGTTAGGCTAATTTATTTTTTACTGATTGATATTAGATATTTTATGCTTGTAGCACTGTTTTTCAGTTTTTTGTAATTTTTCTTGCCATCCTCTTGACTTGGGAAGTGTGTCAGTAATTTATGTTCATGTGGAACTGCCCAATGGGTTAACTTGAAATCCTTACCTCTACTGGCACTGACGGGTCGGTGGGGTATACAAGGGGATTACACCCCTTGGGATTTCATTTTTTCGCTCTTGGCTCTTATAGCTACAAGTCTTCATCGCCTGACATATTTCCTAAACGTATGGATTGGACCTTCAACCTATTCAGTGGATAGAAACGCGTCCAGTATTTTCGTCTGGTAAAACTGAAAATCCTGGACGCAGACCTCCATTTTTGATCCGGAGAGAGGTAGATGTAATTTTATTCGGTAGCCTGTGATCGTTTTACAGTGTATCCTTACCTGAAATATTCTCATCAGATTCCAAGTACATTGAGGAACATCCAGTTCTTATAAAATGACAGCTATCCATCTCGTTTTCTGTAATGTTGGGTTAAGCACAGAAATATTTTGATTTTTTTCAGGAAATACTCGAATCGAGTTATATTTCTTTTTATTTACCATTTCTTGTGTATGAACTAACAAAACAGCCTCCGATCTGCAAAGTTTAGCTTAAAAGTGATCGATAACAGAAAAGTGACGTGCATATCTTGTAAATGAAATGGTAAATAAAAAGAAATCTGACTCGATTCGTGTATTTCCTGGGAAAAACTCAAAATATTTCCGTGCTTAACCCCACATTACAAAAAATCTAGATGAATGACTGTCATTTTATGAGAATTGTGTGTTCCTAAATGTACTGGGAATCTGATGAGCCTGTTTCTAGATAAGGAAACACTGCAAAACGATCACAGGTACCCTGCGTGCAGAGTCTAGTTAAACTACTGATGCTCTCTTTTAAGAAGTGAAGTCAAACGAATGCAAAGGGTAGATCACAGGCTACCGAGTTAAATCACTCCTACCTCTCTGGATCAAAATTGGAGGTCTGCGTCCAGTATCTCGGTTCGTACCAGACGAAAATACTGGACGCGTTTCTTAATTATCCTCCTGCTATTTTTATATTTGAACACATTTCGATATTTGCTAGGTCCGCAGATTAACTCAATGGCTTCAAATGTAGAATCCAGAAGCTGGGTGAGTTCAGTATAGTTAATAACACAATGGGCAATACTTTGAATGGGTGAGTTCAATATAGTTTATAACACAATGGGCAATACTTTGAATGGGTGAGTTCAAGTGAGTGTTTTAGACATATTTCTTAGTAAAGAGCTTTTGGTATAAGTAATATTAATTGGAATACGTAATACATAAACCTTTACGTGTACAAGTCAGATGCAGCACTGGGGAGGAACTCTGGAAACAAAGATAGGGTTCGTGAGTTCCGGTATGAAAGAAATGATGGTCCCCCAGGCATTATGGTTCCCTTTCTTAACGGCCCTTACTGGCCCTGATTGCGTATAAGATACTGAGAGAAAGAGTTGTATTTAGGTCACCATATAAATCAATGGAGAGTAGGAGAGTAATTTGATAGGACCAACTAACCTTTTTACACCGGTTCCAAAATGTGATTACAATACAACTTAGAAATTAATTCCCTCCATTGCTGGAATATTCACAAATTAAATCTCTCGATTAGGAAATGAAGAAATTTTTTCTAATGAAATGTACTTTCCTGTTTCTTTGAGAAACCTTCCTTCCCAGTGGTGTTTGCGTCATTTAAAAGTTAAAGTTGCAGTGTAGGCCTAAATTTGGCTGAAAACTTATATCCGAAAGCTCATTAATATGCAAGCTTTAACTCTCTAATATTATCTGGCCTGATAATAATAAGAAAGTATTTGCGAATTTATAAATATTAATTTCAAATTACAATGACGCATGGTGGCACGTATCTAGATATTTTCTGATGTGAATCCCCCTTACACTGGTGATCCACTCGATTACGCTGGTTACCGAAACGATTCGTTTTGGTAACAAAATGTCGGAACGTCGAAGGTACGATTTTTCTCTTAATTATTTCACACGTTGTAGGCAGAATTCCCACGACATTTTTTAACACAAACGTGTATCAGTATCATATGTTTAAGAAAATGTACATAATGTGCGAACAAATAGTTCAGAAGACAAGAGAATCGTCGATTTAATTCTTCACTTAAGTTACATAAACGATTTCTCGAAAAACAGTTAAGATCTGCACTTTTAACCAAAACCGTTTATGTAACTTAAGTGAGGAATTAAATCGACGATTTTGTTGTCTTGAGCTATTTTTTCGCAAACATGAACATTTTCTAAAACATATGATACTGATATACGTTTGTGAGAAAAAAGTCGTGGGGATTCTGCCTACAACGTGTGAAATAAGGAAAAAAGAAAAATCATACCTTCGACGTTCCGACATTTTGTTTCGTTTTGGTAGCCAGCGTAATCGAGTGGATCACCAGTGCCTTAAGTCTGGTAAATTCCTCACCCTTTGCAGTCCTTTCGATCATTGCGAAAGATTTACACTTCAAAATTAGGGTTATTACGTTATGATCGAATATGAGTGAAAGTTAGCTTATATTACTGTGATTGATCAGATATAATTACATGGCAATGCATAATGAACTGTGATTTTTGTCAGATTTGATCACAATACTATTATGTATCAGGGCAATCATATTAATTATTAAAGTCGGGTTACTTTTGCAATGTGTTTATAATCATCACCCTGTCTATCCTAATATAACTGAATAAGGCCATCGGGTGCTTGTAATTTATTACACTAAAACCTGTATATCTGAACACCTTTCGAATCCGAACACCTCTTGAAGCAAACACTTGTTCTCTGTCCTAATTTTGTTATCTCTCATAGACTCAGATATTAAAACAACTTAAATTGTGAACAGCTGTTAATTCGAACACTTTCACCCGGTCCCAGAGGCATTCGATTTAAACAGGTGTTTACGCTACAGTAGTTATAATTTTAACAGATCCATCGTCAGCAGACGGTTGATCCAGTACAGGCCAGACATGGTCACGCCAAAAACTCATGCGCTCTGGGTAGAATGAATCTATAACCCGGACGTTGGCTAAAGGTGTAGTAATCTCCAGATATGAGGGATTCGCCTCTGTGAACGCTGGCCATGCGACGTCGTTCAAACTCCCCGGGCTCCTGAAATAACACATATGGTTGTTAAAATAAATAACTAGGCTACTTCATTGTTTCTTCTGTGAAGAACATTATGCAACTCATGTTGGTTAAAAGAACATTTAAATAAAACTATGAACTTGACTCATACCCTGTTTTCGCAAAGTTCGACCAAGTTCTCATCATTTCGTCACTTAGTAAGCGTTCTTCTGTTGTGACGAGATCTTCCATCGTGTATTTCGCCTTGCCAAATACAAAACCGACGTCATCAGCGTGAGTTGCGTAGATCCAGTTTGGCACGGTGGCCTCCCAGATGACTCTCTGATCTCGCGAGACAAATGGCGAGAAGTAGTAATTATAGACATTGCTTGAACCAGCGTTCCTAGAGTATAATCTTGCGTATCGGTCGTTATGTGCGATAAACTGAAAATCTGAAAGAAAGTCGATGTATCCCGCCGATCTAACTAAGCTGTCAACGTCTTCATCGAAATTAATATCATATTGTTGTTTTATAGCCGCCAAGACCTCAGTGCGTCGGGCAGGGTAGTTAAGGAATCGCATCCAATGTGCCGTCAGGTGGTCAAAATCGTCCGAATTAATCCCACGCTCCACCCAGCGTCTGATTCCAGGGATCATGATATACCACATGTGTCTATACGGCCATGACTCGTGATTTGTGATGCCTGTCATAAAATCTACTGGTTGAAACTGACCATTGGTGACGAGCGTAAGTGGGTCATCTGGTACAATGTTGCCATCAACTCTAGGCGCAAATACGCTCTGTGTGTCGTCACGGGTCGATTGCATATCTAGGTTTATTTTGAGAGATGTGTTAGTTACTTCCCAGGGATCCCTGCCTTTTAGACACGTAACCATGGCAGGGGAGTTATCTGGTGGACAGTTCATTTCAGTTGCAAGTGTCGCTGACAACTCTCGTAGGTAATCACGTGATTGGGCCCAGTACATGGTAGCGACTCCACTCTGGCTAATGGCTCTGTTAAACAAACCATTTGCGGCGGGTGACGTCATAAGGTATGTAACAGCAGCTCCACCTGCCGATTGTCCAAATATGGTAATTGAGTCAGGATTGCCTCCAAAGTTCCGGATGTTAGCTTTAGTCCATCGCAACGCTTCAATGATGTCCATGAGTCCGTAGTTACCAGGAGCAGTGTCATCCTCGGTGGAGAAGAACCCCATTACCCCTAGGCGGTAGTTGAAGCCGACAACCACAACGTTCTGATCTGCGGCCAAGTAACCACCAAACTGGAGAGGGTTCATTCCGGTGCCCAACTGGAACGCTCCACCATGGATATAGAACATGACGCTGAGGTTCAAATTTGATGGATCGACAGCGTCACCTGGCGTCCAGACGCTCAGATACAAACAATCTTCAGATATTTCAACTGGCACTCCATAATACGAATCGATGTCTCTCTGGTAGCAAATCACATTGAAATCTAAAGCATCTCTTACCCCAGTCCATGGATCCATGACTACAGGCGGCTGCCATCTTAAATCACCTACTGGTGGCTGTGCGTAAGGAATACCTGCCCATTCTGTAGCAGTCATGATATTCTCAACTCCCACAGTTGGGAACCAGCCAACGAAGTCCTCGACCTCCCCTCGAACCTGACCCAAAGTAGTGTTAACAACGACATATTCTTCCAACTGGCCCAAAGCGAGCCCTAAGAGAGCTGCTGCAAAAATTAACGACGTTGCCTTGTACATTTTTGGTTTGGGAATGATACAGTGTTGATAATTTTTCACAAGATAAGGGCAAGGCTTTGATAAGATCTCATAAATTAACGTTTTTTATCAGAAAATCTCTTATCAAGCCGGAATACAGTACATGTATTTGGCTCATACTAGTTCATTAAAGTGAACACTGAGTGAGGGAGGAATTGTTTAGCTAAGTAGTCAAATTCACTCTTTCTATCCATATTAGCCTTGCAGGATAGATCAGTTGTGGCGCGGTTACCCGGAAGCGGTTACTTGTCTCTTGAATATTTGCAAATGATGAATCAGTTGACTTAATCTGACCAATCACAGTCCATTAGTACAGAGTGTCCCATTTCAGTAATGAAGGAATATTTTTGAAATTTGGTCATCTGAAAGAAAAATTATATTAGTTTAGCTTATTAGCTAATTCTATGCAGTTTTGGAGAAACCCTTGTTTTAACATTATCGCCCACACCAATGTTTCATGTTTGGAATTACTATCATCTCTGCATCGGTATTGTGATGGTGGTCATTTAGATCATGCCATCTAAAATGACAAATTTTTCAGTATGCTATTTAGAAATTATGCTTTACTATCTTTATTCTGCCTAACTGGATTTTCCGGCCCCGGTGTATCTAAACAGTTTAATGCAAGTTGGGCACGATTAAAGCAGTTTTAATTACATTTAGATAAATATTTTGTTTTCAACATTAAAATATATTTCATAAATCGCGAAGGCTACAATTTCTGTTTAAATTTATGACATACGAGCAGACAGTTATATACACTTTTAGAGAAATCAATTATTTTGCCATGATGACTGGTCGTGTTCTTAAATGCCTCTTTTTGTATTTTGTCGTATTCTCTTTGGTCTTCGCTTTTTGTACTCATATATTCACATTTCTGTTCAATGGTTTTGATTCAATGCCAGCATCTGTTTCATTTCACATATTGTAAATTCATCTGTCAATTTAACTAGGCTGCGAAACCATTGAAATCAGGCTTCGCTCTCTCGTGCAGATATCAATATAACCTCGTAGATAAAAATGATATTCCTCAAAATCATAGGATATCCTATAATTATCCCATGGTTGCAAGGATATAGATCGAATATCACATATGTGCATCAAGATATTTTAGCGAAAAATCACTTTAAACTATCGAATATCAATTCTTAAAAGTGATATTCCATGGTTTGAAAAATGATATCCGATGGTTTGAAAAGTGTGATAATCTATGGTTTCGAATTTTTTCAAAAAAAAAATTATTACAGTTTTTAAATTGTTTTTCAAAAAAATTCCCAAATCTTTTAACATTTTTTAAAAAAAAATTTCAAAATCTTTTGTTCATGTTTTTTAAATGATTCATAGCTTTACGCTTCCTCTATACATATATATGATAGCTCTGCTTCCCTTTTATTTAAACCAATGAACAACTTTTGAACGATTAAATTAAAAGTTAACAATTTTAATATAGGATGTTTTGTTTCTTTTCATGTTTCCAATATATTCACATACGTACTGATACATGTACTTGTATTTACATTTAATATACATAGCACAATACTGGAACATTATACATATTGCACGTTTTTATACACTTTGAAGGGATATAAAAGAATCATATGGTATAGACGATAGACCCGGATTTAAAGAATCAGAGGGCTGTTAAAAATAATGATCATTGACAATTTTAAATTCCTTAGTATGGACAGGGGCTTCCAATTAGAAAGCCCATGGTATGGAATACCTAATAGGAAAATTTCGACAAGCCATAATTAGGATTGTACCAATGTTGCCATCTTTATATCGGCCCAAAACCTATATTTTCATCATTATTAGGCTTGTATTAGCTCATTAACCACATTTCTCAGCAATCTATTCACAAATGAATGTTCATGTACTCTAGTCCTATAGACACTAATTAGAGTTAATTATTCATGACCAGCAACAATCTGACCAACCAGAATTCATTATAATTGGTCACATGACCTAAATGACCAATCATAGTTAATTTTTCATACATTTTATTTTCCATATCCATTGTCCTAAACATATTTTCTTCACTATTATCATGACAGTTTTGTTGCAAATTGTGGCAGAGAGCGGATGTAATCGTCTAATTTGGTTTGGAAAAGTTCTGAAGTGATTTGTTGGCCAAGTTTGCACTCTGGATTTTTAATCACATTCTCCACATATATCTGAAAGTACATGACAGAAATGTTTATTAGGGATAATACAGTTGATGTCTTTTAGGGATATACTATTTATATTGTATACCTTTACAAATCATATAATGATATATGACCTTCTGAACATATATCTGAAAATACAAACATACAAAAATGCTTGTACAAGAGAGTGAAGTAATAGCTGACATCTGTGGACTATTCAAATTGTATACTGTACTCCCTGGATATTTTGAAATGATTTAATTTCACAAATTTCGAGAAATCACAATTTCGCTATTATTTTATTTCAGCAGATTTCACAACTTAAATTTCATAATTCTGATTCTGTGAATCCTCAAGTATTGTAAACTTAATATTCTCTAGACCCCCTGTACATTAATCAAGGTCATATAGGGTGAGCCACAAAGGTATCCCAAACAAATGTTAATAACTCAGTCATCCACCATTCGTTTGAAGTCATATTCTAGGCAATTAAACCTTGTTCAGTTATTCATTCTACTGAGTTTCATTGGTCTATTCCTCATAGTCGTGATTTTATGGCCATTTTACGAAACATGCTCCAAATGCCGAAACATACAAAATTGACCCAATATGAACTCCCAGAATTTTTGGAATATTCTTTTTCAGATATTTCAAAGATTATGTCTACATAAACAACCCTAGAAGCATCAGGGAGTTGAAATAAGAGATAAGAAGGAAAACAAGAGCCATTACACATTATCTGTGATTGGTAGTCAAAACAGCTTTACCTGATGTGTTAAAGTTTGTCTTCAGAGGTGAGACCAAAATTTTGAGCATGGTTTGTAAAATCGCCATAAAATTGCGACCATTTTAAATAGACTAATGAAACTTGATAGAACTAAAGAACATTGAACTAACTTTGACAGTGCCAAATATTACTTTAAACTGATGCTCAATTACTGATTTATTAACATTTGTTTGAGTTACCTTTTTTGGCTTACCCTGTATTTCCCTTGGATTTAATTGGGAAGTTTCGAGATGATTATTCTTCCTGATTTTACCAACATCATGAATTGTGCAAAATTAAATTACACGTGAAAATTAGATGGAAGTATGTCTTACATTACTGTAGATCTGCTGAATATTGTCTCTCATGTTTCCAGCGTTGATGTCTGTGTTTAGGATGAACTTTAGACCAGATGCAGTCTCATAGAAATGCAGCTTATATTTGCTGGTTCTGTAGCTCAGGAAACCATCCTTTCTAGGGAGTGTTAAGGAAATTTATAACAACTAATTCTCTATATGCACTGTGACTGGTTAGATAAAGTCATATGACCATGAATAATGAACTGTGATTGGTTAGATAAAGTCATATGACCATGAATAATGAACTGTGATTGGTTAGACAAAGTCATATGACCATGAATAATAAACTGTGATTGGTTAGATAAAGTCATATGACCATGAATAATGAACAGTGATTGGTTATTGTTTTTAAAAATGATTTTCTTATGAGTACAAAATTTTACACACCAATTTTTTGCACTGTGTTTGTACAAAGGATACAAATCTGTTGGAGAAAGTCGTGAGCAGAAAGACTTGATGGACAAAATCATTCCATACATCAATTTGAACTCCTGAAAACACAATTACAACAAATTTAATACTCTACTCAAAATAACTCACAAAATGTTTATAAATTAATGTAAATCATTTCAGGTAGTGTTAACAAGGTTATAGATGTTAGCTACGAGACATATTAGATGTAGCCTTGCCCATCTTTGTATAGCATTAAGGATGTTAGCTACAATACATATTACATGTAGCTTGGCCCATCTTTGTATAGCATTAAGGATGTTAGCTACAATACATATTACATGTAGCTTGGCCCATCTTTGTATAGCATTAAGGATGTTAGCTACAAGACATATTACATGTAGCTTGGCCCATCTTTGTATAGCATTAAGGATGTTAGCTACAATACATATTACATGTAGCTTGGCCCATCTTTGTATAGCAAGCATTAAGGATGTTAGCTACAAGACATATTACATGTAGCTTGGCCCATCTTTGTATAGCATTAAGGATGTTAGCTACAATACATGTAACTTGGCTCATCTTTGTATAGCATTAACAGTGCTTTCAGTAGGCTTGTCCAAAAGTGCTTCCCTGGGATGGATTGATTTTACAAAATCGCGTCCCCCCTCAAAAAAGTGCGTCCCCATGAAAAAGGGTTTCCGGGAATTCCAAGTCACATTTTTGCACTGAACGAAAAAAATTGATGAAAAGCTTGCATCAGTTTTGTTATTTTTTGGCCCAGATCAGTGTACTACACACGTCTAGTAGGTCATTAAATGATGCAGATACCTTCATTAGAAAGAGATAACTAATTTTCAACCATTAAATACAAGTTTTCTTCGCGTATTTCAAAGCAATTTGCTATTGATTTTGATCGCTCAGAGTTTCACTAGGAGCAATCTCCGTGAGGTTCCATTTTTTGGTTCAGTTTTTTGCGCATGCGCAGCAAATCCAGCAATTTGATTAGTTAAAATTATTAAGACGCATGCGCGATTAATAATCTCGGCCAATCATAGGACTCGTACCGATTACCGCTCGGAAATCAACTACTAGTGATTGTCCAATCACGTACCTCATACTATTTTGATCGGAAATCAACTTCCGGGAAAGAAACTCCGAAAGAAAATTCTATTTCTTTTAGAAATAGAATATCCTTCGTTTATTTAGCGGATTTTGAACAAATAAAAGACTGAAAGTAAGATCTTTATCAATACATTCATCCAGAGTTAATTTTTTTGATATGACCTGCACTGCGTCCAAGTGACCCCTCATTTTCATTGTTTGGGGTCCCTATAGTAAAAACCAGGTCCTCTCCATTATGGGACGGCGTTAATGAAAGCACAGATTAAGGATGTTAGCTACAAGACATATTACATGTAGCTTGGCCCATCTTTGTATAGCATTAAGGATGTTAGCTACAATACATGTAGCTTGGCCCATCTTTGTATAGCATTAAGTATGTTAGCTAAAAGACATACTACATGTAGCTTGGCCCATCTTTGTACATCAAGCATTAAGGATGTTAACTTTAAATGTACCTACCTCTTCTTTAGAAATGCCAGACTGGTTCCTTCTGTTCCACTCTGTGTAGTAAAGACATGTTCCATTGCGGTCAAATATGTAAAGGTTGAATATTGTCATCTTACTGCAAAATATACAAAATGATAATAGAAATATGTTGCTATAGACATGGAAAAGTCAGCTTATCATGTAGCTAAGGTGGGCCTTGAAATAGATTTGGCTCTAAAAACCCAAATTGAAAAAGAATTTGGAGCCAACATTCTTAAAAGTGATCAATGTATTCACATCTTCTGGATCGCTAACTAAGAATTTACAGCCAGTTACTAATGCCAGACGTTAACAACATTTCGTCCAGTTTTCTAATAAATCCATTTTTCTTGGAGCTGTTTGTTTTAATTTTAGATGAAATCCTGACGAAATCATGCAATATTTCATCAAGATCCCAGCTAGTTCCATTTCGATTCATGAAATATAACATGACTGTGTTTAGAATATTACTTAAATTTATTGAACTCCGGCTAGAAATTTTACCACAGACACAGGAACAAGAGTTCATCCCCCTCCAACTCACTTTTTTAACATTATACTGGGAGACTGTATCCTTCGTCTGAATAAATTCAGACTGAATATTATATTCAGTCTGTTGGATACATACATGCACTACAGTGACTGGGAGGATCTAAATCTTCCAAGGCCTGTGAATTTTGCAATAGTTCACGGTGTTCCAGATGGAATAGCTTCTAGCCAAGAATTGGCTAGAGACTCGCGTAAGAGTTGCATATCCTTCTCTTGAAAGCCCATGGTAGGTAGATCTAAGCTAAGTAAAATTTTAAATAAAATAAAAAATCAGAGTCAGGAAAAGAATTTTCTAAAAAAAATACATGAAGCCTTCTAAATTCTATGTTTAGCTTCAGTGTGCTACATAACCCCAATTACAACATAAATTATTTTGACATGCATGTCATCTTTATACATCTAATACACACCTTAAACATGAAAATTGTAGAAAATAATATTTTTACAAAATTTTTGGAGCCTAACAACACCGGAAGTACTTTAAGCTACTCAAGAATATAGTTCTCAAAGTAGCTCCATATCGATACTTAAATTGAGATGATTCCTACTACAAATCAGAAGAAAGATTTGTTGAATAAGTAAACGATATCAAATCAATATACTACATTGTTCTTGTTTTTGTGAACAATCAAGTTTCAAGGTGCGGCGTATAAATTTGGAACTATATAGACTCTGCGCATGCGTCTGAAATTTTGAAAATTTGAAAGTAAGAATATTATTTGTTTTTATTTGTTATTATACCTATTTTAACCTGTTTGGACTTTTGTAGACTTTAATCGAAGTAAGTTACAATGATCTTTTACAACAGTTTAGTGTGATTTATTTATTATTTTGTTGTTTTAGTTTTCGTTGTTGTAGAAATCTCAGTTCAGCAGGTTCAGAAAATTCTGAGTCAAAAATAACCAAGGACACAGTAAAGTTTACCATATTCTACATGTCTATGGCCACTGAGTGTGGCCATACAATATAAATAAGACACTCTTTGTTGTTTTGAATTTGCCTTAAATTGCCCAGCCGTCTTAGTTTTATTGATGTAAACATAAACTCACCTTCATTGATCTTTACACGTAGTCCTATTTCATAAATTGGTCTACTTCGCAGGATATTTAATCACAAAATAAAACTGAAGGAAATTTTTTCAAGCGGCCATCTTGACTAAATCGCTATAGCGGAAAAAAGCATGCTTTCAAAATGGAGAAGGAGACAACGTCTATTTTAAATGAAATCGTTCAATATCTCATCAATAAGATAAGCCGTTATCATTTCAATTCATGAAATATTAACAGAATGATTTTTAGAATATTACATAAATTCATTGAACGCCGGCTTAAGATTTTACAATAGTTCACGGTGTTCCAGACAGAAACACTTCCTAGCCAAGAATTGGCTAGAGACTCGAGTAAAGTAAAGTGGGGTGCAAAAATAAGCCTCAAACATCAAAAGTTGTCACAATGAGCTAAATTCAAAGTTTTGTGTCTCAAACTCTCCCAAACGGTAGAAAAATAATTCCCATTGACTTTAAGTACCACAATAAATGAATCCAAAGCTTCATGCCTGCAAATGATGGATGAATCCTTACCAAATCGAATGGATGTTTTCATGAATCGCCATGTTTGTGATCCAAGGAGGATTGACTCCCAGAATGCAACATCAGGTAACCTTATTCACTCGTGACATGCCGTTCCGCCATTTTGAAAGCTGACACATGTCATGTTGCATTCTGGGAGCCAATCCACTTTGCAGCGTAATCCGGCTCTAAAATCACCTCAACATTTGAAGAGTCGCCATTAACGTGTGAATTCCACTTCAAATTTTTAAGTTCTTATTTGTTATTATGGACACGAATTCCACTATATCTGGACTTACTAGGATGGAGAAAATAGAGCACTGAATACATTGAGGTAAGAATTTATTACATGTGCGACAGCTTGTAATTTCCATAGCTTTTGTAATTCTTTATGGTGAGCACTGTACTTTATTTGCTCAAAGCCATCTTTAGAGGGATGTCTTTCAAGAGACGGGTTTGTGCGAATAAAGTAAGACACGGTGAACAGAATTTCCTTCATATTATATTTAAATCTACAAATGCGAAATCTTTTCATCAAAAATATTGTTGTTTTTCAAATGGATAATAGTGGGGAACATAAAGAATTACTATACAGTGGGGGACATAAAGAATTGCTATAGCTATGAAAATTACATGCTGTCGCACATGTAATAAATTCTTCCCTCAGTGTATTCAGTTCTCTATTTTCTCCATCCTAGTAAGTCCAAATATAGTGGAATTTGTGTCCATAATGACAAATAAGAACTTAAAAAGTTGAAGTGGATATTCACATGTTAATGTTGACTCTTCAAATGTTGAGGTGATTTTGGAGCCCGATTACGCTGCAAGGGAGGATAAGCTCCCAGAATGCAACATGACACGTGCCAGCTTTCAAAATGCCGCTCCGCCATTTTTAAACCTGTCACGAGTAAATAAAGTTAACAACTGTTGCATTATGGGAGTCAATCTTCCTTGGATCACAAACATGGCGATTCATAAAAACATTCGTTCAATTTGGTAGAGATTTATCCATTATTTGCAGGTATGAAGCTTTGGATTCATTCATTGTGCTACTTAAAGTGTCCGGGAATTATTTTTCTACCACTTGGGAGAGTTTGAGACACGAAACATAGAATTTAGCTTATTGTGACAACTTTTGATGGTTGAGGTTTAGTTTTGTCCCCCACTTTAGCTATGAAAAATACATGCTATCGCACGTAACAAATTCTTACCTCAGTGTATTCAGTGCAAATATAGTGGAATTTGTGTCCATAATGACAAATAGAAACTTAAAAATTTGAAGTGGATATTCACATGTTAATGTGTGTTAATGCCGATTCTTCAAATATTGAGGTGATTTTGGAGCCCGATTACGCCGTTTACGCTTGGGAGAGTTTGAGACACAAAACTTAGAATTTAGCTCATTGTGACAACTTTTGATGGTTGAGGTTTTATTATTGTCTCCCACTTTACACATCTTTATCATGATTTTTAAGATAACACCCTAAAGGATCTAGAAAAACATATTTTTATACCTCAATCTTGCTATTTTGGCAAAATAATACTGCAAATGTAAGCACTACAAAATTTGTAAAATGATCTGCTCTGCCTTATGACCAATCACATTGTGGGACGCATGTGTATCCATGTAGAAATGAACTTTTACATGGATGATTTTTAATTTCAGTGGCGTCATTCGAAAGTGAGGTTCTGTCTGATGGAGATACTGAAGATCTTATAGATGGCGTTGAAGCACTCAGTGTAATCAGTAGTCTTCACTCAACTCCACGTGTAAGTTTTCAATTAAACAGAATCAAAAGGTTAACTAATGCATGCTGACTTATCATCAGTAGTCTTCACTCAACTCCACGTGTAAGTTTTCAATTAAACAGAATCAAAAGGTTAACTAATGCATGCTGACTTATCATCAGTAGTCTTCAGACTCTTCACTCAACTCCACGTGTAAGTTTTCAATTAAACAGAATCAAAAGGTTAACTAATGCATGCTGACTTATCATCAGTAGTCTTCACTCAACTCCACTGGTAAGTTTTCAATTAAACAGAATCAAAAGGTTAACTAATGCATGCTGACTTATCATCTTTTCTCACATTTTATTCTGAATTTGAATGGGGAAAATATATTAATATTGACATTGTAATGACCCAAAGGCACCCCGGGGGAATGACTAACTAATAGTCGTGTAAGAAGTCAGATACAGAAATTGAAAGAAAGTGTGCTGAATTCAATGGGGACAGCATCTTTCTATTCAATCGAGGATGGGCCATGCAACCGAAGGTAGCCATGCAACCGAATTTTGCCGATTCAATCTGACGGAGAATGCCGAGCCTCTCTTTTTGACCAATTGGAGATGTCCTCTTCACATTCATTGCACCCTCAGCCAACTTGGTTTGTAAATAAAATCCTAGGTAGTTTCCGGCTTTTCTTGAGGTATCTTCGGTTGCAAGCCAAAAGTCAACACCCAAATTCAAAGCCCCTTTGTGGAAATCAAGATTGATTTCATTAGTTAACTTCATTTAGGAGTTCCTTATTTATCATGGTCAACTGAATCTAGGTAACAGTTTTTTGTAGTTTATTAAAACGTTCACTTATCTTGAGCCTTGAGTCAATTCTATAATCAAATCTGTACAATGAAATATTTTTTAAGTCCACTCGTGCTATTGACATATTTCATTTTCTTTAATTTTTAGTTTAGTCCGAACGCCTCACCATCCCAGAAACTGACATCGCCTGGCAGAAAGTATACACAGGGACTCAAACAACCTCAGAGCTACGACGGTTATACCAGATCTCAACCAGGACTGTCTAATCAATCAACATTAACTACTGGGCGAATACCAGACAGGACTAGTCAATCAGCTCCTAACAGCCCTGCCGTTAACACACAACAACTTGTTGAAGAGATCAAAAGAAAAGTTGCGGCATCAGAAATTACACTTAATAAATATCAGGTGATTTTAGACTTCTTTTTTATGCCAAATATTATGGATCTGGTTAAACTGCAGCTATTTCCATATTATTGTTAAAATTACATTTTTGCATAATTTTGCCAATTTTTTGTTGAAATTACAATTTTGAATAATTTTGCCTATTTCCATGTTGAAATTATAATTTTCAAAAGATTTGCCCATTTCCATGTTAAAATCAGATTTTTGAATAACTTTACCCATTTCCATGCTAAAATTACATTTTTGAATAATTTTGCCCATTTCCATGTTAAAATTACAATTTTGAATAATTTTGCCCATTTTCATGTTAGAATTACAATTTTGAATAATTTTGTCCATTTCCATGTTAGAATTACAAATTTGAATAATTTTGGTGTTTATGCATGTTGCCAGAATTCCTGATGCATGGAACTCTGAAGACCGTTGAGATCTGTGTGTTTATATTTTCCTTCATAATAGTGGCCCATGGTCATTTATTTAGTAGTTGATTACTGAAGGGAATCATTAGAGTTCTTCCTAACTTTCAAATTGTCAGAGAGTTAGCTTAGAATTGGTTAGCATTATTTCATAAGAGTTCTTCCTAACTTTCACATTCTAAGATTGTCTAGTGTGGAATAAAATGAATTTCTTCATTTGCAGACTGCAGGAACACCAGGTACAAGAACTCAGTTGTTTCCAGATTCCTGTCCTTCTAGAAAGTATGGCAGTTACCCAGATGTCTCATCTAAGATAACTCATGGTTCTGAAGTATCCTCTGCTCACATGAAACAAAGTATGCTTGGACCATCTGGAGCTCCTTTGGGTAAACCACCAATCAGCCAATCACAAGCAATCCCTATGTCACATGATATTTCCCAGAGACATGTACCATCACAACATGGAATTGAAGATGATGATATTGAAAATAAAATAATGACGACTCCATCGAGAGCAAAGCCTCGATTATTGGATGAGAAATACTCAAGAGATGATAACTATGGCAACAAAGATGAATTTCTGGTGGAAAAATCCGAAAAACAGCAAGTTAATTACGCTCAACAGGTTTATGAAGATGCTTTGCAAAGGGACAGAGAAAATGAAGAAAAATTGGAAATTTATCAGGAAGAATTATTGTCGCCAAGAAACAAAGATGACATTGATACAGGGATGTCCAAACAAGCAATGTCATCTGAGAATTCTACAATTAATAAAAAAGTCAGATCACCTCATACAACAAAACTGTCCAGATATCAAAATAATGAAGCAAAACAACAACAGAACACCCAAAAGACTCAAAAGTTCACTGAAGACATATCAAAATACACCAAAGACACATCAAAATTCACTAGTGACACATCAAAGTACACCAGTGACACTTCAAAATACACTAGTGACACATCAAAATACACTAGTGACACTTCAAATACATACCATAGTTTTGAGGGCTCATTTAACATGGACACAAATTCTCTCCAAAATTATCCATCAAGCAGAATGCAAAAACGTCAGGATCAAAACAACAAAATTGACAGTAATTCAAAACCTCATTTAGCTCCTCAGAGCCAAAAATCACCTCCTTGGAATAAAGATATTTTACCTCTACAGAGTAGGACAAAATCAGATCTCAAAGTGTCTAATACAGAATTTAAACCTTTAAACTCAAATCAGAGGCTGTCTAGTAACTCAAGTTACTCTTCACCTGTCATAAGAGACACCAATTGTCAATCTGATTCAGAAACAAGCAGATATGCTTTCACTGGAGGGCCTTATGTAGGTCTAGAGGGTCTGGCATCTTCTCCAGGGTTAATGGCTGCAGCAGAAACCATAAAAAAGGATAGTTTTTCCTCAATGCACTCCAAGGTTAGTTATTATTATGGCATATTGTTATAGTCTCCAACTTTTTGTGGATGGTGTTTGGCAGTCAGCGTTCAGCACCTGTAACAAATGGCAGGTAGTGACATTTTGCAGGTTTATGCCATGAAATAGTGACATTGTGATATCATTCAGTGTTTTGCATTTGGTGTCTCTCTGTCACACTTTTGTAATCAATGAAGACATGTTGTCAATGTCTTGTTTCAATACGTAACATTTCTCAAATATTTAGACTTTCTTTTTTATTACACATAGCAACATTTGTAAAATTCCTGCTTTATTCTTATTTTTGGAGGAGTTTATAGTTATGATTTGAGCCATAACAAGTACGTTGTTATTCATTCTTAATTATGATGTCTTCTGCATTCATTGCAATGCATTATGGGACTTTCAGGACACAAGTGGGGTCACCAGCTTTGATATCAAGGAAATGGAACATGTACGAGGACATATACAGTCCATGTTAAATTCTCAGCCTGGGGGCAAGAGGACAGGTATGCACTTTATATATATTTGGTATTGGAGTAATGTACTTGATACATGCCATATTAGGGCACTATACAGAAATATTTTCTTGGCTTTTCTAAAGTTGGAGTAACCATGAAATTTACCTTGAACCCCATTGGCAAACCATACTGCCTGAGCCCTATTGGTAAGCCATACTTCCCAGAGCCCTATTGGCAAGTTATAACACTACAAAGTATAATAAAACAGTGACAGTTAATTCTTAATGTTATTTACTATTACTTATTAGTATATTGAAATTCTTTTTCAGGTAAATCTGATTTTGATCACACTAATGATGTAGAATCTCTGTTAGCTGGTGGAGCAGAGACTGTGACTGGACAGAAAGATGAATCATTTGGGAGTATAGTATCTTCTACCATATTAGGGTAGGTCCATATCTGTAATTCCACATGTACAATGATTCAAAAACATGAACTGAAAATTATTGCTAAGGGCTATTGTAAAAAAGTCAATTCTACCCAACAATGCAATTAAGGACCACCAAAGTTGTACTAAATTCACTTAGGTTTCTGTATTACTTTTTTACAAAATATTTATTGCATTATTTCCTTTTGTTTTCAGCTCTAAGAATCTCATGGATTCATCACCTACCTATGGTCGCTATAGCGATAATCTGCTTTATACTGAAAACCAACAATTGAGGGAAAGTTTAGAAAAAGAAAAATACAGAAGAAGAGTAAGTGCTTTTCAGTTGCATCATGGGAAATGTCTTTTCAGTGGTATTATGGGACATTCTTAGTTTGTATTATTGCCACAACTCATCCATTTGTTGCATTATGGGATATGTCTTATGTTTAGTCTATTGCATGATGGGATATATCTTCTGCTTTATCAGTTGCATTATGGGATATCTCTTTTTTAAGAAGTTGCATTGTGCAATATATCTTCTGCTGAACCAGATGCATTATGGGATATTTCATTGCAGCACTGTGAGAAGCAGATACAGCAGCTACAAGCCAAGATGTTGGAGGTGCAGCAACAGCTGGCTGTTGCCGTGTCAACAGACAAGAGGAAGGACAGCATGATAGAGCAGCTTGATAAGGTAGGTGTTCATTAACAACTTATAAAATGTTGAATCTGCTTTGTCATTGGCTTTATGGGATACAAAGACAAAAAGAAAGTACTGCTTTTAATAGAATAGCTTCATGTTGATACCTAGCTTAGTGATGTCACCATCTGTTTTCAAAATGGTCTTCATTTGGAACATGCCATATTCTCTCTTAAAGGACAACTGAAATAGCTTTTCTCAACTTGCAGCTACAAAAATGCGGGTTTCTCCATTGTAAGCCCAACGTAGAGTTCTTGCGATAGCCATTATAAAATAAATGTTAGATAACTGCTAACGGTCATAAATAACGAAATAAAACTAACTGATCAATCAAATTGGCCCCCACGTGATAAGTAACGTCATATACAAAATATAGCTTTGGTTTATTGGTTCCTTAGTAATCACAACGTCACGGCAACCATAGGATTGTAGTGTAAACCAAAACAAAACATTTTGGCATTATGACGTTATGGGCCACGTGGGGACCAGTGAGATATCACGTGGGGGCCAATAACGTCACAACCAATTCGAATATTGCTTATTAAGCAGCTATAACGATCGTTAGAGTGAAATAGTTTTCGCACTACTGATGAGAAAACATGTCTAAATACATTTATCAAAAAATTATATTGATTTCTTTAGGTTAAAAATACCATTTCATATCTGCTTTAAAGGGCACAATGGGCTCTTAGAGTTAACTTTATTGAATTATTGAGACCGCTCATCGAGAAAAATAGTATTGCTAATCGGTGGAATTCAATACATGCCGTGTTTTAACTTCTTTTAAGTAGTTTTCACTATACTATAAATATTCTATGGCTTCTGTGTTACTTTCTTTGCAATCAAATGAAATCAAAAAATCTGCAAGCCCTGCTGAAAAAGGAGTAAAATCATGTTTAAAGATAAGCTAATTTTCAATTTTCCTGAGATTATATTCAACATATTATATGCACCCTTGGTATACGCAGCTAACGAAAATTGACCGGTACGGGTCAAAAGCTGGACCGGTACGGGTTAACGGTTTTATTTGAATTTAAAACAGCCATAACTTGCTCAATATTGACTTCCTCGTGTCTAATTTGAAATATATGATGCCCCCCGATGCTTTTAAGTACCCCAATTTTTTACAGATTTTTAAACGGACCAAAACTCTCTAAATGCGCATTTATGCTCTTTTCTCTCGAGAACGACTGTCTCATTTTCACGATAACTTTTATTTAGTACTTCTAACATATAAGATCTATTTTTCCCCATCAAGGTATGATGTAAATGACATGCTATTTACATCTTGTGAGTTTCAATGACGCGCGTTTGATTTTATATAAAATGCCAAACTTTGTGACAAAGAATTTCATCCTGCTTGCAGCGAGGAGACGGACCGGTTCGGGGCAATAGCATGAACATAATTTAGGAATCTTTATACATGTGTGTTACACCTGGCATTTTTTATAAAATCAAAGGCGCGTCATTGAAACTAACAAGATGTAAATAGCATGTCATTTTTATCATACCTTGATGGGGAAAAATAGAAGTACTAAATAAAAGTTATCCTGAAAATGAGACAGAGAAAAGAGCGTAAATGCGCATTTAGAGAGTTTTGGTCCGTTTAAAAATCTGTAAAAAATTGGGGTACTTAAAAGCATCGGGAGGCATCATATATTTCAAATAAGACACGAGGAAGTCAATATTGAGCAAGTTATGGCTGTTTTAAATTCAAATAAAACCGTTAACCCGTACCGGTCCAGCTTTTGACCCATACCGGTCAATTTTCGTTAGCTGCGTATACCAAGGGTGATATGTGTGATCTTTGGTTAATGTGCAGTCTTAAGAGAGAATATTGTTTAAATGTATTTTCTGTATATGGTTTTTAGACATTGGCGAAAGTTGTCGAAGGATGGAAACGTCATGAAGCGGAGAAACAGGAAATGATAGAAAAATTAAATGCTGAAAAGAAATTAGCAGAGCAAGTCCAGAAAGATCACCAGAAGGTAAAACAAATAAAGATATTTCAGCAATTAATGACTAATTGCTATATTTTCAGCAATTAATGACTAATTGCTATATTTTCAGCAATTAATGACTAATTGCTATATTTTCAGCTATTAATGACTAATTGCTATATTTTCAGCAATTAATGACTATTTGCTACATTTTCAGCAATTAATGACTCATTGCTATATTTTCAGCTATTAATGACTAATTGCTACATTTTCAGCAATTAATGACTAATTGCTATATTTTCAGCAATTAATGACTAATTGCTATATTTTCAGCAATTAATGACTAATTGCTATATTTTCAGCAATTAATGACTAATTGCTATGTTTTCAGCAATTAATGACTAATTGCTATGTTTTCAGCAATTAATGACTAATTGCTATGTTTTCAGATGGTCAAAGGTTTTGAGGAAGAAGTAGCAAATGCAATGAGACAAGTTGCAGCAGAACGGGAGAAAATGTCCCACATTGAGCAGGAAAAACAGTCCTATGTAAGTACAGTATACAAAAGCAGAAAATGTCCCACATTGCACAAGAAAAACAGGAAAACTGCCCAATGGCAGGAAAATTAAGTTTCTCTTAACTTCACAATTAATGCATATATGATTTGATATTTTTGAAAGAAGAAAGACTAAACCTTCATCATTTATTTCAGATTGAAAAGCTTGACCAAGAACGTGGTCAGTTAGTCACATTGCTTGAGTCTGAACAGGAGCGGATACGTCGTATCGAGGCAGAGAGAGATCGGGCACAAGATGGCCGCCAACACCTTGAGAAGCAAACGGAAAGTTTGCAGACGACTTTGAACCAGGTAACTACCACTAGAAGGCGTCATTATGGTCATTCTTTTATTTTCTCATGTTGTGAAATTATTTTGCAATATAAGTAAGTTTCATGAATCAAATCAGAACAAATATAACTAAATTTAGGCAACTTCTGTCATAGTTTATTGTTGCGGAAGAACTTTCAAAAACTGGCATGGCGTGAGAATACATCAAGGCAAAACGAAGTGCTCACCAATTCCAACACAACGCAGAGAGGTGAATACCCCTCGTGAGACGAGAGACAACCCAGACCCGGTAAACAACCACAGTGTCCAGGTAGTCCCTGTAGAGGAAGAGGTGACCACTAGAGTGCAGGAAGTAGCAGTGCAAGCACCAGTTGTAGAAAGAAAGCCAAAGCTTAAGCTACCACCAGCATCAAGTTCTGAGTGGAAAAACCTGGATACTGACTTGGAGCAAATTCTCAACAATACCTTGAAGGGAGATGCCAAGAGGAAAGTCAAGGTGATGACAATCATAGTATATGACATATGCATGGACAGATTTGGACTTGAAGAAAGGGTCGATGGAGTTCAGAGTGAGAGAGGGCCCAGCAGAAGACAGATGGAAATAGGCAACATCCGGAAAGACCTTAGAAGATTAAAGAAAGCCTATCTCAAAGCTAGCCATTTCGAGAAAGAAGGTCTTAGGCGTTTGAGAGATGACTTAAGACGAAGACTTTTGCTTCTCAGGAAAGCTGACAACTTGAGGAAGAAGAGGTCTGAAAAGAGGAAAGTTAGGAGTAAGTTCTTCAAGAGCCCTTTCCAGTTTGTTGGCGATCTCTTAGGTAAACCAAAATCTGGAAACTTGCAATGCACCAAAGAAGAAATGAATGCAAGTGTGAAAGCAGCCCATACAGATCCAAGACGAAATGAGCCCTTGACAGACAAACCCAACATTTCACCTGCCCCTTTACCTGAACACCAGTTTGACACAACACAAATCAAGCTGACTGAAGTCCAACAAGTCATAAAGAAAGGCAGATCTGGCTCAGCACCTGGTCCAAGTGGGCTAACCTATAAGATCTACAAGAACTGCCCATTACTGACCCTACGACTTTCAAGACTCATGCAGGTTTTATGGACAAAGAAAGAAATCCCTGATTCATGGCTGATAGCAGAGGGCTGCTTTGTTCCCAAGGAAGAGAATTCAAGTTCTCTCGACCATTTTCGAGAAATCTCCCTACTAAGTGTTGAAGGCAAGATCTTCTGGGCTATAATAGCCAAACGATTCACCAACTTTTTCATGAAGAACAAGTATGTCGACACTTCTGTTCAAAAGGGCGGAATTACAGGCTTTTCCGGCTGCGTTGAGCATACAGCAGCTATTACCAAGCTGATTGGGGAAGCCAAGAAAGAGAAGAAAGATCTCTCTGTTGTATGGTTGGATCTAGCCAAGGCCTATCCTAGTGTGCCCCATCAGCTGATTTATACTGCTCTTGAACATTATCATATACCACCTGACGTAACAACACTGGTTAAACTACACCTTGGAGGACTACATATGCGGTTTTCTGCAGGTGACATCACGTCTGACTGGCAACGCCTTGAGAAGGGCATCATGGCTGGTTGTTCTGTGTCAGTGATCTTGTTTGTTGCAGCCATGAATATCTTGCTTACTGATGCAGCAAAGGAATGCAGGGGTCCAGTAGCATCTGGTGGAACACGCCATCCACCTTGCAGAGCTTTCATGGACGACATAACAGCCATGACATGCCAAGAAATTGGGATGAGATGGGTTCTTTCTCGTTTGGAAGAACTTGCTACTTGGGGTAGATTAACATTCAAGCCCAAGAAATCTAGAAGCCTTATCTTGAAGAAAGGTAAAATAGTAGACAGCAAGTTTACAATGCAGGGAGAGACCATTCCTACTATCAACGAGAATCCTATCAAATGCCTTGGGAAATGGTTTGACCACAACCTGAACGACAAGACACACATAGCAGATACATTATGCCAACTTATAACCTGGATGAAAACTATCGACAAGACTTCACTACCTGGAAAGCTTAAGATCTGGTGCTTCCAGTACGGAGTCATCCCTAGGTTGAATTGGCCATTCACAATGTATGACTTCTCCATGACGGCAATTGAAGCTTTAGAAAGGACCGCCAGCAAATTTCTTCGGAAATGGAAAGGAGTCCCTAAGTCATTTAGTGCAGTCAACCTTTATAGCACTTCATCTCCAGCTGCAATCCCCACCTCCTCCATAGTCGAAGAGTTTAAGGTGACAAAAGTACGAACAGCAATGCTTCTTAGAGATTCAAAAGATCCAACAGCTAGATCAACGGAAGCGACAACATCAAGAACGAGGAAATGGTCTGCCCAGACAGCAATCACCAATGCAGAAGGCAGACTCAGGCAGAGCGATATTGTAGGAACAGTTGCAGAAGGACGAAGAGGACTTGGGAGTTATGGGAGAGTCCCATGGTCAAAAGCAGATGCAAGAGAGAAAAGGAAGATGGTCACTGGTGAAATAAGGAAATCTGAGGAGGAGTCAAGATTAGTCAAGGCCACTGGAATGGCCAAGCAGGGGGCATGGCTCAACTGGGAGGCAGTAGTGGGCAGAAGGCTAACTGGGAAAGATCTGTTACAGACATCTGAGACATCTCTAGCCTTTCTCCTTAAATCTCTCAGTGACACACTTCCCACACCATGTAATCTTTCATTGTGGGGTATGATCGAAGACCCGACGTGTACTCTTTGCAAAGATCAGCCTGCTTCTCTAAAGCATATCCTGAGCTCATGTAATGTTGCACTAGGAGAACACCGCTACACTTGGAGGCATGACCAGGTTCTGAGAGAAATAGTCAGACAAATAGACAACATTATTACTTGCAAAGCCAGCCCACAAGTAAAGGAGACAGCACAATGGACGTCTTTCCTAAGAGAAGGTGAGAGTAAAGGACCCCAACAACAGAAGCCAATCAAGTTACCAAGAATCCTTCAGACTGCAACTGACTGGAAAATCGGAGTTGATTTGGGCAAGAAGTTAGTATTCCCCCAAGAGATAGCTACCACCACACTAAGACCAGATATTGTCATTACATCAGACAACAGGAGGTGTGTTATCTTAGTAGAACTTACTGTCCCATGGGAAGAAAGGATGGAGATTTCCCACGAGATAAAACAATCAAAATATGAGGACATCATCACAGAGGCAACGCAGAACGGTTGGAAAGCCCACAGCTTTCCTGTGGAAGTAGGATGTAGAGGATTTGCCGGGAAGTCAGTGACTTGGATGCTGAAATCCCTTGGAATGCCATCTACCAAGAGGAAAAGAGCAAGTACAGAAATCGGAGCAGTAGCAGAGAGATGCTCCAGATGGATATGGTTGCGAAGCAGTGCTGCATGGTTGCCTCATTAATTCGACATCTTGTTTCTACCACTCTAGCTTGTTCTCTGTGCATGCGTTGTGTCTCATTATGGTTTCCATAATGGGCGGGAGTTAACAGCAGAAGACGCTTACGGATCCACCCGGTCTTGCACAGTGCATGCATTGAGACTCGAGAAGCTACAGAGTGAGTAAGGAACAAAGTGGGGTAACAGCGCATGAGCGTTTAATTCAACATAAGAGAAGTTTTGATTGAACTAATTCTGCCTATAATGAGTGAACATACCAGATTTTCAAAAACAAAAATTTCAGGAACGAGCCGGTTGGGCAGAAAAGGAGAAAGAATTTGTCTCGAAGATAGATGAGATTACTACTATGCAGATACAAGTCCTCAAGAAAGAACAGGTAAAAATAGTTTTGTTTTGTCCTTTTGATCCATGGTCCAGGTAGCCCTTTGGAACAGTTAAATGCTCTAAGTCCAGGTATATGCCCTTTAGTTGAGTGGAAAATGTGGCAAGGTGAAAACTTACTGTCGGCACTCTGAGTTTTTTTCGAATTGATTAATTAAATGTTTGAAACAAAACTTATGACCACGGCATTTTGGGAAAATCCGAATCACAGTTCATTAAAACCATTTTATTCAGAGTGAAATTCTTAAAGCAATCAAATCAAAATAGCTTACTTTCTGCATCTTAAGTTTTTGGCTTCTGGCAACAATAATTGTGTCACTTGCTCCGTTGATGTATCATGATATGTCACCTGCACCATTGGTGCATTATGGGATATGTCTGTCCATTTATGCATGATGGGATAAATTGTCAACTGCTCCATTTGGTGCATTATGGGATTTGTCATTTTTAAAGGACAGGGTTGATGAACAGCAAAGGGCATCAGATGAAAGTAAACAGCAGTTAGCTGCAGTTCAGAATCAGTACAGACAGCTGCAAGTGGACTTTGATAGTCTCAGCAGAGATAAGGTAAGATCCCATGTTTGATACTCTCAGCAGAGATAAGGTAAGATCCCATGTTTATATCATCTAAGCTTTGGCAAATTCAACCCAAATCAAGTCTTCGCTAGAAATGGAAATCCTTGAGTGGCAAATCAATTAGTTTTCAAGAAAGTCTTAAAAAGTGTAGCAATATAGCATCCTATCTGTTTGTAAAATGAGAGAATTAAGTTCAAATTTTATATGCTGATGCTTAGAGTTAAAGGGGTTCTGCTCAAGAAGAAATGTAATCTTTTATAAACCAAATAACAATGGACCAATTTGGTTCAAATTTTATATGCTGATGCTTCAAGATAAATGAGTTCGGGTCAAGAAGAAATTGGAAGGAATTTTTATTTTAGAACCTTTTACTATTGATTTCTTAATATATGCAATAGTTGTGCAATGCAATGATATTATATGAGCATCAATTTTTTGACAACATTTTAAAGTACTTGAATATTTTCAGGAGAGTTTAAAGGTTGAGCTTGGCTTAATGGATGCAAGGTTGAAAAGCAGCAAGAGGAAACTTGAGATGGATATGAAAGCCCAACTTGAGAAAGAGGTATTTTATATAAGTTAATCATTTGCTGGCCATCTGCTTGAAGTCTTATCTGTTCATGCTTCTTTCGTGTTTTTTGTTTCTGAGAATTAGAAAGATTCTCTGATTTTCTTCTATTTTTGTACGATTTAATGCATTGCTCTCATACCTCTTTACTTTATTTCTTGTTCAGTTGCTACAGTTTTATATATTTTTGCATTTGAAAACAGTTCATCTAACATACATTCTGTTGAAAAATTTGAAGTTCATGTCATGGTTCTTCCGAACATCCCATAATGCATTGTAGATTTCCCAAAAGTTAGAAGATGCTCACCAAAAGATGGCAGCAGTTGAGGCAGACCTACAGGAAGTCCACAGGAAACACGTCGTAGAATTAACGCAGCGTCATAGTCGAGAAATGGAATCTCAGCTCCAACAGTTCCATGAAGAGATGAGACGCAAAGATGCCCATATTAGGCAACAAATTCAGCAGTATGATGACAGGTTAGTACATATAGGCTCCTGTCCTATCAAAACTTAAGGAAACCTTTCAAATTATTTCTCATACCAAATGATAACCCAAGAAATCGTTATTTTCATGATTCCTCCAATGAATAGATTTGATTTTGGAAAGTATACAATGGTTCTCTAAATGGATATACTTAAAGAGGGACATGGGATATAAATAGGAAGCAGATTAATGGAACATCCAAAATAAAAATTTCCACAGAGCTGGTCGATTTTCTCAAATTTCATATTGATTGAGAAAATGTATTGCTTCAAATTGTTTGGTTGTGATATGACATTTAAAAAGAGAAATAACATTTTTCAAATTGAAAAGTCCCCAAGATTAGCCAATCAAAATTGAGTATATAGCAGTGCTGTTACTTACTTATCCTGGGTTTCTATACCATGTTAAAGTATGGGTGTACCCTGATATTTTAATGAGAGTTGCTAGCAAGTTTAAAACCGGCCTTTAAAGTTTACATATTCTCCTGATTCTTCCCGTGAATGGATTCAATACATAAAATATGAAGTTTTTGAGAATATTTATATTTCAGATTAACTGAATCTCTGGCTGAAATTTCCTCATTAAAAGCTCAAAACAGACAGATAGACATGCAGAAGAGAAATATAGCAGCAAAACTACAGAATCTGATGCACTCCCATGTTAATGAAGCCATGTTGCTATTAGGTGCAACTGATTCTCCAGTAAGTAAACTGTTGTTGAGATATCATCATTATCCCATGATATTTTCTGATAGGGATATTGAAGCCCCTCATCTGAAAGGTCTTCGGATCGTCATCTTATGAGATCTTAATAACTTAGATGCAAGTAGGTAGTTACCAGTTTCACCACCAGGCGATTAATTCAGGTCAGATAGCATGGCGGGAATAGTAGAGTTCCCTTTCACTTGAATATTCATCAGTTCAGTGCATCAACTTTCATATCACTCATATGTATCTAATAAAATATCTCCAGTAAAAGAAAATATCTGTCCAATACAAGAAAAGATATTTCCCTTTTTGTGATTTTGTAACATGGGGTCTATGGGGAATCTCCTCGAACTAGAATACACATTTTCAAAAAAAATTGAATGTTAATAAACAATTTTTGAAACCACATTTCAAGATGTATTTTTACACATAGATTTCAAATATGACATCACATTGACTGATTATTTAATTACGTAAATCAAGATTATTTCTACTTGCATCTAGTCTGTTGAGTCTAGTTTTATTACACTTAATTCACTCAATTATTCTAGGATCGTGGTCAGGTTCTTGGTGGCGGGGCTCCAGTTTACACAAGTCCTGGTAGAGAAAGCAACCTTGACTCCGTAAGTGTCCATAGCAACAGGCCCATTGTGACATCAAATAGCAATATTGTCACATCTCAAAGCCGCATTGTGACATCACAGATAAATAACCAATCACAAATGACCACAGGAGCTTCTCTCAATGTCCCAGGTGTAAATGGGGACCACATGGCCAGATTCCTGCAGAGGTAAACTACACAATAATTTGCTTTCGAGAAATTCCTGCATTTGATTTAGATATGAACTTTTAACTTTGGCAAGAATCTGAGTCTGTTCATGCATTGCAAAACGATTTGAATACTTTTAATTCAGATTTTCATTGTAAGGAGAGTAAACAGGTTTTTCTTCCCACAGGTTTAGTAATTGTATTTCTACACCAGACCTATTTCTCTTCATTTTGAGGACAGTATAGATGTATATAGCTTTCCACTGATTCCATTCTATTAATGAACATGCATTTACTTTAACATGAAGATCAAATGTATTGTATTTCAGTCTACCAGAGCAACCAAGAGGGGTTGGAGTTGGTAGCATGCACCCCAGGAACAATCCTGTTCATACACAGTATGGTAATGGAGATGGCTCTGATGTTGCCATGACAACATCGATGTCAGCCAGTCAAAATCAAGGACAAAGACTCTCATCCAATCAGGTTCAAGGTCATCTTCTTCCATCCAATCAAATGCAAGGTCAAAAACTACCAACAAATCAAAACCAAGGTCAAATACCAGCCAGTGCTTATCATTCACAAGGCACAGGAGACAGATCTCAAGCTGAAGCACAAAGATCAAACAATACTTGGGTCAATAATTATACTACAACCCCCATGAACTCGAGCCTAATAGCAAATAATGCCAACATTCCAAGTGGTGATGGATCAGAAATTGGAAACCTCCCATCAGCAAGATCTCAATCATCTCAACTTAATATGAACTCTAGTTATAACCAACTAAGAAATACTTCCAGAACTCAACATAACACAGTGACATCACAGAGGGCCAGTGATGGAAGTTATAATCAACATGTGGTTGGTCATGACAAGATGGCCGCCACCACCAACAGAAATGTTCAAGGTCATACAAATTATTCAGGAGCTCAGTTACTTCATACTCCTAATATACAGAACAGTCAGGCATATTTGTATAATACAAATACTCAACAGCATAGAAGTCATATTGGAGGTCAAGGTCAAGACACTTTCAAGCCTCTTCTACAAGAGAGCGACTGTAGCAACAGTGAGTAGATTCCGAAATTCTATATTCAATCCATAATATTTTTGTTTGAAACATTTAAACATTGATTAGCCGTGGTAATAATTAACATTTTCGCAATTATTTATACTTCAGTTGATGGCAAAAGTGATACTGGTGACATACCTCCAGGTGTCAGCACAGGTCCCATCAGTGAGACATCTTCCATACATGACAACACACTTACAGAGCAGTACGATGATATGACACAGAAGTTTGATGATCATGAGTTGAAGCAAAATGAACTCCAACATTACATAAAGATGGTAGGTGTTCAAATATCATATTTTGAATTGTCAACATATGCGACTAACCATCACTATGACTGTGATTGAGTAATGTACACAATGTCAATTTCGATGACACCATCAGGGAGACTTACATTTTTATTAATTTGTTCTCTAGTGTTTTTCAGTTTTCTAATTGGCCAAATATCTTTGTATATTTTAATATAAATGTCTACTATATGAGTTAAAATTTGGTTGTACTAGTCTAATAAAATAATTGTTGAAATTTATCAATACTACATGTATCTTATCAATCCTTTTGAAAAACATATATAATACTGAACTTTCATAACTGGTCATGTTAATGAAATGTGCTGAGGAATATTTTGAAATAAAAACATCTACTAGACCTTGTGTATCAGTTATATGTAATAGTTTTGTTTTGGTTTTAAAATAAACAGAAACTAATAACCGCTTTATTCTCCATAGTTGCTCAATAAATCCCCAGGGGATCCTGTAGATGGCAGCACCAAGGTAGATGTATCCAATGAGCAATCAGGTAATATTCACTGCTTTCACTAAATGTACAACATGCTCTCATATCACTTTCACTGTTCCACAACTGGATGACTCTAACTGCAGTTAGCTTCATTCAAGATGGTGGACAAAATTCGTTCGTTTTCGATAAATCTCCAATTACAGCCAAACCAAGCTGAATCTTGATCCCAAAAGTTTCGCCATGCAAACTAATAAAGATATGATTGTAAACAACCACAAATAAAGGCTCACGCACCCTCGATATTAGAGAAATTGAAAGAAAACGGCTTCACTTAGAATGACTCTAACTGAAGTTAGTGATGACGTAGGAATGAAGCTAACTGAAACGGGGAATGAAGCTAACTCAATGGGATGAATATATGGACGGCCCTGTCTGTTGTTATAAGATATCTAAATGTTATTGACTGTTGTTATTGGTTGTAGCCATTTGTATTTTGACATGGAGTGAGTTTCTATTCAATCCCATGGCCGGTGATCGTAGAAATTGAACGGAGGGGGAGCAGACAAATTCTGGTAGAAATTTCAACAAATCTGGAAAATTTACTTTTTCAAGACAAAATTTAGTTTACGATTGAATGGCCAAATGAATAGGCTTACGGTATGGTAAAATATTGTAAGTATTCTAGGATTAAAGTATATGATGTAAAAGGCGAAATGCCGCAAACGTCCGAAAGTCAATGTTTTGCTAGTCAAGCAAGAATGGTCTACACGACCTGTAATTAAAAAACGCCACCATGGAACATTGCAGTATTCTTATTTTAGGTTTACTGAAGACAGATACAGAGACCAGACGGATAGGAACAACCAAACTAAAACCCCAACACAGAGAGATCACACAACACAACCGAACACAACCAAATAAACTCACCCGACTAGGCACAACCGACCACCTATCTTAACATAATCGGGCACATCCCGCCACCACCCCTCATTTAACGATCAGGCACAACCAACCACATAACACAATCGGACTCAACCAGATACCTAACCTGACTGGGCACAACCTGCCCCCCGACCAGCATAACAAAATCACAACATAACACAACGCATTTTAAAATTAACATAACACAATAAGGCACAACTCGAAACCAGGCTAAATAAACAACCAGACACAACCCAACTACAAGCCAACAACACAATACGACACAACCCAATACTACAACCTTAGTTTAACCTCCGAAAACACAACCAATTGTCAAATATACGCAACACAATTTGGCACAACCAAATAATAAAACAACAAAACCAAAACACAACCCATAATGGACGAAGAACAACACAATTTTACACAAAACAATCAAAACACAATCAGGCACAACCAAACTGGAACACAAAAACACCCAACCAACACTCTCTGAAAACAACACCTTTTTTCTTTGGCCGCTGATGAGAAACATATCATGGAATACCCCCATGAGTTCGAAACATCTTGGGCCCTTATTATGACCAACATATAAGGGAGAGGATCCGCAACAGGATCGAGATGTCCGGCCGCTCTACATTAATGACAATAGGAGATGTCACCACTAATGGCATCATCCTAGGATCAACTAAATATACTCTACCTGTCACATAAGAACTGACAATGGTTTGGGGAAACTTAGATACTAGACCATATCTCCCAGGTCCAATCAACGAGACCTCTAACCAATTGACACAGATTGCATGACCATGCGTGTCCATAACAGGTAATGTCTCAAGACATGGTCTAAGCCACCACTCCCAACACTATACACCACACCAACTACTTAATATTTACACAGAACAAATAACCACCAGTACCATGGGAAGGCATCATCTGTGGTCACGTGGTTACATAACAAGACAAAGCCCAGTGCGTATGGCAAAACACAGTCTCTCACAAATAATCTAATTAATTAAGGAAATGTGTTCGAAGTTTAAAAAAGGGATAATAAGGTGAATTCTGTCATAAGCAATAATTTAGTAAACCATATACACTAATATTATTTTGATAATGCACTGACTGAACAAATAAAAATGAACATTGCCTTTAACTGCATGTCTTCAATATTCAGGTTGTTACATCATTGTATACAATATTGTTGCTTCACGATAAAAGAAACGCTTTTTATCCATCATTCGCTTACAATTTAGAATGATAATATTCTCCGGTGCTATTTGAATCGGGGGGGGGGTGCTTTTTGATAGTTTTGTTTAGAAAATCGTGCGAAAAGTGCTCAGAGTGGTGAAAACCTGCGGGAATTTGAAATAATTTCTGGCCAGGGAGGGGGAAACTACCGAACCTCCAGCTTCCCCTGGTTACGGAACTGCTTATTGGTAATTTGTATAGCCCATTATAAATCTCCATTCAGTTAGAGTCATCAATGGTGAAATCTGTGTTGGAGTTAGCTTCTTATCAACCTCAGTTAGAGTCATTCTAAGTGAAGCCGTTTTCTTTCAATTTCTCTAATATCGCGGGTGCTTGAGCCTTGATTTGTGGTTGTTTACAATTATATATTTTTTAGTTTGCATGGCGAAACTTTTGGGATCAAGATTCAGCTTGGTTTGGCTGTAATTGGAGATTTATCGAAAACGAACGAATTTTGTCCACCATCTTGAATGAAGCTAACTGCAGTTAGAGTCATCCAGTTGTGGAACAGTGACTTTGTAAAACTTAAAACAATGTTATTTAAAGTTTGTCCACAGCTTTAAGCTATATGCTCCTCAAATAAAATACCATAATATACATGAATTCATTTTTATTGCATTTTATGTTCATCCAGATGTCATTGACACACATCATTCCTCATTTTGACCATTCATATAATTTTTTATTTTAACTTATAAACAATAATTTCAGCAGATCCACTATTAACACCAATCAAATCCAGACCCGCTTCAATTCCAAATAGAGGTGTTGCAGCTGGGGCTGCTCATGACAAACCCCAAGACAATTTCACACCAGCATTCACACATTCTATGGTGGCACCCACTCAAGGCCTACAGCACAATGTTGAGTTATCTCCAAAACAAGTTGGTGAAATATCACGATTACTGAAGCTGTATAAAGATTCTCACCAGGGGGAGCTATCAGAAGACCCGCCAATTGATGAACTGTTGACATACTTTGAATCCATTCATCACAGGTTGGTGCTGAATTACAAATTATTTGACATTGAGATCAATCAAAGGTCAATAAAATATCCAATATTTGACAATGATGCATGTACTGTACAGTACACACACAGATAATGGATTTTAAAAGACCAAGTATAGTATGGCAAGTGGTTTTGGACAGTCATATCTTTCACTTTGAGTACTTTCTGGCCCAAAATACAGTGTTTTTTTTTATTAAAATAATGTGGTTTTTTTCAAGTGAAGTCCCCGTGATAATAGAAAAATCAATCCGAAAAAAATGTTGTCACTTTCTTAAAACTTTAGGTTTCACAATTTAAGGATATACACTATATTAACAACTTCTGAAAGGGAAATAGTTATTGAAATGTGATATGGCTAAAAACCAAATATCCCATGTTATTTTCCCATAAGGTAAACTTTGTTTTCCTTTGTTTTCAGCATAATTTTGGTCATCAAAAATTGGTATCCTCAAGACTAGACTTTCAATACAATTCCACATTGAACATTTGCCAAGTTATTATAGACAGGTTAGCCATAAAATAATTTTTCAAAAGTTATTTGATCCTTGTTTTAAATTTTGACAATTTTCTTTTAATAGTGATGGTCTTCCAGTCAGTAGTGGAAGTGTAACACGTCTTCCTAGCCAATCACAGAAGACTAAACCAGGGTCAAAGGTCAAACAGAACCTGGGACCACGCTACAAGAAAGCAGAAGTGGTAAATTATTGATATTTTTCCCATATAAGAGAACACATTAGTGTACCACCATTAGAAACATAATATGGATGCCTAATATTGTCATCTTCTTGGGGCAAAATCATTGCTTATGCATCTGCAACAGATGGTCTCATTTTTGCATATTTGAAAATGAAATGAAGCAATTACTAAATATCATATATTCTTGGAAAAAAAACATATTCACGAAAAAAAGCCCCCTTCTATATCTTCGAAAGGTGATTTTACAAAAGTACTGGAAAAAAGCAACTTCTTTTCAGAAGATTTATCTAAATTTATTTTGGCAAAACCAGCAACTGATGTCCAACACCCAACGTCAGTCTTCACAGAACCAAAGATGATAAATAACAATGTACAAAGGAATGCCAACATGGGTGTTATAACAAGAAAATCTCTATTTGCTCTAATTTTGGTTTTAGGATGCCAAAGTAAAGCAGTTGCTACAGCAACAGAAACAATCCGAGCCAATCAACAAACTGGACAGAGGTCATGTGATCAAGGCCACCCAATTAAGGAAAACTAAATCAAGTGTTAAATCTAGTGGGGCAGCATGGAAATAAATACAACTTTCATCGTAAATCATTGATAATTACACAAGATATCTACATTTGAGCCAATCAGCAAACGATATTTAGGTCATGTGACAAAGACAAATCTATCGCTATCACATTGTTAGATCTGATCTGATATGGATTCACCACAGGATTTAACATTATCTTTTAGTCCTCATAGGGTATCATTTAGTCAAATATTTATTTTTACTTCCATATAATAGTTATTGTTTTTGAAAATATTGTAAAGCAATAACAATCGCACAACTATAGACTTGTTTTTGAGTTGTTTCATTAAAACTCATTTTTATCTAATAAAATAAATGAATCATTGGTCAATTCTTGTAAAACTTTATTATTAATTTATTTATCTATTTATCTTTTGATCTAAATTAACAATTTATATAATACACAATCAATTCAAATTAATTGTTTAGTTAATAGATCATTTACAACCAATAATATTAGTACGGTTGAATGGCGATAGGTAGCATTGAATATATCATTTATCATTGAATATTAAGATGTGAATATTTGAAAATACCATAATAAGTTATTGCTTTTGTACAGGGTGACCGGAAAAAAAGGAGACCATTGAAATAGGCAATATCTCCTAAAATAGACTAGTGACATCAATGAAATTTTGCATACATCAGGACAGTTCTATGGAAATTTGTTCCTGAAAGTGTCAATACAAGCAGTCAACTGGTTCAGGAGCTATGATCATTTAAATAACATGCTCCAAATAGGCGCAATTTAGACCAACGCAGAGCTGGATACATTTGGCAAATACCCTTACATATTCCGACCTTGTTATGGCATTACATTTAGCATTTATTGCCACCTTTAGGTCAGCAATTGTCTCAGGATTGTTTTGGTACACATTGTCTTTCAAATTGCCCCACAAAAAGAAATCAGGTGGATTCAAATTTGAGGTGTATGGAGACGAAGCTTATCTGACCTATGGCTTCTGACTCAGTGGTCCCACTCAGTTACAGTATCATCCTAAGGAGGTTTTGGGCAGCCCTTGGTTTCCATATTGGATTTAATTGTGCCATATAGTGGTTTTAGTAACATGGCACTATGCCCAATACCTAAAGTGACTCTTAAGATTGGGTAAATCAGCACTTTGGCAACAGGATGATGAACCACATGTCAGATAACCCTTCATTGCCATTACAGCCTAGACTTGAATCCTGCTGATTTCTTTTTGTATGGATATTTGAAAGACAATCTATACCAAAACAATCCTCAGACTATTGTTGACCTAAAGAAGGCAATCACTGCTATATGTAATGCCATAATAATGCCATAGAGGGCAGAACATGTAAGGGTAGTTTGCCATATGAATCCAACTCTGCGTTGGTCTCAATTGTGCCTATTTGGAGCATGTTATGTAAATGATCATAGCTCCTGAACCAGTTGAATGCTTGTATTGAAACCTTCAGTAACAAATTTCCATATAACTGTTCCAGTGTATGCAAAATTTCATTGATGGCACTTGTCTAGTTTAGGAGAAATTGATTACTTCAATGGTCTCCTTTTTTTCCGGTCACCCTGTACCTTGTGTACAGCAATTGAATTTTCACAATATTTTCGATCTATGATTTAGTTGAGAATTATACAGGGTATGCAACCTTCTTATTTTGAAATAGCTTTCTTTACTGTGTTGGACGTCATGCTAAGACAGAAAAAGCTTCTTCTCTAAATATGACTTAAAACAACATCTCTCAATATCTTTGATGCTTTCTTGCTTTACACATTGAAAAATGAACGTGTTAGCATCACACGAAATTCAAGAAAATAGATTTCCAAAATTAAAGTTACATTTTTGTGTCACCCTGTACTATTGAAGTATGTATTTATAACAATTCAGTAAATGTAGAACAGAACCTTGCAAACTTGGTAATATTTACTGCCATCTGTACAGTATTGGTACATTGTATATTAATTATTTTTATTTGTTTGAATGTAGTTTCAAAAATGTAATATTTTATTTATATATGCTCTGTATGTCGTACATGCATGTATAGTTGCTTCTTTGTACAATTGCTTGATCATGTGAAATTGGATGTAATAAAATGCTCGACTTAATGTACGTTGTAAATAATTGAGCATTAATGTTGTATGTGCATTTGAAATCTACATAATGTACAATTATTTTTTCATATTGAAATGATTACTTTTAACAATTGTAATAAATATGAACTTAAAATTGTATAACTATTCCTCCATATGATTAGGGACCACTGCAAAATATTAGTAGAATGATAGACAATCATCAATAATTTAGTCTTAGACTCCTCTCCCCATGACTGCACTGACTATTTTTGACCCATGTAGCATTTTTGAGAAATATCTCGCTTTCAATTTACCATTTCAGCGTCCTCTGGTGCAATAAGATTTGAAATCGTTTATAAAATATCTCGTTTTCTCCTAATTCTCCCATTTCAGGAACTTAATTGTTAGGCATCCTCTGATGAATCCTAGGCGTCGCCGTCCTTCAAAAACAATGATTATTTGTAAATAGTAAATTTTTACGTCTACATAATATGTATACATTTCTCTCATTTATATAAAGGCAATACATAATTACATACATATATACAGATTGGACAAGGGAACTTCTGGTTACCAGTTCTGTTTTCACCAATCCATTCATCCAGAAATCGTGTGTATGTAATGAAGGGATTTGGGCGCCTTAAGAGGTTCTAGGCAGATTCCACTAGCAAACGAGGACTGTACTCTACTTTACTCTACATTGTTATCGTTCTTATTACTGTTTTATTCTACAACAAAAAAATCCATATATCATATTGTTAACAGAAATATGAATGGAATTTCGTTGAAAAGAATTACGTCAGGTCCAGAGTTGAATAGTCTGTCAAGAACCTTTTACGATATTGTTCTTTGATCGAAGCTGGCTATTTCACATCAAGAGTTGAGAACGTGTGTTTCAGTTTTTTCTTCGATGTTGTAATGACTTAAATGCGATTTAAAGGGGAGTGGTCACGATATCAACTTTGATATCATTGACGAGTTTTTGCATATGATAATCAAAATTTGAAAAGTTGATACATTTTATTTTTTCTATCTATTTGTTAATATCGAAAATATATATCAAATGTAGATTCGACTTCCTTCATAAAAAAGGTAGATGTTGATAATCATTGATGAGGTAAAAACTTGAGTCTCGCAAATGGGGACCACATTCGTATACTTGCGAAGACTTTCGTTCTTGTTCGTTCCATGTGTTCTACAGAAAATTGATTACAGCTTTGCCGTAAACCCATACAAACGAGAACAATCAGCATATGCAACTCGAATTTAGTGAAAAGATGAAAGACTCAAACGGTTCATCGCCAAGAGCCGGTTTTGATTACACCCTCAACAAAATTTGTCTTGTATATTATTGAAATGATCAAGCCCAAAAACTCCCCAGAGGCAATGGAAACGCGCGTCAGACTCTTACCCTTTGCAAAAATGTACATTATATTCCCCTCTTAAATAAAGGCACTTATTTGATCTTGCTTCTACAAAACAAAACTATGATGTAGGCAAAAATGGAGATAATCATATCGCATTTTAATTCTCATAAAGTGTATATGGAAACGCTATTTCAGATTGTTTAGAGTCAAATCTACATCTGTAAGAGGGATGATTTAAAATGGGTTGTAGATTCAGGGTAGACCGATGCTACACAAAGTTTTGTTACAATTTATTTTAACAAAGTGTATAGAAAACTCTAATTGGAAATTATTTCAAAAGGGCAAACGCGAGAGATAAGTTTTATAGAAATCTGGAAAATTGCTTATTTCAGTATTTTACAGAAGAAAGCCATACTCCAAAGCGAAACTGGTGATATTTCTTACAAGGGAATATTACCAGAGGCTTTGATGAACAATTATCTGTTTCAATTATATACAACGCTGGACTACCAATTTTGTCAAATAAGCGTTCAAAGTATTAATTAGATACAATTCAATCATGGGAAAATGAAACTAATACGTACTTCGAGTCATATCATTAGAGTGTAACATACCAAGGGATAGAAGCTGTATATCATGTACCTCTTTGTGGATAGTATAATAACGAAACAAGAAGAAGACAAATTCTACTCGAACGAACGTAGACAAAACGTGTGGAGTACACGGAAATTGTTACAAGGCAAAAGGAACAATCGGATAATGAATGGAAAAGAAACCCAACTCCATTTTGTGAAAAACTCTAAGTTGTTATCATAAATTAGAAGAAACAGCTGCTGAATGTGGAATGGAACATACACATGCCGATACACATAGTGCATTCTTGATTTAAAATTAGGGAAATATAAGCTTACTCATCGCATTTTAAAATCCATTTCTATGTAGGCTACTCTAAAAACCTCTATTATATGTACCCTACATGTACTTAGACGGGATCACGAAGGACGATATTAAACGTATTTTTTGAATAAAAAGCAGTTTTATTAGAATTAGAATTTAGTGAATATGATTGCAACACAATATCTGGTACTCTCGGTGTGGTTTCTTTTAGCAAAGGGTTTGTACTTGTTCTATCCTTAATATCGCATGTAAATAGGATAATGTTCTTCAACATTGAATTCATTTGTAAATCTATTTCTAAAACAAAACTTAACGTAAAATATTTCAGGATCATTAGAAGAGGCATAAATTTATAATGCTTTGCATTTTTTCAGGCGAATTAAGGACGTGTCGGGAGTCAACTTCTATATCGTCTGCACCTGGGACTCTGGTGTCACATCTGGGATACGGAACCGTGACTCTGGATTCCCCCAAATGTGAATGGATCATAACGCCACCTATTGATCAATATGTGGCGATCGATATCCAAGATACGGGAAATGCCCAGTGCAATAGGGATATATTGATATACAGCCATTTAGGTGGCAACAGATACCCAGGATGGTACGTCTGTGGAGATAATAAGACATCATCAGTTAATCCAAAATATATCGGATCTGGAATTGGGAATTGGATACGAATAAAAGTTGTGAATAATTCGCCAGGTGCAAAACTAACGGGTTTCTCGTTGAATTATGACTTCAAAGGTAGGAAAACATATTACAGTTTGCGTAATTACCTTTTGCGCATAACACTTGTGATAAATGAATAATGAAAATAGTACAATGCAATTTAATTAAATGTAGTTGATCTAGGCGCATTCGACTTTTTAATTACGCCAATTGTGTTTTAGCAGTACCAAAACATGATTTCATTATATAAAAGATGAAGTAGTATTAAGAACACATAACAACCAGCAAATTGGATATGGCCAAGGGCATATGCGTATGAATATTGACTTTTAAATTCACACGTAGTGTCACGTCCATTGAAGGGCTTAAAAATGATTACCTCTCGACAATCAATATCGTAACAAGCTCTTTTATAAATCTGCAGTTTTTTCGTTGTCTTCGCCTAATTCATTCTTTCCGTTCCCCCACATGTTTGATTTATAATTTATTAATTTTTCATCAAATAGAAATCAGTTCATCATACCTAACAAATTGTATTCATTTTTTCAGGAAAGAAAGAGACTACAAATTAATGTATAGCTCCTGTAGTTAGCTAGTTGAAAAACGTAATGCCTCAGATATCTGCTCAAAAGACATTCGGAATAGAAAAATAATTCAAAACGCAGTCAGGGGTGACTGCAACCCCAATAAAACCTAATAACATCCCAACCATAGTGTGTTAGCACTTCAAAAGGACGTTATCTTCATTCAATGTGTGTTTAGTCTGTATCGTTTCATCTTATGCTTTCTAAAGTCTGCCTTAAGCAGGACGCATGGCTGCGTTTTGAAGGATTTCTCTATTACAAATGTCTTTTGAACAGGTGTCCAAGGCATTTTGTTTTTCAACTAACAACTACAGGAGCTATACATTTAAGGTCTCTTCTTTTCCTGGAATAAATTAACACGAATGGTCTCGTATTTTCCAAGACATAGCGATTTCTTTCGGTTGCTTTTTTATGAACACCCTGAAAAATTTCTTTCTTAAATAAACTTTATCTCTTAGTCAACTCTCCTCCAAACATGACCATACGGGAGATGTCGTTTCACTTTCAGATGCGGGATGCAGTGGCGTCAAGAATCTTACCGAGACAGACACCAATCAATGGTTTGCCTCACATCCGGGTGCTGGGAGGTGGGCTGTCCCAGCAATTCAAAATTGCGCTTGGAGATTAATAGCACCAGAGGGGATGTATGTAAGTCTTCATGCTGACGTCATATCTCTTCATTGTGAAAACACGTGGCAGACTATGGCGTTCTATGACAGCGACGGTCCATTAGAAGACCATCTGATTGCTCGGGTAAGTAAGTGACGGAAGACAATGGCGTTCTAGGTGAGCTACGACCCCATTCGGATAAACTGCTGCTAACTACATTTATATCATTGTATATAAATATCTCATTATGTATTTAATGTGTAAACATTTCATATGAAAAAGTTAAAAAATTAAAGTCAACCACTACATGTCTCTAAATCTAAGTCTTTGGATGTGATATTCACAGGTTGTCTCAGTATACTCAGATTAAGATATGCCTCAATTATTTAAAAAACACACAGGTGTTGTATTTTTTGTTGGATCCTTTCATCTTTTCAAGATTCTAGATTTAATCATGGAGGAGTCAGGGATCGAGGCTGAGTTTTGGCGTGTTCAAACATGTTTTTCTGTGTTACTGTTGAATGTTTCTTTGCAGGTATCCTGTACAGGACGACTGTCTCCCATAGCTTCTACGGGGAGATACATGTATGTGAGCTATAAGGATCTGTGGGAAGGAAGTGGGCGTGGATTCAACATATCGTATAAATTTCGTAAGTACATGTATGCGGAGAAACAGGAAGCATAATTGACCAGAATTTGGATTGAATATGGATATTTGATCAGAGTTTTGGGCTGTATTTGAAAACATAAAATGGAAGGTCAGAAGATTTAACACATCGGGCAGATTTTGATGGTAGTTACATAGATGCTATTTGAGTAGGGAGTAAATAGGGCATTGTGGCTAAGGATAGAACTCATTTGATCACTACGTTTTGTCGGTATATACCAATATGTTCCATCGTGATACAACCTATATCCCTCCCAGTGGATAACTTATATAGCCTACATTTCAGATGAACAGCGTCAAAGTGGATGCGGCAGTAAATACCTCAGAGATGATGCTATTGGCGTCATCGCGTCACATGACTGGCTCAGTGAGGTCACGTATCATGATTGGTCACGGTGTAACTGGCGGATACTTGCTCCAGAGGGCACAGGGATCACACTTAGGTAGAACTTCAACATATCAGTTATCTAACATTAATGAATTTACTTTATGATACAAGCTTAACAATCTGCGTTGATCAATAGATGGCACGGTATGATATGAAGAAAACTCTTATTTTATTCTTGGCTAAATTAACAATGTTTTTCAGATTTGATGTATTTGACGTGCGTTCATCAAGTAAAAGATGCACCGATGACATGCTCGTTGTTTACGATGGTGCTCTAAATCATACCCAGCTTGGACAGGTGAGGGTTGTATGAGATGCTATATTTGTATCTTCCTACAGAAAATGTAGGACTATAATTCACACTTTGCCCGGGACTTTGCCACGCCATTAAGACATCAAACGTGGTCTTAAATAACCGCATTAACCTCGAGGCATCGGAGAGAATGTCATGACATAATGTCTGACCTTACTCTCCCCTCCAAAAGTTTGGCAACCTTAGCTCCCTCATTGAACTGCGTGTTAAAGCTCTTTATGTTTGAATTTTTATTTACATAACATAACCATAAGCGAGGAAAATACTTGACATTGATGAAAATGCAACTTGACTTCATTTCCAATGCCTCCAAGTTTTCCCATTTTTTTATGATAAAAATTTATGATAAATCTAATGAATTTTTAAAAATCGACATTCCCATGTAAACCAATAGAAAACGGTAGGTTTGCCGCAAGTCATATGACAGAATATTCATCCATCCGAGTTCTTGCAAAAATACAAGTTAGGTATTCAATTGAATAAGCTAACTTTATTTTGTAAAGATATGATACGTTTCTTCAGGTTTAAAAAGGTTTTAGGTCTTTAAAGTCAAAATTGTTTTTTAAAAAAATCCTCCCATTGAAAGAACACAGGAGCCGAAAAACGATTTTCAAAAATGACCTTCAAGCTCTGTAACTTTAGAATTCATAAAGTAAACTGAACACTTAGCATACTAAAAGTTAGACAATTCAATTGTCTATATAAAAATATTCAAGTTTTTTGGTCAGTCTTCAACTGGACAGATATTCTGAAAATTTCCCATTGGTTTACATGTGAATGACCATTTTCAAACATTCATCAAATTTAGTTTTAGTTAATCGGAAAACAATCTAGTTTCAACATTTTTTTCATTTGTGACCCAGATGTTTTGTAATGGTGATGACGCTCCCCCAATGACCCTGACTTCTACAAGTAATGACGTTAACATCCGGTTCATCGCCGGAAGTAGCCACAACTTGAATCTTAGAGGCAGAGGATTTAGCATTACATACTTAAGTGAGTTAATCTGGATAAGTTATCATGCTTGACAAAAAAGAAGTTAAGAGTAGCTAAATGTAAATAATACAAATCAATGATTACAATCACAAACTGTATTTTTAAGATCCCCTCTCTGCTCCTAAGATATAAAAAACAATTTGAGTGTCCGGAAATGGAATTTAAGTAACAACTGACAATAAGATAGTATGATCTAACATTAAAGTATAATGGACAAAGTTATTTATACTTCAATAAGTCTTCCTTAAAAGGTTTGAGTCAAAGCGAGTGTCGTTAATCAGTAATTAATAATACACTTTTATTTCGTGTATTTTTGAATAATAAAAACATGTAAAACTAAATAAGAAATAGGCCTTTCACCGCCGTTTTACGTACCTATAACAGCGACATCTTTATTTGTTTAAGGGACGTGTAAAAAAGCCCCAGTGATACATGGCACCGATATAACCTATGTAGACTCGAACCAGGATGGTACAGAGACATTCACTGTTGGCGAAGATGTGTATTACTCCTGTCGTAGAGGCTACATTCAGTCTGGTGGCAACCGGGAAAGACATTGCAGCGAGAATGGACAAATAACTGGAAAGGACTTGATTTGTAGGCGTAAGTATCATCATTGAGCAATATAATGCTACCAAGAACCAAAACTCTCTACAACAAGAACACATCTAAGAGTATACCAGTCATGATGAAAACAAATCCCAACTATCCTAAACCATAGTTTAATGTGAACGTTTTTTACCTCCCCCACCATTTAAGTTCCATCATGACATTCCAGGACCATAACAGCTAGGAACATTTCATTTATGATGAATTCAATAGTTCATGTTATGAAAGGATTGTTATCCTTCACATTTCAGCTGTTTTATGCAGTGGCGTGCCGAGAATTCCCCATGCTGACGTAACATTCATGGACCTTAATATGGACGGCCTGTCTTACGTAACATATCAGGAAGTGACGTCATACACATGCAAAATGGGATACGAAATCTCAAGTGGAGACACACAGAGAAGATGTCAAGAGGATGGGACCTTTGAGGGAGAAAATCTTATCTGTTCTTGTAAGTGTTTGAGAAAATGATTTCAGCGAAAATCAATCTATTATTCTGATCAATTAATAGACAATCGACTGATTCATCCTTCAACACGTTTCATATTAGTTCACGTCACTTCACCTTTAAAAGATATAGTAAACTAATTAGGCACAAACAGATATATTTAAACACATTTGGATGAAAAGGGTTTAATTACCTATTATTGCATAGTAAACTAATAAAGCACAAACATATACATTTAAACACATGGTATTTGCATTCTTATACATGTACCCTTACTTCAGTAAAGCTCTGCAAGAACATACCAACAATAAAACTCGCTGTAGCGCAACAAGTTGACAGTAATGGAGATGGGGATGATCGGCTGACGTATACTGAGGAGGTTGTCTACCATTGTCAGGATGGCTACTCCCAGATAGATGGCAACCAGAGGAGGGTGTGTCAGGCAGATGGTAATTTGAGCGGAGTGGATCTTGTATGTAAACGTAAGTATTAATATTTATTAACAATAAGTTACATGACTGAATAGGTGTTACATTGAAATTAAAGAATTACAAAGCTGTTTATGCCTATGTTTGAGAAAGACTGAGGGGACTAGTCAGAATAGAGGACAATACAAGAATGAAGTTTTAACATACTATGATAATAACTGCTGTGTGTTAAGATAATTGTCTGTTGCACGGATACTGAGTTTCATCATTCGAACATGCTGTTACATACTGTCTGTAAAGATAGACCATAGAAATGGAACGTACAGTACTAACTCTGTTACATACTGTCTGTAAAGATAGTACATAGAAATGGAACGTACAGTACTAACTCTGTTACATACTGTCTGTAAAGATAGACCATAGAAATGGAACGTACAGTACTAACTCGTGCTCCCCTGGAGCCGGATGTGACACTGTCAGTTTTATCAGTATGTGACTTTCGTTAACCCAAATCCTTTCAGCTGTCATATGTTCTGGTGAGGCAAATATTACAAATGCAGTTCAAAGAGGCTCTCTCGACCTTAACCAAGATGGCGAACACACAGTTTCTTTCACAGAGGAAAGACACTACGCTTGTCTAGAGGGGTATACTCGTACATCCGGGAATTTCATACGTCAATGTACAACTAACGGAACGTTCAATGGGACAGATTTGATTTGTGAAGGTAAGTTATTGTATAAGCTTACTTGGGGTTGACTACACTATATCATTGCTATCAATTCGTTGTCTAAAGAATCTCTGATGAGAAAAGCGGTTTGTAGTTATGGAGTTTATTTATTTCTACAGAAATTATTTGTCCCGATCTAAAAGAATACCCACATTCATCATTGGAGGGATCTGGAACCGGCAGTAGGCGAACATATGGCTCGGAAGTGACGTATGTATGTGTCAACGAGTATAGTTTCTCCAATGGTAGCGCAACTGTGACTCTAAAATGTGGCAAGGAAGGAATGTGGGAAGGAGCCAAAGTGGAATGCACTTTAGGTAAGCAAATGGTACACTTTTGAACCATTGTTTTTAAAGTTCCTTTTAGTTCAATATATGGCTGATAAGAAATATTATAAGACCCTAATAGTAACTCTATGTTTAACTTGTTGAACTAAATTTTAAGAAGAAAAGTCGAACGAATGCAAAGGGTAGCAATTTTCCATAACAATGTTTAGAAATTAAAAAATCTTTCGGATCACATTGAACCTCAACTTTTTATCTTATTTAGTTTGACATTCAGTGCATATGTTGAGGTATTCCTGGGTTTTAATATATCACCATGATGCTCTTATTGGCTCGTGCTGAGGCAAGAGCCATATCTCACTTGGATATAGTAGTAAGTGATAACGACAATGGACTGAGGTTTAAACGTTAGTTTACTAGTAGAAAACCCGATGGGTTAATATTTGTTGATGAAAATGAGTTAATTCCTCGAGCAAAAGTTTAATCCTAAGGTGTTAGTTTATAATAAAATTGCGTTAGAGAGGGTTTCAAACGACAATATGCACATTTTACAACAACACCATGAATTCTGCGCACTGATTTTCGGCAACATGATACGACAGAAATACGAGCGACTTCTTGATTTAGAATTGTGAACAATTTACAGCATTAAAAAAACTCCGAACAATTAACTTTTGTATTAAAATCTTCGGAGAACGAGAATCAAATTGACCCATCTTCACTTTTAGAAATGTTCGGATGTTTTCTAAGAGGTTCAGGTACTCAGACCTTCACAATTTAAAGCTCTTAATCAGTTCAAAATGTTCGGATTTTTCTACTTTTGCAGTTCGGTAAATTACAATCGCGTTAAAAGTAAGCATCCCTATTTATCAATACAATTCATTGCAACACTGCAAACATCTCCTTCACACGAGCCTTCATTTTTTTAAAATGATCTCTTGTTCCAGATAAATCCGATTCTGACGAGTCGTCAGATCCACTAATTGTAGACTGGATTATGATTGTCGTAATTTCTGCCGTGTTGACTGTTGTCGTTATTTGCTTTGTCTGCCTCTGTATAATATTACACTACGAGAAAAGACGACGCAAGGCAAGAAAACAGAAGAAATGGGAACGAAAGTTGGAATTGTGGGAGCGGACTAGAGAGGGAAACACTCTAATGAGGAACGCCAACTTTTTTAACGATCACAGATTCTCAGCCAGAACTGCATATTCAACGAGCTCTTTTAATCATAAAATGCGAAACAAAATCGATAATCCCGATTTACAAAAGATTGATACGAGCCACCCTACATACCTCACCTATCCAAATCGGGCTTATGAACAAGACTGGCCACGTGACTATACAAAGCATGACGTTAGTCAAAGACCACGTGGATCACATGCCGTTAGTAGGAGTGACTCTGGAATCAGTCACAGGACAAATCTTTCTGGGAACTTTCTTGATGTCCCCTATGCAAGTGAAATGGACATTGCTGGTTTAGGTGTTCACCATAGCACACGGGATCCTATAAAAAAAAGCTACAACGGCAGTGTGGCAAGCTCACCTATGGTGAGGCGACAGGAACAAGGATATGGCTATCTTCACGTCACTCCAGATTTGGTGCGAGTGAGGGATTATGATAATGACACTTAGAATGCAGAAATGTAATTGATCGGATCACTGTATCTGATATGTGATTGTGAAATGTGATTTGTCAAATGAGGTCATAGGATCGTGAAATATGAACCATGTGAATATGATTTTTTGTGACCATGACTAATAAACTTTGGTTAGTCGAATGCCACATGACCATGGATAATGAACTTTTGTTGGTCAAATTATGTCATGTGACTACGACTGATGAACTTTGATTGGTTCGAATGCCACATATCCATGCATAATGAACTTTTGTTGGTCAAATTATGTCATGTGACTACGACTAATAAACTTTGGTTAGTCGAATGCCACATGACCATGGATAATGAACTTTTGTTGGTCAAATTATGTCTCGTGACCACGACTAATAAACGTTGATAAAAGTTAGTCGAATTTCACATGACCATGGATAATTATGAAGTCTAAATTGTCAACTAAGGCAACTTGAAATTAATCAAGGTTTGTAAATACTGTTGCAAACAGCATTTTTCTTGATTTGATGATTGAGCGGTTGGAATACCGTTCGCTGTCTAAAACTGTCTCTCTCGAAAGACCGATATGAATGTGCTTCGTGTTATTTGATGATTTGAGCTTACATTGTACAGTAAATCTACGTTATAAACTTGTTACAAAATAAATATGCTGTATTGCAAGAATGTGTTTGTGCTAAATGGTGAAGAGTTACATGACAATTTGCTCATACAAGTGCAAACATGTTTCCTTCTTTATTTTCATATATTTTAGTTTATTCCTTATTGGATTATCATCCTAAATGGATTGGAATTTATGATAATAAATCAATAGTGAAATATTATCATTTTTCTATGAACGTGAACTTAGGGTTAGTGGTTTGGACTAGGATTGAAAATTAATGAGTATTTTCCACGTAATTTCGTGCAAATTAAAGTATAAGTTCCTTCTACATATTCCATTTACTATGGATCGTGACACATGCTCGTGTAGGCAATAGGCATACACTATTAACAGATGTTCATAAACGAACTGCATATTCCACATATACTCTTCATATTCCAATAACTATGGATCGTGACACATGCACGTGTAGGCCTACACTATTAACAGATGTTCATAAACAAACTGTGTACATATGCACGTGTAAGTATACACTATTAACAGATGTCCATAAACAAACTGTGTACGCATGCACGTGTAGGCATACACTATTAACAGATGTTCATAAACAAACTGTGTACATATGCACGTGTAAGTATACACTATTAACAGATGTTCATAAACAAACTGTGTACACATGCACGTGTAGGCATACACTATTAACAGATGTTCATAAACAATCTGTGTACATATGCACGTGTAAGTATACACTATTAACAGATGTTCATAAACAAACTGTGTACATACGTACATTTCTGCCAACCTATATACTTCAGCCAGAGCTATGCTTTTTTAAAGAGTGTAATGTTAAAAGGGTAACAAAAACGTAATGTATTGAAATAATTTAATTCATTTTGATTCCTTCAAAAACAATTAAATGGGAGCACTTGTACCATTATTTTTTGAACAACTCTCAAATATACTTACATGTACCCTGCGCGCAGTGTCTAGTTATAAACTGGAGACGAAACTTTCCATTACGAAACGAAGTCGAATGAATGCAAAGGGTAAAATATACTGCATTGATAAATTGTACAAACTATAGAATGATTGTTAAATGTTTTATTAATCGATTACATAATCAATTTACATTTTACAAGATGATTCTTAACTAAAGATTGTGATAAGTGAAATCTAAGACAAAAGGTATAAACGAAATCAGAATTGTTTTAAATCCCATCGAGGCCTATATAATTTCCATAGTATAAGTTAGGTATACAGTTAGATGATAACGAAATTGTTATAATGCTTAAATAGTCCTGTGATATATTTGTGATATGATTATAATATCATGTGCATTGATAACTATGTAGAGAAGTTCGACATAGCTGTTTGAACTGATCATACCACCAACATAGCTAATGCAAGTATAGTATACAAGCCGGTGCTTTGAATATGAACCACCCCTTCATAAGTTTGAACTGACCATACCACCAACATAGCTAATGCAAGTATAGTATACAAGCCGGTGCTTTGAATATGAACCACCCCTTCATAAGTTTGAACTGACCATACCACCAACACAGCTAATGCACGTATAGTATACAAGCCGGTGCTTTGAATATGAACCACCCCTTCATAAGTTTGAACTGATCATACCACCAACATAGCTAATGCGCGTATACGTATACAAGCCGGAGCTTTAAATATGAACCATCCCCTTCATAAGTTTGGCAACCCGAAGTCAAATTTTAGATTAAACCGTTTTATGATAAGTATTATCTATATGATGAAAATTCATCCAATTGCTATGGATATTTGAACTATTGTAAATAAGGTACAAAATTAAGATTCAAACGTTGATATAACCATCCAATCAAATCTTGTGTACCGCCAAGAAGGCCTCGTAGATATGCAAAACAGAAATGGGGGTCGAATTAAAGCAACGTGCAGCTAGAATATTCCTCTTCATCGTGGCAATGTTTTTCCTCATCTTCCTCTTCTTCTATCCCATGTCTTTTACATTCTCTGGACTGAAATTATATGGTCAACTATATAATTGTGGAGACTGAAGGGGGTATTTTACATTCTCTGGACTGAAATTATATGGTCAACTATATAACTGTGGAAAGGACTGAAATCATATGGTCAACTATATAATTGTGGAAACTGAAGGAGGTTCTTTTACATTCAAAGGACTGAAACCATATGGTCAACTATATAATTGTGGAAACTGAAGGGGGTTCTTTTACATTCAAAGGACTGAAACCATATGGTCAACTATATAATTGTGGAAACTGAAGGGGGTTATTTTACATTCTCTGGACTGAAATTATATAGTCAACTATATAATTGTGGAAACTGAAGGGGGTATTTTACATTCACTGGACTGAAATTATATGGTCAACTATATAATTGTGGAAACTGAAGGGGGTTCTTTTACATTCAAAGGACTGAAACCATATGGTCAACTATATAATTGTGGAAACTGAAGGGGGTTCTTTTACATTCTCTGGACTGAAATTATATGGTCAACTATATAATTGTGGAGACTGAAGGGGGTTCTTTTACATTCACTGGACTGAAATTATATGGTCAACTATATAATTGTGGAAACTGAAGGGGTTCTTTTACATTCTCTGGACTGAAATTATATGGTCAACTTTATAATTGTGGAAACTGAAGGGGGTTCTTTTACATTCTCTGGACTGAAATTATATGGTCAACTATATAATTGTGGAAACTGAAGAGGGTTCTTTTACATTCTCTCGAATGAAACCATATGGTCAACTATATAACTGTGGAAAGGACTGAAATCATATGGTAAACTATATAAATGTAGAAACTGAAGGGGGGGAGGGTTAGATTAAGCGGACTGAAATCATATATGTGGTCAACAATATAAATGTGAAAATTAAAGAGGGGGTGTTTTACATTAAACTGACTGAAATCATATGGTCGACTATATAAATGTGGGGACGAATCTGAAGGGGGGGGGGGGGTTAAATTCACTGAAGTGAAATATCATTGTCAATTATATGAATGAGGAAAGTTTGGGTGGGGTTATTTTACATTTCTTTGTCCTATCTTACCTGGTTTCAATCTAGCTGCCATTTTCTCATCGGAATTGAATCAAAGACTCTTTATGGAGTTTACAAAATGTGAAAATGTCACCATGTTTTCTATTGCAACCATATTTCATTGTTTATAGGTTATGAGGTTATGCATTGTGGGTAACTATTCAGAACACATTCCAATAAAAACATAATTTGTGGGGGAATGTTCACTTTCATTATTGCCATAATCATGACGAATTCCATTTTGTATTAAACTATCGACATGTATGTATATAAATTATATACAATCATGTTTTTATTTTTGTGTTATTTCTTTAAATCATACATGAAAAGTACAAAATAAGATTTTTCTTGGAATGAGTACATTCTCCAATTTTGAAAACCCAAGGCAATGCGTATGTATGAAGTGTGGGGAGTTACCCTTCTCTTGAACGCCCATGACAGCACATATATCACATATAAACACCTCAGTTTACAAGGTCACGTTTAACATTTGTAATGTATCCCTCGACCTATGTATGTTTATGATATTACTCACATATTCCTCCACTTTCTCATCATGTTCGTCCTTTTCCTCGAACACCTGCGCATGGTATGGCTCCTTTTCAGAATCTCTCATCTCCTCCCAACGCCATCTGGCTGCAATGTTAAAAATTATCAATGTACAATGTGCCAAAGGGAAAGAACTGAAAATTGTAACAGAACACTGCAAGAAACATCTAATTATACACCAAGTAATAAGGAAAACAAGCCCCAACTATCCAAAACTATGATCTAAAGTAAAAATAAACAGTGTTTTAAATCCCCTCTCAACCATTTAAGTACACTTATCACAATTCGAGACCAGGACACCAAACACATTTTATTCAAACTGTAGTCATTACAATAAATGTTGAAAAAATTTCAAATCGATAGTCAATATTCATAACATCAAAAATAGTTGTAGATATTAAATTAAGTATTCATACAAGATAGAGCATTCAGTCTCATATTATGATGTTCATCGTATAACTTCATACAATATATTCTGTTATCTTGTTCTATGTTAATAATAATATTTAAATGTTTAAATAAACTATCTGGTTTTCCTTTACATATTTTCAATAATTATTTCAATATTGCACAACATAAACATGACACAAAATCAAAATATCTTTTACTCCAGCCTAAGTACCGTATTAGGTCGGCTGGGATTCTCTAAAATTCATTGGTCCATCATACTATAACAAATTACCAAATGAAATTAAGGATATTCTCAACACACATTTATTTAAGGCAGCTAAAAACACATCATTTCATCTTATAAATTGTATTTGCTTACTCTGCAGATAAGACCTTCCACTTATATTTATGTTCAAATACTTCAATAAATAATTGTTTTACCTTTACATGACCTCGATCCTTTTTTTAACACAATATGCACTCTGCGTCACATTGTTATGAAATGCTTGAGAAATATTTTGATGGAACAATAAACTTACTTATTAGTTAATGGGATTCATGAAACGACAAATTAGTTTATTTCATTAGCGTTGCAATGTCTGTTAAAATAATAAAGGTACTGTACATTATTTGCAAGTTCACTTCTCTGTTGATGTGATAGCTATAACCAATATATATACTATCCTTATTCAGCAAAAGACAGGGGAGTGTTATTTTTGAAGTAATAGGTGTCACCTTTGCATTTGCGTTTTTCAAAAATGTCGAGATCCACTTACAGAGCAAACTCTTTATATCAAAGTGTACTGACCTATATGTAATACTTTTGATCTTGGTAGCTTTTTCGCTGCTATCTCGAATGCCACATCTACCGAGAAGGTGAGAAAAGCAGTCAGAGGTCTTATTGGCCTCAATGGCTTGGAAGCTGGACTTGCATTGTCGCTTGCGTCTCCAGCCCCTGCATTTTCACCAGATTCTGCATTTTCACTATATCCGGCATTTTCATCAGATCCTGCATTTTCACTATATCCTGCATTTCCAACAGATTCTGCATTTATGCCTGCATTTTTGCCTTCACCTGAATGTCTACCTTCAGCAGCCTAAAACACACACGTTGTCATGGTAATATTTATACTGTTAGCATGGTTGATTATTTAAGAGCTGATGGTTGGACTATACTAAGGTCTTTTCAATTAATGTAAGACTCGAGGGCTGTCATTAACAAATTGGTACCCATGTACCCATAGCAGTATTTTACTAGGCGCTAAGAGTGTTCGACTTAGCAGGTGTTTATGTTATAAGATTTCTTAATACGCGAGTAAATGGGAGAATTAGGACCAAGATTCGATGTTTCTTTAAGAAGTCGTCGGATATTCAAGTTTAACTGTATATATGTCAGTTGTTTCATCCAATGAAAATTCTGTTTTTTCAGTTTCAATCATTTGATGACTACTCGTATGGTGTAAATATTTGATTATGTTTAATTCATTATGCATGGTCATATGTGACCCTATTTGACAAATGATATGGCGTCTTAATTCCAAAGGAAATAGGTTTTATTGATGTGATTGTGTAAGTGAGTGAATATAAATCGGTTATGCAGTTAAGATATTATTCTTCAATACTTAAGACGAATAAGTGAGTGTTATGTACTGGAAGTTTATGATATGGGATTTATCCGGAGGAAGATATGCATATCTACCTGAGGGACTGTAGGGACCGAAGGTAGAAATGCATATCTCACAGGGGATAAACCCCATATCCAAACCGACCGTACATCACTGCTCTAGCCTATACCCAGTAGAGTTTTCTATTTTTTCAATTTTCATCTTTCATTTTTGTCAATTTTACACATTTTTCCAAAAAAAAAGAATTTCAAAAATCATTTCAATTTCTTTTCAAAAATCTTTTTTTTCAAATATTTTTTTTCCACATTTTTCATTATTTTCAAAGCGGGAAGATATGCCATGGACCAGGAGACATGGAGGTTCTGGATATGGAAACCTCAAAATCAGGGTACGGAATATATCTTACAAACTTATCTCCCCAAAACTCTACTGGGCAAAGAATAAAGCCTATTAGCCTAGTTTTTACCCGTTTTTCATCATGGAATCTCTTTAAATCAGTCGCTGACTTTTCATGGTAGGGTTTCTTTTCCTCAGCTGTCATCCTTTTCCATTTCTTCAGACTGTGTCGGGTTACATCAGTATGCTGTGAGAATACATAGCCGTTAATTGTGATGTAATAATTTATGATAAAGCGGTTATGTCGATATACTGTGTAAAACACGTAGTCATTAGTTAAAATATAACTATTTGATGGGACGGGTTACATCTATATGCTGTGAACAATACAGTTATTAGTTGAATTGTAACGATAAATGCTAAAGGGTTAAATCGATATGCTGTGAAAATACATAAATAATGTAACAATCAAAGAGAGAGTAATAGCTTATATGATTTACAAAGAGGTACAAATATACTCATTATCCAAAAACTAGATAACGGAACAAGAGGAGGGAAAGCCCCGGAGTTTTAGAGATAACAGGCATTCTTACGTCTCTTGATTACCACCTTCATTTGTTCAAATTTTCACTGGCTAGTTTTCAAATACTACACGTCGATGTGATGTTTTAATAGATGTAGGCATATTCCATACACCTTTCTTTATCTTGATATAAAATAAGAACCTCTGGTATTGGTTAACACGCCAGAAACAGAAATGGACATAATATTATTCGAAACGTATTTCAAAAATTTTGAGGCCGCCATTTCGTTTGTCGATTTTGACCAATCAGAGACGTAGGTCATCTTAATACAGGTTAACATTATAAGCATACACATACATAGGTATAGGTTATCTTTGAACTCTGGGGTAACCCGCCCCCCTTGTAAAGGAACCATTATTTTTTCTAGGGGCACGTACGATATTCCTGTTCAATAATAATTAATTACGTTACGTTATGAAGTGTTACGTAAAGAGGGGTATCTGACACCTGTACATATGCTGCTGATCAGTCAAACAATTATGCCCAGTAGATAGCTCCCATGATAGAAAAATGGATGATGAGGTATCTGACTCCCGACCATGCTTGGTAGATCACGAAGACTTGACTACAAAGACGAATAATGCGATAGATAGCTCCAAGGAGAGATCATAGTTATTAGTTGTTGTATAACGATTTATGTTAAAGGGTTACATTGATGATGTTGTGTAAAAATCATATTCATTAGTTAGTTTAGTTAATATAACAGTTTGTGACAAAGGGGTTGCATCGATATGCTATGTAAAATACAAAGCCATTAGTCATTTATGATAAATGGCTACATCGATATGATGTGTTTGATACATGCTCGTTAGTCGAAATATAATGAGTTATGATAAAGGGTTACATCGATATGATGTGTGGGATACATGCTCATTAGTTGAAATATAATGATTTATGATAAAGGGTTACGTCGATATACTGTGTACAACATATAGATATCAGTACGATTTATGTATGTTAAAGGGTAACATTAATATGCTGTGTAAAATATATAGTCATTAGCTGTTACAGGCCCGTAGCCAGGGGGGGGGCTCGGGGGCTTATCTCGGAGCCCCCCTGATATCTCCTAAAAAATGTGGACCTACCTTTTTGCTTTCTTGAAGGAAAACCTGTTCTTCCCCACATAAACTGGGCAATTAAGATTAAAAATGGCATTACTGGGCATTTAATTTAAATTTGGGCATTATTTTTCAAAAGGACCGGGAGTTGTTTGTAGAATGAATTGGGTGAGTTTTTTCATGCATTTCTCTTAAGTTTTTCATCTAAAAACATGAATACGCTTTAAAACGTTTTATTCTACAAACAACTCGCGGTCCAATTGGCCCAATTTCTTTCTCCAGGCAAGCGCGGACATTTTTGTACCTCTTCCCCTCTGTTTTTTAGGATCGCCCCCCCCCCTTGGATGGGCCCAGAAAATTATTTGGGCCAGAATTTTTAGGGCCTCTTTGATGGTTTTTTGGCATTACTTGGCCTTCTTGGGCCTTACTTTTTAAATTTTAGGCCAAATTTTCAGAAAATGGGCCGTAAATGCCCAAATTTTTTTTTTTGGGGCCTAAAATTTTTTTGGGATTTGATTTTTTTCTGAAGTGTGGGTCCCCTTGTAAGCTTCCACACCCGCCACTGCTCTTAACAATACGAAGGGGGTAGGTTTGAGCAAGGGGAAAATTTATGATAAATAGTTACATTGGTATGCTCTCTCATTAAAACATATATAAATTGTCAAAATATGATTTCATGCTTTTTCATAGGAGCGATTATTTGAAATGTTAAACTTAAAAACATATACTAGTAAATTGCATGAGACCATACTTTAAAAATGTGTTTAGTTAAATATACAATTTGGATGAATTCTTTCGAATTTAATCCAGTGGTGTTTTTAATGTATAATTGTTGCACTTTGATACACAATTTAAAATAATATTAGTCGAAAAAATAACATTATTTTGTTCTAATTGCATTTTTAAATAATGACCCGTGATCTTTATTTTCCTAATCATAACTACCTTGTTTTCACCTACAACCACCTCAATTACGACATACCTTATTTGTTTCTTCATTCCTGTTTTGCAGGACGACTCTGAAGTCATGTTTGAAAAATGCAAATGAGCTTGTTGGAGGCTCTATTCCTAGTCTTTCGGCAATTCTCTGTTTTCTTCTGCTAAATTTCTGTTTTACTGCTTCCATTTTGGCAAAGTGCACAGTTACTCGGCCGTCTACCTAGTCTGCCTTTTACTTACTTATGTAAGTAAATCGGATATTGTTTCAACAATAAAATTATGAAGATTCAAGTCGCTGTTGCACCAGCATGTGCTCACAGGAAATGATGGCTTATAATTATTATGTGTCTGACTGACATGTGAATATTTGGGGTGATAGCAAATCTTCACAGTAAAATAAAACAGAAATATAGACTATTTTCTGTATTAATATCAAATTGATTATTTGAATTTTTACCATTTTACGATTGACTCGTAAATTCGATACTATTCCCGAGATAGTTATTCAAATAATGGTTGTTGTATTTGAACAAAAAACAGGTCCTCATCGACCATAAACTTTTTCTGTTTACATTCGAGTTCACAGATGCGCATGCACTTTTCCATTTTTGCAATATACGAAGTGATCACGAAGTAACACCAAATATGTTGCAAAATCAATACTTCTAGACCAATCTTTTGTGTGTATGTTTTTTATGAAGTATTAAGGTTTCATGAATTGGACATCACCGAATCGCTATGCGGAGTGATATATTTAATTTAGAATTTTGGCAACCTTTAAAAAGGATTGTCAATATTCTCAAGGTGTAATATTCTCATTGTTTAATATTACATTTCGTGAATTTCAATTACACTGACACCGTACAGTGAAGATGACAACGTACATTTCTGATTTATTAAAATTATACTCATACAGGGTGTTCAAAAAAAACGCAACCCAAAGAAATCGCTATATCTTGGAAAATACTAGTCCAATTGTGTTCATTTTTTCAGGAAAGAAAGAAGAGACTATGTGTGTATAGCTCTTGCTGTTAGTTAGTTGTAAAACATGATGCCTTGGACACCTTCTCAAAAGACATTAGTATTGGAAAGATATGAAAAACGCAACCAGAGGTGACTGCCAGAGCAATAAACCCTAATAACTTTCTAACCATGGTGTTTTGGCACTTCAGATTCACCACAAATTATCTTCATATAATGTGTAGTGAATTGGGGGAGTTTCATTAAAATCACTCAATGGACTTTACAGTCATGGTCAAAATGCCTTCTTAAGTCTGGCTGAACCAGGGTGTTTGACTGGGTTTTGAAAGCATTTCGACCAAAACTGTAAAGTCCCTGGAGTGATTTTGTTTTCACTCTACAGATTTATCATACATTGAATGAAGATGATTTGTGCCAAATTTGAATAGCCAAAACACTATGATTAGAAAGTTATTTGGTTTTATTGCTGCGGCAGTAGTCTCTGACTGCGTTTTTCGTATCTTTCCAATACTAATGTCTTTTGAGCATTTGTCCAAGGCATCATGTTTTACAACCAACTAACAACATGAGCTATACATACACAGTCTCTTCTTTCCTTCCTGAAAAAATGAACACAATTGGATTAGTATTTTCCAAGATATAGCGATTTCTTTGGGTTGCGTTTTTTTTTGAACACCCTGTAATATTTATTAAATCTTCTCTCATCCTAAATCATGTCGCATGGAAAAACATACTCATAAAAATAATGGTCACTCTTAGGCGACAAGGGGAAATATGATCTAAGGAAATGTGAAAAACAACATTTTCCAACCGATCATTTTTTGTGGGTATATTAACATTATCAGAAAGCTATAATTCTTCCCAAGCATCGACTCACTGAATTACACACACGTGAAATCCTTTATGTATTCCTCAGATTAATTTTTAAAACCTACATCAAACCTACATCTTAATTTTTGCTTCAAATCAGTTAATAGTAACTGTACTGTTATAAATTAAATGATCATTACTTATCTTGACATGCGGGTACTACAATGTATCCCTTTTTTATTTCTTTAACCTGCCTCGTTTTATTTGCACCTTTTTACTTTGTACTTATTTTGACACGGGGGTACTTTTCATTTATATTTCTTTCACCTGCCTCGTTTTAGTTGTACCTGTTAAGGTACGTTCACACCAACGGCGAATGCCACGCTTTAAATCGGCGAGCAAAGCGCCGTCATTTTTGTCATTTTTCTTCATACCAGCGGCGCTTTAAAGCGGCTTGTAAAGCGGCACCAAAGCGTAACAAAGCTTGTCTAAAGCGTCGGGGTCGTAATAGGTCGTAGAAAGGCTCAGAGTAAAGCGGGATATTCGGCAAGAGCGCCAAATTTTTTTTAACTTTTTAAAAAATTTGGGCGCTCTGTTACGAATCGATTAAGCGCCGAGAGCGTATCAAAGCTTAACAAACCGTAACAAAGCTCAGAAAAGCTTGATCCAAAGCGTAGGAAAGCTTAACATAGCTCTAAAAGGTTCCTCACGCTTTAATCCCACTTTGATCAGGCTTTGTTACGCTTGAAATCAAGCTTTGATAAGCTTTGATAAGCATTATTACGCTTTGATGCGATTATGACGCTTTAAATCAGGCTCTGATACGATTGCAAAACTCTGTTGTGCATTGTTACGCTCTGTTAAGCTCTGTCACGCATTGGAAAATGTCGAGATCGCCGATTCCATGCCGCTTTCGATCCAATGACTATATAAAGATGCAGTAGATCCATAAAACCATTGCATCTTTGACTCGAGAACACGATGGCAGAACAACGAGATCCAGAAATTCCAGATGGACCAGAGCATGACCTATCTGAAGAAGACATGACGTTTGTCGCACGGCGTGATATAGCGTGTGGAAACTTGTCAAGCATACAGCAAAGCGTTTCAATCCTTGATTAAAGCGTCTCAATTCGTTGGAAAGCTTGAGAGTCCCTCATGAAAGTGTAACAAAGAGTGTCAGATATTGATGAAAGCGTCTGACCTCGTGTCAGATCTTCATGCCAGATCGTAGCAAATCTTGAGACATCCTAACGAAGCGTGTCAAGTGGTAACAGACCGTGAATAGACTGGGGTCCCCGCTTTGAACCAAGCTCTGTTAAGCTTTCCTACGCTTTGAGTCAAGCTTTGTTGAGCTTTGTTACGGTTTGTTAAGCTTTGATACGCTCTCGGCGCTTCAATCAATTCGTAACAGAGCGCTCAAAATTTTTAAACAGTTTAACATTTTTTGGCGCTCTTGCCGATTATCCCGCTTTACTCTGAGCTTTTCTACGACCTATTACGACCCCGACGCTTTAATCAAGCTTTGTTACGCTTTTGTGCCGCTTTACAAGCCGCTTTAAAGCGCCATCAAAGAGCCGTTGGTGCGAACGTAGCTTAAACAGTTTACATTTTTAGTGCTCTTGCCGAATATCACGCTTAACTCCGAGCTGTTCTACTACATATTACAACCCCGACGCTTTAATCAAACTTTGTTACGCTTTGGTGCCGCTTTACAAGCCGCTTTGAAGCGCCATCAAAGCGCCATTGGTGTGAACGTAGCTTTAGTAAAATAAATGTTCATTACTTATTTTGACATGGGTACTTTTCATTTATGTTTCTTTCATCTGCCTCGTTTTAGTTGTACCTGTTATTAGAATGAATGTTCATTACTTATTTTGACATGGGTACTTTTCATTTATGTTTCTTTCATCTGCCTCGTTTTAGTTGTATCTGTTATTAAAATGACTGTTCATTACTTATTTTGACATGGGTACTTTTCATTTATGTTTCTTTCATCTGCCTCGTTTTATTTGTACCTGTTATTAGAATGAATGTTCATTACTTATCTTGACATGGGGGTACTTTTCATTTATATTTCTTTCACCTGCCTAGTTTTAGTTGTATCTGTTATTAAAATGAATGTTCATTACTTACTAAACCTTAAGTCCAAATAGAAATAAGTAAAATCCCATTGAATGCCTTCATAACGTATATGGTATAAGCTGGACATCTAATTCGATGATAACGAAAATTGTTAAGATGTCTCCACTTTGTGTTATGCTGTTATGTTAAATATTTGGGATATGATGAAACGGCAACCAACTCGTTCGACAAAATGCTGCCAAGCTTGATAATGTATAATGTACGTATATCCAATTAAAACTATCCAAAGTTCCTATCAACAGTTCCCGTTTCCAAACGTGTACAGGACGGTGTACCGTCGGGCGAATTCAGGGTATTATGAGACGAGGCCTGGTAAGTCACCATTGATACACCAAATTAAAATGAGCGTCGAATTAAAGCAACGTACAGCTAGAATATTCCTCTTCGTCTTCGCAGTCTTCTTCCTCATCTTCCTCTTCTTCTATCCCATGTCTTTTACATTCAACGGACTGAAATTATATGGTCAACTATATAATTGTGGAAACTGAGAGAGGGGGTCTTTTACATTCTATGGACTGAAACCATATCATTCTGATACTCAGACCATCTCTGCTATGCACTAGAAGGAAACTGAGAGAAGGCTGTGATATCTCACGATGAAACCATATGGTCAACTACTAATACATTCACAGGGCCAAAATCAAATGGTCAACTATATATAAATATGAAGCTGGGTTATTTGACATTCTCTGAACTGAAACCATATGGTCAATTGCAACAACTAATATATGAATGTATATGAAACTAGGGGGATCGGGGATTCTAATACTGATGCTGTCCCCAGCTCCGATTTCGGTGATCGGCTAGTATAAAAGGTTTGAGGGTATCATTTTGTTCCAGACACTCTCTAGAGTAAATTATCCTAACTTGAGTAAAAATGTGTGGTAAGTAAATTCGCTATGGGCAGTTAAAGAGGCGCCATCTATTCATTTTCAAACAGGGGGTAGGGGTATAAAATAATTTTTAACACATTCTAATAGTAAAATGACATTGAAATACTAATAAAATCTTATCAAAAACATTATTTACAATCAGTATGAATTTTCTTGTGTGGATTAGGGTGAAAATAAGGGCATATCTTGAAATTCACTACAGGGGCGCCACCTATTTTCATACTTCTACCACGTGTAATAACTTATTTTAGATTCGTTAAGGTACGAAATGTACTGAAAAAATTCACTCTGAAGGACCTATATATGTTCATATCACATACTTAAAATTGGATCAATAGCTTTTGTACTGGCGGAGAAAAAAATTATTGAAATTTAAAATTGTGGCATCATGCAGGATAGGGGTGACCATATCTCACATTATTAACTTCCAAAATATGGAGCATATGTATCTCAAATGTACTCAAAATGGTGTATGTACTCTTGCTTTGTCATAATATTACTAATAAGAAGTAGAAAAATGATTGTACATTTTAAAAAATATTAATTCTCATTTTGGCTTCTGACGTCCCAGGGGTGACCATATCTCACCTTAATAACTTCCAAAATATGGAGCATATGTATCTCAAATGTACTCAAAATGGTGTATGTACTCTTGCTTTGTCATAATATTACTAATAAGAAGTAGAAAAATGATTGTACATTTTAAAAAATATTGATTTTCATTCTGGCTTCTGACGTCCCAGGCGTGACCATATCTCACCTTAATAACTTCCAAAATATGGAGCATATGTATCTCAAATGTACTCAAAATGGTGTATGTACTCTTGATTTGTCATAATATTACTAATAAGAAGTAGAAAAATGATTGTACATTTTTAAAAATATTGATTCTCATTTTGGCTTCTGACGTCCTAGGGGTGACCATATCTCACCTTAATAACTTCCAAAATATGGAGCATATGTATCTCAAATGTGCTCAAAATGGTGTATGTACTCTTGCTTTGTCATAACATTACTAATAAGAAGTAACAAAATGATTGTACATTTAAAATAATATTAATTCTCATTTTGGCTTCTGACGTCCCAGGGGTGACCATATCTCACCTTAATATAAAAACTTCCAAAATATGGAGCATATGTATCTCACATGTGCTCAAAATGGTGAATGTACTCTTGCTTTGTCATAATATTACTAATAAGAAGTAAAAAATAATTGTACATTTAAAACAATATTGATTCTCATTTTGGCTTCTGACATCCCAGGGTCGACCATATCTCACCCTTATTACTTCCAAAATATGGAGCATATGTATCTCAAATGTACTCAAAAAGGTGTATGCACTCTTGCTTTGTCATAATATTACTAATAAGAAGTAGAAAAATGATTAAACATTTCAAAATTTTTGATTTTAGCTTCTTACGTTCCTGGGTAATCATATCGCACCATATAATAATAATGATAACTTCTAAGATACGTAACATATAATCCTCAAATATTCTCAGAAAAGTCCTGTCTTTTTCATATTACTAATGAAATGTAGAAAATTGATTGTCCCAGGGGCTATCTCACCTTGATAACTCTCACAATATGCAACATATGCATCTCAAATGTATGCTCAAAATGGTCTTGTTTTGTCATATTTATTGAGAATCATGAAATCAACAGTTCAGAATCAATGGATTTTGACTGTCTCCTCTACAGCTACATATAATTCAGGGCAAATAATATCTGCTTTCAAATATTTGCATCTGCTCCCCAAACACCCTTTACAAGTACAATGGATGAGATTATTCCCTTGCATACATTGGACCCAACATCTTTTGTAATCCATACAGGAATCTTTTTATTAACCTGTCAATAGTGGGAGTACTTCACTCCATTTATGAAGTAATGGCAACTGCTAATGTAAGGTGTTAATATGTTATCCTGTGGCCTGCAATATATGCACCTTGGATTATACACTGAATTAAGGGATTTTGAGTATGTAAAATATGGGAAAAGGAGCTCTTTGTAATGATAAATCTTTCTAGCCACATTAACATTCTCTAGTTTGCATGTTTGTCATACAACATACATTGATTGTAATGAAATATTAATCTATGATTGTGATGTCCCACACTTCTAGGGTCCCAAAGAAGAGATTAGCTTTTGGAACAATTGCATTATTCTTGGCACGGTAGGCCATACAGTGAATACAATTGTTGAGATTGGGCAATAACAATATAGCACATCATGACAAACCATGCAAACTAGAGAATGTCAATCAGGATTAGAAGTGACTTATCGCCCTTGTAATTTAGCAGTGGGACAGTTTGGTGTATGTTTGGGCATAAATGCGCCTTTTAGGCCTAATTTTTCAGGATGTTTTCAAAATTTCGGGTCAGATTTGGGGTTAAGGGGCCAATTTTTGTAAATGAGGCTAGGCTACTCACACTACTGATAGGCTACCAGTATACAAAAGATGTTGCATCCAAGGCATGCAAAAGACTTATCGTCCATTGTTCCTGTAATATAAGGAGTGTTTGGGGAGAAGATGCAAATATTTGAAAGTAGATCTTATTGTCTCTGGGCTATATGTAGCTGCATCCTTCAGGGGAGACAGTCAAATCCATAAATTCTGAACTTCTGATTTCATGAATCCAATAAATATGACAAAACAAGACTATATTTATACCATTTTGGGCACGCATTTGAGATGCATATGTTGCATATCGTGAGAGTTATTTCAAAGTGAGATATAATTGCCCCTGGGATGTCAGATTCAGAAGCTAAAATGAAAATTTCAATTAAAAAAAGGTGTAATAATTTTTTTACATCTCATGAATAGCATTATGACAAAGCAAGACTATATGCTCCATTTTTGGTATATTTGAGTTGTATATGTTACATAATTTTAGAAGTTATTCAGGGACGTCAGAAGCTAAAATTAAAATTTTTTAAATGTATAATCATTTTCCTACTTCTTATTAGTATAATATTATGACAAAGCAAGAGTACATACACCATTTTGAGTACATTTGAGATACATATGCTCCATATTTTGGAAGTTATTAAGGTGAGATATGGTCACCCCTGGGACGTCAGAAGCCAAAATGAGAATTAATATTTTTTTAAATGAGCAATCATTTTCCTGCATCTTATTAGTAATATTATGACAAGACAAGACTATATACACCATTTTGTGCATATTTTAGATACAAATGCTCAATATTTTGGAAGTTCTTAAGGTGAGATATGGTCACCCCTGGAACGTCAGAAGCCAAAATGAGAATTAATATTTTTTAAAATGTACAATCATTTTTTAGCTCACATGGTGAGCTTTTGCAATCACTCACTTGTCCGTCTGTCTGTCTGTCCGTCCGTCCGTCCGTCCGTCTGTCTCTCTGTCCGTCAACAATAGTGGCACGTTTTAAAACCTCTGTCAATAGGATTCCTGTTTTAAGTTATTTCTGTTCAAGATCAATACAGAAAACTCCCCTATGACTCCTGGTTCAAAAGCTCGCCTATTTTCAAAATGGCCGTCACTTTTGTCTCGCGAAATTCACTTTTGACCCATTTCCTTTAAAACCTCTGTCGATAGGATTCCTGTTTTAAGTTATTTCTGTTCAAGATCAATACAGAAAACTCCCCTATGACTCCTGGTTCAAAAGCTCGCCTATTTTCAAAATGGCCGTCACTTTTGTCTCGCGAAATTCACTTTTGACCCATTTCCTAGCTTTACAAATAATTTCAGGTGTCCTACACTGTAAAAATCCATGCCAATGTAAAGGGTAGATATATGTTATAATATTGTTACAAAAAATCAGCGAAAAATTATATCCATTTTTTTATTTTCAGCCATTTTAGTTAACATTGATTTGTCTATCTGACTCGCGAAATCCACTTTTCGTCAATAACAGTGGCACGTTTTAAAACCTCTGTCGATAGGATTCCTGTTTTAAGTTATTTCTGTTCAAGATCAATACAGAAAACTCCCCTATGACTCCTGGTTCAAAAGCTCGCCTATTTTCAAAATGGCCACCATTTCTGTCTCGCGAAATTCACTTTTGACCCATTTCCTAGCTTTACAAATAATTTCAAGTGTCCTACATTGTAATAATCCATGTCAATGTAAAGAGAAGATGTATGAAATAATTTTGTTACGAGAAATCAGCGAAAAATTATATCCATTTTTTTTATTTTCAGCCATTTAGTTAACATTGATTTGTCCATCTGTCTCGCAAAATCCACTTTTGGACCATTTACCTTAAACCCTCTGTCGATAGGATTCCCGTTTTAAGTTAATTTTGTTCAACATCAATACAAAAAACTCTCCTATGACTCTTGGTTCAAAAGCTCGCCTATTTTCAAAATGGTCGCCATTCTTGTTTCGCGAAATTCACTTTTTGCCCATTTCCTAGCTTTACAAATAATTTCAGCTGTCCTGCATTGTAAAAAGCCATGTCACTGTAAAGAGTAGTTGTATGAAATAATTTTGTTACAAAAAATCGGCAAAATATTATATCAGTTTTTTTTTATTTTCAGCCATTTTAGTTAAAATTGATTCGTCCATCTGTCTCTCAGTCAGTCCAAAAAAGTGGCAAGTTTTAAACCTCTGTCAACACTTTTTAAATCCTCTGTGGATAGGATTCCCGATTTAAAATAATTTTGTTCAACATCAATAAAGAAAAAAAACCTGTGACTCCTGCTTCAAAATCTCGCCTAATTTCAAAATGGTCACCATTTTTGTCTCGGGAAATTCACTTTTGGCCCATTTCCTAGCTTTACAAATAAGTTCAGGTGTCCTGCATTGTAAAAAGCCATGTCTTTGTAAAGAGTAGTTGTATGAAATAATTTTGTCACAAAAAATCTGCAAAAAATTATACCCGTCTTTTTTATTTTCACTTTTGAGCAACACCATGTGAGCCCAGTACCCACGGTACTAATTTTTTTTACTTCTTATTAGTAATATTATGACAAAGCAAGAGTGCATACACCATTATGAGCACATTTGAGATACATATGCTCCATATTTTGGAAGTTATCAAGGTGAGCTATGGTCACCCCTGGGACGTCAGAAGCCAAAATGAGAATTAATATTTTTTGAAATTGTACAATCATTTTTCTACTTCTTATTAGTAATATTATGACAAAGCAAGAGTACATACACCATTTTGAATACATTTGAGATACATATGCTCCATATTTTGGAAGTTAATCATGTGAGATATGGTCACCCCTATCCTGCATGATGCCACAATTTTAAATTTCAATAATTTTTTTCTCCCCCGGTACAAAAGCTATTGATCCAATTTTAAGTATGTGGTATGAACATATATAGGTCCTTTAGAATGATTTTTTTCAGTACATTTCGTACTTTAACGAATCAAAAATAAGTTATTACACGTGGTAGAAGTACGAAAATAGGTGGCGCCCCTGTAGTGAATTTCAAGATATGACCTTATTTTCACCCTAATCCACACAAGAAAATTCATACTGATTGTAAATAATGTTTTTGATAAGATTTTATTAGTATTTCAATGTCATTTTACTATTAAAATGTGTTAAAAATTATTTTATACCCCTACCCCCTGTTTGAAAATGAATAGATGGCGCCTCTTTAACTGCCCATAGCGAATTTACTTACCACACATTTTTACTCAAGTTAGGATAATTTACTCTAGCGAGTGTCTGGAACAAAATGATACCCTCAAACCGTTTATACTAGCTGATCACCGAAATCGGAGCTGGGGACAGCACTATACATTCACTGGACTAAAATAATATAGTCATCTATATAAATGATGAAATTGAAAGGAGGGTATTTTACATTCGCAACTGAAATCATATGGTCAACTGTATGAATGGCTGAGGTCGGGTTCTTTTTACATTCACTGGTGGAAACTGGGGGGGGGGTGTCTTTGATATTCCCTGGGCTGAAATTGCATGGTTACCTGTATGAATGTTGAGCCTGTTTTTTTTTATCTCTAGACTGAGATAAAATGGTCAACTAATTGTATAAGGGGAACTGGAGGAGGAGGGCGGAGGGATGTGCATTGTAATGTTAATTACATGTTACATTAAATTACATTAAAGATTCTCGCAATCTTTATCCAATCAGCGTTTGCGAGTGTGTCGGCTCACGTATAAAAGGCGAATCCAACTCAAATCCATGCAGGGGTGTATGAGGTACTCGAATAGGAAAGAGCTCGTGAAATCTGAATTTATATGCACATGGTCAATGTTTACACATGTTTGGAGTTATTGAAGAAAATGTGATATGGGTGTGGTTCCGAATTTGAAGTCATTGCTGGAAAATATGATTTTAATACGTGAAATTATATCTATAAATACAGCACTAAAAATAACAGTACACATGAAGTACATGTATGATTGTGTTCAGAAATGTTTGAAACCCTTACGGAAAATTCTGTCTGCATTTTGTCACCATTGCTCTTTCTTCTCGCATTCTAGTGCTGTTTGAATGAATATATTAATTAATGTATTTCTAACTAAAATATATCACATTTTTTATAAACCCCAAACATTTAGATCATAAAAAGATTATTCAATACTTGAGTGAGCACGATATGCAAGGATTACTAAGTTGACACAGTAAATGACCACTGATATTGTGTTAGTCCATGCACAGAGCGTACACCCCTCACTTTCATAGTGAAGTGACTAATTGGTTTATGTTTACGTTTTAATGTGTTTTGGGTTCCTTGTTACAGCAAGGGGGGCCAGTAAAGTAGACTAACGTGTTTGCATGGCAAGTTTTGATCGAATATGTGAGACACTTTAAATACAATGTTTCTTTCTATCTAAGTTTCTGAAAATGTAACTTAACATTTCACTACATAGTTGCATAAAATACATATATATAAACAACTAGTATACTAGCGCACTTTACGTATACCTGAGCCTCAACATACGATATTACTCACATATTCTTCCACATTGTCATCATGTTCGTCCTTTTCCTCGAACACCTGCGCATGGTATGGCTCCTTTTCAGAATCTTTCATCCCCTCCCAACGCCCTCTGGCTACAATGTAAATATTTCAATAAATCTCTAAAGATTCAGACCCCAACTTCCAATGGTACCTGTTAAAGTCTGTATGTTTATGTTGAGTGGTTTTGAGATTTTAGATTTGTCATTGGCAACATTATCATCAGGGGAGTTGCTGTTCCGCTGTATATGAGTATAACCGCCCCAGAATCCGAGTTTCACCAAGTTTTATTGTTGTTAGCAGACACAGTTAGTGCAACTTTAGTTTAATTCATACTTTCGAACATTTTCCATTCCCTTTTCTTGGACTAAGGATGGTGTTTAAGCATAGAAATAGTCAATCGTGTCAGTGAGGTCATCAAACAAGAAAATATAATATGTTGAATGTTTTTTTAACAGACTCAGAGTTAGTCTTCTTTTAAAATCACAGTGTTAATGATCCCTTTTGTAAATGTGGATTACCACAAACACCTTCTCATTTTATCTTTAAATGTCATCTGCTTATAAACGAGCGTGAAACTTTATTTGCAGGACTGCGCTTTATGCCAACCTTTATCTTTTGGTTCAGAATTTGCAGTTGAATTCACAGTTTCTTTTGTATGGTGATGAGGATTTAGATAACTCATTAAATGAAAAATAAATAGAACTAATGAGTCATTTTGTGAATCAAAGTTTGAGCCAAATTGATCAGTTTGGCTTATTTTTACATGCATGTGTTAACTCATCCCTGGCCCATTAGATCATAATTTCTTATATGAGTTATACCATTACTTTGATGAATTTTAAAATTTTATGTATTCCTATTCTTATTGTCTAAAATTGCCGCTAATGTCTTATAAAACGTTGGCAATCAATTACTTGTATATTATTGATAACAATAGGAATAAATTTATGTATAAAAAATGTATATAATATCGAGCTGAATTCGTAAATCCTTGATTTCTAGCCCACTCCACTTGAAAACACAATATCTTCAGATATTTGGGGAATACGGTTGGAAGTGGTCTCAAAATCCAGATGATAAGATTGTAGATTGTTTTGGAACAGAGTTTTACCAGTGATGAATAAGGGTTTCAATGGTGCTAAATTCAAAGATTCGAAATAAAAATTTTGAAATTCAAATCAGTATCAGATTGGAATGGTTCTTGAGATGCACAAATCACGTCCTCTATGTACAAGATATTTTATAATCCCATCAAACGAAGTTCGTACGGACACAGATAGAAGCCGTATGTTTGTCTGTTTATCCGTTCGTTAGTGTGTCCGGGCGATAACTCATGTATCGGCAGATCTGCTACAATTTTTATAGGCTTATGTCTTATGCGTGAAGGACTTCTGCTAGAGAATGGATATTCAATATGGCAGCTCAATTCAAAATGACTCCAATTATTCGTGAAAATTGTAATCTTTAGTTTCTGAAACACCAGTTCACCAATTGGGCTCAAATATCATATGCTGATGCCTAGGGACATAAGAACTCTGTTCAAAAGGATTTTCAAGATGGCCGCTGATATTCAAATTTCCCGCCATTTCTTGTACAGATGCCATATCTCATAACTCAAATACCAGTTGAAAGACTAGCTTCAAAGTGTACATGCTGTTACGTTACGTTACGTTACGTTACGTTACGTTAGTTAGTGTTAGTTGTTGTTTAAAAGGGCAGATTAAACAATTATTTAGGTCAGCGATCGGTTTTGAATCGCCTACCCCTCCCCCGTCCCATGTTTCCGATCACCGGGCGTGGCTTTGCGAATAAAAGACGACGATCTTAGAATCCCTTTGCCAAGAAACAAGAATGGAAGATTAGATGAATTACAGGACTTGAACTTGGTAGGCGATAATTTTTCTATTCTTGTTTTTGGGCAAAGGGATTCTAAGATCGGCGTCTTTTATTCGCAAAACCACGCCCGGTGATCGGAAACATGGAACGTGGGAAGGGGTAAGCGATTTCTGCAAGCAAATTCAACAATTCTGGAAGATTTAGTTTTCAAAGAGAAAGTTTACTATTGAATTGCTTAATTTATTGGCGCATGTTATGGGAATATATTTGAGGTCTTCTTGGATTTTATTTGAATCGATACGCTTCAAGAAAGGCACAACGCCAACAGCGTGCACAAGTCAATGTTTTTGATATTAATCAAGCAACAATAGTCAACACGGCCTGTAATAAATGCTTGTAAGTGACGTTATCATATAAAAATTAATGGTGAAGACTTAAATAAATTTCCATACCTTAAATAAAAAATAATATGGAACCTTTTTTTTACAACTGGGATAACTAAGTTTTGACTTTAGGCAAGAAGAATATATTTTTGTTGATATTCCACGAGTCTATTTCTGAAAACTATATATTTTTTTTAATTTTCTTGCTTCGCGACAATTTAGCTATTCAAACCACGCCTAACTCAATTTTTACAATTATGATGCATACACTTTTTATTCCAGTTTTGAAAGACCATAATCTTTCAAAACTCTATAAATCTGGTTTATACTCATTTACAGCTACTCCCCGGTGATAATGGCGAATCGGGGTTGCCAATCATCGATTTCAAGGAATGTGCATCACATTTCTTGACAAGCGCGATATGTGAAACAATAATTGCAGTGGCTATTTTTGAAAGTTACTATAGCCATTTATATACTAATCCACATTTAGAAAAAACACGAGAAAATGTTCTCTTTTGGACTCACTTTTGCATTTTCCTTTTATAAAGTGTCGAGAACCGATTGCAGAGCAAAATCTTTATATAGAGTATACTGACCTATATTTAATACCTTTGCTTTTGGTAGCTTTTGCTCTGCCATTTCTTCCATCAAATCTGCCGCGAAGTTTTCGAAAGCAGTCTGGGGTCTTATTGGCCTCAATGGCTTCGTAGCTAGATCTGCATCTCCGTCTGCATTTGCACCTCCCCCTGCGTCTACACCTCCCTCTGTGTCTGTACCTCCTCCTGCGTCTGCAGCTCCCCCTGCGTCTGCACCTCCCCTTGCGTCTACACCTCCCTCTGTGTCTCCACTTCCCCCTGTGTCTGCACTTCCCCCTGCACCTGCTTTTGTACTTCTGCCTGCACCATCGGCACCATCATTTCCGCCTTCATTTTTGTCTGCAACTTTATTTTTAGCTTCGGCGGCCTAAAACATACACGGTGTAGATGGTTATAATTTTAGAACACGTTGCGTCTAAGAAATAAGTGTTTTAGAAATTGAATAAATTAAGACTTTGGGGTACCGTTCTATATTGGCAGTATAAAAGCATTCGTGCATGTACTAACCCATTCTGATAATGCACTCATTATATGTATGGGTTAGTACATACACTCATGCTCTTTTATTTTCAATAAAGAATGATGCGTGATTCTTTATTCCTTAAATATGTTACTCTCAAGACGAATAAGGCATATTGGAGACTTTAAGCTAACGATATTTTTCACAACGTAAGAATGAAATTCACATGAGTGTCACTGGGAATCATTATACTCATGTCTTTTGAATTCTATGCTGGCAATTCTGATTTCGATGCACAGTATAATGCTTCCTGAAGAAAATGATGTGTATCATACATGTTTCAGCTGCAAATATCTTCCGAAACGAGCTTGTTTAAAATATGTATCATAGAAAACCAGGTAATAGTATGTATAACTATCAATGGCACATAACATGATGATGTGTAATCAAAATAACAAGTAACTGAACGATTGCTCATGTGAGAAAATTACATACATTTGTATAAGGCTATTTATGCATACACGTTGACGTTTCGATTTTATATGAATTGCTTAAAGTCTCAATTGTTTAAAGATTACCCGTTTTTCAGCATGGAATCTCTTTAAATCAGCCTTTGCCTTTTCCTGGTAGGGTTTCTTTTCTTCCGCTGTCATCCTTTTCCATTTCTTCAGACATCGTCTGGTTATATTGATATGCTGAAAATACATTCATGTGGGCATTAGTAATCTCATGCCAGGACTGTGATAAGGCATTAGTAGTTATATAACTATTTACGATATAAGGATACATCGATATGCTGTGTGGAATGACATGGTTATTAGATGAAATATAACGATTCATAATAAAGGGTTACATCGATATGATGTGTGGAATGACATGGTTATTAGTTGAAATATAACGATTCATGATAAAGGGTTACATCGATATGCTGTGTGGAATACATGTTTATTAGTTGAAACATAACGATTCATGATAAATGGTTACATCGATATGATGTGTGGAATACATGTTTGTTAGGTGAAATATAACGATTCATGATAAAGGGTTACATTGATATGATGTGTGGAATGACATGGTTATTAGTTGAAATATAACGATTCGTGATAAAGGGTTACATCGATATGATGTGTGGAATACATGTTTGTTAGGTGAAATATAACGATTCATGATAAAAGGTTACATCGATATGCTGTGTGGAATGACATGGTTATTACTTGAAATATAACGATTCGTAATAAAGGGTTACATCGATATGCTGTGTGGAATACATGGTTATTAGATGAAATATAACGATTGATGATAAAAGGTTACATCGATATGATGTGTGGAATGACATGGTTATTAGTTGAAATATAACGATTCGTGATAAAGGGTTACATCGATATGCTGTGTGGAATACATGGTTATTAGATGAAATATAACGATTCATGATAAAGGGTTACATCGATATGCTGTGTTGAATGACATGGTTATTAGTTGAAATATAACGATTAATGATAAAGGGTTACATCGATATGATGTGTGGAATACATGGTTATTAGATGAAATATAACGATTCGTGATAAAGGGTTACATTGATATGATGTGTGGAATGACATGGTTATTAGTTGAAATATAACGATTAATGATAAAGGGTTACATCGATATGATGTGTGGAATACATGGTTATTAGATGAAATATAACGATTCGTGATAAAGGGTTACATTGATATGATGTGTGGAATGACATGGTTATTAGATGAAATATAACGATTCATGATAAAAGGTTACATCGATATGCTGTGTGGAATGACATGATTATTAGTTGAAATATAACGATTCGTGATAAAGGGTTACATCGATATGCTGTGCAGAATACATGGTTATTAGATGAAATATAACGATTCATGATAAAGGGTTACATCGATATGATGTGTGGAATGACATGGTTATTAGTTGAAATATAACGATTCATGATAAAGGGTTACATCGATATGATGTGTGGAATGACATGGTTATTAGTTGAAATATAACGATTCATGATAAAGGGTTACATCGATATGATATGTGGAATACATGGTTATTAGATGAAGTATAACGATTCATGATAAAAGGTTACATCGATATGCTGTGTGGAATGACATGATTATTAGTTGAAATATAACGATTCGTGATAAAGGGTTACATCGATATGCTGTGCAGAATACATGGTTATTAGATGAAATATAACGATTCATGATAAAGGGTTACATCGATATGATGTGTGGAATGACATGGTTATTAGTTGAAATATAACAATTCATGATAAAGGGTTACATCGATATGATGTGTGGAATGACATGGTTATTAGTTGAAATATAACGATTCATGATAAAGGGTTACATCGATATGATGTGTGGAATGACATGGTTATTAGTTGAAATAACGATTCATGATAAAAGTCTACATCGATATGCTGTGTGGAATGACAAGGTATTTAGTTTTTGAGAACGTAGTTAGAACTGGTTTTGTGTGATAGTATTGTTACTTCCTTGCTTGTCTTTGAAACTTGATGAAGTCATGAACATTTTGATAAAAAAAAATATATACATTTTATCGTTAACTATTTTAGGGGTCCGTTATACCACCTCGCGACATACCTTGTTTTTGTCTTCATTCCTTTTTTGTAGGACAACTCTGAAGTCCTTTTTGAAAAACTGCAACGCAGTGGTTGGAGGCTCAATATCAAGTCTTGCTGCAATTCTCTTTCTTCTTCTTTTGCCAAATGCCTGTCGTACTCCTTCCATTTTCGTACAGTGCAGTTACTCTGCTTTAGTCCCCACCTTTAGTCTACCTGTACCTCTTACTTATATATGAGTAAATCGGATAATTAAATTAAGTAAACTGTGACATTACGTAATTTTTGTTGTACCAGCATCGGTACACGGGAAATTAATTAAGACTCATGATTAATATGAGTCTGCCTATTTGTGAACATTGGTGAACAGAAATATGGACTCTTTTCTCTTTCAATATATCGGAATGATTTAACTATGTGCGTACGTGGACTAATGTTTGGCCAATGGTCTCGCCCTAATTCCCACCACATCGGTAGGAGGACTACAACGGATATACATTATTCTGGGTGAAATCTCGTTATTGATTTGAATCTTTAGTTATCATGTCGATATGCGAGTAGCATTTCAATTTCCGTCAAACCCACCTGTCTCGCTTGTGTACTTGTTTGAGAAAGAAGGCTAATTTCATTTTGGGAAAAGGAAATTAAATTGACAATATAGCATGCAAACTGACAGATTGAATCAGTCAGCCATTTAAAATCACGGGAACAAAATTCCTGTAACGCCATCGTCGTTCTCGGGTTTTGTGAAATAGCATGTTGACATCTTTTTAAAGTATAACACGTACAGTATCTCCATAGCTTATTTTCGGGGCTACCCCTGGTGTCTTGTTAATAACACCCTTGTTATTACTACAATGCCAAGTTGGTTAGGCATGATAAAAAGGATGAGTCTGGGAATGAGTCTGGGTATCGACTTAAAAAATATTGAAAATTGTAATGTCTGAAAAACCAACTCAATCACACATATTATTGAACTTCAATATCTTATCGTTCTTCTGAGAGTACAAAAATATCAATTTGTATCACAATTAATGAAGAATATTGGCATCAAAGACAGTGCATATCACTTTGTCAGAATTGAAAAAAATCAATGGCAAATATTAAATGAATTATTTAAACAAAAAGTTTGAAACATATCCTCCAAAACATTGCTTACTTTCTTTGTTTAGTCATTGAATGGTATTTCTGGATAAGTGAATTGGTGTTTATCTGGGTAATCAAGGGATTATAGTCACTCAAAGTTACTGAGCATCCAGTTTTGAGACTTCAATTGTGTTGGTGAAGTTGCACATATTTCAGTCAAATTCATGCTGAGCACAACGTTTTGGTTTCAATTTTATAATCTCTAAACATGACCCTGGTGATAAAGAGTCAGAATCAGTCGAAAAACCTAAACCGGAAAACTGTGCTCATTGTGAAAACTAAAAGTGAAGCAACCTTTTTTCTGATATTTCTTACATCAAATGGCAGCCATCCTGTTTTCCCCCTTCAAATTAAACTGGAGGGAAATTCAAAAATTTGAAAAAAATTTTAATCCTTAAATATATTTCAAAAATATGATTTTCTTTTTAAATCTTCATGGGTCTTTAGTTATTTTTTCTTTGTCATACATGTTGCCATTGGTGTTTTTTCTATGATAATGACTATTTTTTTGTTTGTTAAGATACTTATTCTGACTCTCAGCAGGAGGTTAATTATGCATCAAAACTCGAAAAAAGGAAATATACTTATCAAATGTAACTAAGACAGTAATAAAAAACATATTTCACATACATTTGACTGAGGGACCAAAAGGGCATATATCCGGACACATCCTTTATGTGTGGATGGGGAAGTCTAGCCCCCCCATCCCCTTACCAAAAGCTGGCTACGGGCATGAGATACCGTAGATGAAAGTTGAATTTTAATATCTAAATCTAATACGGTATACGATTATCTAAATATAATTTTTAAGACTGACATAACATGGCTTTATTTAGGAATTTATTATTGGCAGCAGGTCACAAAATTCATGGCACTTTTTTTCTCGAGCAGAATCTGTCCTGTATTGCACTTCAAATCATTTAATAACTTATAATACTGTTAGGGTGATGACCACAATTTTCCATTGAATCCAATCATTTCCATCAACCATCATCAGTCCAATCATTCGTCTATAAGAATGGTTATCATTTTTATTATTAGGGAGAATTTTAATATTTTTCCTCACTTTTGCACTTTGAATCTTAAATAACTTCACCAATTGATAACATATCATGGATCGTTTGGGAGATATTATATTTGAGTTTAATTGTGCGGAATACATTGGTATATCAATTGTACATATTGCTTGCAATTTTGTCACTCATAGATCTAATTCTGCCTTAAAATAGCAGGTCGGCCTGTTTAGAGTACACCATACTTGTGTAATGTGCAGCATGTAATACGACATGCATAGGTAGTTCAATCAAAGCTCGTTTGGTAAAATAAAAAAATATAATCATCCAAATGTCATTTAGGAGAAACAGTCTTCAATGTCCATTTTAGAGAGAGCAGCCATAAATCGATTGATTATGAATTCTTCTGTGGTATTTTGATTGTGACACATTTCACTTCAGTGTATTCCTTGAGCGCATATTCTCCTCTGAAAAGGAAAATGCAATACATAATCATGTATAGAGTGAGGAAGATGCAATGCATAATCATGTATAAAGGGAGGAAGATGCAATACATAATCATGTATAGAGGGAGGAAGATGCAATACATAATCATGTATAGAGTGAGGAAGATGCAATACATAATCATGTATAGAGTGAGGAAGATGCAATACATAATCATGTATAGAGGGAGGAAGATGCAATACATAATCATGTACAGGGTGTCCCAAAAAAAGGAAACCAGCAATAGATTGCTTATTTCTCAAATATGAATAATGATAAGAAAGTTTCACAGCTACCGTCCGATAGATTATGATGTCCTCTTTCTTATGATACCAAAGTTGTCTATTTTCCTTCACGGATGACTGAGTTATAAAGGATTTAAGTGACCATGTCAGAAATGAGTTTGTACCACTTTCAGCCAAGTCAATTTCACCATCATAACAAAGTGATAAGTGACAACAAACATCAGGATATCACTCTTTTACTCATTTATTCCAAATAAAATTACACATATCATATTTAACACCCCTTTTAAATCCATTCAAAGTTGTTTAAACCCCAGTGTCCTTCAACATGACCCCTTTTCCTTTCAATGCAAATGTCTGCCCTTGATCTCATCGCACATACTGCATCCCTGATGATGTCTCTCTGTCCCCTTAGATCCTCCACTGCTGCTACAATCCTGGCCCTTAGATCATCAATGTTGAATGCTTGTTCAGAAATGTGTATTTCGAATAGGACATGGTCTTGCATAGCCATTTTAATCCCTCATTGTTCAGCCATTCATGACAGAAAAAGTGGCACAAACCAATTTCTGACATGGTCACTTAAATCTCTTAGAACTCAGTCATCCGTGAAAAAAATAAACACCTTTGGTATCATAAGAAAAAGGAAATCATAACCTATGAAATTTTCCTATTATTATTCATATTTGAGAAATAAGCAATCTATTGCTGGTTTCCTTTTTTTGGGACACACTGTATAGAGGGAGGAAGATGCAATACATAATCATGTATAAAGGGAGGAAGATGCAATACAATCACGAATAGAGGGAGGAAGATGCAATATATTATCATGTATAGAGTGAGGAAGATGCAATACAATCACGAATAGAGGGAGGAAGATGCAATATATTATCATGCTAAGAGGCAGGAAGATGCAATACATAATCATGTATAGAGTGAGGAAGATGCAATGCATAATCATGTATAGAGGGAGAAAGATGCAATATATAATCATGTATAAAGGGAGGAAGATTCAATGCATAATCAGGTATAGAGGGAGGAAGATGCAATACATAATCATATATAAAGGAAGATGCAATTCATAATCATGTTTAGAGGGAGAAAGATGCAATATATAATCATGTATAAAGGGAGGAATATGCAATACATAATCATGTATAAAGGGAGGAAGATGCAATATATAATCATGTATAAAGGGAGGAAGATGCAATACATAATCATGTATAGAGGGAGGAAGATTCAATGCATAATCAGGTATAGAGGGAGGAAGATGCAATACATAATCATATATAAAGGAAGATGCAATTCATAATCATGTTTAGAGGGAGGAAGATGCAATACATAATCATATAAGAAGGAAGATGCAATTCATAATCATGTTTAGAGGGAGGACAATACAATACATAATCATGTATAAAGGAAGATGCATTATATAATCATGTTTAGAGGGAGGAAGATGCAATACATAATCATATATAAAGGAAGATGCATTATATAATTGTGTTTAGAGGGAGGAAGATGCAATACATAATCATATATAAAGGAAGATGCAATTCATAATCATGTTTAGAGGGAGGAAGATGCAATACATAATCATGTATAAAGGGAGGAAGATGCAATACAATCACGAATAGAGGGAGGAAGATGCAATATATTATCATGTATAGAGTGAGGAAGATGCAATACAATCACGAATAGAGGGAGGAAGATGCAATATATTATCATGCTAAGAGGCAGGAAGATGCAATACATAATCATGTATAGAGGGAGGAAGATGCAATACATAATCATATATAAAGGAAAATGCAATACATAATCATGTATAGAGTGAGGAAGATGCAATGCATAATCATGTATAAAGGGAGGAAGATGCAATACATAATCATGTATAGAGGGAGGAAGATGCAATACATAATCATATATAAAAGAAAATGCAATACATAATCATGTATAGAGTGAGGAAGATGCAATGCATAATCATGTATAAAGGGAGGAAGATGCAATACATAATCATGTATAGAGGGAGGAAGATGCAATACATAATCATATATAAAGGAAAATGCAATACATAATCATGTATAGAGTGAGGAAGATGCAATACATAATCATGTATAGAGGGAGGAAGATGCAATACATAATCATATATAAAGGAAAATGCAATACATAATCATGTATAGAGTGAGGAAGATGCAATGCATAATCATGTATAAAGGGAGGAAGATGCAATACATAATCATGTATAGAGGGAGGAAGATGCAATACATAATCATGTTTAGAGGGAGGAAGATGCAATATATAATCATGTATAGAGTGAGGAAGATGCAATACATAATCAGGTATAGAGTGAGGAAGATGCAATACATAATCATGTATAGAGGGAGGAAGATGCAATATATAATCATGTATAGAGTGAGGAAGATGCAATACATAATCATGTATAGAGGGAGAAAGATGCAGGGGCTGTTAAACATCTTAGATGCTCCAACAGTGCTCATTGCGCGCTGCAATCTAGTAGAAATCTTTCATGCAGATACCACAGGCATACCACGCAAATCAGAAACAAATTTCCTTCGCATGTAGAGCCTGCTGGCACTTATCTGCACCCAAATTTTTTAGTGTTAGTTGACATTTCTTCCCAAACTTTCTTGGTAGTCATCTGGTACTTTCTCCAGCAGTCCAATAGTCTATTCCTAGAGTCATCCAGTCTCACCTGGAGGTATCCATCACCATCAAATGGAAGTCATGGTTGTTAAAAATATTTTAGATGCTCTTACAGTGCTGGCTACTGATATGCTTCATGAGCAGTCTCACTGCTTTAGGGGATTAAACTGAAGCAGATATGATGAGGAGTTACCTCGAGCAGAGTTGATCAGGCTCCACCAGCATTTGATACAATGTACCCATGCAAGATGGTAGGTTAATGGGACGAAAAACATTACATAATCATATATAAAGGAAGATGTATTACATAATCATGTTTAGAGGGAGGAAGATGAAATACATAATCATGTATAGAGGAAGGAAAATGCAATACATAATCATATGTAAAGGAAGATGCATTATATAATCATGTTTAGAGGGAGGAAGATGCAATACATAATCGTATATAAAGGAAGATGCAATTCATAATCATGTTTAGAGGGAGGAAGATGCAATACATAATCATATAAGAAGGAAGATGCAATTCATAATCATGTTTAGAGGGAGGACAATACAATACATAATCATGTATAAAGGAAGATGCATTATATAATCATGTTTAGAGGGAGGAAGATGCAATACATAATCATATATAAAGGAAGATGCATTATATAATTGTGTTTAGAGGGAGGAAGATGCAATACATAATCATATATAAAGGAAGATGCAATTCATAATCATGTTTAGAGGGAGGAAGATGCAATACATAATCATGTATAGAGGGAGGAAGATGCAATACATAATCATATATAAAGGAAGATGCAATTCATAATCATGTTTAGAGGGAGGAAGATGCAATACATAATCATGTATAGAGGGAGGAAGATGCAATACATAATCATCTATAAAGGAAAATGCCATACATAATCATGTTTAGAGGGAGGAATATGCAATACATAATCATATATAAAGGAAGATGCAATGCATAATCAGGTATAGAGGGAGGAAGATGCAATACATAATCATATGTAAAGGAAGATGCATTATATAATCATGTTTAGAGGGAGGAAGATGCAATACATAATCATATATAAAGGAAGATGCAATTCATAATCATGTTTAGAGGGAGGAAGATGCAATACATAATCATGTAAAGAGGCAGGAAGATGCAATATATAAACATATAAAGGAAGATGCAATATATAATCATGTATAGAGGGAGGAAGATGCAATATATAATCATGTATAGAGGGAGGAAGATACGATATATAATCATGTTTAGAGAGAGGAAGATGCAATGCATAATCAGGTATAGAGGGAGGAAGATGCAATACATAATCATGTATGGTGGGAGGAAGATGCAATACATAACCATGTATGGAGGGGGGAAGATGCAATTCATAATCATGTTTAGAGGGAGGAAGATGCAATACATAATCATATATAAAGGAAGATGCAATGCATAATCAGGTATAGAGGGAGGAAGATGCAATGCATAATCATGTATAGAGGGAGGAAGATGCAATACATAATCATGTATAGAGGGAGGAAGATGCAATACATAATCATGTATAGAGTGAGGAAGATGCAATACATAATCATGTATAGAGGGAGGAAGATTCAATTCATAATCAGGTATAGAGGGAGGAAGATGCAATACATAATCATGTATAGAGGGAGGAAGATGCAATACATAATCATGTATAGAGGGAGGAAGATGCAATACATATATAATCATGGTATAAAGAATTGTCATTACTTACAATTCTCTCCCATGGCCAGACTGCTTGAATCCTCCAAATGGCTGGTTTGGGGAAATAACATCATAACAGTTCACCCTAAAATCAAAAATAAGATGTTGTCAATTTGGATTTATCGAGAAATCCTTAAGAGTTTAAAAAGGCAGCATGAGTGTCATTCGTGTCCAAGTTAAAGGACATTGAAATACATCTTTGTCACAAGTAATATACCATATAAGACGCTAAATAAATCATCTCACTGCCCAAACATCAAACCCAATATGTAATCTACATACCATACATTTCCTCCCTTGAGGCCATCAGCAAAAGTAAATGCCCGATTTATATCCTTAGTGTAGACTCCAGCTGCCAGGCCGTACGTTGTAGCATTAGCTCTTTCTATTGCTTCTTCTACATCAGTGAATTTGATGATAGTCTGTACTGGACCAAAAATCTGTAAATGAACAAAAATTAAGCCGTTTACTTTATAGTGTATGTCTCATATCATTTCTTGATCCATCATGCACCATAATTATGGACCTGCCCTCGTTTAGTAGTACCCTCTATTTTGGCCCTGAAGTACTAGTTAACTGGGTATGAACTTCTAATATATAGGTGGAAATATATCAGGGTAAAATAGACCCTCTTTGAACATTCATGCATTTGTGAACATTAAAATGCTATTTGGCTAAATATAAGTGTTTCACAAGTTATAAAAAAGACAGTGACTGGTTTATGCCTGTGCATTGCAGAATTTCATATTAATCAGATTTTAACCAATTTAATAACTCAAAATTCAAAATTTACCTCCTCTTTTGTAATCCTCATTTCATCTGTGGCATTTGAGAACACTGTAGGCTTAATGAAATAACCCTTTTCCCCAAAGCGTACTCCTCCACACTCAAGCTTGGCTCCTTGCTGTTTGCCACTTTCTATCATCTCCATTATCTTCTTGAATTGGGCCTCATCAATCTATTTAATCACAAATGAATATATTTTCAGAGGCTACAATGCCTATACATCTTATACCAGTCCTATGGCAACATATATTTCAGAACATGTTTGCAAAGCCTATCCATCTTATTACCATGGTAACATATATTGTGAAACATGTTTACAATGTCTATTCATTATTATGGCAACATATACATGTAGTGTGTAACATGTTTGCCATGCCTAAACAACTTTAGGCACCAAGATAACATTTCATGTTTATCATGTTTACAATGCCTATATGTTTTATTGCCATGGTTAACATATTATTTGCACTATGTTTACAGTGTATACATCTTATTACTATGGCAACATATTGTGTACTATATGTTTACAATGCCTATAGATGCCAGGCGCGTAACCAGGCATACGCGAGGGTACGCAATCGCATACCCTAAATGATGGAGCAAAAAATAAATTGTTTTAAAAAATAAAAAAGTAAAGCAAAATAGTTTGTTTTATGATCTTTCCTGGACTATACTTCCCTTCAAGACTCTACCCCGTCTCTACCGCAACAGCTGAACGCAGCTTCAGCTCTTTGAAGCGTCTCAAGACTTATCTCAGATCAACTATGGGACAAACTCCTTTAAGTTCACTGGCATTGATGCATATTCACAAAAACTTTATTTTCGATAAGCGTGGAATTGTAAGAGAGTGGGGGGCAAGGGCCCCTTGCCGTTTAGGCTTTGCATTTGTTTAAAAGCCCCATATAAAGTTTCAACCACTTTGGCGTATATTACACTCCCCTCCATAAGTTTGGCAACCTTAGCTCTGCCATCTCTTTATATTTGAATTTTTTATTTATTTAACCTCCGATGAAAAATACTTATAATATTGATGCGAACGTAACTTGACTTAATTTCCAATACCTCCTTGCTTAAAACAACGTAATATGTACGGCAATATGCGATTATTCTCGTTCAAGTACTTTATTAATTCTTGAATTATAGATTGTATTTCAAATCGTATCTATATCAGAACAATAGAACTTCAATTTAACTATTACATTGCTGGCGCAAAAGTACAAGATCAGTATAATAAAACTGCTGTATATGCAATCTCTGTCTCTTTTCAAATCATAACAGAAAATTTTTTTTACGTCAGAACAAGCTCAATCAATGAGGATCAGCTAGAAACGAAAAAATGTTGTCCTCGTATCAAAATGGATTTTCTCCTATTCGGAGGAATTTTCATTTTCGCTATTTACCCACTGCATCATTTTTATTTAGTCTCCATTTCTCGAACATAAGTGACGAATGATGATATCATTTAATTGGCAATAATTTGACATGTGTGGTAATTATTTTACATGTATCATGAACAATGTAAACAATCAATAGTGCCCCATTACATAGTCTGATATAGCTCAGAACGCACCATTTAAGGTCTAAAATCAAAATTTTCCGGGGGAGCATGCCCCCGAAGCCCCCTAGTTTTGGTCGGCCTTCGGCCTCGGGCGCCTCGCGTACCCACTCCCAAAATCCTGGTTACGCCGCTGGATGCATGGTTAAATATAGTGAATAACGTTTACAATGCTAATACATCTTATTACCATCGTAACATATATTGTGCAACATGTTTACAATGCTTATAAATCTTATTACAATCATAACATATACCTTTATATCTAATAACCATTGTAACATATATTATGTAAAATATTTACAATGACTATATATCTTATTACCTGAGGGCCTTGCATGGTGCCTGCCTCCCATGGATCTCCAATTGTACGGTTCTCTGCTGCGGTCTTGCTCTTGGCCACAAACTCATCATAGATGTCAGCATGTACAAATGTCCTTGAGGCCGCACAGCAGTTCTGCCCGTGGTTGTTCATTATTCCAGAGTGTGCCCATTGCACTGCATCATCAACTGAAGAAGTAGTTATTTACTGAGAGGGATCAAATATGAAATTATGTCCTTGAGGCTACACAGCAGTTTTTTAGTGAATCATGTGCTTTGTGTTTTTTTGTTCAATTTTCATTGTTTATTTCATTGTATCCATCATCCAACTTTCGATGCCTCCCCTAATCAAAGTCCACTTTTGCTAATCTAAGTCCACTTTTGATAATCTAAGTCCAATATTGGTAATCTTATTCAACTTATGCATATCTAAGTCCGCTATTGCTAATCTAAGTCCACTGTTGCTAATCTAAGTCCACTATTGCTAATATAAGTCTTCTATTGCTAATCTAAGTCCATTATTATTAATCTAAGTCCACTATTACTAATCTAAGATCACTATTGCTAATATAAGCCCACTATTGCTAATCTAAGTCCACTATTGCTAATATAAGTCCACTGTTGCTAATCTAAGATCACTATTGCTAATCTAAGCCCACTATCGCTAATCTAAGTCCAATATTGGTAATCTAATTTGACTTATGCTAATCTAAGTCCACTATTGCTAATCTACATGTAATCCCACTATTTCAAATCTAACTCCACTGTTGCTAATCTAAATCTCCTATTGCTAAAATTGTTTAAATTTCTCACCATCAGCATCCTGGAAGATCACAAATGGACTTTTTCCACCAAGTTCCAGTGAAACTCTTTTCATGTTACTTTCACTGGCTGCCCTCATTACAACTTTGCCAATCTGAAAAAAATATGCCATATTAGTTCTTGAGTTTTGTTAATTAGAATTTCCTCCGACAAAATACACCGAAACCAATGTATGAGTGGCTCTATTTTTGGGTATACATGACAATTACTTAAATGTTTAAAGTGGTGCTGGGCATCAATTGTCATATTGTCTTTGTCCCTAACCTCAGTTGACCCAGTGAATGCTACTTTATCAACATCTAGATGTTCAGCCACGGCAGCACCAGCAGTTGGGCCATAGCCAGTCACTATGTTGACAACACCAGGGGGAAACCCAGCCTGGAATATCACAGCAGTAATATTTTAAATTGTGAAATAGAAAGGAAAATAGGGTAATTACCAAGGAATAAAGCAATAACATGTAGTTAACACTCTTAAATTATAATGAAATGCAAGAAAATATGCTTCCGATGGAATTCAAATTCCAAGAGAAAAGGAGAGTGACATAAGCATGAGCAGACAGATGGACATTTGGAAAAATATAAAATAGCAGTTATGTTTCAGAAATTAAAATAATCAAGGTGTAAAGACAACCAGACACTTTATTCAAATTTTAGAGAAATAATCATGGAAAAAATATAACATTTAAGAAACCAACCTCTTTTATAAGAGCACCACAATAAAGGGCAGTTAAGGGAGTCTGTTCTGCTGGTTTCATAACAACAGTGTTACCACAGGCCAAGGCTGGACCCCACTTCCAAGCTACCATCATAACTGGATAGTTCCACTAGAAATAAAATACACAAATGGTTTCATAACAACAGAGTTACCACAGGCCAAGGCTGGACCCCACTTCCAAGCTACCATCATAACTGGATAGTTCCACTAGAAATAAAATACACGAATGGTTTCATAACAACAGAGTTACCACAGGCCAAGGCTGGACCCCACTTCCAAGCTACCATCATAACTGGATAGTTCCACTAGAAATAAAGTACATGAATGGTTTCAAAACTACAGTGTTACCACAGGCCAAGGCTGGACCCCACTTCCAAGCTACCATCATAACTGGATAGTTCCACTAGAAATAAAATACACAAATGGTTTCATAACAACAGTGTTACCACAGGCCAAGGCTGGACCCCACTTCGAAGCTACCATCATAACTGGATAGTTCCACTAGAAATAAAGTACACAAATGGTTTCATAACAATAGTGTTACCACAGGCCAAGGCTGGACCCCACTTCCAAGCTACCATCATAACTGGATAGTTCCACTAGAAATAAAGTACATGAATGGTTTCAAAACTACAGTGTTACCACAGGCCAAGGCTGGACCCCACTTCCAAGCTACCATCATAACTGGATAATTCCACTAGAAATAAAATACATGAATGGTTTCATAAGTACAGTGTTACTACAGGCCAAGGCTGGACCCCACTTCCAAGCTACCATCATAACTGGATAGTTCCACTAGAAATAAAATAAACAAATGGTTTCATAACAACAGTGTTACCACAGGCCAAGGCTGGACCCCACTTCCAAGCTACCATCATAACTGGATAGTTCCACTAGAAATAAAATACACAAATGGTTTCAAATCTACAGTGTTACCACAGGCCAAGGCTGGACCCTACTTCCAAGCTACCATCATAACTGGATAGTTCCACTAGAAATAAAGTACATGAATGGTTTCATAACAACAGTGTTACCACAGGCCAAGGCTGGACCCCACTTCCAAGCTACCATCATAACTGGATAGTTCCACTAGAAATAAAGTACATGAATGGTTTCATAACAACAGTGTTACCACAGGCCAAGGCTGGACCCCACTTCCAAGCTACCATCATAACTGGATAGTTCCACTAGAAATAAAGTACATGAATGGTTTCATAACAACAGAGTTACCACAGGCCAAGGCTGGACCCCACTTCCAAGCTACCATCATAAATGGATAGTTCCACTAGAAATAAAGTACATGAATGGTTTCAAAACAACAGTGTTACCACAGGCCAAGGCTGGACCCCACTTCCAAGCTACCATCATAACTGGATAGTTCCACTAGAAATAAAGTACATGAATGGTTTCATAACAACAGTGTTACCACAGGCCAAGGCTGGACCCCACTTCGAAGCTACCATCATAACTGGATAGTTCCACTAGAAATAAAATACATGAATGGTTTCATAACAACAGAGTTACCACAGGCCAAGGCTGGACCCCACTTCCAAGCTACCATCATAACTGGATAGTTCCACTAGAAATAAAGTACATGAATGGTTTCATAACAACAGAGTTACCACAGGCCAAGGCTGGACCCCACTTCCAAGCTACCATCATAAATGGATAGTTCCACTAGAAATAAAGTACATGAATGGTTTCAAAACAACAGTGTTACCACAGGCCAAGGCTGGACCCCACTTCCAAGCTACCATCATAACTGGATAGTTCCACTAGAAATAAAATACACAAATGGTTTCATAACAATAGTGTTACCACAGGCCAAGGCTGGACCCCACTTCCAAGCTACCATCATAACTGGATAATTCCACTAGAAATAAAATACACAAATGGTTTAATAACAACAGTGTTACCACAGGCCAAGGCTGGACCCCACTTCCAAGCTACAATCATAACTGGATAGTTCCACTAGAAATAAAGTACACAAATGGTTTCATAAGTACAGTGTTACCACAGGCCAAGGCTGGACCCCACTTCCAAGCTACCATCATAACTGGATAGTTCCACTAGAAATAGAATACACAAATGGTTTCATAACAACAGTGTTACCACAGGCCAAGGCTGGACCCCACTTCCAAGCTACCATAATAACTGGATAGTTCCACTAGAAATAAAGTACATGAATGGTTTCAAATCTACAGTGTTACCACAGGCCAAGGCTGGACCCTACTTCCAAGCTACCATCATAACTGGATAGTTCCACTAGAAATAAAGTACACAAATGGTTTCATAACAATAGTGTTACCACAGGCCAAGGCTGGACCCCACTTCCAAGCTACCATCTTAACTGGATAATTCCACTAGAAATAAAATAAACAAATGGTTTCATAACAACAGTGTTACCACAGGCCAAGGCTGGACCCCACTTCCAAGCTACCATCATAAATGGATAGTTCCACTAGAAATAAAGTACATGAATGGTTTCAAATCTACAGTGTTACCACAGGCCAAGGCTGGACCCCACTTCCAAGCTACCATCTTAACTGGATAATTCCACTAGAAATAAAATAAACAAATGGTTTCATAACAACAGTGTTACCACAGGCCAAGGCTGGACCCCACTTCCAAGCTACCATCATAACTGGATAGTTCCACTAGAAATAAAATACACAAATGGTTTCATAAGTACAGTGTTACCACAGGCCAAGGCTGGACCCCACTTCCAAGCTACCATCATAACTGGATAGTTCCACTAGAAATAAAATACACAAATGGTTTCATAACAACAGTGTTACTTCAGGCCAAGGCTGGACCCCACTTCCAAGCTACCATCATAACTGGATAGTTCCACTAGAAATAAAATACACAAATGGTTTCAAATCTACAGTGTTACCACAGGCCAAGGCTGGACCCTACTTCCAAGCTACCATCATAACTGGATAGTTCCACTAGAAATAAAGTACACAAATGGTTTCATAACAACAGTGTTACTTCAGGCCAAGGCTGGACCCCACTTCCAAGCTACCATCATAACTGGATAATTCCACTAGAAATAAAGTACATGAATGGTTTCAAATCTACAGTGTTACCACAGGCCAAGGCTGGACCCCACTTCCAAGCTACCATCATAACTGGATAGTTCCACTAGAAATAAAGTACATGAATGGTTTCAAAACAACAGTGTTACCACAGGCCAAGGCTGGACCCCACTTCCAAGCTACCATCATAACTGGATAGTTCCACTAGAAATAGAATACACAAATGGTTTCATAACAACAGTGTTACTTCAGGCCAAGGCTGGACCCCACTTCCAAGCTACCATCATAACTGGATAGTTCCACTAGAAATAAAATACACAAATGGTTTCATAAGTACAGTGTTACCACAGGCCAAGGCTGGACCCCACTTCCAAGCTACCATCATAACTGGATAATTCCACTAGAAATAAAGTACATGAATGGTTTCAAATCTACAGTGTTACCACAGGCCAAGGCTGGACCCCACTTCAAAGCTACCATCATAAATGGATAGTTCCACTAGAAATAAAGTACATGAATGGTTTCAAATCTACAGTGTTACCACAGGCCAAGGCTGGACCCCACTTCCAAGCTACCATCATAACTGGATAGTTCCACTAGAAATAAAATACACAAATGGTTTCATAACAATAGTGTTACCACAGGCCAAGGCTGGACCCCACTTCCAAGCTACCATCATAACTGGATAATTCCACTAGAAATAAAGTACATGAATGGTTTCAAAACTACAGTGTTACCACAGGCCAAGGCTGGACCCCACTTCCAAGCTACCATCATAACTGGATAGTTCCACTAGAAATAAAATACACAAATGGTTTCATAACAATAGTGTTACCACAGGCCAAGGCTGGACCCCACTTCCAAGCTACCATCATAACTGGATAGTTCCACTAGAAATAAAATACACGAATGGTTTCATAACAACAGAGTTACCACAGGCCAAGGCTGGACCCCACTTCCAAGCTACCATCATAACTGGATAATTCCACTAGAAATAAAGTACATGAATGGTTTCAAAACTACAGTGTTACCACAGGCCAAGGCTGGACCCCACTTCCAAGCTACCATCATAACTGGATAATTCCACTAGAAATAAAGTACATGAATGGTTTCATAACAATAGTGTTACCACAGGCCAAGGCTGGACCCCACTTCCAAGCTACCATCATAACTGGATAGTTCCACTAGAAATAAAATACACAAATGGTTTCATAACAATAGTGTTACCACAGGCCAAGGCTGGACCCCACTTCCAAGCTACCATCATAACTGGATAGTTCCACTAGAAATAAAATACACGAATGGTTTCATAACAACAGAGTTACCACAGGCCAAGGCTGGACCCCACTTCCAAGCTACCATCTTAACTGGATAGTTCCACTAGAAATAAAGTACATGAATGGTTTCAAATCTACAGTGTTACCACAGGCCAAGGCTGGACCCCACTTCCAAGCTACCATCATAACTGGATAGTTCCACTAGAAATAAAATACACAAATGGTTTCATAAGTACAGTGTTACCACAGGCCAAGGCTGGACCCCACTTCCAAGCTACCATCATAACTGGATAGTTCCACTAGAAATAGAATACACAAATGGTTTCAAAACAACAGTGTTACCACAGGCCAAGGCTGGACCCCACTTCCAAGCTACCATCATAACTGGATAGTTCCACTAGAAATAAAATACACGAATGGTTTCATAACAATAGTGTTACCACAGGCCAAGGCTGGACCCCACTTCCAAGCTACCATCATAACTGGATAATTCCACTAGAAATAAAGTACATGAATGGTTTCAAAACTACAGTGTTACCACAGGCCAAGGCTGGACCCCACTTCCAAGCTACCATCATAACTGGATAATTCCACTAGAAATAAAATACACAAATGGTTTCATAAGTACAGTGTTACTACAGGCCAAGGCTGGACCCCACTTCCAAGCTACCATAATAACTGGATAGTTCCACTAGAAATAAAATACACGAATGGTTTCATAACAACAGAGTTACCACAGGCCAAGGCTGGACCCCACTTCCAAGCTACCATCATAACTGGATAATTCCACTAGAAATAAAATACACAAATGGTTTCATAAGTACAGTGTTACTACAGGCCAAGGCTGGACCCCACTTCCAAGCTACCATCATAACTGGATAGTTCCACTAGAAATAAAGTACACAAATGGTTTCATAACAACAGAGTTACCACAGGCCAAGGCTGGACCCCACTTCCAAGCTACCATCATAACTGGATAGTTCCACTAGAAATAAAATACACGAATGGTTTCATAACAACAGTGTTACCACAGGCCAAGGCTGGACCCCACTTCCAAGCTACCATCATAACTGGATAGTTCCACTAGAAATAAAATACACGAATGGTTTCATAACAACAGAGTTACCACAGGCCAAGGCTGGACCCCACTTCCAAGCTACCATCATAACTGGATAATTCCACTAGAAATAAAGTACATGAATGGTTTCAAATCTACAGTGTTACCACAGGCCAAGGCTGGACCCCACTTCCAAGCTACCATCATAACTGGATAGTTCCACTAGAAATAAAATACACAAATGGTTTCATAAGTACAGTGTTACCACAGGCCAATGCTGGACCCCACTTCTAAGCTACCATCATAACTGGATAGTTCCACTAGAAATAAAATACACAAATGGTTTCATAAGTACAGTGTTACCACAGGCCAAAGCTGGACCCCACTTCCAAGCTACCATCATAACTGGATAGTTCCACTAGAAATAAAGTACATGAATGGTTTCAAAACAACAGTGTTACCACAGGCCAAGGCTGGACCCCACTTCCAAGCTACCATCATAACTGGATAGTTCCACTAGAAATAAAGTACATGAATGGTTTCAAAACAACAGTGTTACCACAGGCCAAGGCTGGACCCCACTTCCAAGCTACCATCATAACTGGATAGTTCCACTAGAAATAAAATACACAAATGGTTTCAAATCTACAGTGTTACCACAGGCCAAGGCTGGACCCTACTTCCAAGCTACCATCATAACTGGATAGTTCCACTAGAAATAAAGTACACAAATGGTTTCATAACAACAGTGTTACTTCAGGCCAAGGCTGGACCCCACTTCCAAGCTACCATAATAACTGGATAGTTCCACTAGAAATAAAATACATGAATGGTTTCATAACAACAGTGTTACCACAGGCCAAGGCTGGACCCCACTTCCAAGCTACCATCATAACTGGATAGTTCCACTAGAAATAAAGTACATGAATGGTTTCATAACAACAGTGTTACCACAGGCCAAGGCTGGACCCCACTTCCAAGCTACCATCATAACTGGATAATTCCACTAGAAATAAAGTACATGAATGGTTTCAAATCTACAGTGTTACCACAGGCCAAGGCTGGACCCCACTTCCAAGCTACCATCATAACTGGATAGTTCCACTAGAAATAAAATACACGAATGGTTTCATAACAACAGTGTTACCACAGGCCAAGGCTGGACCCCACTTCCAAGCTACCATAATAACTGGATAGTTCCACTAGAAATAAAGTACATGAATGGTTTCAAATCTACAGTGTTACCACAGGCCAAGGCTGGACCCTACTTCCAAGCTACCATCATAACTGGATAGTTCCACTAGAAATAAAGTACACAAATGGTTTCATAACAATAGTGTTACCACAGGCCAAGGCTGGACCCCACTTCCAAGCTACCATCATAACTGGATAGTTCCACTAGAAATAAAATACATGAATGGTTTCAAATCTACAGTGTTACCGCAGGCCAAGGCTGGACCCCACTTCCAAGCTACCATCATAACTGGATAGTTCCACTAGAAATAAAATACACAAATGGTTTCAAAACAACAGTGTTACTTCAGGCCAAGGCTGGACCCCACTTCCAAGCTACCATCATAACTGGATAATTCCACTAGAAATAAAGTACATGAATGGTTTCAAATCTACAGTGTTACCACAGGCCAAGGCTGGACCCCACTTCCAAGCTACCATCATAACTGGATAGTTCCACTAGAAATAAAGTACATGAATGGTTTCAAAACAACAGTGTTACCACAGGCCAAGGCTGGACCCCACTTCCAAGCTACCATCTTAACTGGATAATTCCACTAGAAATAAAATAAACAAATGGTTTCATAACAACAGTGTTACCACAGGCCAAGGCTGGACCCCACTTCCAAGCTACAATCATAACTGGATAGTTCCACTAGAAATAAAATACACGAATGGTTTCAAAACAACAGTGTTACCACAGGCCAAGGCTGGACCCCACTTCCAAGCTACCATCATAAATGGATAGTTCCACTAGAAATAAAGTACATGAATGGTTTCAAATCTACAGTGTTACCACAGGCCAAGGCTGGACCCCACTTCCAAGCTACCATCATAACTGGATAATTCCACTAGAAATAAAGTAAACAAATGGTTTCATAACAACAGTGTTACCACAGGCCAAGGCTGGACCCCACTTCCAAGCTACCATCATAACTGGATAGTTCCACTAGAAATAAAATACACAAATGGTTTCATAAGTACAGTGTTACCACAGGCCAAGGCTGGACCCCACTTCCAAGCTACCATCATAACTGGATAGTTCCACTAGAAATAAAGTACATGAATGGTTTCATAACAACAGTGTTACTTCAGGCCAAGGCTGGACCCCACTTCCAAGCTACCATCATAACTGGATAGTTCCACTAGAAATAAAATACACAAATGGTTTCATAAGTACAGTGTTACCACAGGCCAAGGCTGGACCCCACTTCCAAGCTACCATCATAACTGGATAGTTCCACTAGAAATAAAATACACAGTATTTGCCATTATTTTAACATATGTCATTAAAAATATTAACGTTAGTTAATGGTTTACAGGTTTATCACATGTGGACCCTTGGGAATTTTTTTATTCATGTAGTATGATTATCTAGTGTTACATTTACAAGGTTGGCACTAGATACCCATAGGTGGGGGGGATTATCAGTGCAAATTATCAACAAATATCAAAACCATAAATTGTATTGCTAATGTAAACAAAAGATAAATGAGAACAACATTGATACAAGCCACTTCTTAAAGTAATTAATTAGCATTTTCTGATGTAGTGATTCTTTAAATAGACCAATTTATCTTGTACAAATATAAAATAGAGTAAAACTTACTGGTATGATTTGTCCACAGACTCCAACAGGTTCGTGTTTAGTGTATGTGAAAAAGTCGCCATCTGAAAATGTAAATTGAATCTGATTCAGCTGAAACTACACTCCCCTCCATAAGTGATGTATGTATCTAGTATATATACACTCCCCTTCTTACCTTTGGCTATCAGAATTCCCTTTTTGGATCACTTATTGTGCACAAGTTTATGTTTGACGACTTAAAAAATCATTGAATTCTAAGTAATTAAGAAAAAAAAATTCAAAAATTGAGAGGCTTTGATATGCTATCCAGTGAAAACCTTGGGTTGCATTATGAAGTGGAGTGGAATGCTTCAATGGCTTATGAAGTTTAGTAGAATTCTTCAAAGGGCTCATGAATTAGAGTGACATGCTTCAAAAGGCCTATGGCTCTCAAGCACATATGAAGTGTAGTGGAATGCTTCAAAAGGCTTATGGCTCTCCACCACTTATTAAGTGGAGTGGGATCTTTCAAAAGACCTATGGCCCTCCATCACTTACGAAGTAGATTGGAATGCTTCAAAAGGCTTATGGCCCTCCATCACTTATGAAGTTGAGTTGAATGCCTCAAAAGGCTTATGACCTTCCATCACTTATGAAGTTGAGTGGAATGCTTCAAAAGGCTTATGGCCCTCCATCACTTATGAAGTTGAGTGGAATGCTTCAAAAGGCTTATGACCTTCCATCACTTATGAAGTTGAGTGGAATGCTTCAAAAGGCTTATGGCCCTCCACAACTTATGAAGTTGAGTGGAATGCTTCAAAAGGCTTATGGCCCTCCATCACTTATGAAGTTGAGTTGAATGCCTCAAAAGGCTTATGACCTTCCATCACTTATGAAGTTGAGTGGAATGCTTCAAAAGGCTTATGGCCCTCCATCACTTATGAAGTTGAGTGGAATGCTTCAAAAGGCTTATGAAGTTTAGTAGAATTCTTCAAAGGGCTCATGAATTAGAGTGACATGCTTCAAAAGGCCTATGGCTCTCAAGCACATATGAAGTGTAGTGGAATGCTTCAAAAGGCTTATGGCTCTCCACCACTTATTAAGTGGAGTGGGATCTTTCAAAAGACCTATGGCCCTCCATCACTTACGAAGTAGATTGGAATGCTTCAAAAGGCTTATGGCCCTCCATCACTTATGAAGTTGAGTTGAATGCCTCAAAAGGCTTATGACCTTCCATCACTTATGAAGTTGAGTGGAATGCTTCAAAAGGCTTATGGCCCTCCATCACTTATGAAGTTGAGTGGAATGCTTCAAAAGGCTTATGACCTTCCATCACTTATGAAGTTGAGTGGAATGCTTCAAAAGGCTTATGGCCCTCCACAACTTATGAAGTTGAGTGGAATGCTTCAAAAGGCTTATGGCCCTCCATCACTTATGAAGTTGAGTTGAATGCCTCAAAAGGCTTATGACCTTCCATCACTTATGAAGTTGAGTGGAATGCTTCAAAAGGCTTATGGCCCTCCATCACTTATGAAGTTGAGTGGAATGCTTCAAAAGGCTTATGACCTTCCATCACTTATGAAGTTGAGTGGAATGCTTCAAAAGGCTTATGGCCCTCCACAACTTATGAAGTTGAGTGGAATGCTTCAAAAGGCTTATGGCCCTCCATCACTTATGAAGTTGAGTGGAATGCTTCAAAAGGCTTATGGCCCTCCATCACTTATGAAGTTGAGTGGAATGCTTCAAAAGGCTTATGGCCCTCCATCACTTATGAAGTTGAGTGGAATGCTTCAAAAGGCTTATGGCCCTCCATCACTTATGAAGTTGAGTGGAATGCCTCAAAAGGCTTATGACCTTCCATCACTTATGAAGTTGAGTGGAATGCTTCAAAAGGCTTATGGCCCTCCATCACTTATGAAGTTGAGTGGAATGCTTCAAAAGGCTTATGACCTTCCATCACTTATGAAGTTGAGTGGAATGCTTCAAAAGGCTTATGGCCCTCCATCACTTATGAAGTTGAGTGGAATGCTTCAAAAGGCTTATGGCCCTCCATCACTTATGAAGTTGAGTGGAATGCTTCAAAAGGCTTATGACCTTCCATCACTTATGAAGTTGAGTGGAATGCTTCAAAAGGCTTAAGGCCCTCCACCACATATGAAGTCGAGTAGAATGCTTCAAAGAGCTTATGGCCCTCCACCACAAATGAAGTGGAGTGATTAATTAATTTAATTAGAATATATCCTTACCTACTGGTATAGTTTGACCTGTTATCTTGTCAGCCCATCCTGCATAATAGCGGAAAGTTTGAATTGAAGCCTCAATGTCACCAATTGAGTCTGTGTAAGGTTTACCATTGTCCAGTGTCTCCAAACTCTAAAAATAGATTAACATTAAGTTTGTTTGAGTGCTTGTTTGAGGCTTAAATGGATGTTCAGGAATTCCTGTATATGGATATTCAAACACCTATCTAATATGAACATCTCTCCATATGTTATCGTTCCATTAAAATTATAATCTGATAAACGAAAAACTTGAAATGTGTTCTACATACATGTATTAACTAACTGGAACATTTTGGCAAGTCTCAGTTATGTTGTTATGAGACATCCACCTTTTTTGACTGCTTGTTATAAATATTTTGCTGGTTTTAATTATTTTTATGATTTGATTTGTTTTGAACATTAATGAAGTGAAGACAAAATTAAATAATGTACCATGTCATAGTCTCTCATTGCATCTCAGGTGAATGAAAAATATATATCTTATATACATACTGCTAAGTATTTCAAATCTCGCTCCATAAGATCTGCAAGTTTTGCAAGAAGTCGTCCACGATTTGATGCATCCATTTTTCGCCAGGCGGACCCACGTTTGAATGCATCTTTGGCTGCGGCTACAGCCAGATCAACATCCATCTGAAAATAGATTCAAAATCGTTACACCCAAGGGCAAAATAATTGAGAGGCTAGGTGTCAATGCTACAAAATTCAAAAAGGAAATAAAAGAAACATTTTTCTTTAATTACATGCTTACTATAATAATAAAGGATTGATCAAAATCTGGTATGAAATCCATCAGACAATTAAAGTAGTTTATTTTCTATTTACATTTGGTCAGTATCACTTTTCTTTAGATTAATAGCATTTGTAACTCTAAATAAAATCAACATTGCTTTTTTCAATATAGATAATCTCTATCAAGTCACATCTAGAATATGTCGTACTTTGTCACCCTCCTGTACATCACAGATCTTCTCCTCCGTGCAGGGGTTGATTGTTGGAAATGTCTTACCACTTACAGAATTCACCCACTCATTGTTGATGAACAGCTGTAAGAGAAAACAAAATTATATGTCAATTACATCAAAGATCTTTCCTCCATGCAGGGGTTGATGGTTGGAAATGTCTTACCACTCACAGAATTCACCCACTCATTGTTGATGAACAGCTGTAAGAGAAAACAAAATTATATGTCAATTACATCAAAGATCTTTCCTCCATGCAGGGGTTGAATGTTGGAAATGTCTTACCACTCACAGAATTCACGCACGAGAATGCAACAACAGCTCATGGCAATAAGAATGTCAAATATATAGAGATGAAGTGAATAGAATATGCCACAAAGATGTCAGGTCAATAGAGCAAGCCAAGTTAGGTTCAAGTAAATAGAGAATGCAACAACAGCCCATGGAAATAAGGCATGTCAAACATATGGAGATGAAGTGGAATATGCCACAAAGATTTTAGGTCAATAGACCAAGCCAAGTTAGGTTCAAGTAAATAGAGAATGCAACAACAGCTCATGGCAATAAGGCATGTCAAAACTAGGGAGATGAAGTGAATAGAATATGACACAAAGATGTCAGGTTAATAGAGCAAGCCAAGCTAGGTTCAGGTAAATAGAGAATGCAACAACAGCTCATGGCAATAAGGCATGTCAAACATATGGAGATGAAGTGGAATATGCCACAAAGATGTCAGGTCAATAGAGCAAGCCAAGTTAGGTTCAAGTAAATAGAGAATGCAACAACAGCTCATGGCAATAAGGCATGTCAAACATATGGAGATGTAGTGAATAAAATATGCCACAAAGATGTCAGGTTAATAGAGCAAGCCAAGTTAGGTTCAAGTAAATAGAGAATGGAACAACAGCTCATGGCAATAAGGCATGTCAAACATATGGAGATGTAGTGAATAAAATATGCCACAAAGATGTCAGGTCAATAGAGCAAGCCAAGTTAGGTTCAAGTAAATGGAGAATGCAACAACAGCTCATGGCAATGAGGCATGTCAAACATATGGAGATGAAGGGAATAGAATATGCCACAAAGATGTCAGGTTAATAGAGCAAGCCAATTTAGGTTCAAGTAAATGGAGAATGCAACAACAGCTCATGGCAATAAGGCATGTCAAACATATGGAGATGAAGTGGAATATGCCACAAAGATGTCAGGTCAATAGAGCAAGCCAAGATAGGTTCAAGTGAATGGAGAATGCAACAACATCTCATGGCAATAAGGCATGTCAAACATATGGAGATGAAGTGGAATAGAATATGCCACAAAGATGTCAGGTCAATAGAGAAAGCCAAGTTAGGTTCAAGTAAATGGAGAATGCAACAACATCTCATGGCAATAAGGCATGTCAAACATATGGAGATGTAGTGAATAAAATATGCCACAAAGATGTCAGGTTAATAGAGCAAGCCAAGTTAGGTTCAAGTAAATAGAGAATGGAACAACAGCTCATGGCAATAAGGCATGTCAAACATATGGAGATGTAGTGAATAAAATATGCCACAAAGATGTCAGGTTAATAGAGCAAGCCAAGTTAGGTTCAAGTAAATAGAGAATGCAACAACAGCTCATGGCAATAAGGCATGTCAAAAATATGGAGATGTAGTGAATAAAATATGCCACAAAGATGTCAGGTTAATAGAGCAAGCCAAGTTAGGTTCAAGTAAATAGAGAATGCAACAACAGCTCATGGCAATAAGGCATGTCAAACATATGGAGATGTAGTGAATAAAATATGCCACAAAGATGTCAGGTTAATAGAGCAAGCCAAGTTAGGTTCAAGTAAATAGAGAATGCAACAACATCTCATGGCAATAAGGCATGTCAAACATATGGAGATGAAGTGGAATATGCCACAAAGATGTCAAGTCAATAGAGAAAGCCAAGTTAGTTTCAAGTAAATAGAGAATGCAACAACAGCTCATGGCAATAAGGCATGTCATACATATGGAGATGAAGTGAATAGAATATGACACAAAGATGTCAGGTTAATAGAGCAAGCCAAGTTAGTTTCAAGTAAATAGAGAATGCAACAACAGCTCATGGCAATAAGGCATGTCAAACATATGGAGATGTAGTGAATAAAATATGCCACAAAGATGTCAGGTTAATAGAGCAAGCCAAGTTAGTTTCAAGTAAATAGAGAATGCAACAACAGCTCATGGAAATAAGGCATGCCAAACATATGGAGATGTAGTGAATAAAATATGCCACAAAGATGTCAAGTCAATAGAGCAAGCCAAGTTAGGTTCAAGTAAATAGAGAATGCAACAACAGCTCATGGCAATAAGGCATGTCAAACATATGGAGATGTAGTAAATAGAATATGCCACAAAGATTTCAGGTTAATAGAGCAAGCCAAATTAGGTTCAAGTAAATAGAGAATGCAACAGCAGGTCATGGCAATAAGGCATGCCAAACATATGGAGATGTAGTGAATAGAATATGCCACAAAGATGTCAGGTCAATAGAGCAAGCCAAGTTAGGTTCAAGTAAATAGAGAATGCAACAACAGCCTGCAGCAATAAGGCATGTCAGACATATGGAGATGAAGTGAATAGAATATGCCACAAAGATGTCAATAGAGAAAGCCAAGTAAGGTTCAAGTAAATAGAGAATGCAACAACATCTCATGGCAATAAGGCATGTCAAACATATGGAGATGAAATGGAATATGCCACAAAGATGTCAGGTCAATAGAGAAAGCCAAGTTAGGTTCAAGTAAATAGAGAATGCAACAACATCTCATGGCAATAAGGCATTTCATACATATGGAGATGAAGTGAATAGAATATGCCACAAAGATGTCAAGTCAATAGAGCAAGCCAAGTTAGGTTCAAGTAAATAGAGAATGCAACAACAGCTCATGGCAATAAGGCATTTCATACATATGGAGATGAAGTGAATAAAATATGCCACAAAGATGTCAGGTTAATAGAGCAAGCCAAGTTAGGTTCAAGTAAATAGAGAATGGAACAACAGCTCATGGCAATAAGGCATGTCAAACATATGGAGATGTAGTGAATAAAATATGCCACAAAGATTTCAGGTTAATAGAGCAAGCCAAATTAGGTTCAAGTAAATAGAGAATGGAACAACAGCTCATGGCAATAAGGCATGTCAAACATATGGAGATGTAGTGAATAAAATATGCCACAAAGATGTCAGGTTAATAGAGCAAGCCAAGTTAGGTTCAAGTAAATAGAGAATGGAACAACAGCTCATGGCAATAAGGCATGTCAAACATATGGAGATGTAGTGAATAAAATATGCCACAAAGATGTCAGGTTAATAGAGCAAGCCAAGTTAGGTTCAAGTAAATAGAGAATGGAACAACAGCTCATGGCAATAAGGCATGTCAAACATATGGAGATGTAGTGAATAAAATATGCCACAAAGATGTCAGGTTAATAGAGCAAGCCAAGTTAGGTTCAAGTAAATAGAGAATGCAACAACATCTCATGGCAATAAGGCATGTCAAACATATGGAGATGAAGTGGAATATGCCACAAAGATTTCAGGTCAATAGAGAAAGCCAAGATAGGTTCAAGTGAATGGAGAATGCAACAACATCTCATGGCAATAAGGCATGTCAAACATATGGAGATGAAGTGGAATAGAATATGCCACAAAGATGTCAGGTCAATAGAGAAAGCCAAGTTAGGTTCAAGTAAATGGAGAATGCAACAACAGCTCATGGCAATAAGGCATGTCAAACATATGGAGATGAAGTGAATAAAATATGCCACAAAGATGTCAGGTTAATAGAGCAAGCCAAGTTAGGTTCAAGTGAATGGAGAATGGAACAACAGCTCATGGCAATAAGGCATGTCAAACATATGGAGATGAAGTGAATAGAATATGCCACAAAGATGTCAAGTCAATAGAGCAAGCCAAGTTAGGTTCAAGTGAATGGAGAATGGAACAACAGCTCATGGCAATAAGGCATTTCATACATATGGAGATGAAGTGAATAGAATATGCCACAAAGATGTCAGGTCAATAGAGCAAGCCAAGTTAGGTTCAAGTAAATAGAGAATGCAACAACAGCTCATGGCAATAAGGCATGTCAAACATATGGAGATGTAGTGAATAAAATATGCCACAAAGATGTCAGGTCAATAGAGCAAGCCAAGTTAGGTTCAAGTAAATAGAGAATGGAACAACAGCTCATGGCAATAAGGCATGTCAAACATATGGAGATGTAGTGAATAAAATATGCCACAAAGATGTCAGGTCAATAGAGCAAGCCAAGTTAGGTTCAAGTAAATGGAGAATGCAACAACAGCTCATGGCAATAAGGCATGTCAAACATATGGAGATGAAGTGAATAAAATATGCCACAAAGATGTCAGGTCAATAGAGCAAGCCAAGTTAGGTTCAAGTAAACAGAGAATGGAACAACAGCTCATGGCAATAAGGCATGTCAAACATATGGAGATGTAGTGAATAGAATATGCCACAAAGATGTCAAGTCAATAGAGCAAGCCAAGTTAGGTTCAAGTAAATGGAGAATGGAACAACAGCTCATGGCAATAAGGCATGTCAAACATATGGAGATGTAGTGAATAAAATATGCCACAAAGATGTCAAGTCAATAGAGCAAGCCAAGTTAGGTTCAAGTAAATGGAGAATGCAACAACAGCTCATGGCAATGAGGCATGTCAAACATATGGAGATGAAGTGGAATAGAATATGCCACAAAGATGTCAGGTCAATAGAGCAAGCCAAGTTAGGTTCAAGTAAATAGAGAATGCAACAACAGCTCATGGCAATAAGGCATGTCAAACATATGGAGATGAAGTGAATAGAATATGCCACAAAGATGTCAGGTCAATAGAGCAAGCCAAGTTAGGTTCAAGTAAATGGAGAATGCAACAACAGCTCATGGCAATAAGGCATGTCAAACATATGGAGATGAAGGGAATAGAATATGCCACAAAGATGTCAGGTTAATAGAGCAAGCCAAGTTAGGTTCAAGTAAATAGAGAATGCAACAACATCTCATGGCAATAAGGCATGCCAAACATATGGAGATGAAGTGGAATATGCCACAAAGATGTCAGGTCAATAGAGAAAGCCAAGTTAGGTTCAAGTAAATAGAGAATGCAACAACATCTCATGGCAATAAGGCATTTCATACATATGGAGATGAAGTGAATAGAGTATGCCACAAAGATGTCAAGTCAATAGAGCAAGCCAAGTTAGGTTCAAGTAAATAGAGAATGCAACAACAGCTCATGGCAATAAGGCATTTCATACATATGGAGATGAAGTGAATAAAATATGCCACAAAGATGTCAGGTTAATAGAGCAAGCCAAGTTAGGTTCAAGTAAATAGAGAATGGAACAACAGCTCATGGCAATAAGGCATTTCATACATATGGAGATGTAGTGAATAAAATATGCCACAAAGATGTCAGGTTAATAGAGCAAGCCAAGTTAGGTTCAAGTAAATAGAGAATGGAACAACAGCTCATGGCAATAAGGCATGTCAAACACATATTGATGCAGCGGATAGAATATGCCACAAAGATGTCAGGTTAATAGAGCAAGCCAAGTTAGGTTCAAGTAAATAGAGAATGCAACAACATCTCATGGCAATAAGGCATGTCAAACATATGGAGATGAAGTGGAATATGCCACAAAGATGTCAGGTCAATAGAGCAAGCCAAGTTAGGTTCAAGTAAATAGAGAATGGAACAACAGCTCATGGCAATAAGGCATGTCAAACATATGGAGATGTAGTGAATAAAATATGCCACAAAGATGTCAGGTTAATAGAGCAAGCCAAGTTAGGTTCAAGTAAATAGAGAATGCAACAACATCTCATGGCAATAAGGCATGTCAAACACATATTGATGCAGCGGATAGAATATGCCACAAAGATGTCAGGTTAATAGAGCAAGCCAAGTTAGGTTCAAGTAAATGGAGAATGCAACAACAGCTCATGGCAATAAGGCATTTCATACATATGGAGATGAAGTGAATAGAATATGCCACAAAGATGTCAAGTCAATAGAGCAAGCCAAGTTAGGTTCAAGTAAATAGAGAATGCAACAACAGCCCATGGAAATAAGGCATTTCATACATATGGAGATGAAGTGGAATAGAATATGCCACAAAGATGTCAAGTCAATAGAGCAAGCCAAGTTAGGTTCAAGTAAATAGAGAATGGAACAACAGCTCATGGCAATAAGGCATGTCAAACATATGGAGATGTAGTGAATAAAATATGCCACAAAGATGTCAGGTTAATAGAGCAAGCCAAGTTAGGTTCAAGTAAATGGAGAATGGAACAACAGCTCATGGCAATAAGGCATTTCATACATATGGAGATGAAGTGAATAGAATATGCCACAAAGATGTCAAGTCAATAGAGCAAGCCAAGTTAGGTTCAAGTAAATAGAGAATGCAACAACAGCCCATGGAAATAAGGCATTCCATACATATGGAGATGAAGTGGAATAGAATATGCCACAAAGATGTCAAGTCAATAGAGCAAGCCAAGTTAGGTTCAAGTAAATAGAGAATGGAACAACAGCTCATGGCAATAAGGCATGTCAAACATATGGAGATGTAGTGAATAGAATATGCCACAAAGATGTCAGGTCAATAGAGCAAGCCAAGTTAGGTTCAAGTAAATAGAGAATGCAACAACAGCTCATGGCAATAAGGCATTCCATACATATGGAGATGAAGTGGAATAGAATATGCCACAAAGATGTCAAGTCAATAGAGCAAGCCAAGTTAGGTTCAAGTAAATAGAGAATGCAACAACAGCTCATGGCAATAAGGCATGTCAAACATATGGAGATGAAGTGAATAGAATATGCCACAAAGATGTCAAGTCAATAGAGCAAGCCAAGTTAGGTTCAAGTGAATGGAGAATGGAACAACAGCTCATGGCAATAAGGCATTTCATACATATGGAGATGAAGTGAATAGAATATGCCACAAAGATTTCAGGTCAATAGAGAAAGCCAAGTTAGGTTCAAGTAAATAGAGAATGGAACAACATCTCATGGCAATAAGGCATTTCATACATATGGAGATGAAGTGAATAGAATATGCCACAAAGATGTCAAGTCAATAGAGCAAGCCAAGTTAGGTTCAAGTAAATAGAGAATGGAACAACAGCTCATGGCAATAAGGCATGTCGAACATATGGAGATGTAGTGAATAAAATATGCCACAAAGATGTCAGGTTAATAGAGCAAGCCAAGTTAGGTTCAAGTAAATAGAGAATGGAACAACAGCTCATGGCAATAAGGCATGTCAAACATATGGAGATGTAGTGAATAGAATATGCCACAAAGATGTCAGGTCAATAGAGCAAGCCAAGTTAGGTTCAAGTAAATAGAGAATGCAACAACAGCTCATGGCAATAAGGCATTCCATACATATGGAGATGTAGTGAATAAAATATGCCACAAAGATGTCAGGTTAATAGAGCAAGCCAAGTTAGGTTCAAGTAAATAGAGAATGCAACAACAGCTCATGGCAATAAGGCATGTCAAACATATGGAGATGTAGTGAATAAAATATGCCACAAAGATGTCAGGTTAATAGAGCAAGCCAAGTTAGGTTCAAGTAAATAGAGAATGCAACAACAGCTCATGGCAATAAGGCATGTCAAACATATGGAGATGTAGTGAATAAAATATGCCACAAAGATTTCAGGTTAATAGAGCAAGCCAAGTTAGGTTCAAGTAAATAGAGAATGGAACAACAGCTCATGGCAATAAGGCATGTCAGACACATATTGATGCAGCGGATAGAATATGCCACAAAGAGTACAAAGCAATACAAGAAACACATGACTCATGTCAATAATGCAAACGAGCAAGTGAATACTAAATTTAGGAGTCATAAAAAACTCTCAAAAAAGTGACAAAGTTCATGTCACTTTGAGCAATTCACGCTGAGAAAACATGATAAATCTGAAATTGAAAATAGTATTACAACGCCGACTCGCCTTCCATCCCACACCCCCTCCCGACTGAAGGACCCCCCCCCCCACTCTCAAAGCCTGGCAATCAATTAGATTGCAGAATTGGGTTGCTTGCCCGGGTTGCAGCTTTCAGTACCACAGCTCAGGTCATAGTACATAAACTTACATTTAGTCTAGATACGGGAGTCTATACAACTCACCTGCGTATATTTGATGACAGGCTTTCTATTTGGTTCCTCCATGTTCCTTGGTTTTCACTCGGTGGTAATATCTGACCTTAAAACTGATGCAATGTAGCTGAAGACCAGACAAATGCAATGCAATGCAATAGCTGACAGAAAACCGACCGAAAGTAAATCTTCAATTAACTAGGTCACAACGCGCCATCTATAGTTGACCTAGTATTTTTACCTCCCATTTTGAAGAACATAAGTTTACCACAGCAGCTAAATGTAACCGTTTTAAGACAGTTTTACTTATTTTTTGCCAGTATCATTGCTTTTATGATGTTTTAGCTACTTCCAATAACAGATAATTTTGATTTGGTGATACTTTAGGCGAAGTTTTATTTTTAATATGAAATTACGACATTCGCTAGATTACAGTTGCTGAGCAACATGACCTATTTCCGGCACTAGACAAGTGCTTGCTCAAAATGAAAAGAAGCATCCAGTTTGCGTTGAATTAACAACGATACCTACCCATATAGTCGATTTTACAATGGAAAATCCATAGTGTTACCAGGTATTTTACTAACTCTTTTTCTATTTTAGTTGAATTAAGTTCCATTACAATACTGTTTCCTCTCTGAAAATTTTAATTTTCTAAACATTCCAAAATTTTCATGCTTTTTTGCAATCAGTGTTTATGTCTATGTCAATAATCTGCAAAAGATATATCATTTAACACTAATAACAGTGATAGCATTTGAGTAGAATATAATTTAAAACCTTAACATTTAAAAATAGATCAATGCTTTACAACTCATTTTAAAATTGAAAGGAACCTTCCTGGTTGGCCCCTGTTCCCCCTAGGAAGTCCCTTAATGTTGAAATACCCTTGGGCAACTGTCAGGCTACCTTATTGACATCACCCCTCTTTACCAGTAGTGCAGGCTTGTTGCTGTTATGTTGTATGCCGGATATTAGAAAAGTGTGGACGAATTTATCTCGTTCCAAGACTATCTCTACGTTCTAGTCTTGCGAACGTCTTATTCTTTTGTCTGTACGATTACAACATGGGAGAATTTTCTACGCTACTTACACTTAAGATACCTATTTCAATAGATTCCTTGGTATTTTAGCATTCTTTTCGTGTAGTTGAATCCACAATTGTGTGGGTTTATCGGCAGAACGAAGAGGTTTTCGTTTTTGATAGCAATATTTGCGTGTAATATTTAACTTATTTCAACCGTCAAATTCCTCCATTCAGTTCCCGGCATGCACCAGTTCCCTGGGGAATTCCCCTTCCGACATTTTGAAAATTGCTGATATATTTCCGATGTAAAAACTAAAATCTCTTCGTTCTGCCGATAAACCCATACAATTGGCGATCTAACAACATAAAAAGAATTCTAAAATACTCTGGAATGTATCGAGGTAGGTCATTTAATAGTGCAATGCGTAGTTCATTCTCCGACATTGTAGAAAGACAGGCTTACCAATGATACCGGCGTACGACCACAATCTAAAGGGGTCGTAGGATGCGATAATGGACGAATATATATCAGAATCTAGATTTGAGACAAATTTATTTCCAAAAAGCAAGGCAAAAATTGACCAAAATTCGGGGGAGGGGGTACCGGTTGGACTGATCTACCCCCTAAAAGTCAAAGGGGTTGTACCAACCATATCACGCTATACAGAGTGGTAGAGGGAATTTATTGACAAAAATTTTTATTGAGTTGGTAACTATTAAGATGACTTTCACAGGAAGAAGAATGATCTTGCATATGCGTGTCAACCAGAAGTCGAATCTCTTAGCACAGAGGCGCATGCCCATTAGCGGGATCATTCTACAATTTCCACAATTTCTTTAATTTGAGTCAAAGACCTTTAACATGGACTGGGAATATCAAGATATTCAAAGCCGTCTTTCTAGAGACGGGTTTGTGCAAATTTTAGTAAACACAGACTTGCCTATAGAAAGTTTGAGGGAGCCATCAATTTTCGATTTTGATATTTTCACCTTCCGGGGCAGTATTGGCTGTACTTTCAACCTCAAGTTTGGCTAACATGCCATCTTCGGCCTTAGCTTTCCTAGACTTGGGCATAAGCAATTTTATTTGCCTGTGCCAAATAGCCTAGAGACTTTACATTGAATTGTATGCACGGCTGACTGAACTAGTCCAGGGCTAGTCTTAGTACTACTTTTGTGAACCTAGGATGAAAAAGCGAAACAGGATTTAGGTTGAAGTTTGTTTAAATTTGGGGTTATTTAGAACTGGGATTAGTTTTTATTTCTGGAAAAAATGAAAAAAAGTTAAGGTACAGCTGGAAAGTAACATTTTGGTAAAAAATTGCTATACCTGCACATGTTATTTTCTGGTACAAAATAAAGTATGAAGGCATGTATCAATTTCCTTGCTTTTTTCAGGAAAGTATCATTACATTGTCTTCTTTTAGAATATCTGGTAGGCGTTCAATGGGAACTCCAGGAAATTCTGATATTTCACACTTTGTGTTTTTCCAAATTTTCTTTCAAAGTTTCCAGACAACACAGGAGCTACCATTGACCTGTTTCCAGGTTTACTAAAAGTAGACAGTGTAATGATACTTTCCTGAAAAAAGCAAGGAAATACACACATGCCTTCATACTTAATTATGTACCAGAAAATAACATGTGCAGGTATAGCAATTTTTTACCAAAATGTTACTCTCCAGCTGAACCTTAAATTACTGATATTGGGGATTAGACAAAAGCAATCTCATTTTAAAATGAACCTATTCTGTATTCTGCAATCTGTATTTCAGTAATTGTGATGTCATAAAGGATTAGAGAACAACATTCACCATGACAACTCAGACTCCGACTACACGCACATTCCCAAGGCTTAAAACAGCAAAAAGGGATGAAAGTTCAGATACCATTAAGTCTTACAAAAGCGGGGCTAGTTTTAAAGGGACATTGAAAGAACATAAAAAGATTGGACAAGGAGTATTTGTATGGCCAAATGGTGCTAGATACGAAGGCCAATTTGAAGATAACATTAGGACGGGTCAAGGTGGGTGAATATCTTTGATAGTCATTTAGATTTATAGCTTTTGCAGAAAAAATAAAGATATTGTGAACCAAAGTGAGGAATACATTATGCTCACAAAGAAAAAATAAAGCTGTTAATAATATTACAGAGGTGTAGCCAGGGTCTGAAAATATGAGACAAATTTTATAAGATATTTAAAGCAACTTTAACACGAAAGGGAGCAAATTGCTAGTATTGTGTACATTATTTTCACTTTTTCAGTGATGAAACCTCTGATTATTATTATATTTTTTCCTAAAATGATGGTGACTAGTGAGAGAGTTGTCTTAGGGCTGTTGATACAGTTGTCTAACCCTACTATCACACCAAACTAGTTCTCACTGCGTTCTCGAAAACGGGCTTCAACTGTATACGAACGGACTGGACCTACTAAGAACCGTTTGGGATCTATTTACAAACTTCATCGAACGTACTCGAACGGGTAGGTCCTCTAGAACTTAGACAATGCTCAAAATGTTCTCGTGGTCGTCACGTTCTACAATTAGAACGAGTGACAACGTACTAACGACGAGCTGGACGTACTACGAACGGAACCGTCGTATTTCAATCCTACTAGGGACGTTTTAACAACGAGTTGAACTGTCTGTGGACGTGTTGAGAACGAGGTAGAACTAATTGCAAACGGGTTTAAACTGATTAAGAACGTATTTAAGACTGCTTATGAACGAGTTAGCAAGAATATAGCTATCACACCAAACAAGTTGCCACTGCGTTCTTCAAAACTGGTTTTAAACTGTGTGCGAACGGAATGAACGTAGCTGCAACTTTCTAAGGTCTATTTACGAACTTTATGAACGTTCTCAGACGGGAATGTGATTTTAGAATTTTGAATCGATTCAAAATTCGATGACGACCATACCATTCTGTAATCAGGTCATGTTGACCTTCTAGACTTAGGGACGCGTTCTACGACGTTGCACTCCGACGTGGTGCGACCTGAACGAACTGCGAAGGAGATGGACGTATTGAAGACTGTTTAAGAACGAAGAAGCTAATTATTTCAGACATATTTCCCGACCACAGCCAGATTGAGCCCGTTTGACGACGTTTTCGTAGGACTGGCAAGAACGGGTAAGAACTAGTTTGGTGTGATAGGGGGGTTAGTGACTGGTGAGGCAATTTTCTTGGTAAATGATGAGGCAGTTGTCTTGGTGACTAGTGAGTCAGTTGTTTTGGTGACTGGTGAGGCAGTTGTCTTGTTGACTGGTGAGGCAGTTGTTTTGATGACTAGTGAGGCAAATGTCTTGGTGACTGGTGAGGCAGTTACCTTGGGGACTGGTGAGGCGGTTGTCTTGGTGACTGGTAAGGCAGTTGTCTTGGTGACTGGTGAGGCAGTTGTCCTGGTGACTGGTGAGGCAGTTGTCTTGGTGACTGGTTAGGAAGTTGTCTTGGTGACAGGTTAGGCAGTTGTCTTGGTGGCTGGTGAGGCAGTTATCTTGGTGAATGTTGAGGCAGTTGTCTTGGTCACTGGTGAGGCAGTTGTCTTGATGACTGTTGAGGCAGTTGTCTTGGTGACTGGTGGGACAGTTTTCTTGTTGACTGGTGAGGCAGTTCTCTTGTTGACTGGTGAGGCAGTTGTCTTGTTGACTAGTGAGGTAGTTGTCTTGGTGACTTGGGAGGCAGTTGCTTTGGTGACTGGTGAGGCAGTTGTCTTGGTAACTGGTGAGGCAGTTGTCTTGGTGACTGGTGAGCCAGCTTTCTTGGTGACTGGTAAGGCAGTTGTCTTGGTAACTGGTGATACAGTTGTCTTGGTGACTGCTGAGGCAGTTGTCTTGGTGACTGCTGAGGCAGTTGTCTTGGTGACTGTTGAGGCAGTTTTCTTGTTGACTGGTGAGGCAGTTGTCTTGTTGAGTGGTGAGGCAGTTGTCTTGTTGACTTGGGAGGCAGTTGCTTTGGTAACCTGTGAGGCAGTTGTTTTGTTGACTAGTGAGGCAGTTGTCTTGGTGACTGGTGAGGTAGTTGTCTTGGTGACTTGGGAGGCAGTTGCTTTGGTAACTGGTGAGGCAGTTGTCTTGGTGACTGCTGAGGTAGTTGTCTTGGTGACTGGTGAGGCAGTTGTCTTGGTGACTGGTGAGGAAGTTGTCTTAGTGACTAGTGAGGCAGATGTTTTGATGAATTGTGAGGCAGTTGTCTTTGTGACTGGTGAGGTAGTTGTCTTGGTGACTGGCGAGGCAGTTGTTTTGGTGACTGGTGAGGCAGTTGTCTTGTTGACTGGTGAGGCAGTTGTTTTGATGACTAGTGAGGCAAATGTCTTGGTGACTGGTGAGGCAGTTACCTTGGGGACTGGTGAGGCGGTTGTCTTGGTGACTGGTAAGGCAGTTGTCTTGGTGACTGGTGAGGCAGTTGTCCTGGTGACTGGTGAGGCAGTTGTCTTGGTGACTGGTTAGGAAGTTGTCTTGGTGACAGGTTAGGCAGTTGTCTTGGTGGCTGGTGAGGCAGTTATCTTGGTGAATGTTGAGGCAGTTGTCTTGGTCACTGGTGAGGCAGTTGTCTTGATGACTGTTGAGGCAGTTGTCTTGGTGACTGGTGGGACAGTTTTCTTGTTGACTGGTGAGGCAGTTCTCTTGTTGACTGGTGAGGCAGTTGTCTTGTTGACTAGTGAGGTAGTTGTCTTGGTGACTTGGGAGGCAGTTGCTTTGGTGACTGGTGAGGCAGTTGTCTTGGTAACTGGTGAGGCAGTTGTCTTGGTGACTGGTGAGCCAGCTTTCCTGGTGACTGGTAAGGCAGTTGTCTTGGTAACTGGTGATACAGTTGTCTTGGTGACTGCTGAGGCAGTTGTCTTGGTGACTGCTGAGGCAGTTGTCTTGGTGACTGTTGAGGCAGTTTTCTTGTTGACTGGTGAGGCAGTTGTCTTGTTGAGTGGTGAGGCAGTTGTCTTGTTGACTTGGGAGGCAGTTGCTTTGGTAACCTGTGAGGCAGTTGTTTTGTTGACTAGTGAGGCAGTTGTCTTGGTGACTGGTGAGGTAGTTGTCTTGGTGACTTGGGAGGCAGTTGCTTTGGTAACTGGTGAGGCAGTTGTCTTGGTGACTGCTGAGGTAGTTGTCTTGGTGACTGGTGAGGCAGTTGTCTTGGTGACTGGTGAGGTAGTTGTCTTAGTGACTAGTGAGGCAGATGTTTTGATGAATTGTGAGGCAGTTGTCTTTGTGACTGGTGAGGTAGTTGTCTTGGTGACTGGTGAGGCAGTTGTTTTGGTGACTGTCGAGGTAGTCGTCTTGGTGACTAGTGAGGCAGTTGTCTTGGTGACAGGTGAGATAGTTGTCTTGATGACTGGTGAGGCAGTTTTCTTGGTGACTGGTGAAATAGTTGTCTTGATGACTGGTGCAGCAGTTATCTTGTTGATTGGTGAGGCAGTTTTGTTGGGTACTTGTAAGGCGGTTGCCTTGGTGACGTGTAAGGCAGATGTCTTGGTGACTGGTAAGGAAGTTGTCTTGGTTGCTGGTAAGGCAGTTGTTTTGGTGACTGTTGAGGCAGTTGTCTTGGTGACTGGTGAGGCGGTTGTCTTGGTGACTGGTAAGGCAGTTGTCTTGGTGACTGGTGAGGCAGTTGTCCTGGTGACTGGTGAGGCAATTTTCTTGGTAAATGATGAGGCAGTTGTCTTGGTGACTGGTGAGGCAGCTTTCTTGGTGACTGTTAAGGCAGTTGTTTTGGTGACTGGTTAGGCAGTTGTCTTGACTGGTGAGGCAGTTATCTTGGTGACTGTTGAGGCAGTTGTCTTGGTGACTGTTGAGGCAGTTGTCTTGGTGACTGGTGCAGCAGTTGTTTTGTTGACTAGTGAGGCAGTTGTCTTGGTGACTGGTGAGGCAGTTGCTTTGGTGACTGGTGAGGCAGTTGCTTTGGTGACTGGTGAGGCAGTTGCTTTGGTGACTGGTGAGGCAGTTGTCTTGATGACTGTTGAGGCAGTTGCTTTGGTAACTGCTGAGGCAGTTGTCTTGGTGACTGGTGAGCCAGCTTTCTTGGTGACTGGTAAGGCAGTTGTCTTGGTAACTGGTGAGGCAGTTGTCTTACTGACTGGTGAGGCAAATGTTTTGATGAATTGTGAGGCAGTTGTTTTGGTGACTGGTGAGGCAGTTGTTTTGGTGACTGTTAAGGCAGTTGTTTTGGTGACTGGTTAGGCAGTTGTCTTGACTGGTGAGGCAGTTCTCCCCGTGACTGGTGAAGCAGTTGTCTTGTTGACTGTTTAGGCAGTTGTCTTGGTGACTGGTGCAGCAGTTGTTTCGTCCTTCTTTATGTAAGCCTGGCTTGGCACTTGAATTTGAGATTTTTTATTTTGAAAAGAGATTTAAATATCCAAAATAAAACTAATAGACAAGCCATTTTTGCTCTGTAGTGACCAATATCAAATTGTAAACACTAAAAGAACATATAGGGGTATTTTATATATATGCACCCCCTCAAACTCATCTTTTATATGTTTTAGGCTGTCAGTTATGGGAAGATGGGGGAAAATATGAGGGAATGTTTTTAGAAGATATGAGACATGGAGAAGGTTGTGCCACATGGACAAATGGAGAGGTAAGCTATGTTTAAAATCAAGCTAGGTTTATATCAACAGGTCTTTTTCACAAGACTTTTTGAGTCCTCTAGAGACCACCTGAGAAGACCGAAAAGTGCCAAGCATGAAAGCCCAAATATGTCCTCCTGGGACCTGTTGAGCTTGATGGAGTCCTGTTTAGTCCAATGGAGTCCTATCTAGTCCAGTGGAGTTTAAATCTAGTCCAATGGAGTCCTATCTAGTCCAATGGAGTCCTATCTAGTCCAGTGGAGTCCTATCTAGTCCAATGGAGTCCTATCTAGTCCAGTGGAGTCCTATCTAGTCCAATGGAGTCCTATCTAGTCCAATGGAGTCCTATCTAGTCCAATGGAGTCCTATCTAGTCCAATGGAGTCCTATCTAGTCCAATGGAGTCCTATCTAGTCCAATGTAGTCCTATCTAGTCCAGTGGAGTCCTATCTAGTCCAATGGAGTCCTATCTAGTCCAGTGGAGTCCTATCTAGTCCAATGGAGTCCTTCTGATCAGGGGAGTGCTCTAGGTTCCTGTGACATCATGCATGAAACCCTCTGTTGTCATGGCCATCACTTGATCAGATTTTATGAAATAACTCTGATAAAGATTAATGAAAGAATGGAACTGCTCATTCCACAAAAAGTCAAGCCGTCGTTTTAGCCTGTAGCGGACTACATCAGACTTCATGGAACTGCTCATTCCACAAAAAGTCAAGCTGTCGTTTTAGCTTGTAGCGGACTACATCAGACTTCATGGAACTCATAGGAAATCAGAAATTCATTGAATTGATAAAATTCCTGTCAAGAGAAGCAAAAGTCCAATCTAAAAAGTGACAGGGAAAGACTGGTGGTCTTCTCCCATTCGAATATAGGGCATCACAAAAACCTGTCCTATATTTGCACTACTTTTTAGCTATTTTTGAATGGAGAAGTCTGTTTCAATATTTTTGTCATTAAATTGGCATTCATATTTCCCTGTTTTCCAAAATAAACTCATTCTCATTCAGCTTATTTAGGAGCTGATATCTTTGCTGTAGGAAAAACCTGCCAAATGAAAATATCACATTCCATTGAAATAATATTAGTTCTTCATTGAATGAAAACATGCAAGGAACTGATAGGCATTCACTGTTTTATTCCCTAACAATTCACCTTCTTGAATTATTCAGACATCTGCTATTAATCACTGTTCTCAAGAGGAGGGAAAGCCCCAGAGTTTAAAGATGACATACATAATTACCTCTCTTGCTTTAACCACCTTTGTTTGTTCGAATTTTCATAGGCTAGTTATCAAATACTCAATTCGATGGGATGTTTTAATTGATATAGGCATATTCCGTACACCTTTCTTTATCTTTGTGTGAAATGAGAAGCTATGATATTGGTTAACACGCCAGAAATGAACATAATATTATTCGAAGCGTATTTCGAAAATTTTGAAACCGCCATTGATGACGTCATTTGTTTGTCGACTTTTGACCAATCAGCGACGATGTCATCTCAATACAGATTTACATTGTAAGCGTATGTCATCTTTGAACCCTGGTGTTTCTCCCCCTCTGACTGTTCTCAAAATGAAATATATAGACAGTCATTTTAATTTCAGGATTTGAATGAACTGTCTAGTTTTTTGTGTATTTATTACAGATCAGTGTGTTATCTTTATTATGTCTGTTCATTTGTTCCTTCCTGAATTCACTCTTTTTATTCTATTTCTAGCTTCAAAGTATTAATATATTTTCGAGATCTTTAATAATTCATAGCCTCTGTTGGTATATATATTAATAGCATTATTAGCAATTTATAGGATTCTGTGTTTCTTGTCGTGATCACTTTATTCCATTTCTCTCTTTGGATTTTCTGCATCTTTTATAACTTATGAAAAACCATCCATTTCACAGAACTTTAAGGTTCGATTTAAAAATATATCTAGAGCTAAATTACACTAAATCGCAAAAAGTTGGGAGAACCTGTAAATTGCATCATCATTAGACTTTACCGCAAATCTTCTTTTCTGTACAAATATTAGAACTTAAACAAAAATTATTAACATAATTAGTTATTTTATCGGTTTTGACAAAGTTGGTGTATTTTGAAGATAGAGCACTATTGTTACTATTTTGAGAAAATAAATAGAAAATGAATACCAAAAGGGAACATTGTTGTAGTCAATAATCTATTTTGTACAAGTTTTGATGAAATTATAAAATATTAATGACAAAAGGATTGATTTGATTGATATAGTATTTAATGAATGTTGTATAACAAATACTTGCATTGCATAAAACACAGTGTAGTAAAGTCAAATTAATTATTTATTTTCTCTTAGCATCCTGTAAATGAAATACCATATTTTGAAAACAGTTTTATTGAAAAAAGCCAGGCATGGTTTGAAGTACTGATATATAAATGAATTTGTTTTTTCTATTGCAGAGTTACTCGGGAATGTTCTACAAAGATCGTAGACATGGACTGGGGACATACAATTGGCCCGATGGCTCTAGTTTCAATGGTACCTTCTACATGGACAAGAAAGAAGGATACGGCACTTTCTACTTTGCAAATGGAGATAAGTTTGAGGTATGTAAAAAATGTTGATTTTCTGAATGGCTCAATATTGTTTTTATTTAAGTATTATTTTTATTTATGTAATTTTTATCTTTATTTATGTATTTATTTTCATTTACCAGAATCTTAGTTATACAGCTGAAGAACACACAAAGAAACATGGATGAATAAAATAATAATTAACGATGAGGAATAATTTTGAAAACCTTTGAAAATCAATTCCTGGCTACTGGGAATCTGTCTTTTCGATTACAATTACACAGATCTTACTGAATCGTACTGTATATTAATGTGAATATAACGCATACTTTCAGGGCTTGTACAAGAGTGACAAGTGCGAAGGAAGAGTGATGACATATACAACAGATTTAATTAATATGAATATATTGCATACTTTCAGGGCTTGTACAAGAGTGACAAGCGTGAAGGAGGAGTGATGACATATACTACAGATTGAATTAATGTGAAGATACATGTATTGCATACTTTCAGGGCTTGTACAAGAGTGACAAGCGTGAAGGAGGAGTGATGACATATACTACAGATTGAATTAATGTGAAGATACATGTATTGCATACTTTCAGGGCTTGTACAAGAGTGATGAGCGTGAAGTCGGAGTGATGACATATACTGCAGATTGAATTAATGTGAATATATTGCATACTTTCAGGGCTTGTACAAGAGTGACAAGCGTGAAGGAGGAGTGATGACATATACTACAGATTGAATTAATGTGAAGATACATGTATTGCATACTTTCAGGGCTTGTACAAGAGTGATGAGCGTGAAGTCGGAGTGATGACATATACTGCAGATTGAATTAATGTGAATATATTGCATACTTTCAGGGCTTGTACAAGAGTGATGAGCGTGAAGGAAGAGTGATGACATATACTACAGATTGAATTAATGTGAGTATACTGCATACTTTCAGGGCTTGTACAAGAGTGATGAGCGTGAAGTCGGAGTGATGACATATACTGCAGATTGAATTAATGTGAATATATTGCATACTTTCAGGGCTTGTACAAGAGTGATGAGCGTGAAGTCGGAGTGATGACATATACTACAGATTGAATTAATGTGAAGATATTGCATACTTTCAGGGCTTGTACAAGAGTGACAAGCTTGAAGGAGGAGTGATGACATATACTACAAATTGAATTAATGTGAATATAATGCATACTTTCAGGGCTTGTACAAGAGTGACAAGCGTGAAGGAGGAGTGATGAAATATACTACAGATTTAATTAATATGAATATATTGCATACTTTCAGGGCTTGTACAAGAGTGATGAGCGTGAGGGTCCCGGAGTGATGACATATACTACAAACAAGCAGGATGTCGGTTTATGGCACCGAGAAAACCTTGTGAGATTATGTCTTGAATTAGATGGCGCTTTTACCATGAAAGAACATGAAGAATTTGAATATAACGAGGACGATCATAAAAAGTTCATCAATATTGAAGAAGTGAATAATCGTGAGGATGTTATTAATGCCATTTTGAATCCCCCATCGCCATTTAATTATTACCCAGAGTCTAACATTAAAAAAGATCTTAAGCTTCTCTTTAACGATTCTGTAGATGTTAAAAGCATGGCTGTTGACATAAAATCATTTGATGAAGAATTTTTCAAAAATCGAGAACCATTGAAAAATAATGCTGAAATAAAAGCAATAAACAATACCCCATCTATGATTGAAATGCAGAAACATATTTTACTACATTCATATAATGAAGAAAATATAAAAATCAAAGTCCCAAAAATTATTGATGGAGAAAGAACTGGGTTTAAGAAACCTGGACAGAAAGAGTTAGACTCTCAGAGATTTATAAAGGCTGCTGCAGATGGGGATCTAGAAACAGTATCTGCGTTAGTAGACAGTGGAGCAGTATATGTGGATGTTGCAGATAGCAGTGGATACACCGCATTGGTTGCTGCTGCAACAAATTGGCATAAAGATGTTATTAACAAACTCTTAGATAACGGAGCAAATGTAAACAAATTAACCAATGAGGGAGTTTCTGCACTCGCTGCCTGCCATGTCTACTTTTACCCAATTGAAGTTTTCAAATATAATATTGCTGAGAGATACATGGAGAAACCCCCTGAGCTAGCAGAAACCCAAAGTGAGGCTACAGGAGAGGATTCCCTTGAACGAAAGGGGATACTACAAACCGCAAAGGAGGATATAAAAGACCCACAAATATTTGACACCAACCAGAACAATAATTTAGAGTCAAGTAAAATCAGTCAGATAAAACCAAACACTGACAATAAATCCAAAACTTTGCCACCAAGCAACAAAATTGTGACAATTAACCCTGATGCAACAAAAGAATATAGTTTTGAAAATCTTGGAAAACTAAAAAGAAGAGAAAGAAATGGTATCAGTTATGATGACGGTATTCTTGCTAGTGATGATGAAACAAAACAAGATGATCTCACAACAGAATTAGGAGATTTTGAATCAAACACAAGTGTCCAAAATTATGATATTGATGTAAAAGATGATTTAGTTGAGAGATGTGCGACTCAGCTGAGCACGAATGAAATGGTGACATCCTCTGGTCGGGTCTCCAGTCATTCTTTGGATACACTAGGCACTGCACGTAGGAAGGCTGTGGAGAAATCACAGTAAGTGAAATGAAACATGAAGGAAATAGTTCAAAATGTGAAGCTGAAAAATGGTTTATTGTTGTGTGTGTTGTACAGATCTGCACGTTTACATGAATTCTGTAGAGTATAACCAATATATTCATCTGTGATTCCATTCAGGTAATTTATTTCTGAACCACTGTTTTAGCTATTAATATATCCTTCTAATTACGTTGCTTCAACTTATCATGCCTCAATAATCTCTGAGTTATCAAATATGTTTTGATTTCTTGACCTATTTCCAATTTTAAATAATGGCAGATATTCATGTAAATGGTTCATATTTTTAGGCACAGACTGATGGAGTCAGTCATACGGCTTCTGCTTAAAAGGGGTGCCTGCCCAAATGCCAGTAGAGTCCCCATGCCAGTACTATTTTTTGCAATCAAAGCTGCAGATGTTGACGCAGTGAAGGAACTACTTCTTAGGGGGGCTGATACATCTGCAACACTCTCTAAAGAGGTCAGGAATTTTAAGCAATCAACTATTTATTTTATGTTCTATATTTGATATGATTTTTATTGCATATTTTTCACATTTTACATATGTTCAATATTTCACATATTTTGTCATGTGTTTCACATTTCAGAAAGGAGGTTTGGCTGCACTTCACATTGCAGTTGCTATCCCAGGAGAGGAAGGAGTGAAAATTACAGAGTTGCTGCTGAATGCACTTGCCCACCCAGATGTCAGGGCTGGCCTGGATGATTCCTTCCTCAACAAACACCTAGTAAGTTTCACATTTTATGTTTCACCTTTTCACATACACTTGCCCACCCAGATGTCAGGGCTGGCCTGGATGATTCCTTCCTCAACAAACACCTAGTAAGTTTCAAATATTGTGTTTCACATTCTTGATGAATTGTCACATTTTCTTATATTGTTTTAGTTCACAATGTCACATTGTTTAGACACATTATTTTTACATCTTTTGGAGGTTTCACATATTATGTTTAAAAAATATGTCATTTTATGTCACATTTCAGATGTTAAATTACATTTTCATTTAGATTATATTGGTAAGGTTGATGCATATGAGAGTTTCACATATTTTCACATATTTTGCATCACATATTCACATATCTTTCACATTTTAGATGGAAGAATGGAGTAAAGACATCATAGGGGAGAATAGTGCTGCTATATTGGGAGGCAGAACTCCTCTTCACATAGCAGCTGCCAGGGATGACAATTACAAGGTAAATAAACATGGCTGTCCTACCTTCCAAAAGTGGGCATTAAATGATACAATCAAATTACATTTGATTTAACAAGGACATTATAGTAAAGAATGAATAAATGTATTTACAAAACATATTTTAAATATAAAAGTAACTCATAGCTCTTAACAGGATTCTTGTAAAGATTTTTGTAAGTACAGGATTACACAAAAAATGCCACCCACAATATTTGGAATAACTTTCTCAATAAGGAAGAATCTTCATGATTTTTTGCTTTGACACAAATTCACTCAAAAATGTAAATTAGAAAATCTGTCTTTTCTAAAATTAATCAATAAACATTCAGTTCATCAAATTTGACAAAATTATTTAGGAAATGGGTAGATATGACATATTGAATAATATATGTAAAAGGAATCCGAAAATGACTCCAATAATGGCTTAAAGACAGAAATCCCAATTTAAGAAAATTGTATTTTTGAACATTTTTAAAAGATTTCACCGAAAACATAGCTGGACACAAAACGTGATATCTCTAAATCTCAAGGTCGTTTATGCTATACAAGTACGCTAATCTTTCTTCCATTGAACACTTCTTCACAAAAAGGGATTTTTTCATTATTGAGATATTGAGATTGTGATTCCAGATATAGTGGGTTGCATTTATTGGGTCATCCTGTACTTTTATGATTTTTTAATCACAAATTTAGGTATTTGTTTTGGGTAAATGCGTCTACTTGGTTTTAAAAACACATGGTCAAGTAAAATCATTGATATTCTTAAAAAATGTGATTCATTTTCATATTGGCAAACTCAAAAAATCGACGATGACTCTATTTTCGTTCATCAAGGATTAAATCAGAATTATAAAACCCAATGTTTTGGAAGATGGAGAACATTTTCTTATGAATTGTTGAAAAAATGCAGAAGAAAGAAAACTTTTGTTTGATACAATTAGGCAATTTAATTGTGTAGGCTTGTCTGATGTTATATTTAAACAACTCATGTCTCATAAGAATTCATATGTAGTATCACATTTAGCAAAATTAATTTTATCACTTATTCAAAACGTTGGATAAATATTGTGTGATATGATACATAACACTGATATTTTTACATTTTCTTATGCTGTATTTTAAACTTGACTTATGACTTATATTTTTGCATTTGTCATGCTGTATATTTTTTATATCTTTGTAGTTTTGTAGTTAGTTTAGTTTAAGTTATTTTTGTATGTTGTATGTCTGTACTAACTAATATGATGACATCAAAGAGTCAATAAAAGATATATGTATATATTTATTGTTTTCCATGTTTCAAATTTCAAAAATATTCCAGCATGCTTGCAAGATTGTTCACCTCCTGTTGGACCATAATGCTGACCCTAACCTCCTGTGCAATGGACATTCTCCACTCTCATTGGCTATCACCAGTGGCAATGACATGGTATGCACTTCCATAGGACATTTTTAATTCATACAAGATTTAAATGAATTCTTACCACAGACAGAATAGAATTGCTTGAGATGAGTGAGACAATATTCTGTATTTTGCCATTTAAATTACACAATATATCAAAAACCTTGTAAGATGTAAGAAAATAAGTTTCAATCTACATAGGAATTTCAAAATTTTCACTTATTGTATAGTTTAAGCATTTGACTAAGATCACTTCTATTATTTAAGGTGATTGATGAGCTATTGGCATGGAATGCCAATCCGAGTCTACCACTAACACATGGTGTTGGAAGCGCCCTCTGTGTGGCAACCTCTACTGAGCACGAACATAGACGAACTCCTCAGGGGAGAATACAACTGGTAAGAAAACTAACATGAGCTTTGTTCACTTTTTATATGTAATGTGTCACCTGCCTGTAGTGTATTATATGTGTGTCATCCACTTTTGTGTGTCATTTGTCTGTTTGTGTGTCATCTGCCTAGATTTGTGTGTGTCATCTACCCTCAATGTGTCATCTTTCTATATATGTGTAATCTGATGAGATTGCTTGGAATTATTCTCAGTGATTGTAATTAACATAGAGAATGGGTAGGTCAGTTTGAGCAAGGTCTTGTTGAATGGACATCAGTTTTGATGGTAATTAACATAGAGAATGGGTAGGTCAGTTTGAGCAAGGTCTTGTTGAATGGACATCAGTTTTGATGGTAATTAACATAGAGAATGGGTAGGTCAGTTTGAGCAAGGTCTTGTTGAATGCACATCAGTTTTGATGGTAATTTACATAGAGAATGGGTAGGTCAGTTTGAGCAAGGTCTTGTTGAATGGACATCAGTTTTGATGGTAATTAGCATAGAGAATGGGTAGGTCAGTTTGAGCAAGGTCTTGTTGAATGGACATCAGTTTTGATGGTAATTAATATAGAGAATGGGTAGGTCAGTTTGAGCAAGGTCTTGTTGAATGCACATCAGTTTTGATGGTAATTTACATAGAGAATGGGTAGGTCAGTTTGAGCAAGGTCTTGTTGAATGGACATCAGTTTTGATGGTAATTAACATAGAGAATGGGTAGGTCAGTTTGAGCAAGGTCTTGTTGAATGGACATCAGTTTTGATGGTAATTTACATAGAGAATGGGTAGGTCAGTTTGAGCAAGGTCTTGTTGAATGCACATCAGTTTTGATGGTAATTTACATAGAGAATGGGTAGGTCAGTTTGAGCAAGGTCTTGTTGAATGCACATCAGTTTTGATGGTAATTTACATAGAGAATGGGTAGGTCAGTTTGAGCAAGGTCTTGTTGAATGCACATCAGTTTTGATGGTAATTAGCATAGAGAATGGGTAGGTCAGTTTGAGCAAGGTCTTGTTGAATGCACATCAGTTTTGATGGTAATTTACATAGAGAATGGGTAGGTCAGTTTGAGCAAGGTCTTGTTGAATGCACATCAGTTTTGATGGTAATTAGCATAGAGAATGGGTAGGTCAGTTTGAGCAAGGTCTTGTTGAATGGACATCAGTTTTGATGGTAATTAACATAGAGAATGGGTAGGTCAGTTTGAGCAAGGTCTTGTTGAATGGACATCAGTTTTGATGGTAATTTACATAGAGAATGGGTGGGTCAGTTTGAGCAAGGTCTTGTTGAATGGACATCAGTTTTGATGGTAATTAATATAGAGAATGGGTGGGTCACTTTGAGCAAGGTCTTGGTGAATGCAGATCAATTTTAATATTTAACATTACTGTGTATTGATTTCAGGTTGACAAACTGGTGAAAGCTGGAGCAAATATCCTTGCGCCAGTACAAATAGGTCCTAAAAGGCTGTCAGGTACAGCTGTAGATTATGCGTATCATCTGTTTAACTTGGTGAGTACTAAAAGGCTGTCAGGTACAGCTGTAGATTATGCGTATCATCTGTTTAACTTGGTGAGTACTAAAAGGCTGTCAGGTACAGCTGTAGATTATGCGTATCATCTGTTTAACTTGGTGAGTCCTAAAAGGCTGTCAGGTACAGCTGTAGATTATGCGTATCATCTGTTTAACTTGGTGAGTACTAAAAGGCTGTCAGGTACAGCTGTAGATTATGCGTATCATCTGTTTAACTTGGTGAGTACTAAAAGGCTGTCAGGTACAGCTGTAGATTATGCGTATCATCTGTTTAACTTGGTGAGTACTAAAAGGCTGTCAGGTACAGCTGTAGATTATGCGTATCATCTGTTTAACTTGGTGAGTACTAAAAGGCTGTCAGGTACAGCTGTAGATTATGCGTATCATCTGTTTAACTTGGTGAGTACTAAAAGGCTGTCAGGTACAGCTGTAGATTATGCGTATCATCTGTTTAACTTGGTGAGTCCTAAAAGGCTGTCAGGTACAGCTGTAGATTATGCGTATCATCTGTTTAACTTGGTGAGTACTAAAAGGCTGTCAGGTACAGCCATAGATCATGTGTTTCATCTGTTTTATGATATTTTCATTCCAAATTGTATAAAGTCAAATCTTCAAGGAAAATGTGAAATTACTAGAAGTATAGTATGAGGAGACAGATACCTCAATTGATTACTATGTAACTTGATGTGTCTATATACATGTAGCACTTGAAGCTACCCTTTATGTTGTTTAAATCATCAATTTGAAATTTTAGGATCGAAGAATCGCTCATATGCCATATCATGCACTGACATATGCCGAGAGGGACACATACAATGCCCGGCGCGCCCTATTGGATCATGTTGGAACTATTATGCGTGGAGCTGCAATTGAGAAAGAACGAGACAGACTGGAAGATGAGATGAGACATGGACAAAGAAGTAATAAAGATTTAAATACTTTAATTTTGTACCCTCCCTGAATAAGTTGATCACTAATTCTGATTTTTGCCAATTAAAATCCTGCTTATGTTTATCACATTATCAGTACTAGTGGTATTTTGATATTTCTCCTCAAAGGTCCACATATAGAAAGGTGTAGGAAGCAATGTTGGTATTTTAAGTGAATAGTTTCAGACTTCCCTACATGTATATTGTTTTGCTGCTTCTGATGTTGCCCTTTGTTCACCACATTTTTTTCAGGTGCTAGTCCAAGTGAGAATTTTGTGTTTGTTGGAGCAGGAGCTCCGCTGCCACCAGGTGTCAGGTCAAGCAAACTGAAAAATGGAACTGCTGGGGAAAGTCACGTCTCATTCAGCGCAGTTGCGCATGACTCTAGAGGAAGACAGAGGGCTGTACAAGAAAATGCAGAATTCATCGGAAATAGGTAAGTTGAATTTTGGTAGAAATTTGGATATGTTTCGTGAAATGTAAATGTAGGTGTAAAATGACATTTGTTTTGTATTAATTGTTCATTTTGAGTTTTTGTTATTCAAAGTAGGGGCCATGTACGGTATCTATACAAACAAATACATGTATTCATTTTTACACCAGTTGCGCATAGAACTGCAAGAAAACTTCATGTTTCCATAAGGTAGCATACAGTAAATGAATTATTCAACTTGGACTTATTCTCTGAAATGTAAATGCCGTCTGCACGAATAACTGCATTATGGGTAATAAACATGGTGCAGTATATTTTCTTTAGTGAAGGTGTGATAACAGTTGATGTACGGAAAGTTCCAAAAGTGAGAACATATATACAACAGAGACAGAGAAAAAATGCAAGGTTCGGGCTGAATGCTGTGAAGATATTTCATTGACTTTTTATTTTAACCATTATTATTTTTGTTTAACATGAACTTTTAATCATAATCAAGATTTTAGACATTATTTTCACCAAAATACATGTTTTTGTCACACTTGCTTTTTATCTAATGGCTAATATTTGTCAACAAAACCCCTTAATAGTGTATTTTCCCATTTTATTGATTTTAGCTGTTTTAATATGAGTGAGTATAGCATTGCATGTGAGTATTCAATGCATGTTAAAACACATTGGATGCAAACTTAACAGTGAAATAACAGTTTATTCTACCATAACTAAACTCACTTTGAACTTTTCCACATGTTCACAAGATGTAATGCAATGGTTCTCTTATATTCACCCTTATGTCAAAATGTTTACAGTTGTTTTAATTATGGATGTGTATTCTGAGACCCTCTTAACATGGAATGCATTTATAATATATCTATAATACTGAGTTTTACAACCTATTTCTTGGAGAGACAGATTCATCCTACCAGCATGGAATTATGTTCTACTCATATGAACTTTACAGGGTGACACAGAAATGTGATCCTTTACAGGATGACAACTGATCCTCTCAGGGTGACACAGAAATGTGATTCTCTCAGGGTGACACAAATATGTGATACTCTCAGGGTGACACAACATTTTATCCTCTCAGGGTCACACAAAAATGTTATCTTCTCAGAGTGACAAAAATGTGATCCCTCCAGGGTGGAACAAAAAAATGTGATCTTCCCAGGGTGACACAGAAATGTGAATCTCTCAGGGTGACACAAATATGTGATCCTCTCAGGGTGACACAAAAATGTGATACTTTCAGGGTGACACAAAAATCCTGATCCCCACTGGGTGACACATAAGTATATGGTCCTCTCAGGGTGACACAAAAATGTGGTCGTTTCAGGGTGACACAAATATGTGATCCTCTCAGGGTGACACAAAAATGTGATACTTTCAGGGTGACACAAAAATCCTGATCCCCACTGGGTGACACATAAGAATATGGTCCTCTCAGAGTGACACAAAAATGTGATCCTCTCAGGATGATACAAAAATGTGACCCTCCCATTTTGAAATAGCTTTCTTGACTGTGAAGGAATCTGGATATAGTTTAAATACATTACAGTAATATTATTCCACAGATAGAACATTAAATATAAATGTAATATCACAGATTGGAGAGGACTTAAAATTGGCAATAGCCTCTTGTTTAATCCCTTTCAGTCACTGTTAATCCTTTCGGGTGACACAAATGTAAATCTTCTAACAGAGTAGATATTCCAGGGTCTTGAAGCAAGACTTAAGAATAATATAATATCACAGTTAGATCATTTAATGTTTGAAACAGAAATCTATACAAGAAAATTCAAGTTTAAGATTCCATCATAATTGAGAAAGTTTTTCTAAGAGTTGTATGTTCTGTATGTGTCCCACTATTATATGTATGTCTGTTATATGGAATGGATGGATGCTTAAATGACAACTATGCATGAAGCACAATTCATAAAGCATGCAAAGTTGATACATCTGATTAAGTCATATATGTGAATTGAAGTGACTTTTTTGATAGATTATATATATTAAAAGATTATCCTGCACCAGAACTGTTAGAGTAGACAATATTTTTATATTGTTACTAAACAATATGACAATGGGCCAGTTTGTCACTTTATATTTTCTGCATGCCTTTAACACTCTGTGACTTACCACTCACTCACTCACTTACAGTATCACTTATATTATTTGTTTTTTAGAAAACCTCTGCTGAAATACTGTTATGAATGTGGTCGTTCTGTTGGTGTGCGCTTGTCCACATGTACACGTTGTAAGGAGGTGTATTACTGCTCGAAGGCTTGTAAACTGAAAGCTTGGAATGCGAGGCACAAAGATGAGTGTGTCAGAGTTGGCGGTAAGGAATCAGAAACAGTGGAATTAAAGCAAGAGAACATGTCTTGCCTGTGACCCCTGAAGACCTCCCTTGAAGCGAATATGGGAGGGGTTGCAGAGATTTAACAGGGACAGATCTGAAAACTAAAAAGGGGCCAACAATCCAAGTCTGAAAAAAATATTTACGTACTTGGCCTGAAATTAAAAAATGAGGCCATTAAAGGCCCAATAATTCCCAAAAATGGCCATTAATTGGGACCTTAAAAATATTTCTCTTGGCCCATCCTTGGGGGGTCCCCAAAGCCGCCAGTGTTAAATGCAAGATTATAAAGAAAAAAATTATTCTGAGTGGTATGGGCATGAATTTGTACAATAAGACATCCCAGTATTTTTAACACAACTCAGTACAAATCAGTATTCATCAGTATGACCTGTATGTATGAATGGTAAAAATCATTTTATTCCATAGTAAGCATGATATTCATTGGATAACATGTGAAAATAAAAACGGTATTTTTGTAATCAGTGGTAAAATATGATATTTTTGACAAATTTTCACTTAACCATAGCATACGGTTTTTTAGCCATGACATACGACGTCGTATGCGATGGTTAATGGATTTTTGCTACTTCAGACTCAAAACGAGGCTAAGTGTCAACATCGCCGGATCCGGTTTGGAAAATTCGAATTAAATGACTTAATTTCCGACAATTCTGATGATGACTTTAACTATGGAATAAAAAGAACATCCTATGATTTACTCGTGATATGATTTTAATCCACTCATGGATATTGATATCTGCACTCTCTCGCTACGCTCGCTCGTGCAGATATCATATCCATTCGTGGATAAAAATCATATCACTCATAAATCATAGGATATCCTCTATATATTATGTGAGATATTATTTATGAATCAGATATCAGCAAAAACATTAGTAAAAATAACATGGTATATTTATTGAATAAATGTCACTTGAAATAAGATAATGATTCCAATTCATATAACACACTGATCGATCTTAGTTACCTCAGCTACAGTATAATACCTTATATCTTCAACATTTTATCCAGGTCGAAGTCCCAGTCCATCAGGCCGTAACAGGATAGATTCCCCAACACCTACAACAAAGGCTGACTACAATGAGCCTGCCACAGTTGCCAATCTAATAAAAGATCCAAGGGTCAAGGTAAGGTCAAAGCTGTCATGTGACCCAAGGGTCAAGTTAAGGTCAAATCTGTCATGTGACCCAATGGTCAAGGTAAGGTCAAATAGTGAAAATTTAATTGAGTACATCATCCACTATTTCAGTTGAATTCCTACCCCTACCGCCCTTTGTCCAAGTTTAATTGAAACATTTTTACCCAATAATTGGCAATCATTCATCAATCTTGAAGTATAGAGTCAGCAAGATCCAATTGGCCTGTCTTGAAGTGGTTAACTTCATTGGACCACCCAATATGTAATGAAGTATTGTAATGAGGATGTCTATTTTAATCTGTTAATGTTTCAGGTTCCTGTCAAGGGAAAAAGTATGAGTGCCAAATATTCTGATCGCAAACAAGTTCAAGATGGCCGTCAGATTAAGACAGGAATTCCAGGAAAAACCAAGAAAGACAAAGGCCCAGACATACAAGATCGTAACATGCGGAATGCAAACATGGACAATTATAGTTTTGTTTGAATGAAAGTGGATTTTATGACAAAGAATTGTGTCTTGTGTCTTTCACATGCCTGGCTACATCTATGGCAATAAGACAGTTTTGTTCAAACAACACCCTCTATATTCAGAGGATAAGGATACCTAATGTAGCATATTTGCAGTTTATTTGAACTTTTCATTATATCCCTCTTAAATGCCTTGTATTGCAAGATTTGTCTCCCTTTTCTGGAAATTTTGGATATCTTGACAAGACGATGTGAGGAGTACATGATATGCAGTAGTGTTGCATACTTGTGATATCGCATTTATATAAGCCTTATTTTGTGCAAGGCTTGGACTATGTTTTTGTTATTATGTGATATGAGAACAATATTTTGACATCGAAATACATGACATTGTATAAAATTGTGTTCCTTGTTGAGTATTCAAAATGATAAAATAAATCATTGATAAAAAACAATGCAAAATTGTTAAAATCAGAATTGTTGGACTGTCATATGTGAAATGACGATGCCATTTAAATATATAAAATAATGCAAATTGTGATGCCATGAAATTGCTTGTGAAAAACTACGATATTAACCCATGGGCTTTCAACTACTAATTGAAAGCCCATGATTAACCCAAGCATTAGTATACATTCCGTCCAAGACAGACTATTGATACTAAAAAACTGCTTAGTCTGTTAGTTACATTTACAATGTCATTGTATATGGTGTGTCATTGTATATGGTTTGTCATTGTACAGTGTCTTATTGTACATATGTGTGATAATTTTGTGAATCTGATTTCAATTCATAGGCGCTTATACCATGTATATTTCTTATATTTTTAGTGTACACAAAGTATTAAACCAGCATTTCTTCAAAACTGCTTAATTTTGTAGTTTATAGACTGCATCCAACTGAATGGTAGTCTGTGTGATTGAGATTTTCTGCAAATGCTTGAAATTTCAGTGTGTATGAGATTTCAGTTTCAGCATTTGTCAGTGGTTTTCAGTATTTAATATTTGCGATTCATATTATTATTCAATGTGCACATTCGATGATTTGCACATTCACAAAATGTTTAATGAAAATGGTTATCATACTCAGATAAATGTAGATATAAATATAAATGGAGTATTTGTTGAAATGAATGTTGATTTATTTTTTGTAACCGCTTTAATTTAAAGTTGATAAATATTTAATTTTTAAATGTTTTATGACTGGTATATAGAACCATATGAGATTATAATTTATTAGAATTCATTAATTTATTTAAAATGATTAGATTTAATAGTATTACTAAGATGTGAACTGTACACTTTCAATGATATTATACAGTATAGGCATTAAAATATATTATTCCATAACATTTACATTTGTATGTTTTATTGTCAAAATATATTCTTGGTAGACTAGTTTGAATTAATTGATTGAATCATGCATTTCTCTCTAAAATTTGAAATGAAATATGTCAGATTTTCTTGCATTTCTGTACAATTAAGATTATTGACTACATGTCTGTTTTCTTGCTAATTCCACTCTACTTTGCATTTCAAAGCATAACCACCATTTTATAATATATCTATGAACAATATAACATGCACATCATACATCAGTACATGTACAATGTACATGTAGTAGCCATGGATATGGAGAATAAAGCTAGATGAAATAATATATATTTGTATATGTTTTATTTCAATCTGGTCGTTATTAATCAAAGTGCAGGCCACAACCAAAGTAGTTATTTTCTCCCATAATTCAAAGGAGAACTAAACCAACAGTAAAACCTGTGAACGTGCTATTGAGGAATAGAATTCCAGTTCCAGAAGATTGTAATTTTCACCATAAGATTAATTGTATTAAAGTCTTAGAATAGCTTCATGTTATGAACACAGTAATTCCACATCTCACTACAAAGCCATTATTCCAGACAGTTCATCCTTCTTCAAAGGACTTCATTTATGCTTAAATTATATATACTTGTAAAATACCCTTGCAGCAAGGATGAGACAGTTGAATTATGACTCTGACTTTGAAGACAAGCTTTTGGATTCATTCATTATCTTAGAGAAAAGTATATAAAATGACTATGAAGTTGATCAAACTTGAACTGCATTTTTGTATGCCTGTGTTGCTAGTAAATTGTGTAGTATCACTAAAAAGACAATAAGCCCTGCAGTGCTCATTACATGCTCATGTGTTTTCAACAAAAAAGCTTATTCTAGCGCACTAACACTCACGTAATTCTTTTGAAAGACTTCACAGTTTATTGCAATCAAATTCATGTATTGCACTAGCAACAAGCCAGCGCGGTTGACACGCAAGCAGCCAACAAGGTTGCCACAGCGTAATTAGCGGTTTAAGTGCGCTTGGATGAACTGCTTTTGTTGGAAACTTTCAGCATGTTATTTGCAACATGTGGGCTCATTGTTCTTTTTCATGATACCTAGGGGGAAACTTATTAAACATTATGCAATTCACTACCACCGTGGGCAGTTCAAAAAGGCAGTCTTGGTGATATTTAGGATACAATGAACACACCAACATACATTTTCAATGACGCTGACCTCATTTTTATCAAGATAATCCAGTGAAGATTTCACTAGAAAAATATGAAGGCCATATGACATGTGGAGAAAACTGATTTATGAAATTAGACCACAGAAAACAACGATGAATAAAACTAAATGCTGTTTTGTTGTTGACTAGGTAACATGTTAATATCAGCTAATAGACTATAGCTAATTAACTATCATTTTACACATGTATCAGGTGTCCCAAAAAATAAGGCACTTTTTGACAAGTATATCGGCAACTGAATGATAAACCAAATTCACTGAAAATGTGTACAAACTAGCCTAAGAGTATCATTAACAAGTTGTCAAATTGCTTCTCAATTTTTGGTAGCTTCTCATTTTTTGGTACAATCACTATGAAGTTCTCATTGCGCTGCTCCGGTATGGGATATTTTGACATGCTATCTTGAATTTCTAAGTACTCACATAACATTTACTTGCTCTTTCATATTTATATGTGTACCTTGCTAACGATACATTTGGGGTACTCAGAAGTCAAGAAAATACTTGTCTAAAAGTAGCTCATTTTTTGGCACACCCAATATACTTAGGGATAATGAATGGATCTAAAAGATGCATCTGTCTTCATGATCAGCAATTAATTGTATTTATACAAGATATAACCATCTGAAATTGTTTGCAGTAACCTTACCTACATCTTTGAACATAATATGGTAGAAACAGCAAAGCATTATTCACTCACAGACCAACTGAATGTTTTTCATGTACATGTAACTAACAACATATATGAACAAAAGTCACAGGTGAATTTTATAAGTGGATTATATTCATTAAATATCATGTGTATACATACAAAGTATAAAAAGTTAAAAAATATGTCTACATACCAAAATGTCAAAATATTTTTTTCTATATTACAACAACATGTGAATCGTTAAAGTTTAATATGCAACCACAAATAAAAAAAAAACATACATTAAAAAGACCTCTGCAACCATTACCAAATCTCATGTTCTTTTGTGACTGCTCATTAAACTAAATACGCTACACTTATAACTACTCTAAAAATCTATGAATAATGTGTTTTGAAACGTATTGAAAAATAAATTTGAGTATTTCATCATTTTTGTACATTTTAATGCATGATAATTTCATGAATCTGGCCCCTGATTAGTCCTGAGATGTGAACGATTCCAGTTACTCTGACAGCTTGTAAATTAAACATCACATGCTACAGTAGATATTACTTGTTAAGTAGGGTCATTCAAATTGTAAAAATAAAATTGTGCAAGAAGAATTGTGCATCCATTTGAGTAAATAATCCAAAAGACAACACTAATTCCACTACCTGAAGAATGTTATGAGAAACAATAGACAAATCCAATAGATTGGGTCATCTATTCAACATGATGTCATTCTTACAGTTTCAGATCAGAAATATGATAGCATTTTTTTATAATTTTCAAAAACATTCCCCTTCATTCAGCTGAAGTACATTCAAACCATTATGAATCTGGCCAATATACCCCAGTTTCATTGTTTCACCTTAGGGGTCCAGATTGAATGTCTATTACTGCCCTATCTGGTAATGCTGTAATGGTCATATTGTAGACTTATCCAAAATCTACATTTTCTTCTTATTGTATTTTGCCTCAAATGCTGCCACATTGAACTTTCTCTTACAACCTGCATAGTTCATGTAGCGAATTTTCCCAAAAACTTCTCTTTCTTTCCAGCCTTGGTCGTGTATTCCACAAATAGACCACATACATCCTGGAAAATACAAATATGGTCGTGTATTCCACAAATAGACCACATACATCCTGGAAAATACAAATATGGTCATGCATTCCACAAATAGACCACATATATCCCAGAAAATACAAATATGGTCGTGTATTCCACAAATAGACCACATACATCCTGGAAAATACAAATATGGTCATGCATTCCACAAATAGACCACATATATCCCAGAAAATACAAATATGGTTGTGTATTCCACAAATAGACCACATACATCCTGGAAAATACAAATATGGTCTTATATTCAATAAAAAGACCACATATATCCTGGAAAATACAAATATGGTCGTGTATTCCATAAATAGACCACATACATGTACATCCTGGAAAATACAAATATGGTCATGCATTCCACAAATAGACCACATATATCCCAGAAAATACAAATATGGTCTTATATTCAATAAAAAGACCACATATATCCTGGAAAATACAAATATGGTCGTGTATTCTGTAACAGAAATGCACCATTTCTGTTTTATATTTATATTTTAGAGAAGTCAAAAATGTTTGGACTGGGTCATAATTAAATGTTCACTATTTTAGTGGAGTCAAATACAAGTGTTGGTTTCATAAATTCTTTGAAATTCCCAGTTCATAAATCAATGCACGCAAATCTGAATTCAATGCTCTGACCATTATAGCACTTTGTCATAAAGATTCTAATGTTTGTAAAACAGAGCTGAATATTAAATTCACACGCTCAGTAGCATGTTGTTCAGATTTACTCTTTCACTCGAATTTATTAATTGCTACAAATCAAATGAGGCTGACATTTCATATTTTGTTCACTATCAATTTTATCAGTTTGGATGCCACTCTGAAATATTTAATTATAAAGCCTTTGTTTATTGGAAGACAAATATACTGCTATTGTCCAAAGGTGCACATGTACATCTGTGAGAATTCTCTCCTTGGTGAAATCATCCCACCCACAGACAAAGAATATTTTATGATGGATGTAGTTTAGTGCAACTAAATATGTATTTTTAAATGCTTGAATATGCATTGTTTATTAATCATGTAAATGTAATTAGATGTTGTAACTAACTTTGATCTGATGTGTATCGACAGTTCCTGGAAAAACATTTATTTCTGACTACAGGAATAGATTATATTCACCCCCCCCTCACTGCAGCAATTAAAGTGATCACTGTACACATTCCTTTGTTTGCCAATGCAGACACGTGTTTACAGGAGAGGCAAGGGTAGTGCCCCATAAATTAAACTGTCCCCAAAAATCTCTATCCAATCAGATCAACCTATTTAAATTGAGATCCGCCCTTATTCCAAGAACTCCAAGAACTGTATATATACTGATGTATGACTTTTAAATAACAGGATAGCTATTAGCTTTTAAGAATATCACACAAGCTCTTAAGACAATGTTATAATCAGAAAGATGTAATTTGAGAGAATAGCTTTTAGCTTAAAAGAAAATCATACAAACTTCTCAGGACAATTAATAATCATCATGAAGATGTGATTTTGAATAGGATAACTTTTAGCTTTAAAAATATCACACAAGCTTCTTAGGACAATGTTATAATCATGAAGATGTGATTTTGAATATAGTAGCTTTTAGCTTCATTAGAAGGATGACACACAGCTTTCATAGGAAAATATTTGCGATCATGGACATTTAGTTCCACCTTGACAGTAGCTTTTAAGCTTTTGAAAATATTATACAAACTTTGGAAGATGCTATCCAACATGGATATATAGTTAAACACGAAGATTAGCTTTCAGCTTTATTAAGAATGACGCAGATGAGTGGTCAGACAACCGCAGTTTAAAAAGGAGGAACTATTTTAGCTTGATTAAAGAACAATTTTGAGATACATAATATATAACAGTGCTCGAGATGAAATAACAATTATGCAAAATGTATCTTATACCAATTAAGAGGAAGATAAAATAAACTTAGAAGTTGTGTCATCTACACAAATTTTATGTTTAGTAATACTATTATGGACTGAAGCCGTGAACATTATTTTATTAACGTTTAATTCCCGTTAAATGTTACATTGGTGCGTCCGGGCCGGAAAGAATGGAATATACTTTTCTATTCTCTTACCTGACGATTTTATGTGAGGAAGGCATCAAACAAAGGACCATTAGATATTCTGTTATGATACTTCAGACAATGATGTGTGAGTTATATGGATTCTTCAATACAATTTACATGAGAGAAGTCTCTATTTATGCACCTTTACAAAACCACTGACGCAAAACTTTATGAATGAATTTGACCAGTTGACCACACGGACAACAGTTCAATGACTTTTCAAATGAATTACATTCACATAAACATTTAAGGTCTATGAATGACCCGAACAATAACAAATGAGGACAATATTTGTATTATTCTATGAATAAAAACAGTTGAAAGAAACATAGACAAAATTAAATTCTTAATATATCAAAATGGATTTGGAGCGGATTATTAATTTGAAAGACTTTGAAATAGCTAGATTAGTTCGGGAGAATGCAGAACTTGTTAATAAACTTTCAGACGCTAAAAGAAGAATTTTCAAAAATCAGTCTGTTAGGCCTGTTGACCGCTATGATGGCAGTGGTGACTGGCCTGACTACAAAACTCACTTTATGGTTGTGAGCAAGGCCAATGGTTGGAGCTATGATGAAATGGCCTTGGAGCTGAGTTGTGCTGTTAAGGGCGATGCCTTATCTGTACTCACTGATATGCCTGGTAATGAACGTGAGGATTTTGAATCCATTGTACATCACTTGGAACAGCGTTTTGACCCAACAAGCCAAGGCGACACCCTTATTAATTTGCTAGAGGCCAGAAGGAAGAATCCCAATGAAACATTATCACAATTGGGGCAGGATATCAAAAGGTTATCAAACAGGGCCTACTCGAAGTGGCCATATGAACTACGTATGGATATAGCGTTAAATCAATTTTATAATGCCCTCGAGGACACAGATATGAGGAAATACATCAAGAATAGGAAGCCCCGTGATATAGATGAAGCAGTAGGCATTGTATTGGAATACGAGTCAGATTATGGAACCGATGCTTATCAGAAAGACCTGGAAAGCATGCAGCCGCAAGAAGATCCTGTTATTGATACCCAGATGGGTCAAATAGTAGAAGAATTCAAAGAACTTAAAAATACATTTTGTCAGGCAATGGAGCATCTTGCCTCATATACTGATGTGGAACATCTACCAAAATCTAATCCCTTTTCAACGCAGAATTTAGCAGCCTTCACATATAATTATCCCAAACCTCATAATCATCGTATCAAATGTTTTAACTGTACCCAGTATGGGCATGTTATAGCAGAGTGTCCCAAGCCCATAATAGAGGGTTCATCACCAAGAAATTTGAATCAGAATTGGAGGTCGGGAAACGAGCAGTAGCTGAGCCTGAGGGTCAGGGGTCAGCTAATATAGAGAATGATGGACCCAAAAATAAATCAAAACATCTCGTAGGATTTTGTTTTGATAATCAGATTACAGAACCTTCAGCTAACACTGAAGTTATAATGCATGGAGTACATAATATATATGGGGATACCCCTTTATTGATAACTGATTGCGAAGTAGGAAGTGTTAAAGACTTATCAAAACGTAAGTCTGTATTGGCCAATGATGCAGCCAATATTTTGATACTTGAATCAAACCATGGATATCATTACCCACCTGCCTTCCAACCACCTTAAGGGTTGGTTAGACACTGGTGAACATTTGTCTTTGCATTTTTATGTTGTATGTTGTAATGGTGGTAGATTTTTATGTTTAAGAACATTGTACAGTTTATGTTTTTGATCGGGACGATCAAACCAAGGGGGGAGCAGTGTAACAGAAATGCACCATTTCTGTTTTATATTTATATTTTAGAGAAGTCAAAAATGTTTGGACTGGGTCATAATTAAATGTTCACTATTTTAGTGGAGTCAAATACAAGTGTTGGTTTCATAAATTCTTTGAAATTCCCAGTTCATAAATCAATGCACGCAAATCTGAATTCAATGCTCTGACCATTATAGCACTTTGTCATAAAGATTCTAATGTTTGTAAAACAGAGCTGAATATTAAATTCACACGCTCAGTAGCATGTTGTTCAGATTTACTCTTTCACTCGAATTTATTAATTGCTACAAATCAAATGAGGCTGACATTTCATATTTTGTTCACTATCAATTTTATCAGTTTGGATGCCACTCTGAAATATTTAATTATAAAGCCTTTGTTTATTGGAAGACAAATATACTGCTATTGTCCAAAGGTGCACATGTACATCTGTGAGAATTCTCTCCTTGGTGAAATCATCCCACCCACAGACAAAGAATATTTTATGATGGATGTAGTTTAGTGCAACTAAATATGTATTTTTAAATGCTTGAATATGCATTGTTTATTAATCATGTAAATGTAATTAGATGTTGTAACTAACTTTGATCTGATGTGTATCGACAGTTCCTGGAAAAACATTTATTTCTGACTACAGGAATAGATTATATTCACCCCCCCCCTCACTGCAGCAATTAAAGTGATCACTGTACACATTCCTTTGTTTGCCAATGCAGACACGTGTTTACAGGAGAGGCAAGGGTAGTGCCCCATAAATTAAACTGTCCCCAAAAATCTCTATCCAATCAGATCAACCTATTTAAATTGAGATCCGCCCTTATTCCAAGAACTCCAAGAACTGTATATATACTGATGTATGACTTTTAAATAACAGGATAGCTATTAGCTTTTAAGAATATCACACAAGCTCTTAAGACAATGTTATAATCAGAAAGATGTAATTTGAGAGAATAGCTTTTAGCTTAAAAGAAAATCATACAAACTTCTCAGGACAATATAATCATCATGAAGATGTGATTTTGAATAGGATAACTTTTAGCTTTAAAAATATCACACAAGCTTCTTAGGACAATGTTATAATCATGAAGATGTGATTTTGAATATAGTAGCTTTTAGCTTCATTAGAAGGATGACACACAGCTTTCATAGGAAAATATTTGCGATCATGGACATTTAGTTCCACCTTGACAGTAGCTTTTAAGCTTTTGAAAATATTATACAAACTTTGGAAGATGCTATCCAACATGGATATATAGTTAAACACGAAGATTAGCTTTCAGCTTTATTAAGAATGACGCAGATGAGTGGTCAGACAACCGCAGTTTAAAAAGGAGGAACTATTTTAGCTTGATTAAAGAACAATTTTGAGATACATAATATATAACAGTGCTCGAGATGAAATAACAATTATGCAAAATGTATCTTATACCAATTAAGAGGAAGATAAAATAAACTTAGAAGTTGTGTCATCTACACAAATTTTATGTTTAGTAATACTATTATGGACTGAAGCCGTGAACATTATTTTATTAACGTTTAATTCCCGTTAAATGTTACAATTCCACAAATAGACCACATACATCCTGGAAAATACAAATATGGTCGTGTATTCCACAAATAGACCACATACATCCTGGAAAATACAAATATGGTCGTGTATTCCACAAATAGACCACATACATCCCGGAAAAAACAAATATGGTAACTTAAATGTATTCCACAAATAGACCACATACATCCTGGAAAATACAAATATGGTAATGTATTCCACAAATAGACCAATCCTGGAATATACAAATATGGTAATGTATTCCACAAATAGACCGCATACATGTACATCCTGGAAAATACAAATATTATAAGTTATTCAATGATTTAAGTAAAATACAGAAAATATTCATCCCGAGAAGGTCGTATTTCACGATGCGCTAGCAGAGTGAAACACAGACGTTCAAGGGAAGAATGTTTTCTGTATTTCATGAGAAATCATTGAATAACGTTATTATTCCATGATTATTCAGATAAAACTCCCCTAAATCAAGTCCATTTCCTTGGCTTGGGGCCGGAGAAACAGATCAACCTTCTCACCTCAAAGATATTTTACATCGAAATTCCTTCAAATCCTTTCGGCCTTGGTTGCTTTTATTGTATTATAAGTTTGATTTCATTTATTTTTTGTTCAATTTCATCAACTGGAAGTGCAGTGTAGCGAAATGTTTTTTCAACTTTCGTCTGCCATATTGGATTTTTACTAGTTCATGAAAACAATGTTCATGCTTCATATTGATTTTTTGTTATATTTTGTTATATTTACCGATGCGTGTTTTATCCTAAAATTATAAAGTGTGATGATCACTGTATCATTTCCTGTTATTCAAATCAGATATTTGTAGCAAAATGCAAATATTAGCATGCGTTGATTTTTTCAGTAATAGTCATATCCTTGATGGAAATCTGGGGCATTGGGATACTGAACAAATATTTCACTCTATTGAGGTGAATACCTGTACATCTTTCACAAATGATATTCCACGAAGCCCGAAGGGCAAGTGGAATATCACCTTGTGAAAGTGCTACAGGTATTCACCGAAATAGAGTGAAATATTTGTTCAGTATCCCAATGCCCCAGATTTCCATTCCATAGTGTTTGTTTTATTATATCACTGTCTAGCTAAACATCCCTAATATTATTAAGTCATTAAGTCTTCAGATATTTTTACGAATCTACTCGGTTTGCCTGCCATTTTGACTTACACTGAACTAAATTATTTACACTGAACGAAAACAAATTCTTTGAAAATTCCCGGGAGCATGGGATATCGCTAGATATCTCACAGTTGTCTTATCTGATTAGCATTGCCATTGAATATCGCCAGATATCCCACGACATGTGACCCGGTTTTGACCAATCATACTGTCGCTAGCTAGATAGTGATATAATAATAGACCGTATCCCAACGCTGATGTAATTTTCACTCTGTATCCAACGCTCAGTGGAATTTGCGTGTAAATACAGGATATATTTAAGTCACATGGACCAATCAGATTGCAGGGAATATTACCATCATGGAATAAGGTAATGTATTCCATAAATAGACCACATACATCCTGGAAAATACAAATATGGTAATGTATTCCACAAACAGACCACATATATCCTGGAAAATACAAATATGGTAATGTATTCCACAAATAGACCACATACATCCAGGAAAATACAAATATGGTCGTGTATTCCACAAATAGACCGCATACATTTTATTTTACACAAAGAATTTCATAAACTACACCACAGCAAGCTGAAAGATACTAGTTTACAGTTTTCCATGTTAATATAAGAGTTATGATAATAAAGTTTTGCATCTTACCAACATATCCATTTGGGTCTCTGCCATCTAGTGAGTACTTATCATTTAAATAGATGGCATCACTGAGGGCGATTTCTGGTGAGGCAGTCCATTCTAGAATCTTCTTGGCCCAATACATTCTCAGGAACCCATGCATCTTGCCCTCCCCCACCATCTGACGCTGAAGGATAAATGGAAATTAATGGATAAATGCTACTGAATTAATATTTTTAGATCTTTTTGATGAATATTGAGAAGTTTGTTGAGATATAATTTGAAGTTTGGCTTTTTTGAAACACATCTCTACATTGTTTTAATTTCGTTATAAAATAAATTATACATAAAGTATCAAATAATGAATATTAATACTTCATTTGCATCAAGATTTAAAGGCTAATCTGTAACATTGCCTATAAATTGTCATCTGTAACTCCATTCACTCATTCATTATAATTTACCTGGGCAGCATTCCAGAGGGGGTCATGTGTTTTGGCTGTTTCTAGCTGTTCCCTTGAGTAGACATACTCCCTCTTGTCTTTCTTATGTAGTTCCAATGAAGTTTTTGCCCAGTCATTTGTTCCTGTATTGAAATAAAAATAAAATTTTGGAAAAAGGAAGTTTAAAAAACATGAAAACATTGATTTGCCTGTCGTTTGAATTTTTCAAAAATGCTAAAAACCTCCACCCCTAATGAAATAAACATTCTTCAACATCAATCGACATTTCGTATAAACCCTGCCGCCCTTTGATTATCAAAGAAACTATGATATATTGGCTAGATTGATGATGTGATTGTTGAAGGTAGGAATCAGGTAGTGTATTCCACAAATAGACCACATACATCTTTGAACATAAAATCTTCCTAAAATCCAACATATGACTGTCTGAAATCTGTTGTGATACTTTCCATGCTCCTTTTGAAATGTTTTAGGCATGTTTTAGCAGACGATTGTGACTCTAACCATCCTACAAGGAAAGTTAGAGCTGGTTATAAAGTTACTGACATGGCAAAATTGTCAGCAGTTTTGACTTGAAACAATAAACCCCTATGTTCTTCTATGTTCGAGATCCTAGGGGGAGGGGAATCTCCCCCCCCTTTTTCTTTAGCCTAACAGTTTAAGGGATAATATAAAAATCTAATTTTTTCAACCTGAAATATACAAATGCAATTTCAGTGTGATGGCAGAGTGTAAGGTTAATCATTTAGGGAGTTCTATATCTTATTTAGTATTCAGAAAAGGAAAAAAGTGCTGCTATCAAGTACTTAATGAAACTCTCACTTTTAAATTACAGAGGCTTCAATGTACCTTTATATGCAGGCAGGGTATTAATAAGAAGCAAACAACATCAACATAAGTTATTTTACAATTGCTTTATTCAGAAATTCTAATAAAATCCTGTATGAAATTACTCTACCTTCAATAGTGTCATATTTCTCATTGTAGTAGCAGAAATTGTCAGATAGTTCCCGCCTCACCACGCACTCTTCTATGTATCCTTCCACCGATTTACCATAGCGACTCCTGAACTTCTTTACCTCTAGGACGCACCTTTGTGCTGAAATCTGACCTGGAATGTTGATAATTAAATTTCTATCTTAATTTCTATCTTGTCATACTGTACTCTGGTCTTTTCCTGTAAACTCCAAGCTTACTTGATTCAATCAAGACACCACCTGGTGGTAAATCCAACAGTTATTATGTCTGCCACGAGTAATAGGTAAGTATTCTACATATTAATTTAGATCTGGAAAATACTTACAAAGCTTTGGAAGTATTAATATGTATATCCTCCTATGCATTGAAATAGGAGCCAACATGTAAGGCCAAGTTGAGTGTTACGACCTTTATCAGTTTTCTCAGATATACTTTACTCACCAAAATGAATCCATGGAGAGAGATTACTAAGAGCATTCTTTGTCGGATCATTCCTGTCCACATCAAAATATTTCAGCCTCTTTTTGATAAATGATTCAAGGGTGCGTAATCCAGCAGCTGTTCCAGGCTCTGCCCACTCCACTTCTGTGACTTTTCTGTCAACCTCAAGGCTTGCTTCAGCAGCTGACCAATCAATGGGCTGGAACATAATTGACCAATCAATGGGGTGGAACATAATTGACCGATCAATGGGACAGAACATAATTGACCGATCAATGGGCTGGAACATAATTGACCAATCAATGGGCTGGAACATAATTGACCAATCAATGGGCTGGAACATAATTGACCAATCAATGGGCCGGAACATAATTGACCAATCAATGGGACGGAACATAATTGACCAATCAATGGGACAGAACATTATTGACCAATCAATGGGCTGGAACATAATTGACCAATCAATGGGCTGGAACATTATTGACCAATCAATGGGCTGGAACATAACTGACCAATCAATGGGCTGGAACATAATTGACCAATCAATGGGCTGAAACATAATTGACCAATCAATGGGTTGGAACATAATTGACCAATCAATGGGATGGAACATTATTGACCAATCAATGGACTGGAACATAATTGACCAATCAATTGGCTGGAACATAATTGACCAATCAACGGGCTGGAACATAATTGACCAATCAATGGACTGGAACATAATTGACCAATCAATGTTTTTTGAATATTGACCAATCATTAACTGCATGGTCATTACAAATTATGACTAATCAATGATTTCGGAATATTGACCAATCATTGGCTTGATTCAGAAGCTGACTAAATTCTGTACTGTAATACAAATGACCAATCAGTGAACATGAAGTATTATTGACCAGTGAAAAGCAGAATGGAAATGATCGACTAATCACAGTTTTGCATCTTTTTGGCAGTTGACCAATCAATTCATCAATTAGTTTGAACTGACTAACCAACAAACAGTATCCATGAATAACAATTAACTTGTCATAAGCTGTGTGAGAATGTATATGGTATTTACATATATATGGTATTTATTACTAGTATATGGCATTTACCTGTGTATTTGTTTTAGTAAACAGAGAAGAAACTTTACCTTTTGTATATTCTTGGCAGTATGAGGGTGTTTTATAACAGGGGGAAATTCTGTCAGATACGTAGATAACTGATTGTTGATTTTGGAACGTATTGTTCTTGCCCCATATTCTAATTTAGGAGAAGCTTCCCAACATGGAACAACATTGTGGGCATCTACCTAAAATGAGGGAATAGAGGAACATTGTGGGCATCTACCTAAAATGAGGGAATAGAGGAACATTGTGGGCATCTACCTAAAATGAGGGAATAGAGGAACATTGTGGGCATCTACCTAAAATGAGGGAATAGAGGAACATTGTGGGCATCTACCTAAAATGAGGGAATAGAGGAACATTGTGGGCATCTACCTAAAGTGAGGGAATAGAGGAACATTGTGGGCATCTACCTAAAATGAGGGAATAGAGGAACATTGTGGGCATCTACCTAAAATGAGGGAATAGAGGAACATTGTGGGCATCTACCTAAAATGAGGGAATAGAGGAACATTGTGGGCATCTACCTAAAATGAGGGAATAGAGGAACATTGTGGGCATCTACCTAAAATGAGGGAATAGAGGAACATTGTGGGCATCTACCTAAAATGAGGGAATAGAGGTAAGTAAATGCAGTGTGCAGGGGTTTCACTAGAATTTCTCACAACAGGCTTAATAAATGAAAACAACAGGCAAAATTAATGGAAATCATAAATTTAATTTCATTACTTCAGAATAAAACACTACAATTGGATTTAATAGATGTATAATTTCTTAATATTTCTCACACCAAGTTACTGGCACAAAAGAAAACAGGGAAATATCAGATGAATATGTTTATGGTTGGTAATTCATTATTCTTATATGGTGGTAAAATGTAATTTATTTTTACTAGTATGGTAAAACATATATTTAAAGGTGCTGAAATACCTGACAGAAAGGAGTTTTGCCCAACTGTTCTGAAACATCTTTCACCCATTGACTTGGAACTCGCAGAGGTGAGAAGTCTGTAACCATGGCACCAATGTTGTTTTCTTCAATGAACTGGGGTAGGACATCTTTAGCATAACCAATAAGCAGGTGGAATGAAATGGACAATTCTTTACAATCCTGGAAAAGACAAGACCATGCTAATACAGTTCACCTATGCCTTGCCACCCCCCTCTCCCCTCTCCCTCCAATAAGGGAGTATCGGGGGAGATGAGGCACCTTAAGATTTATATTGCCAGTTGGAGTTGACTATGTCATGTTTTTAGTGTCAACTTTAGGGTTTCCCTTATAATTCTTCCTTTCCACTCTACATATATTTCTATAAAAGACAATACAGAGTACTAACCTTCTCCACTTGTTGCAGACCTTTCAACATGAAGCCAAACTGTCTTATAGTTGCCTCTAAGAACTTTGGTACAAGGCAGAAGCAAACATACAGGGGAACCTTCTGCTTTAAAGCAAGCCTCTGACTGTACAGCAAGGCCCAGTTGTCTAGGAGTAAGTAGAAAAATGGATTCTATAAGAGCAGGGTGATGAAATATATATTAGAATCATTATTCAGGTTATTTTATGACAAATGGGCAGGGATCACCTATTTTTCTACAACAGATTGCAAAAATATCTCAATTATTGTTTTTACAGGGTACATGTACTCTGTGTTCTAAATCAGCACTCAGTTGCTCTAAAGCTTGAAAGATCACAGTTATGTCTTATGAAAAGCATTACAATTATGTCTTTCGAATAGCATCACAGTTATGTCTTATTAAAAGCATCACAGTTGTCTCATAAAAAAGCATCACAGTTATGTCTTATGAAAAGCATCACAGTTGTGTCTTTCGAAAAGCATCACAGTTGTCTTACGAAAAGCATCACAGTTGTCTTTCGAAAAGCATCATAGTTATGTCTTATGAAAAGCATCACAATTATGTCTTTCGAATAGCAACACAGTTATGTCTTATGAAAAGCATCACAATTATGTCTTTCGAATAGCATCACAGTTATGTCTTATTAAAAGCATCACAGTTGTCTCATAAAAAAGCATCACAGTTATGTCTTATGAAAAGCATCACAGTTGTGTCTTTCGAAAAGCATCACAGTTGTCTTACAAAAAGCATCTTAGTTATGTCTTACGAAAAGCATCACAGTTGTGTCTTTCGAGATGCATCGCAGTTATGTCTTAAGAAAAGCATCACTGCTGTCTTATGAAAAGCATCACAGTTGTCTTATGAAATGCATCACAGTTGTGTCTTTCGAAAAGCATCACAGTTGTCTTACAAAAAGCATCTTAGTTATGTCTTACGAAAAGCATCACAGTTGTGTCTTTCGAAATGCATCGCAGTTATGTCTTAAGAAAAGCATCACTGCTGTCTTATGAAAAGCATCACAGTTGTCTTATGAAAAGCATCACAGCTGTCTTATAAAAAGCATCAGAGTTATGTCTTATGAAAAGCATCACAGTTGTCTTATAAAAAGCATCACAGTTATGTCTTATGAAAAGCATCACAGTTGTCTTATAAAAAGCATCACAGTTGTCTTATGAAAAGCATCACAGTTATGTCTTATGAAAAGCATCACAGCTATGTCTTATGAAAAGCATCACAGTTGTCTTACAAAAAGCATCTTAGTTATGTCTTATAAAAAGCATCACAGTTATGTCTTATGAAAAGCATCACAGTTATGTCTTATGAAAAGCATCACAGTTGTCTTATGAAAAGCAACACAGTTATGTCTTATGAAAAGCATCACATTGTCTTATAAAAAGCAACACAGTTATGTCTTATGAAAAGCATCTTAGTTATGTCTTATAAAAAGCATCACAGTTATGTCTTATGAAAAGCATCACAGTTGTCTTATGAAAAGCAACACAGTTATGTCTTATGAAAAGCATCACATTGTCTTATAAAAAGCAACACAGTTATGTCTTATGAACAGCATCTTAGTTATGTCTTATAAAAAGCATCACAGTTATGTCTTATGAAAAGCAACACAGTTATGTCTTATGAAAAGCATCAGAGTTATGTCTTATGAAAAGCATCAGAGTTATGTCTTATGAAAAGCATCACAGCTATGTCTTATGAAAAGCATCACAGTTGTCTTATAAAAAGCATCACAGCTATGTCTTATGAAAAGCATCACAGTTGTCTTATGAAAAGCATCACAGTTATGTCTTATAAAAAGCATCACAGCTATGTCTTATGAAAAGCATCACAGTTGTCTTATGAAAAGCATCACAGTTATGTCTTATAAAAAGCATCACAGCTATGTCTTATGAAAAGCATCACAGTTGTCTTATGAAAAGCATCACAGTTATGTCTTATAAAAAGCATCACAGCTATGTCTTATGAAAAGCATCACAGTTGTCTTATGAAAAGCATCACAGTTATGTCTTATAAAAAGCATCACAGCTATGTCTTATGAAAAGCATCACAGTTGTCTTATGAAAAGCATCACAGTTATGTCTTAATAAAAGCATCACAGCTATGTCTTATGAAAAGCATCACAGTTGTCTTATGAAAAGCATCACAGTTATGTCTTATAAAAAGCATCACAGCTATGTCTTATGAAAAGCATCACAGTTGTCTTATGAAAAGCATCACAGTTATGTCTTATAAAAAGCATCACAGTTATGTCTTATGAAAAGCATCACAGTTATGTCTTATGAAAAGCATCACAGTTGTCTTATGAAAAGCATCACAGTTGTCTTATGAAAAGCATCACAGTTATGTCTTATAAAAAGCATCACAGTTATGTCTTATGAAAAGCATCACAGTTATGTCTTATGAAAAGCATCACAGTTGTCTTATGAAAAGCATCACAGTTATGTCTTATGAAAAGCATCACAGTTGTCTTATGAAAAGCATCACAGTTATGTCTTATGAAAAGCATCACAGTTGTCTTATGAAAAGCATCACAGTTATGTCTTATGAAAAGCATCACAGTTATGTCTTATGAAAAGCATCACAGTTATGTCTTATGAAAAGTATCACAGTTGTCTTATGAAAAGCATCACAGTTATGTCTCATGAAATGCATCGCAGTTATGTCTTATAAAAAGCATCACAGCTATGTCTTATGAAAAGCATCACAGTTATATCTTATGAAAAGCATCACAGTTGTCTTATGAAAAGCATCACAGTTGTGTCTTATGAAAAGCATCACAGTTGTCTTGAAAAGCATACTTGGGATTTAGAATGAATTCCTTGATGTGTTCAACTTACCTTGCACTCTCTGGTCACGTGACATCCAATACACAACCCCACTTGAAGTCTCATCCAAATTCTCAGCAGATGAAATCATGCGAACACGCTTTTTGTTGAACTTGAAATCAGCCACTGAGGAGGTTTTTGTTGTTCGTTGATACCTGAAGTTGCACAAATCTTTAAGTAAATTTCAAGCATAAAGGCTTACTATTGAACAAAATGAGTAATGGGTTCATACTAGATAGAGGTTGTCCCATAAGTTATAGAGAAAATATGATCTATAATACACAGATTCATACTAGATAGAGGTTGTCCCATAAGTTATGGAGGTAATATAATCTATAATATACAAGTTCATACTAGATAGAGGTTGTCCCATAAGTTATAGAGGTAATTTGATCTATAATACACAGGTTCATACTATATAGAGGTTGTCCCATAAGTTATAGAGGTAATTTGATCTATAATACACAGGTTCATACTAGATAGAGGTTGTCCCATAAGTTATAGAGGTAATATGATCTATAATACACAGGTTCATACTAGATAGAGGTTGTCCCATACGTTAAAGAGGTAATATGATCTATAATACACAGGTTCATACTAGATAGAGGTTGTCGCATATGTTATAGAGGTAATATGATTTATAATACACAGGTTCATACTAGATAGAGGTTGTCCCATAAGTTAAAGAGGTAATATGATATATAATACACAGGTTCATACTAGATAGAGGTTGTCCCATAAGTTATAGAGGTAATTTGATCTATAATACACAGATTCATACTAGGTAGAGGTTGTCCCATAAGTTAAAGAGGTAATATGATCTATAATACACAGGTTCATACTAGGTAGAGGTTGTCCCATACGTTAAAGAGGTAATATGATCTATAATACACAGGTTCATACTAGATAGAGGTTGTCCCATACGTTATAGAGGTAATTTGATCTATAATACACAGGTTCATACTAGGTAGAGGTTGTCCCATAAGTTATAGAGGTAATTTGATCTATAATACACAGGTTCATACTAGATAGAGGTTGTCCCATAAGTTATAGAGGTAATTTGATCTATAATACACAGGTTCATACTAGATAGAGGTTGTCCCATAAGTTAGAGGTAATATGATTTATAATACACAGGTTCATACTAGATAGAGGTTGTCCCATAAGTTATGGAGGTAATATGATCTATAATACACATGTTCATACTAGATAGAGGTTGTCCCATACGTTATAGAGGTAATATGATCTATAATACACAGGTTCATACTAGGTAGAGGTTGTCCCATACGTTATAGAGGTAATATGATCTATAATACACAGATTCATACTAGATAGAGGTTGTCCCATATGTTATAGAGGTAATATGATTTATAATACACAGGTTCATACTAGATAGAGGTTGTTCCATAAGTTATGGAGGTAATATGATCTATAATACACAGGTTCATACTAGATAGAGGTTGTCCCATAAGTTATAGAGGTAATATGATCTATAATACACAAGTTCATACTAGATAGAGGTTGTCCCATAAGTTATAGAGGTAATATGATCTATAATACACAGGTTCATACTAGATAGAGGTTGTCCCATAAGTTATAGAGGTAATTTGATCTATAATACACAGGTTCATACTAGATAGAGGTTGTCCCATAAGTTAAAGAGGTAATATGATCTATAATACACAGGTTCATACTAGATAGAGGTTGTCCCATAAGTTAAAGAGGTAATATGATCTATAATACACAGGTTCATACTAGGTAGAGGTTGTTCCATAAGTTATGGAGGTAATATGATCTATAATACACAGATTCATACTAGATAGAGGTTGTCCCATATGTTATAGAGGTAATATGATTTATAATACACAGGTTCATACTAGATAGAGGTTGTCCCATATGTTATAGAGGTAATATGATTTATAATACACAGGTTCATACTAGATAGAGGTTGTCCCATATGTTATAGAGGTAATATGATCTATAATACACAGATTCATACTAGATAGAGGTTGTCCCATATGTTATAGAGGTAATATGATTTATAATACACAGGTTCATACTAGATAGAGGTTGTCCCATATGTTATAGAGGTAATATGATTTATAATACACAGGTTCATACTAGATAGAGGTTGTCCCATATGTTATAGAGGTACTATGATCTATAATACACAGATTCATACTAGATAGAGGTTGCCCATATGTTATAGAGGTAATATGATCTATAATACACAGGTTCATACTAGATAGAGGTTGTCCCATAAGTTATAGAGGTAATTTGATCTATAATACACAGGTTCATACTAGATAGAGGTTGTCCCATAAGTTATAGAGGTAATTTGATCTATAATACACAGGTTCATACTAGGTAGAGGTTGTCCCATAAGTTATAGAGGTAATTTGATCTATAATACACAGGTTCATACTAGATAGAGGTTGTCCCATAAGTTATAGAGGTAATTTGATCTATAATACACAGGTTCATACTAGATAGAGGTTGTCCCATAAGTTATACTTATAGAGGTAATTTGATCTATAATACACAGGTTCATACTAGGTAGAGGTTGTCCCATAAGTTATAGAGGTAATTTGATCTATAATAGACAGGTTCATACTAGGTAGAGGTTGTCCCATAAGTTATAGAGGTAATATGATCTATAATACACAGGTTCATACTAGATAGAGGTTGTCCCATAAGTTATAGAGGTAATTTGATCTATAATACACAGGTTCATACTAGATAGAGGTTGTCCCATAAGTTATAGAGGTAATTTGATCTATAATACACAGGTTCATACTAGGTAGAGGTTGTCCCATAAGTTATAGAGGTAATTTGATCTATAATACACAGGTTCATACTAGATAGAGGTTGTCCCATAAGTTATAGAGGTAATCTGATCTATAATACACAGGTCCATACTAGATAGAGGTTGTCCCATAAGTTATGGAGGTAATTTGATCTATAATACACAGGTTCATACTAGGTAGAGGTTGTCCCATAAGTTATAGAGGTAATATGATCTATAATACACAGGTTCATACTAGATAGAGGTTGTCCCATAAGTTATAGAGGTAATATGATCTATAATACACAGGTCCATACTAGATAGAGGTTGTCCCATAAGTTATGGAGGTAATTTGATCTATAATACACAGGTTCATACTAGGTAGAGGTTGTCCCATAAGTTATAGAGGTAATATGATCTATAATACACAGGTTCATACTAGATAGAGGTTGTCCCATACGTTAAAGAGGTAATTTGATCTATAATACACAGGTTCATACTAGATAGAGGTTGTCCCATAAGTTATAGAGGTAATATGATCTATAATACACAGGTTCATACTAGATAGAGGTTGTCCCATACGTTATAGAGGTAATATGATCTATAATACACAGGTTCATACTAGATAGAGGTTGTCCCATAAGTTAAAGAGGTAATATGATCTATAATACACAGGTTCATACTAGATAGAGGTTGTCCCATAAGTTAAAGAGGTAATATGATCTATAATACACAGGTTCATACTAGATAGAGGTTGTCCCATAAGTTAAAGAGGTAATATGATCTATAATACACAGATTCATACTAGATAGAGGTTGTCCCATGCGTTAAAGAGGTAATTTGATATATAATACACAGGTTCATACTAGATAGAGGTTGTCCCATACGTTAAAGAGGTAATATGATCTATAATACACAGGTTCATACTAGATAGAGGTTGTCCCATAAGTTAAAGAGGTAATTTGATCTATAATACACAGGTTCATACTAGGTAGAGGTTGTCCCATAAGTTATAGAGGTAATATGATCTATAATACACAGGTTCATACTAGATAGAGGTTGTCCCATAAGTTATAGAGGTAATATGATCTATAATACACAGCTTCATACTAGATAGAGGTTGTCCCATAAGTTAAAGAGGTAATATGATCTATAATACACAGGTTCATACTAGATAGAGGTTGTCCAATAAGTTAAAGAGGTAATTTGATCTATAATACACAGGTTAATACTAGATAGAGGTTGTCCAATAAGTTAAAGAGGTAATTTGATCTATAATACACAGGTTCATACTAGATAGAGGTTGTCCCATAAGTTAAAGAGGTAATATGATCTATAATACACAGGTTCATACTAGATAGAGGTTGTCCCATAAGTTAAAGAGGTAATATGATCTATAATACACAGATTCATACTAGATAGAGGTTGTCCCATACGTTAAAGAGGTAATTTGATATATAATACACAGGTTCATACTAGATAGAGGTTGTCCCATACGTTAAAGAGGTAATATGATCTATAATACACAGGTTCATACTAGATAGAGGTTGTCCCATAAGTTATGGAGGTAATTTGATCTATAATACACAGGTTCATACTAGGTAGAGGTTGTCCCATAAGTTATAGAGGTAATTTGATCTATAATACACAAGTTCATACTAGATAGAGGTTGTCCCATAAGTTATAGAGGTAATTTGATCTATAATACACAGGTTCATACTAGATAGAGGTTGTCCCATAAGTTATGGAGGTAATTTGATCTATAATACACAGGTTCATACTAGATAGAGGTTGTCCAATAAGTTAAAGAGGTAATTTGATCTATAATACACAGGTTCATACTAGATAGAGGTTGTCCCATAAGTTAAAGAGGTAATATGATCTATAATACACAGGTTCATACTAGATAGAGGTTGTCCCATAAGTTATGGAGGTAATTTGATCTATAATACACAGGTTCATACTAGATAGAGGTTGTCCCATACGTTATAGAGGTAATATGATCTATAATACACAGATTCATACTAGATAGAGGTTGTCCCATAAGTTAAAGAGGTAATATGATTTATAATACACAGGTTCATACTAGATAGAGGTTGTCCCATAAGTTATGGAGGTAATTTGATCTATAATACACAGGTTCATACTAGGTAGAGGTTGTCCCATAAGTTATAGAGGTAATTTGATCTATAATACACAGGTTCATACTAGATAGAGGTTGTCCCATAAGTTATAGAGGTAATTTGATCTATAATACACAGGTTCATACTAGATAGAGGTTGTCCCATAAGTTATAGAGGTAATTTGATCTATAATACACAGGTTCATACTAGATAGAGGTTGTCCCATAAGTTAAAGAGGTAATATGATCTATAATACACAGGTTCATACTAAATAGAGGTTGTCCCATACGTTAAAGAGGTAATATGATCTATAATACACAGGTTCATACTAGATAGAAGTTGTCCCATAAGTTAAAGAGGTAATTTGATCTATAATACACAGGTTCATACTAGATAGAGGTTGTCCCATAAGTTATAGAGGTAATTTGATCTATAATACACAGGTTCATACTAGATAGAGGTTGTCCCATAAGTTAAAGAGGTAATTTGATCTATAATACACAGGTTCATACTAGATAGAGGTTGTCCCATACGTTAAAGAGGTTATATGATCTATAATACACAGGTTCATACTAGATAGAGGTTGTCCCATACGTTATAGAGGTAATATGATCTATAATACACAGGTTCATACTAGGTAGAGGTTGTCCCATAAGTTAAAGAGGTAATATGATCTATAATACACAGGATCATACTAGATAGAGGTTGTCCCATACGTTAAAGAGGTAATATGATCTATAATACACAGGTTCATACTAGATAGAGGTTGTCCCATACGTTATAGAGGTAATATGATCTATAATACACAGGTTCATACAAGGTAGAGGTTGTCCCATAAGTTAAAGAGGTAATATGATCTATAATACACAGGTTCATACTAGGTAGAGGTTGTCCCATACGTTATAGAGGTAATATGATCTATAATACACAGATTCATACTAGATAGAGGTTGTCCCATATGTTATAGAGGTAATATGATTTATAATACACAGGTTCATACTAGATAGAGGTTGTCCCATAAGTTATGGAGGTAATATGATCTATAATACACAGGTTCATACTGAATAGTGGTTGTCCCATAAGTTATAGAGGTAATATGATATAATATGAAGGAACTATTTTTGGAAATGACGATATGATAAAATGGAAACGTTGAAAACGTAGTAAGGATTTATTTTATTGATTACTCTATCCATGCTCTGTGTGGGCAGAATGAAGCTTATGGTGTTAATTTTGATTTCAAAATTAAAAAGTGATCTCTTAATCTGCACAATTACATTGGCAACTTCAGGTCTATGTTTTTGTGATTTTGTCAATCAGTTTTTATCTAATTTCCTAAGTATTACCTGTTACAATTAATACACTGATGTCAGGGCTTTCAGTAACGCGTCCTTAATATTAGGAGGACCCAGGTTTTGATGGACTCCAAAAAATTTAATGACCCGTCCCTTGGACGCAGAGTCCTGTGTTTTCATTAACAAAATTGATAGACTCGGAAAAAGATCTTACCTTCAGTCTTTTATTTGGTCAAAATCCACTTAATAAACCAAGGATATTCTATTTCTAAAGGAAATACAATATTTTCTTTTAAAGTTTCCTTTTTGGAAGTTGGTTTCCGATCGAAATAGTACGAGGCCTGTGATAGGACAATCACTAAATAGTTGCTACAGTACCGGGCAGTAATCTGTACGAGTCCTATAATTGGCCACGATTATTGATCACGCATGCGTCTTAATAATTTTAACCAATCAAATGAATTTGTTGCGCATGTGCATAAAACGGAACTAATAAATGGAACCTCTCAAACTGGCAAAAGTTAATAAAATCCACCGAAATTAAGCAAGTTTGGCAACATTTAAGCAAATTTGGCAAAACTTCAGCAAATTTGGCAAAATTTAATCGAAAAAGGCAGAAATTGAGCAGATTTTAATTCTTTTTACCAAATTCACCGTTAGGTGTCTCCAAAAAAACTTGCCAAAAATATTCGAACCCCCTCCTGTCAAATCCTGGCTACACCAAGATTGTAGATATAGATGTTAAACACATTTAAAGTGCAAGTGAACTTACTGTATTCTCTCTATAAAGTCATCAGGTGGTTCACCCTCCTGAAGTTTCATCTTCTTAGTTGGACTTTCGTCAGTCTCAGACATCTTTCTAAACACCTTTAGATGGCAGCACAAGTTCCTAATGGCACAAAAAGTAAAAAGCTTAGAAATAGTGCTACAAGCAGTTTTGCAAGAAAGGTTGAAGTACAACTCACAAGCTACAATCAGAACTTTCTAGAAACACGGAAGCATATTTCTAGGGACGTTCAAAATGCAAATTCCTAATTAGCTACAAATATTAAAGTTTCTAGAAAGCTGCAAGCACATTCAAAGTGTAATTTGCAAATTAGCTACAAAAAGTGCAACTTTCTAGAAAGCTGCAAGCATATTTTTGATGACATACTAAGTGTTATTTCCTAATTATCAACAAGTGCAATTTTCAAGAAAGCTACAAGCACATTTCTAGAAAGCTGCAAGCACATATCTAGCATCCTCTGATCACAGGGCTTCAAAACCCAGAATATATTCTTTCTGTTTACCCTCTGCGATAAGCAGCTAGCATTTCCCAAATTAAGAACTCGCAATCGATTGGCTGTCGCAACACTGCCACAGAAATCATGTACAAGTCATTGCGCATAATTAGATCACATGATTCAGTTTAATCGGGCGCTTCCAAATTGGTTATAGCAGGGGGGAAGAAGGAGGTATGGATTCTGGATACCTGCTTTTAGGAGGATGATATCTAGAGACCTTCAAAGTGTAATTTCCAAATGAGCTACAAAAAGTGCAACTTTCTAGAAAGCTGCAAGCACATATCTAGAAACATTGAAAGTGTAGCTTCCTATTCCTAATAAGCTACAATAAATGTAACTTTCTAGAAAGTTGCAAGCACATTTCAAGGGACATTCAAAGGAATTTCCCTGTTACATGAAGCTACAAAAATAAAACTTTCTAGACAGCTGCAAGCAATTTCTGCAATTCCCAAAGGCTAGAACATAAGACTTTCTAGACAGCTGCAAGCAATTTCTGCAATTCCCAAAGGACAGAACATAAGACTTTCTAGAAAGCTGCAAGCAATTTCTGCAATTCCCAAAGGACAGAACATAAGACTTTCTAGAAAGCTGCAAGCAATTTCTGCAATTCCCAAAGGACAGCACATAAGACTTTCTAGACAGCTACAAGCAATTTCTGCAATTCCCAAAGGACAAAACATAAGACTTTCTAGAAAGCTGCAAGCAATTTCTGCAATTTCCAAAGGACAGAACATAAGACTTTCTAGACAGCTGCAAGCAATTTCTGCAATTCCCAAAGGACAGAACATAAGACTTTCTAGACAGCTGCAAGCAATTTCTGCAATTCCCAAAGGACAGAACATAAGACTTTCTAGACAGCTGCAAGCAATTTCTGCAATTCCCAAAGGACAGAACATAAGACTTTCTAGACAGCTGCAAGCAATTTCTGCAATTCCCAAAGGACAGAACATAAGCTTGACAGACTTGACTTCTAGTTAGTCTGTCGGATACAGACTAAAACAGGGGTCTACTTTTCAACAGATGGATATGGAAACTTGTGAAGGAATGAGGCATGATTGCTCTGAACGAACTGCTAGGAGTTATGGACAACAATGGAAATATTTTTTTCAATTAAATTTTTCTTCCTAAGAACACTGCCTTCACTGTCATGATGAGTTTCATAATGTTACTTAGTAGGAGTGAGGACATATAGAACATTCATTCAAGTGGATACATGGTTATATAACAGAATTTCATTATGTTTATGTTATGTTAGAAATATAAGTGTCACCTCATGAATGAGACCCTCATGGCCTTTTTGATGGTAGTAGACATTCTATGAATTAACACTGTAACCTTAATTCTGTCCAGTGGCTCCCACTGTAGGTCTTGAAGAGCTTTGGTGACGCAGCCTGGTTCCCTCGAGTGACATTTGGTTACAAACCTGGCTGCTCTTCTCTGTACCTGTTCCAACATATCAATATATTTTTGTTGGTATGGATCCCATGCCGAGCTGGCATACTCTAAATTAGGCCGGACTAGTGACTTATACGCCTGAGCCTTCACTTTTTCAGGGCATTGATGGAGGTTGCGCCTGAGGAATCCAAGCACCTTATTGGCTTTGGATACAATAGTTTGAATATGTGTAGTCCAGCGTAAGTTATTTGTGATGTCAATACCTAGGTATGGGATGTGTGTTACCGACTTAAGGTTTTCCCCTAGCATGGTGTAATTGTGAATGATAGGGGATTTACCTTTGTGAATATTTAGCACATAGCATTTTGATGTCATAAATAAAAGGCTGTCGTCAGCAAATAGCTTAAGACTGGCTGAGGATGATAGGTTATTGCCCATATCATTGATATAAACAAGGAAACAGAGTGGTCCAAGAACTGTTCCTTGAGGAACTCCTGATTTTACTGAGTTTTTGAACTTGATTCGCCATTGAGCACTACCTGTTGTGATCTTCCCACAAGCCAGTATCTGAACCAGTTCAAGTTATTATTGCGAATTCCATAATAGTCAAGTTTGAGCAAGAGGCGTTCGTGAGCCACCGTATCAAACGCTTTGGAAAAGTCTTATTCCAACATGTCTGTTTGTTTATGGTTGTCGAGGGCCCGAGCTATATTCTCTGTTGTATTGACAAGTTGGGTTTCACGTGAGTGCTTTGACCTGAATCCATGTTGGAAGTTTACTAGAATTTCATAGAGGTCAAAGTGGGCCATAATATGATGGAATATAATATGTTCCATTATTTTACATGGAACTGACGTCAGAGATACAGGCCTGTAATTCACAACCTCATCCCTTCGTCCCTTTTTGTAGACAGCAGTAACATTGGCATGTTTCCAGTCCATAGGCACAAAGCCTTCATCGATGGACTGTTGAAAAATTATTTGAAGGAATGGCGATATGCTGTCACTGCATTCCTTCAGGACCCTAGTCGGAATAAGATCGGTCCAGTGGCTTTTGATGGATTTAGGCCAGTTAGCAATTTGTGAATTCCTTTTGTTGAAATTTTGATATTTGGCATTTCAGGAATTTGACTGGGTACCATTGTCGGTAAAGTAGCATCCTCATCTGTGAATACAGAATTGTATTGGTCATTGAGGATGTTTGCTTTCTGGGCGGCGTCTGTTATTTCGTCGCCATCTTTGTTACGGAGCACGCTGATACCTGATGCATCTTTGCGTTTAGACTTTATGTAGCTCTAGAAGCGTTTGGTAATGCCTTTGTGCTGAACATTCTCATTTATGATTTCACTTTCATCAATGTCAACAGATCGTTGATGTAGCGTTGATGTTCTTTACGAATTTCACTATGGATTTATTTCCGTAGTGATTTGTATTTATGCCAATGATGAGGTTCATTTGAGCTTTTGGCAACATTATATCATCTTTGTTTCTGTCGGATCATTCTCAGTATCCTGGTGGTAATCCAGGGTACTTTGAATTTCCCACTAAGAGTTTTACTTGGAATATGCTCATTGATTGACGATATTAATGTATATTTGAAGGAGGACCAGTTGTCTTCAACTGATCTATTTTCAGAGTTCTCTTTCAGCTCGCTGAACTTAGATCGTAGAGTCTCTTTAAGTCCAGTCCATTCTGCCCGCTTGTATATGTGGACCTTACGAGGCTTCGTTTTCTGAATTTTCATTTTTAGGTTAATATCGCATAGGACTGCCTCATGATCACTCATGCCCGGAACCACCGAGATCCTTTCTGCGAGGTTTGGGCATGTAGTGAATACTAAGTCAAGGATGTTATTTTGTCTAGTTGGTTCCTTGACTAGTTGGGTTAGGCCATGATCATCAGTTATTGTAATCATCTTCTCATTAAGATCATTAGAATATTGAGAATTAGGCCTTATAGTTCCATAATCTCCCAATCGATGTCTGGTAAGTTGAAGTCACCACATAAAAAGATGTTCTTCATATGTGTATTACCATGAGCATATTATTTATCGAGGGATGTTTGGAGCGAGTCCAAAGTACCAGTATCGTTGTTTGGTTGACGATAGAAGGATCCAAACAGTATGTCCCCATTTGATAGAGATGCTTTGGACCATATGATTTCGCAATCAGCTGTCGCTTCATATTCGACTGATATGAGGTCACTTTTGACTGCGATAAGGACGCCGCCAGCACCTTTCTTTCGGTCTTTCCTGTATGGAGGTAGGCTAAGGTAGTCTTGACCGAATATCCATTTGCTGTCGATGGTGTTGTCCAGGTGAGTCTCACAGCCTATGATGACATCTGGCTTGTGAGTTTCAATTAGTTGTTGAAGGTGTAGTTGATTCTCATGACTAATTAGACTGCGGAAGTTGACAGACATGAGGCGAACCTGGTTTCGCCTCTTTCGTGCAGTCGGCCTCGGTGGTTCTGATTCAGTAGAATCAGATGATGATGACGAATTGTCAAGATCAGAGAGAGCGCTGAAGGAGTTTGTTACCGAGGAATGAGAAAGAGTGGAATCATTGAAGAAGCTGTTGGAAAATTAGGAAGGGCACATCCAGGGCAGATCCAGCTGAAACTGCCCGCGTTGAGAAAAACATTGTACTCAGCAGAGGAAACGTTGCCACATTTGATGTGTACCCATGTGCCGCATTCAAGGGCGCGATGATTCTTGGCAACTGCTTTCTGGCACATACCGCAGGGAAATTTAACAGGACCTGGGTTTGGGTGGATGTCACCACTAAGAATAAGACATACATGTAGGAAAAGCAGTGGTGGACGATTTCTATTTGTTTTATGAAAAATAGCATGCTCCAGCATAGAGCGGACAAATCTTTCCATACCAGCCTGTGAAACATCATTCAAATTCTAATCAAAAAATATGTAGGCCGTTATACAAACCTTAATATCTGAACACTTTGATAACTTCGATGGACGGTTGAAATCATGCAATTCGGTCCAGAGCATCGGGAAAATAAAGATTTTGTAAATCCAGCTTTTCAACTACATTCTACAAACGAAAATGTTTAAATATTTTGAAATATAAACTTTGAAAAGATGTCATATATAGTAAAATCTAAATAATAGTAAATAAAGTGTTAATTAATATTCAATCTGTCTATAAATTAGCATCAAAGCTATTTTTAGTATTAATATAAAGCCATTTCGTTTCAGCTTTTAGTTTTGTTTTAGTTTACCAAAACATTTTGGTTTGAGAGTACATAAAATTATTAGAAAAACAAGAATTACAAAACAAAAGTCGTAATAAACTTTCTATAAAATGACGATACCAAAGCCAGGTTTGGGTGAAAAGAAAGACAACGAAGAAAATGAAGCGTTTGACAGTCCAGAAGTTGTCATTGGAGGAAGTTTGGTGAGTTTTTAAAGTCAGTATTCTGATACAAAAATGTGGGATTTACAAATATTAAATTTTTATCATGTCATTTTGAATAATACTTAAGGAAGTTGAAAAACTTCTTCATATTTAGCTTATGGACTTTCAATATAGACTTATTAATACAAAATTCAGAATACAGAGTTCCCACAACTTTTTTATCACAAACATAGGCCAAGGGAAGAGTAATAGTAAGCTGTATATAGAAGAGACAGGTCCACAAGTAAGATTGAAAAATTTTCAAATTTTTTTAGTCTTGGCACTGGTTCTCCTTACTAATATCAAATTGTATTCCCAAATCTCTCCAAAATCTTCTTCAAAGTGTTTTTCAAACTTATATCATTGTTTTTTTCAAATCTTTATCTAAAAACTGCATATAATACTGCATATAAAACAACAACTATGGAAACCTGCAATTGCCTGGCAAGCTGAAACTGATTGTCACTGGTGGAGGTCAGGGAGGTCAGCAGTGACCAATCAGATCACTTGTTTACTAATGAACTTGCCAGGCAATTGCAGGTTTTCAGAAATTCTCTCTTTTAGACAGCATTATTCACTCTACATTATCTGACTGAGTTTCAATCTTAGGTAAGAGCTACAAACTATCAATTTTCTATCAACTGCCCATTGCTTTTTGAAAATAATACACTAAATATTGTTGAAATCTCCATCTTAACAAGTGGTCTAAGTTAGAGTTGTTCACCTGTCTCTTCTATATACTGCTTACTATTACTTTACCCTTGGCCTATGATCACAAACGTGTGTCAGTTACCATATTCTATATTCCAGAGTATAAATAAGAAGACACTCTTTGTTTTGAATTTGTCTAGGGCGAAAGAGTGTAATGTCGACACCATTTTGGGGTAACTTCGACATGTGGGGAAACTTTGACACCTCGATGTTTGTTTGCTACAATGATTTCCGATCTAGGAGGAAGCCATTTTTTTTCTCGCATGGATCGAGATCTCGCAATTTTTCCTGAAATCAAACATGGCGGAAAACGGAAATTCTTTTCTAATTAGTAAGTGTCGAAGTTACCCTGCTCTTATGTCGACATTACCCCACACGTCGACTTTACACCCCTTTGCCCTAAATTGCCCAGCAGGGTTATTTTTCTTGATGTAAACATACTGTACTCCTGGTAAATTTCGACGCTATAAAATTTCGCGATTTTTCAAAATTGCAATTTCGCGGATTTGAGTTGATGACATTTCGGGGATTTCACAAGTTGAATTTTTCCGATTACCGTGAATCAATGCGTATCTGGCTATTTTAGCCCATTCAGAATCCGAATAATGTTTGTATTTCCCACGTTTAGAGTATTTATTTGAATATTCTTGAATGGCTTTTTCAACTTCAATTTGAAGGATATCATTGTCGTCAACAGTTCTTGCCTTTGTTGGCCTAATAAAATGTTAGACATTTTAGGCCTTTTTAAAGGTTTGCGATTTTACTACATTCGCGAACAAAGCGTTATAAAATGCACGCAAACAATACCTGGAGTACAGTAACAAACTCACCTCACCGAAGGTGAATGCATTTGTACTGACATTCTGTCCAACTAGTGTAGAATTTCATCATATTGATGGCCTATCAATATTTATTCCGATTCAAACAAAAATGAAAACAATTTTCAGAGAATTGGGGATTGGGGTCCATATTATTATTATTATTAACTGTTATTTTCGCCATTCATAGGTGAGACGTCACAATCTGTAGATACCCAGATGATTGAATAGAGCACAGCCATGCATATATGGAGAAATAGAGAATGTTCATTATTGGCTATGCTGCATTGAGTGGTTGAGAAATTCAATTAGAGCACGGTCATGTTTGAATTCGATTTTGAATATACATGTAGTTGTCAATTTTAAGGCAGCAATTTTTTATGATGTTTAGCTACTTTTATGTTATATTCTACATTTTGTCTACCTGTGAGCCTCATTTTCTAATTTCAAATGGGTGCACATAGCTTTTCAGGTGGGTGTAAGCCTATTCAAAATATTACGTTGGTGCAGATAAGATAATGAGACCACCTTTTGATCTCTGAACCTCTTAAACAGTACAGACTTTATATCTGTTGAGTCCATTCCTTGCTCACTCCACTCCTTTTCACTATATTTTGCTAATTTAAAGCCTGAACATCCTGACATGCTTTGTACATGATCTATCTAGATGAAGCCCCAGATGATTTTATAACACTATTGAATTCATAATGATGTGAACATGGGAGCAAAGTACCTGTTGACTTGCTATCTCATAAACCCAAATTGAAAAAGTCATTGTGACATAACAATTGTAATAATAATTTTCTGACTCAATAGTTTTAATGAATTGAAACTGTATATAACAAGTGTGACCTTCAGCAGCCAAGTTCAAGTTGAAGTCAGGTCAATCAATATAAGCAATTTACTAATTGCATTATTTTCAAGTTTTATTCTCACAATTCGGGATCTAATCCAAGGGACATTTCATTTATATATTACAGGGTGGTCAAAAAAACGGCAACCCTAGTTTTTCCTAATATATTTGTCATTCCAACAAATAACTCCCTGATATTTTACACATTTGTACATCATTCAATTTCTTACCAACCTGCCATATTTCATGACCATCGGACTGATAGTCACAATATTACTGCATTTAAAGCAACATGCCACTTTCTTGCTGTCTGAGCTGGTCTGTTATTCAAATGAACTCCATTTCCAACTTGATGCACTGGTAAACTCTAATAATTATGTATTCCTGGGGAGCCAAGCACTTGATGAAGTAGTGGAGAGGCACCTTCACACAGACAGATGCACAATTTAGTGTGTTTTCAGGAGATAGGATCCTTTACCTTTGATGATACCAACGGATATGCAATGACTGTCAACATCAAACTCTATTTTGTGATTCCCATGGATTTCATGGGGACTTTAGGTGAACCCAGGGTGGTTGATAGGCAGCAACAGTGGTTCCAACAAGACAGAATCATACCCCATTCTCCAAATGATGCACAATAATGGCTTTGGGACCACTTCAATGACCACATTATCAGCAGTACAACAGACAATGAATGGGCACCCCATATCCCAGATTTGGCCTTATTTAATCTTTGCCAGTGGGGATACCCCAAAGATAGAGTGTAGGGTAATAACACCAGAAAGACATTTGACCTCAAAATAAAGATCACATGTGTCGTTCAGGCCATACTTGCTGAGGAATGCAGTTATGTCATTGACAGGTTTGGAAAATGTATGCAGGTTTGCCCACAGCACGATATTTGAAAACTGGGGCACCTTGTTTAAAGTGGTGTAACATTGCGACTATCAGTCCAATGTTCATGAAATAACCCAGTCTAGTATGAAATTGAATGATGTACATGTGTGTTAAATATCAGGGCAAAATCTCTAAAAATAACAAAGATATGAGGAAAAATTAGGGTTGCCGTTTTTTTGACCACCCTGTATAAGCCATTACAATATATGTTGAAAAATTTATATCTATTGATAAACCAATTCTTATAACATCAAAAAAATAGTTCAAATGATGTGGGATGGACAAATCCAATCTCGAAGTCCGTATGCATTTAAAAGAATCAACATTCATCTGCAAAGCCGATGCCACATTCCATAAACACAATATTCCTTGGCTTGTTTCGATTCCTATTTCTCAACCATTAATGCCAAATGTAATAGAAGATGGTTAACTCAATTTAGTGTCAATCTGAACATAAGAAGAATATTGGAATTTGAGACATCAGACCTGTTGGTCGGAGTTCAAGTTTAATATCCACTCTTGTAACTTTCAAAAAAATGAAAAAATGACATAAACATATTCGATAGTACATGTACATAATTGACATATTTTGCACTTTACCTTTAATCTGTTCAAGTCTTTACTCAACAAAGTAATGGCTATTTGCCAAATGACTTATGTAGCCCCTTATAAATTAATTGTTACATGAGTGAAAATTGAACCTTTTAAAGTTTTTTCTTACATTTTGAAGGTTTCCTTTCTCTATAATAGAAGGGGAAAAGCCTTGTTTCTGGATCATTCTTTCAAAAAAAAAAATTTCTGTTAAAGGAACTTTGCAGGGGCCTTAGTAATTGATTACTACATTAGAGTAATGAATTGAAAATATTTATTCTGTTTGCCAAGTTTGGGAATAAAATGTCCTGTTGGGTTAGCAAATAGAAAGTAAAGTTGAAAAGAGTGAACAGTTGGCAAAGAAGAAATTATAAGGGGGGTGTCTGACATTGTGGAATAATTATAGGATATCCTATGATTTTGAGGAATATCATTTTTATCTACGAGGTGATATTGATATCTGCACAAGAGAGCAAAGCGAAAGAGTGCATATATCAATATCACCGAGTAGATAAAAATGATATTCTGAAAAAATCATAGGATGTTCTTATTATCCTACACTTACTAGTAGTGTACTTAATGCAATATCCTCCGGTCATTCATTTCGCCAATAGATATCAACTTTATTTTTTAATGTTGTTATTATACATGTAGCACACTAAGTGTAGGATAATTATAAAGGATATCATATGATTTTGAGGAATATCATTTTTATCTATGAGGTGATATTGATATCTGCACGAGAGAGAGCGAAGCGAACGAGTGCATATATCAATATCACCGAAAAGATTAAAGTGGTATTCTGAAAAAATCATAGGATGTTCTTATTATCCTACACTTGCAAAGAGTGTTCTAAATGTATAATATCATTGCAAAATGAATTGGAAGTTAAACGAGCCTTTGGAAAAGGTGAAGTTTGACTGGAATTCTACCTGATTCATTGATTCAAGGAGATCATGTGCCCATACCCAGTGACTACCCTCCCTTTATTATACTCCAGTGTGTGGTGTGAACTTTAACATACTTTATTTACCTATGATTAAAGTATTCTAGATCACAAACGTAAGTCAAAATAATTTCAGAACTATTGATTTGAATTCACGTTTGATTTATTCATCTAGACACATTCATCGTTAAAGGCTGATTACTTATTAGTCTGTTGCGTGCGCAATGCTTTCTCACGTGATCTCCTTGAATATGTAACATGGTAGAATTTCATGCCAAATAGAGTCAATTTTGGAGAATCAACAAGCGCATCAACCACACAATAAAAAGCTCAATTCACTTATTTAAGAGTGAAATGCAATATAAGCCTTAAATATTAATTAGAAACAGAAATTCACCTGGTGTAAACTTTGAATATTGTCATTAAATTATACTGTGTTCATCTTTGTACATCAATTCAATCTAATTTTGCAGTGCCTGAAAATCATTGTTAACATGTCAATTTGCAGTATGCTGTGCCTGGAAATCATTATTAACATATCAGGGTCTCATTTGCAGTATGATGTGTCTTGACTATCATTGGTAAAATTTCAGGGTCTCATTTGCAGTATGCTGTGCCTGGACTATCATTGGTAAAATTTCAGGGTCTCATTTGCAGTATGCTGTGCCTGGACTATCATTGGTAAAATTTCAGGGTCTCATTTGCAGTATGCTGTGCCTGGACTATCATTGGTAAAATTCCAGGGTCTCATTTGCAGTACGCTGTGCCGGGACTATCATTGGTAACATATCAGGATCTCATTTACAGTATGATGTGCCTGGACTATCATTGTTAACATATCAGGATCTCATTTGCAGTAAGCTGTGCCTGGACTATCATTGATAACATATCAGGATCTCATTTGCAGTATGATGTGCCTGGACTATCATTGATAACATTTGCAAAATGCAATTTTTTATTATTTATTATTTGTTGTGTTATTGAAGAATTTTGCAATTATTTCCTTGTTTGAACTATAATTTCAAATAACAAGTTATTCTATTTTTCATTATTTTAAATATTTCATTTTACATTTTCAGCCTGAGAAGAAAGACGAGCCTGCTCCATTGGCATTGATCCCCCCAAGGCAGCCATTGGTGGTAAGACGTAGCAGGTTTATGAACCTCTGTGTCCTGATCGCAGCCCTGATTGTCCTGACCATTGGTACAATTGGTGGAATCTATCTTTACAGGCACCTTGCACATAGCAGAGTAAGTATATTCTGTATAGTACTATATTCTTGTGTGTCCTGATCGCAGCGCTGATTGTCCTGACCATTAGTACAATTGGTAACCAAAAACACCTCAAACTGTGAACGCCTGCCAATCTGAACACTTTATCTTGTTTCAGTTGTATTCAGATTAGACAGGTTTTACTTTATGTTTTACTTTTTAGCAGAACCGCATTGGTCGCTGTGGAGTTAACTACTATGAGGAAACTCAAGAGCCAGTTAGTGAGGCCTTCTTCCAGGAAAAGTCACATCACAAAGGTCACGGCCACCACAAGGCGCACAAACACAGAAAGCACTTTGGACATTTCTCAGTGAGTCTTTTTTCTAAAAATATCCAACGGTTGTGTTAATTTTCTTTCTGAAATGTGAATTTTCTGGCATTTTTGAATTGTTTTGATATATCTTTATTTAATGCCTTGCTGAATGTTCAATTTCAGTTTTTTCATCATTCAAAACAATCAATAAATCCTTATTAGGGGAGGCATCAAAAGTTTGATGTCGGATTGGAAACTAAATAAATTAAGTTTTGACTTTGACCCACCGGCCTTCCACCAAAAAACTAAATACCCCAGTTTGAGAATTTCAAAAATGATTTCTAAAAATGATCTAGTTTTTTGTTAATTCCTATCGTAATTTGAGGCTTTTAACAACAGATATAAAATCCATTGGAATGATATTGACGAAAAGAGCATCAGATGAAATCTTTATTTTTAAAGACTATTCCAAGGCATTCAGAGTCAAAATTGTAAAAAATTTGAAATGTTGAAATTTGTCAAAATTTGTAATGGCTTTGAACCCCCTCCCCCTAACTAGATTTATTTAGTTTTCGAGCCGACATCGAACTTTTGATGCCTCCCCCTAAATAGCTTTTTTATTTTCAATATTCATTGCTATTTACACCAAATGATAAATTAATAACTAAATTATTAATTGAATGTTGTTATACAAGGACGATCAGAAGATATTGGAATGGAGTGGTTGAAAAACCAATCCCGTGTGTTCCTCTGAAGTTCACACTTATTTCCTTTACATGCTGCATTACATTTTCTTAATAATATACTATTTAGGAAGTGACTGAGATCACAGACCAGTATGAGAAGATTGACGTTCCAATGTTTGATGAAGTCTCTGGTTTACATTTTCTTTATAATATACCATTTAGGAAATGACTAAGATCACAGACCAGTATGAGAAGATTGATGTCCCAATGTTTGATGAAGTCTCTGGTTTACATTTTCTTTATAATATACCATTTAGGAAATGACTAAGATCACAGACCAGTATGAGAAGATTGATGTCCCAATGTTTGATGAAGTCTCTGCTTTACATTTTCTTTATAATATACCATTTAGGAAATGACTAAGATCACAGACCAGTATGAGAAGATTGACGTCCCAATGTTTGATGAAGTCTCTGGTTTACATTTTCTTTATAATATACCATTTAGGAAATGACTAAGATCACAGACCAGTATGAGAAGATTGACGTCCCAATGTTTGATGAAGTCTCTGCTTTACATTTTCTTTATAATATACCATTTAGGAAATGACTAAGATCACAGACCAGTATGAGAAGATTGACGTTCCAATGTTTGATGAAGTCTCTGGTTTACATGTTCTTTATAATAAACCATTTAGGAAATGACTAAGATCACAGACCAGTATGAGAAGATTGATGTCCCAATGTTTGCTGAAGTCTCTGCTTTACATTTTCTTTATAATATACCATTTAGGAAATGACTAAGATCACAGACCAGTATGGGAAGATTGACGTTCCAATGTTTGCTGAAGTCTCTGCTTTACATTTTCTTTATAATATACCATTTAGGAAATGACTAAGTCACAGACCAGTATGAGAAGATTGACGTCCCAATGTTTGCTGAAGTCTCTGCTTTACATTTTCTTTATAATATACCATTTAGGAAATGACTAAGTCACAGACCAGTATGAGAAGATTGACGTCCCAATGTTTGATGAAGTCTCTGCTTTACATTTTCTTTATAATATACCATTTAGGAAATGACTAAGATCACAGACCAGTATGAGAAGATTGATGTCCCAATGTTTGCTGAAGTCTCAGTTTTACATTTTCTTTATAATATACCATTTAGGAAATGACTGAGATCACAGACCAGTATGAGAAGATTGACGTCCCAATGTTTGATGAAGTCTCTGCTTTACATTTTCTTTATAATATACCATTTAGGAAATGACTAAGATCACAGACCAGTATGAGAAGATTGATGTCCCAATGTTTGATGAAGTCTCTGCTTTACATTTTCTTTATAATAATACCATTTAGGAAATGACTGAGATCACAGACCAGTATGAGAAGATTGATGTCCCAATGTTTGATGAAGTCTCTGCTTTACATTTTCTTTATAATATACCATTTAGGAAATGACTAAGATCACAGACCAGTATGAGAAGATTGATGTCCCAATGTTTGATGAAGTCTCTGCTTTACATTTTCTTTATAATAATACCATTTAGGAAATGACTAAGATCACAGACCAGTATGAGAAGATTGACATCCCAATGTTTGATGAAGTCTCTGCTTTACATTTTCTTTATAATATACCATTTAGGAAATGACTGAGATCACAGACCAGTATGAGAAGATTGACATCCCAATGTTTAATGAAGTCTCTGCTTTACATTTTCTTTATAATATACCATTTAGGAAATGACTAAGATCACAGACCAGTATGGGAAGATTGACGTCCCAATGTTTGCTGAAGTCTCTGCTTTACATTTTCTTTATAATATACCATTTAGGAACTGACTGAGATCACAGACCAGTATGAGAAGATTGACGTCCCAATGTTTAATGAAGTCTCTGCTTTACATTTTCTTTATAATAAACCATTTAGGAAATGACTGAGATCACAGACCAGTATGGGAAGATTGACGTCCCAATGTTTGATGAAGTCTCAGTTTTACATTTTCTTTATAATATACCATTTAGGAAATGACTAAGATCACAGACCAGTATGAGAAGATTGACGTCCCAATGTTTGATGAAGTCTCTGCTTTACATTTTCTTTATAATATATCATTTAGGAAATGACTAAGATCACAGACCAGTATGAGAAGATTGACGTCCCAATGTTTGATGAAGTCTCAGTTTTACATTTTCTTAATAATATACCATTTAGGAAATGACTGAGATCACAGACCAGTATGAGAAGATTGACGTCCCAATGTTTGATGAAGTCTCTGCTTTACATTTTCTTTATAATATACCATTTAGGAAATGACTGAGATCACAGACCAGTATGAGAAGATTGATGTCCCAATGTTTGATGAAGTCTCTGCTTTACATTTTCTTTATAATATACCATTTAGGAAATGACTAAGATCACAGACCAGTATGGGAAGATTGACATCCCAATGTTTGCTGAAGTCTCAGTTTTACATTTTCTTTATAATATACCATTTAGGAAATGACTGAGATCACAGACCAGTATGAGAAGATTGACATCCCAATGTTTGCTGAAGTCTCTGCTTTACATTTTCTTTATAATATACCATTTAGGAAATGACTAAGATCACAGACCAGTAAGAGAAGATTGACGTTCCAATGTTTGCTGAAGTCTCTGCTTTACATTTTCTTTATAATATACCATTTAGGAAATGACTAAGATCACAGACCAGTATGAGAAGATTGACGTCCCAATGTTTGATGAAGTCTCTGCTTTACATTTTCTTTATAATATATCATTTAGGAAATGACTAAGATCACAGACCAGTATGAGAAGATTGACGTCCCAATGTTTGATGAAGTCTCTGCTTTACATTTTCTTTATAATATACCATTTAGGAAATGACTGAGATCACAGACCAGTATGAGAAGATTGACGTCCCAATGTTTGATGAAGTCTCTGCTTTACATTTTCTTTATAATATACCATTTAGGAAATGACTGAGATCACAGACCTGTATGAGAAGATTGACGTCCCAATGTTTGATGAAGTCTCTTCTTTACATTTTCTTTATAATATACCATTTAGGAAATGACTAAGATCACAGACCAGTATGGGAAGATTGACGTCCCAATGTTTGATGAAGTCTCTGGTTTACATTTTCTTTATAATATACCATTTAGGAAATGACTGAGATCACAGACCAGTATGAGAAGATTGACATCCCAATGTTTGCTGAAGTCTCTGCTTTACATTTTCTTTATAATATATCATTTAGGAAATGACTAAGATCACAGACCAGTATGAGAAGATTGACGTCCCAATGTTTGATGAAGTCTCTGCTTTACATTTTCTTTATAATATATCATTTAGGAAATGACTAAGATCACAGACCAGTATGAGAAGATTGACATCCCAATGTTTGATGAAGTCTCTGCTTTACATTTTCTTTATAATATACCATTTAGGAAATGACTGAGATCACAGACCAGTATGAGAAGATTGACGTCCCAATGTTTGATGAAGTCTCTTCTTTACATTTTCTTTATAATATACCATTTAGGAAATGACTAAGATCACAGACCAGTATGAGAAGATTGATGTCCCAATGTTTGATGAAGTCTCTGCTTTACATTTTCTTTATAATATACCATTTAGGAAATGACTAAGATCACAGACCAGTATGAGAAGATTGATGTCCCAATGTTTGATGAAGTCTCTGCTTTACATTTTCTTTATAATAATACCATTTAGGAAATGACTGAGATCACAGACCTGTATGAGAAGATTGATGTCCCAATGTTTGATGAAGTCTCTGGTTTACATTTTCTTTATAATATACCATTTAGGAAATGACTAAGATCACAGACCAGTATGAGAAGATTGACGTTCCAATGTTTGATGAAGTCTCTGCTTTACATTTTCTTTATAATATACCATTTAGGAAATGACTAAGATCACAGACCAGTATGAGAAGATTGACGTCCCAATGTTTGATGAAGTCTCTTCTTTACATTTTCTTTATGATACCATTTAGGAAATGACTAAGATCACAGACCAGTATGGGAAGATTGACGTCCCAATGTTTGATGAAGTCTCTGCTTTACATTTTCTTTATAATATACCATTTAGGAAATGACTAAGATCACAGACCAGTATGAGAAGATTGATGTCCCAATGTTTGATGAAGTCTCTGCTTTACATTTTCTTTATAATATACCATTTAGGAAATGACTAAGATCACAGACCAGTATGAGAAGATTGATGTCCCAATGTTTGATGAAGTCTCTGCTTTACATTTTCTTTATAATATTTTGATAAAGTCTCTGCTTTACATTTTCTTTATAATATACCATTTAGGAAATGACTAAGATCACAGACCAGTATGAGAAGATTGATGTCCCAATGTTTGCTGAAGTCTCTGCTTTACATTTTCTTTATAATATACCATTTAGGAAATGACTAAGATCACAGACCAGTATGAGAAGATTGACGTCCCAATGTTTGCTGAAGTCTCTGCTTTACATTTTCTTTATAATATACCATTTAGGAAATGACTGAGATCACAGACCAGTATGAGAAGATTGACGTCCCAATGTTTGCTGAAGTCTCTGCTTTACATTTTCTTTATAATAAACCATTTAGGAAATGACTGAGATCACAGACCAGTATGAGAAGATTGACGTTCCAATGTTTGATGAAGTCTCAGTTTTACATTTTCTTTATAATATACCATTTAGGAAATGACTGAGATCACAGACCAGTATGAGAAGATTGATGTCCCAATGTTTGATGAAGTCTCAGCTTCTACTGTACTACATGACTTTGAAAGGGTATGTAGCTGGCCAATCACAGTTCACTATTCGTGGTCATGTGACCTTTTCTAATCAATTCCAATTCATTATCATAGTCATGTGACCTCATATGTATGATGAAGTCTCTGCTTCTACTGTACTAATGACTTTGAAAGGGTATGCAAATTACATGATATTCAGAATAAAGGCAACATTTTACTGCATTCCACATGACAATGAATAACTTACTAAACAAGATTATTGATAATCTTGTTGACATGCAGATTTAAAAATAAATTTGCAACTAATACTCTGAATTCTGCATGTCTGATTCCATTTGAGGAAGAAACACGGGAGCTGTAGAGTGTGTATTATAAACAGCTGTGAAGATTATCAGCAATATTTTTTCTAAATTTTGATTCCAATTTGGGAAACACTCTCTGCGCTCATTAGAGAATACAGTAATTCCATGTCACACTCTGCTATAATCATCTTTATTTCACAGAACTTGACGGCAATAGTTGACCACCAAGACCAGAGCTGTTTTGTTATGAAGTTGAACAGGACTGAAGTGAAGCCTCCTAAAGGATTCTGGGATTTGATCACCAAAATGAGGGTAACTTGTATTGCTATGGTAACACTTATTGCTATTGAAGAAAATTGAATATTCTAAAGATGCATGATATCAAGTATTCTTCATATTGGAATTGATACACATTTCATAGTGGCATACCTGTAATTTCATAATGTAAAATGTTAACAGTATGTCATTGATAATAAAATGTTCTTTTGGCATCCTCTAGACTAAACTCCTTTATTGACCCAGGTCCTTTAAACTGCCTCATTGACTAAGGTCCTTTAAACTGCATTATTTACCAAGGTCCTTTAAACTCCCTTATTGATCCAGTTACATAATACTTCCCTATTCACACATATATCCTTCATACTCTTTTATTGTCCCAGGTCCTTCAAAGTGCCTTATTGACCCACGTCCTTTAACCTCCCTTATTGACCCAGTTCGTTAAAACCCCTTATTGACACATGTCCTTTAAATTCAGGATGGCTATTACCTGCCCAAGGCTAGAGTTGTTAGGAGATTCTATCGTGTGGTTACCCCAAGAATATTGGATCCATTTGACCTTGGAGTTTACATTGGGGCAGAGTGTATGGACTATTCCACATTTAGACTGAAAAAGATCACACACCACAGTAAGTATGAAAATATAAATATCACTCTCCACAGTGAGTATGAAAATATCAATATATATCACACTCCACAGTGAGTATGAAAATATAAATATATATCACACTCAACAGTGAGTATGAAAATATATATATATATCACACTCAACAGTGAGTATGAAAATATAAATATATATCACACTCAACAGTGAGTATGAAAATATAAATATATATCACACTCCACAGTGAGTATGAAAATATAAATATATATCACACTCAACAGTGAGTATAAAAATATAAATATAGATCACACCTCACAGTGAGTATGAAAATATAAATATAGATCACACTCCACAGTGAGTATGAAAATATCAATATATATTACAGTCCACAGTGAGTATGAAAATACAAATATAGATCACACCTCACAGTGAGTATGAAAATATAAATATAGATCACACTCCACAGTGAGTATGAAAATATAAATATAGATCACACTCCTCAGTGAGTATAAAAATATAAATATAGATCACACTCCATAGTGAGTATGAAAATACAAATATAGATCACACTCCACAGTGAGTATGAAAATATAAATATAGATCACACTCCATAGTGAGTATGAAAATACAAATATAGATCACACTCCACAGTGAGTATGAAAATATAAATATAGATCACACTCCACAGTGAGTATGAAAATATCAATATATATTACAGTCCACAGTGAGTATGAAAATACAAATATAGATCACACCTCACAGTGAGTATGAAAATATAAATATAGATCACACTCCACAGTGAGTATGAAAATATCAATATATATTACAGTCCACAGTGAGTATGAAAATACAAATATATATGACACTCAACAGTGAGTATGAAAATATAAATATAAATCACACTCAACAGTGAGTATGAAAATATAAATAAAGATAACACTCCACAGTGAGTATGAAAATATAAATATAGATCACACTCCACAGTGAGTATGAAAATATAGATATAGATCACACTCCATAGTGAGTATGAAAATACAAATATAGATCACACTCCACAGTGGGTATGAAAATATAAATATATATCACACTCCACAGTGAGTATGAAAATATAAATATAGATCACACTCAACAATGAGTATAAAAATATAAATATATACATCACACTCCACAGTGAGTATGAAAATACAAATATATATCACACTCCAAAGTGAGTATGAAAATATAAATATAGATCACACTCAACAGTGAGTATGAAAATATAAATATTTATCACACTCAACAGTGAGTATGAAAATATAGATATAGATCACACTCCACAGTGAGTATGAAAATATAAATATAGATCACACCTCACAGTGAGTATGAAAATATAAATATATATCACACTCCACAGTGAGTATGAAAATATAAATGTATATCACACTCCACAGTGAGTATGAAAATATAAATATAGATCACACCTCACAGTGAGTATGAAAATATAAATATAGATAACACTCCACAGTGAGTATGAAAATATAAATATATATCACACTCCACAGTGAGTATGAAAATATAAATATAGATCACACCTCACAGTGAGTATGAAAATATAAATATATATCACACTCCACAGTGAGTATGAAAATATAAATATATATCACACTCCACAGTGAGTATGAAAATATAAATATATATCACACTCAACAGTGAGTATGAAAATATAAATATAGATCACACTCCATAGTGAGTATGAAAATATAAATATATATCACACTCCACAGTGAGTATGAAAATATAAATATAGATCACACCTCACAGTGAGTATGAAAATATAAATATATATCACACTCCACAGTGAGTATGAAAATATAAATGTATATCACACTCCACAGTGAGTATGAAAATATAAATATAGATCACACTCCACAGTGAGTATGAAAATATAGATATAGATCACACTCCACAGTGAGTATGAAAATATAAATATAGATCACACCTCACAGTGAGTATGAAAATATAAATATAGATAACACTCCACAGTGAGTATGAAAATATAAATATATATCACACTCCACAGTGAGTATGAAAATATAAATATAGATCACACCTCACAGTGAGTATGAAAATATAAATATATATCACACTCCACAGTGAGTATGAAAATATAAATATAGATCACACCTCACAGTGAGTATGAAAATATAAATATATATCACACTCCATAGTGAGTATGAAAATACAAATATAGATCACACTCCACAGTGAGTATGAAAATATGAATATATATCACACTCCACAGTGAGTATGAAAATATAAATATAGATCACACCTCACAGTGAGTATGAAAATATAAATATAGATCACACTCCACAGTGAGTATGAAAATATAAATATAGATCACACCTCACAGTGAGTATGAAAATATGAATATAAATCACACTCCACATTGAGTATGAAAATATAAATATAGATCACACTCCACAGTGAGTATGAAAATATAAATATAGATCACACCTCACAGTGAGTATGAAAATATAAATATAGATCACACCTCACAGTGAGTATTAAAATATAAATATAGATAACACTCCACAGTGAGTATGAAAATATAAATATAGATCACACTCCACAGTGAGTATGAAAATATAAATATATCACACTCTAAAGTGAGTATGAAAATATAAATATATATCACACTCAACAGTGAGTATGAAAATATAAATATAGATCACACTCCACAGTGAGTATGAAAATATAAATATAGATCACACCTCACAGTGAGTATGAAAATATAAATATCACTCTCCACAGTGAGTATGAAAATATAAATATAGATCACACTCCACAGTGAGTATGAAAATATAAATTTAGATCACACTCCACAGTGAGTATGAAAATATAAATATCACTCTCCACAGTGAGTATGAAAATACAAATATATATCACACTCAACAGTGAGTATGAAAATACAAATATAGATCACACTCCACAGTGAGTATGAAAATATAAATATAGATCAAACTCAACAGTGAGTATGAAAATACAAATATAGATCACACTCCACAGTGAGTATGAAAATACAAATATAGATCACACTCCACAGTGAGTATGAAAATATAAATATAGATCACACTCCACAGTGAGTATAAAAATATAAATATAGATCACACCTCACAGTGAGTATGAAAATATAAATATAGATCACACTCCACAGTGAGTATGAAAATATCAATATATATTACAGTCCACAGTGAGTATGAAAATACAAATATAGATCACACCTCACAGTGAGTATGAAAATATAAATATAGATCACACTCCACAGTGAGTATGAAAATATCAATATATATTACAGTCCACAGTGAGTATGAAAATACAAATATATATCACACTCAACAGTGAGTATGAAAATATAAATATAAATCACACTCAACAGTGAGTATGAAAATATAAATAAAGATAACACTCCACAGTGAGTATGAAAATATAAATATAGATCACACTCCACAGTGAGTATGAAAATATAAATATAGATCACACTCCACAGTGAGTATGAAAATACAAATATATATCACACTCCACAGTGAGTATGAAAATATAAATATATATCACACTCCACAGTGAGTATGAAAATATAAATATAGATCACACTCCACAGTGAGTATGAAAATATAAATATAGATCACACTCCATAGTGAGTATGAAAATACAAATATAGATCACACTCCACAGTGAGTATGAAAATATATATATAGATCACACTCCATAGTGAGTATGAAAATACAAATATAGATCACACTCCACAGTGGGTATGAAAATATAAATATATATCACACTCCACAGTGAGTATGAAAATATAAATATAGATCACACTCAACAATGAGTATAAAAATATAAATATATACATCACACTCCACAGTGAGTATGAAAATACAAATATATATCACACTCCAAAGTGAGTATGAAAATATAAATATATATCACACTCAACAGTGAGTATGAAAATATAAATATTTATCACACTCAACAGTGAGTATGAAAATATAGATATAGATCACACTCCATAGTGAGTATGAAAATATAAATATATATCACACTCCACAGTGAGTATGAAAATATAAATATAGATCACACCTCACAGTGAGTATGAAAATATAAATATATATCACACTCCACAGTGAGTATGAAAATATAAATGTATATCACACTCCACAGTGAGTATGAAAATATAAATATAGATCACACCTCACAGTGAGTATGAAAATATAAATATAGATAACACTCCACAGTGAGTATGAAAATATAAATATATATCACACTCCACAGTGAGTATGAAAATATAAATATAGATCACACCTCACAGTGAGTATGAAAATATAAATATATATCACACTCCACAGTGAGTATGAAAATATAAATATATATCACACTCCACAGTGAGTATGAAAATATAAATATATATCACACTCCACAGTGAGTATGAAAATACAAATATAGATCACACTCCACAGTGAGTATGAAAATATAAATATATATCACACTCAACAGTGATTATGAAAAATATAAATATATACATCACACTCCATAGTGAGTATGAAAATATAAATATATATCACACTCCACAGTGAGTATGAAAATATAAATAAAGATCACACCTCACAGTGAGTATGAAAATATAAATATATATCACACTCAACAGTGAGTATGAAAATATAAATATAGATCACACTCAACAGTGAGTATAAAAATATAAATATATACATCACACTCCACAGTGAGTATGAAAATACAAATATATATCACACTCCAAAGTGAGTATGAAAATATAAATATATATCACACTCAACAGTGAGTATGAAAATATAAATATTTATCACACTCAACAGTGAGTATGAAAATATAGATATAGATCACACTCCATAGTGAGTATGAAAATATAAATATATATCACACTCCACAGTGAGTATGAAAATATAAATATAGATCACACCTCACAGTGAGTATGAAAATATAAATATATATCACACTCCACAGTGAGTATGAAAATATAAATGTATATCACACTCCACAGTGAGTATGAAAATATAAATATAGATCACACTCCACAGTGAGTATGAAAATATAGATATAGATCACACTCCACAGTGAGTATGAAAATATAGATATAGATCACACTCCACAGTGAGTATGAAAATATAAATATAGATCACACCTCACAGTGAGTATGAAAATATAAATATAGATAACACTCCACAGTGAGTATGAAAATATAAATATATATCACACTCCACAGTGAGTATGAAAATATAAATATAGATCACACCTCACAGTGAGTATGAAAATATAAATATATATCACACTCCACAGTGAGTATGAAAATACAAATATAGATCACACTCCACAGTGAGTATGAAAATATGAATATATATCACACTCCACAGTGAGTATGAAAATATAAATATAGATCACACCTCACAGTGAGTATGAAAATATAAATATAGATCACACTCCACAGTGAGTATGAAAATATAAATATAGATCACACCTCACAGTGAGTATGAAAATATGAATATAAATCACACTCCACATTGAGTATGAAAATATAAATATAGATCACACTCCACAGTGAGTATGAAAATATAAATATAGATCACACCTCACAGTGAGTATGAAAATATAAATATAGATCACACCTCACAGTGAGTATTAAAATATAAATATAGATAACACTCCACAGTGAGTATGAAAATATAAATATAGATCACACTCCACAGTGAGTATGAAAATATAAATATATCACACTCTAAAGTGAGTATGAAAATATAAATATATATCACACTCAACAGTGAGTATGAAAATACAAATACAGATCACACTCCAAAGTGAGTATGAAAATATAAATATAGATCACACCTCACAGTGAGTATGAAAATATAAATATCACTCTCCACAGTGAGTATGAAAATATAAATATAGATCACACTCCACAGTGAGTATGAAAATATAAATATCACTCTCCACAGTGAGTATGAAAATACAAATATATATCACACTCAACAGTGAGTATGAAAATACAAATATAGATCACACTCCACAGTGAGTATGAAAATATAAATATAGATCACACTCAACAGTGAGTATGAAAATACAAATATAGATCACACTCCACAGTGAGTATGAAAATACAAATATAGATCACACTCCACAGTGAGTATGAAAATATAAATATAGATCACAGTCCACAGTGAGTATGAAAATATAAATATAGATCACACTCCACAGTGAGTATGAAAATATAAATATAGATCACACTCCACAGTGAGTATGAAAATATATATATAGATCACACTCCACAGTGAGTATGAAAATATAAATATATATCATACTCCACAGTGAGTATGAAAATATAAATATAGATCACACTCCACAGTGAGTATGAAAATACAAATATAGATCACACTCCACAGTGAGTATGAAAATATAAATAAATATCACACTCCACAGTGAGTATGAAAATATAAATATATATCACTATCCACAGTGAGTATGAAAATATAAATATATATCACACTCAACAGTGAGTATGAAAATATAAATATAAATCACACTCAACAGTGAGTATGAAAATATAAATATAGATCACACCTCACAGTGAGTATGAAAATATAAATATATATCACACTCCACAGTGAGTATGAAAATATAAATGTATATCACACTCCACAGTGAGTATGAAAATATAAATATAGATCACACCTCACAGTGAGTATGAAAATACAAATATAGATCACAATCCACAATGAGTATGAAAATATGAATATATATCACACTCCAAAGTGAGTATGAAAATATAAATATAAATGACACTCCACAGTGAGTATGAAAATATAAATATAGATCACACTCCACAGTGAGTATGAAAATATAAATATAGATCACACTCCACAGTGAGTATGAAAATATAAATATAGATCACACTCCACAGTGAGTATGAAAATATAAATATAGATCACACCTCACAGTGAGTATGAAAATATAAATATAGATCACACTCCACAGTGAGTATGAAAATATAAATATAAATCACACTCCATAGTGAGTATGAAAATATAAATATAGATCACACTCCATAGTGAGTATGAAAATATAAATATATATCACACTCCACAGTGAGTATGAAAATATAAATATAGATCACACTCCACAGTGAGTATGAAAATACAAATATAGATCACACTCCACAGTGAGTATGAAAATATAAATATAGATCACACCTCACAGTGAGTATGAAAATATAAATATAGATCACACTCCAAAGTGAGTATGAAAATACAAATATAGATCACACTCCACAGTGAGTATGAAAATATAAATATAGATCACACCTCACAGTGAGTATGAAAATATAATTATCACTCTCCACAGTGAGTATGAAAATATAAATATAGATCACACTCCACAGTGAGTATGAAAATATAAATTTAGATCACACTCCACAGTGAGTATGAAAATATAAATATAGATCACACTCCACAGTGAGTATGAAAATATAAATATAGATCACACTCAACAGTGAGTATGAAAATATAAATATATATCACACTCCACAGTGAGTATGAAAATATAAATATAGATCACACTCCACAGTGAGTATGAAAATATAAATATAGATCACACTCCAAAGTGAGTAGGAAAATATAAATATATATCACACTCCATAGTGAGTATGAAAATATAAATATAGATCACACTCCACAGTGAGTATGAAAATACAAATATAGATCACACTCCACAGTGAGTATGAAAATATAAATATAGATCACACTCCACAGTGAGTATGAAAATATAAATATAGATCACACTCCACAGTGAGTATGAAAATATAAATAAAGATCACACCTCACAGTGAGTATGAAAATATAGATATAGATCACACTCCACAGTGAGTATGAAAATATGAATATATATCACACTCCACAGTGAGTATGAAAATATAAATATAGATCACACTCCACAGTGAGTATGAAAATATAAATATAGATCACACTCCACAGTGAGTATGAAAATATAAATATAGATCACACTCCACAGTGAGTATGAAAATATAAATATAGATCACACTCCACAGTGAGTATGAAAATATAAATATAGATCACACTCCACAGTGAGTATGAAAATATAAATATAAATCACACTCCATAGTGAGTATGAAAATATAAATATAGATCACACTCCACAGTGAGTATGAAAATATAAATATATATCACACTCCACAGTGAGTATGAAAATATAAATAAAGATCACACTCCAAAGTGAGTATGAAAATATAAATATATATCACACTCCACAGTGAGTATGAAAATATAAATATAGATCACACTCCACAGTGAGTATGAAAATATAGATATAGATCACACTCCACAGTGAGTATGAAAATATAAATATAGATCACACTCCAAAGTGAGTATGAAAATATAAATATAGATCACACTCAACAGTGAGTATGAAAATACAAATATAGATTACACTCAACAGTGAGTATGAAAATATAAATATATATCACACTCCATAGTGAGTATGAAAATATAAATATAGATCACACTCCACAGTGAGTATGAAAATATAAATATAGATCATACTCTTCAGTGAGTATGAAAATATAAATATAGATCACACTCCACAGTGAGTATGAAAATATGAATATGTGAATTCTATCAAAAATTCACTGCCATTTCAAAGTAACTCACATTACTAAACATTTAAACCAAAATGTAACTTGGCAAATATATTAATAAACTCTAAAATCTCATGTAGCCATTGCAAAATTGTTTACATGTAAATCTTCTAAAAATGTTTCAATTTACTAAAAGAGAATATGTATGGTATGTTTCAGAAGTCCTCAAGAGGTCTGCTGACAACGAGAGCATGAAAACATTTGCCTACTTTGCCGGGGGTGAACTGAAAGCAAAGCACAAGAACAAAGTTGAGCCAATCGTCGCCAAGATGATCGTCCATGGAGCGTAGAAATAAAGATGTCGATCCAATACACATAGTTGAAGTTCATATACTTGATTCAAAAAGAAATATAGAGAAACAATCATAAATAAATGAGCAATTATTTGAATGCTCAATGGAGAAAAAATTTGAATACTTGATGATTATAATGTGCAGTGAGGTGGAGCCATCTATCACTATGGCTTGAACTATTATAGGTTGCCATGGATTTTCATACATTTTTCATTTTTTTGAATATTTTTACCGAAAATGTCAGACTTGTGCAACACTGTCATCTGGTAATTATGTTAATATGACACACATGAAAATGTTTGAAAGAAACATGATAATTGTGTGAAAAGAACATGCCAACCCTTTGTGTAAATACGATTGACTGACAATTCAATGTCCAATCTAGGGACCTTATATCTACCAATATTATATGAATGTATAATTTTTTTATTTTTAATTGACATGTACAATACAAAAGGGTCTCAGAGATTTATGTTCCCATGGTGATCTTTACTTTCAATATTGACATTTGAAATTCCAATGTTGACATTTGAAGTAACAATATTCCCATGGTGATGTGAGACCATCTAACATGAATGTCTGATTGAGATTGTGAGTAACATGTAAGTAAGAAATAATGTAAATATTTACACTAAATATATTTTCAATCTGAAGGTCACACTAAGTATTCCATCATGGGGCTCCTTTGTTTCATGATGTTTAATGCACTGTGATTGGTCAAATAATGTCACATGACCCTGAATGATGAATTGTGACTTGTTAGATGAGATCTTTCAAATGCAGTGAAACTGGTCTATTCTACAAATATGTTATTGATCGTTCTAACTGGTACTTGTACCTATTGTTGTTTGCAATATAATATTTTGAATCTACAATGGAGTCTCTGTGATATTGTACATAGGTGATCTTCCTTTATGCACTCTTGTAACAATACATGTATAGTTATTTAGATATCACCATGGTCATGCTTATGAAATTAGAATGGAAATGAATTGAGACACAAACCAATAGACAAGTAAATATTCTAAATATTATTGGATTTAATAGGGTGATCTAGGGTTGGCCCTTTTTTGACCAAACTCTTAATTTGTCCAATTAGTCCCCTGGTAGTACAAACTCTAACAACAGAGAAAAACTAAGAAAAAGTAAACATTCTAAATTGAAATATTCCTAAATGAGAAATCGAGTGGAATAATCATGACCAATAGAGTGGAATAATCATGACCATAGTGATATTGTGATAAATGTCTTCAATAAGAGAAATTCTATTTAAGCGGGTCAATTTACAATCTTATTAATATAAGCTTTTTATTAACATCTGCTGTTATCAAAGTTATCACAATTTATGTCATGTTTTAAAATCATGTCATAAAAATCATACGATTTTCTTGCATATGCGACTAGAGAGATTGAACAATTCACATTAAACATTGAAATATTACATTGATTGCTAGCATTGTAAAAAGGAAACAAAACACTTTCAGGTTTGATTGAAATAATATGTTATAACAAGCTGTTACAAAAATTAAAGTGACGAACTAACATGTTAAATTCTAAAATGTATGTGTATCCATTTAAAGTGAGAAACTGACATGTTGATTCCTAAAATGTATGTGTATCCATTTAAAGTGAGAAACTAACATGTTGAATTCTAAAATGTATGTGTATCCATTTAAAGTGAGAAACTGACATGTTGATTCCTAAAATGTATGTGTATCCATTTAAAGTGAGAAACTAACATGTTGAATTCTAAAATGTATGTGTATCCATTTAAAGTGGGAAACTGACATGTTGAATTCTAAAATGTATGTGTATCCATTTAAAGTGGGAAACTGACATGATGAATTCTAAAATGTATGTGTATCCATTTAAAGTGAGAAACTAACATGTTGAATTCTAAAATGTATGTGTATCCATTTAAAGTGAGAAACTGACATGTTGAATTCTGAAATGTATGAGTATCCATTTAAAGTGAGAAACTAACATGTTGAATTCTAAAATGTATGTGTATCCATTTAAAGTGAGAAACTGACATGTTGAATTCTAAAATGTATCCATTTAAAGTGAGAAACTAACATGTTGAATTCTAAAATCTAGGTGTATCCATTTAAAGTGAGAAACTAACATGATGAATTCTGAAATGTATGAGTATCCATTTAAAGTGAGAAACTAACATGTTGATTCCTAAAATGTATGTGTATACATTTAAAGTGAGAAACTAACATGTTGAATTCTAAAATGTATGTGTATCCATTTAAAGTGAGAAACTGACATGTTGAATTCTAAAATGTATGTGTATCCATTTAAAGTGGGAAACTAACATGTTGAATTCTAAAATGTATCCATTTAAAGTGAGAAACTAACATGATGAATTCTAAAATGTATGTGTATCCATTTAAAGTGAGAAACTAACATGATGAATTCTGAAAAGTATGAGTATCCATTTAAAGTGAGAAACTAACATGTTGATTCCTAAAATGTATGTGTATCCATTTAAAGTGAGAAACTGACATGTTGAATTCTAAAATGTATGTGTATCCATTTAAAGTGAGAAACTAACATGTTGAATTCTAAAATGTATGTGTATCCATTTAAAGTGGGAAACTGACATGATGAATTCTAAAATGTATGTGTATCCATTTAAAGTGAGAAACTGACATGTTGAATTCTAAAATGTATGTGTATCCATTTAAAGTGGGAAACTAACATGTTGAATTCTAAAATGTATGTGTATCCATTTAAAGTGGGAAACTAACATGTTGAATTCTAAAATGTATCCATTTAAAGTGAGAAACTAACATGATGAATTCTAAAATGTATGTGTATCCATTTAAAGTGAGAAACTAACATGTCGATTCCTAAAATGTATGTGTATCCATTTAAAGTGAGAAACTAACATGTTGAATTCTAAAATGTATGTGTATCCATTTAAAGTGGGAAACTAACATGTTGAATTCTAAAATGTATCCATTTAAAGTGAGAAACTAACATGATGAATTCTAAAATGTATGTGTATCCATTTAAAGTGAGAAACTGACATGTTGAATTCTAAAATGTATGTGTATCCATTTAAAGTGGGAAACTGACATGTTGATTCCTAAAATGTATGTGTATCCATTTAAAGTGGGAAACTGACATGATGAATTCTAAAATGTATGTGTATCCATTTAAAGTGAGAAACTAACATGTTGAATTCTAAAATGTATGTGTATCCATTTAAAGTGAGAAACTAACATGTCGATTCCTAAAATGTATGTGTATCCATTTAAAGTGGGAAACTGACATGATGAATTCTAAAATGTATGTGTATCCATTTAAAGTGAGAAACTAACATGTTGAATTCTAAAATGTATGTGTATACATTTAAAGTGGGAAACTGACATGATGAATTCTAAAATGTATGTTTATCCATTTAAAGTGAGAAACTGACATGTTGAATTCTAAAATGTAAGTTTTGTGTCTGAAATCATATTTTTAGGGACAATCTATCATCTCGAAAAATGTGGAGTCGGACAAATTATGACAAATATTTTTTATGCATTTTCACTTAAACGGAGCATATCATATCATTTGGAAGTAAGATAAAGCAGAATGGTTCTAAAATTATGACATTGACATTTGCTTTCTATTCCCTTATTTGATATTTGCAATATTCTACAGTGCTTTAATACATCTCCCATGAATAGTCAGTATGATTACAAATAATCATTTTAATTAAACAATATAAATATACAAAAACTAGTTAGTTAGACAAGTGTCCAGTATCTTTACATTGTATGCTTCTATCTTCAGCTTTCAAATGAAATGTTAATTTATAAATATCGACCAATTTATGTTAAGTATTATTAATATGTTTTAGTACCTGTAAGAGTGTGCATATCATTGGTAATTCCTGAAAATACTATGTTCGAGCTAAGGAAATTAATAACACCAATGACATATTGTATTTATGTTTAATATGCCAAGCGTTTTAATTTGGAGATCCAAACAAAATAGACACTGTTATCCCTGTCATCACTTGTAATATGAACACATTGATTTGTTGTATTTTGTACTTCAGTTGTCTTAATTTTGATTGCATCTCTCAGACACAATGAATGCTGCGTGTCAATCACTGTAATTAACAAACATACACTGTACATTCTATTTCTGCTCGTTTAAAATCTTGCAAAAACTCCAAATTAAATCGCAACAAAATCAAAGTAAGTAGCCCTAATTAATGAGAAATGCACTATAAGTTTGGCTTTTTGGCAATAGCAACTTATCATGTTTTTTATTTGAAGCTACTTCATTTAGTGTTACATATTTCTTTAAATCTTGACGAGCATTTAATTGGGAACATTCTGTATTTTAGTTATTTCCTTATTATGCGCCAACCTGTACTTTGTTCACTATTTTGTGATTTATTTTTATCTCTAATTCCAATGATTTATGATGAGTGTTAGAACTTCTATATGTAAATGTAGCAATCCAATAAATATCTATTTAACTTGTGTAACATACATTCAAGTTGGTTGTTATCTCACTGAGCGAAGTTCGAGAGGGATATAGGATTGCCGTCTGTCCGTCTGTTTGTCCATGTGATAACTGATTCTTTTATATGCTTATGCCTACGGACAGTAGTTTTGTTTGAGAAAGAATTTTTCAAGATGGCGGCTGAATTTCGAAATGGTCGCCATTTTTCGGAAAAACATTATCTTTGATAACTCAAATACCAGTTGATGGATTTGGTTCATATTTTTTGAAAAATAATGTTATCTTTGATAAATCAAATACCAGTGGATGGATTTGGTTCATATTTTTTGAAAAATAATGTTATCTTTGATAACTCAAATACCAGTTGATGGATTTGGTTCATATTTTTTGAAAAATAATGTTATCTTTGATAAATCAAATACCAGTGGATGGATTTGGTTCAAATTTTATATGCTGAAGCTTAGATATAAAGGAGGTCTGCTCAAGAAGATATTTTCAAGATGGCCTGCACTTTTTATCAATTTTCAAGTAAAAATCAATGATGCATTGCTACAAACGGTAAAATGAACTGCTACTGGCGGATGGCTTCGTAAGAAAATTAAGTGAGTGTCCTTCACTGCGTCATCAACAGATGTCACATTTCGTCTGTATACTTAGCCTGTATGCATAATCTGAGTGGGGCAGCGATGGGTTGGTCTTATACACCAGAATATTGTAAGCTCGATGATGATGAGCTCCTATATCCCTAGGTATCAACATATTTAAATTTGAACCCAATCCGTTCACTGGTATTTGAGTTATCAATAATTATATTTTTACAAAAAATGGCGACCATTTTAAATTCTGCAGCCATCTTGAAATGCTCTTGTTGAGCAAAGCCGATTTGTCCCTATGTATTAACATATAAAATTGAACCAAAACCATCAATACTATAACTATTGAAAATTCCTTATCAAACCAAGGTCCTATTTTAATCAAATCCGTCAACCTATATTTTGAGTTATCTTCCGGACACACGGGTGGAAAGCCCACAAGCTACACAAGTTCTCTTATCACATGTAGCTTAACCTTTATGGGTTCAGCCTGATCATGATCGGGATCATTTAAAGCATGTGATCTAAAATGGTGTATTTCTTAATTCACCTATGCTTTTTGAGTGCAAATCGGAAATTGATTGTCTTTATCATGTGAAAAGTTCAGTTTTTCCTAAGAAGGAAAAGAGTTGTTCCAGTTTCATTTGGGTACACTTTTCAAGAACCCTGTTTATACCATCGTGGTAAGCCACACCTACCCCATCTTTGTGACACCATGTATATACCATCGTGGTAAGCCACACCGACCCCATCTTTGTGACACCCTGTATATACCATCGTGATAAGCAACACCTACCCCATCTTTGCAACGCCCTGTATAAACCATCGTGATAAGCCACACATACTCCCATCTCTGTGATACCCTGTATACCATCGTGATAAGCCACACCTACCCCATCTTTGTGATACCCTCAATATACCATCGTGATAAGCCACTCCTACATTATCTTTGTGACACCCCGTATATATCATCGTGATAAGCCACACCTGCATAATCTTTGTAACACCCTGTATATATCATCGTGATAAGCCACACCTACCCCATCTTTGCAACGCCCTGTATAAACCATCGTGATAAGCCTCACCGACCCCATCTTTGTGACATCCTGTATATATCATCGTGATAAGCCACGCCTACCCATTCTTTGTGACACCCTGTATATATCATCGTGATAAGCCACACCGACCCCATCTTTGTGACACCCTGTATATACCATCGTGATAAGCCACACCGACCCCATCTTTGTGACACCCTGTATAAACCATCGTAATAAGCCACACCGACCCCATCT